GGGGGGGGGGAGGAGGGGGGTAAAGAGAAAGTGTGGAATACCGTTATGGTCAAAGTAGAAAAGAATGGTCAGGAGAATGGCAAAGGGAATGGCGATAAAGACGTCCCCCACGTCAATGTCCCAGAAATGAATGAACCAGCCCCGGTCCGTAGTTGGGAAGAAAGCTTTGCTGGTAGGCAAAGTCTCGAGATGGACGCTGCGCATCTTGCCAATGTGCACAAACCCGGTGAAGAAGACAATGGTCAAGGGCGTGCCGTAGTCTTCAATGAACTTGCGGATATACATTTGAAACAGTGGGCTCGCGCCAATGATTCCGCAGATGTAGGCTACAATGAGTACGAGAAGGGCTACCATTATTGAGAGATACGCAGACGTATCTCCCGGTGCCCACTGACGGGTGAGCACCTGTATGCCCTTTTGCAAGTAGATGCACGCGACGTAGAAGCCAAATGTGTCGCAGGAGAAGCGGGTGACATATCGTAGACCATTGCAAGAGTTTGTGATGGCGAGGATCCAGTGCATAACAAGAGACCAGCTGGATTTCAATTAGGGATTAGACAAGCATTGAATAAAGGGTTGTGAGAGAAGGAGAGGTCACTTACAGTCCAATCCAGCACATGAAAGCAAAATAATTCGTCCCTCGCGGCGTCATAATGTCGTACACCGTATAATTAAAAACCGTAATTGGACCTATTCTTGTCAACACGTTTCCCTCCTTTGATTTGGCTGATTCAAGGGCAGTAAAGTACCAGTCACGCCAACAATAGTCAGAGGCTGAGCTGCAAAGACTGAAAAGACCACTGATCCCAATACCGATGCCAACAGAACCTCGTTGACGCCATACGACATGTTGGTCTTCGAAAACATGTCCAGCGAGAAAGCAAGCGCTGGAAGAATACTGCAGACATACTATTAGCCCCTCAAGTCTCCCAAACAGGAGATTTTACTGGACGACCGACTTTGCAAAATACATGTACACTGTTGCCGGGACCACTCTATAGTCCCATGCATCTGTCCAATCACTCAGAAAGTACGGTATGCGTCTCCTCACATCGTTCCACATGCCCCGAAAAAGGCGAATCTTCCACCACCGCTTCTTCCGATGACTCCGCGCCGAGGTCCTCGAGGTTGTCGTCGTCAATTCTCGTCTCGATTTTGTCGCTGAGGCACCCGTCCGTGAGAGCCCAAGCGTGCTGAGTGGCTCTTGGCTGCTCTCTGCCGTGCTCGATTTGGAGGCGAAAGGAACCGATATCCGGCGTTGCCATGGCTTCTTCTTTTTCCTGGATGATGATGACAGCGAAGGTGATGGCAAATTGACCAGCGGATGGCCTTGCGTAGACGGTGCAGGGGCCGCAACCGGTCTGGGAAGCCCCGAATGTCTGCGCGAAAAGACCATTTTCAAGCAATTGAGATTTATCTTTCTTCTTTGTCTTTATTTAAAAAAATAAAAAAGGTGTTTGCGTTCACCGTTCGTCAAGTCATGCGGTTTGTGTTTTTGATGCCCATTGATCTTGATACATGAATATTCGTGCTGAAATTACTCGCCGCTCTAGCTCTTCATTGTGGAGGTCTTAGCAGAGTGTTTTGGTATGTGTATATCTAATTGTACCGCATCTAGTGTCTGTTGCATTGATAGCTTCGTTGAGCCATCGGTTTATGTGATCGCCGGTGGTATAGCCGCAGCTCTTTCTACTATCGTACCCCACAATAACAATAATCTCACTTGTCAGCGACAGCCGTTGGATTCTAATCCCAAACATTAGCTCTAAATTCAATTCAATTCAATTCAACATGTTCGGTCAATTCTTTGTATTCTTGTGCCACAGCACATCTATCAAAAAAAAGGCACGTACAGGAGAAGTCTTTCATGTTGTTGGGTTACATCACCACTCAGGTTAGGTATGTTTTTCTTCTCCTCGTTTCTTCCCGTGATTCCTGCACATCAAACCCCCCCCCGCAAATGATTCTTCTGATTTATCATGCCATACTTGATTCTATTGGCAACCCTAATCTCAATGGCTCACTACGTCAACCATTCATTACATCTGCGCAGTTTACTTGTCCCGCGCCAGATCACACAATTGGAAAGGAGGGGCCAAGAGGGCAGTGCCGGGCTTGGCACGAGGCTAAGCGTTCTACTACTCCTAGACTGTGTAGATAAGAGACGCAAGAAAGGGGGGAGGAAAGAAAGGACAGGACCAGCGGGAATTTCTTGGCTCTTTTGGCCAAGGAGAGCCAAGAAAGCCAAGGAATTTCGCACATCACCCCCTCTCCTCTTATCGAAATGAGCCCTTAGTCCACTCCTGTCCCCTCCCGTTCCTTTCTCTGATTGTAGGGACCCATGCAGATGCACCTTGGCTGTCGAGTTGCTTTTTGACCTGCTTCTCCTGCTAAGGGTGAATCTTCGCGGCTCAGCTTCAGAGTTCTTTCCCTCTTCCATGCGAAATGATGCGACAGTTACCCATCTGCATAGGTTGCATATATGTCCATGTGCCCACTATCACATGCATTTAACAAGCTATGTAGAGCTAGAGTGTCGCCAAATGATTGGATCCCAATAAAAAAAGCAAATGGAAAGGAAATGAGAGAATGTGTATGTCGTATGTCAATGTCAAGGCACCCAAGTTGTCAGAATGAACAAGCAGTCTCCCCCAAGGAAATATCAAACTGGTAATGAAAAGGATCAAGTGTCAAATAAATTGTCATCCACGATTGCACGGGATAAACACAAATGAATCTCATAGTAGTACCGAAGCTAGCTAATGGGCTGTCACAGCAGTCCGTGGTATGAATATGCTATTGTAAATGACAGTAAACATTTTAGAAAGAGCCGAGTTGTGGAGCGCAGGAGCAGATAACAATCGAGGATCACAAACAAAGGAAAATCGTATCAGATATCAGTAAACTTGGCATCTTTGTGATCTCGAGCCATCATGATGAGTATCAATATGGCGGCAACATGGAAGTAGATGGAATGGATAAACAACAGAGAAGACAAATGATTGAAATCGGTGTGAAACACTGACTTGAAACGCCGCCCATAATTGTAATTCTTTCGCCCCCACAATTCAACCTGTAAATTAACGATTTGAAACGCTCGCTGTGAATAGACAAGATATTCATTCTTCAATTTTCCTTCTTGTGACGCTCAGCTTAATCGGCAGCTCCGACTTCACGCAAGACGGGGTACAGGCTCTGCGCATCCCTCTCGGCTTCAGTCATCTCACGATCCTCGTCCCTGCTAAAATGGCCAGTAGGCGTGCGGACCTCATCCTCATGCGTCGGCTCACGGTCAGCCATTGGCTCATCTTCTTCTTCATACTCACGATGTTGAAGTTTGGCACTGATAATGTTTCGCAAAGCTTCAATGGTACGAATGTTTTCGACCCAGCTTTCTTGAGCGCGGTCTTCGGCGGTTTCCGACTGCGTAGTAGGAGACTGGGCGGCCTCGGCAAGTGCAGGGTCAATAACTGAAGAGGTGGCATTGCCACTTTCCTTGTTGGTCTCTCTCGCGGGCGGCGTGGCAACTTCTTCAGAGGGCGAGCGAGAACCGTCAGAGCGACTAGGCCGAGACGCAGCCTGCAAAGTACCGCCAGAGAAGCGACGGCGCGGTTCCTCAAACATGGTACCCAAGGTAGAGGCTGGAGCATGGCCAGTCATCGGGGCAGAATAACCAGAGGAAGCGTCACCCGAGGCACTCACGGCCGGCAGATGAGGGTACATGCTGGAGGACGACTCGCGGGGAAGAGGGGACAGGCGATGACCCGAGTGAGCGGACGAGGGGGAATGACCAGACGTGTAAGACATGGCGCTTGAGGCCGGCGTCAGAGCTGGAGTGCCACCTTGTGCAGAGGCGCCGCTTGCGACGTGGGAGTGTGTGCTCGGAGCATTGGCTGCGTGGCTCGAACCAGTATGAAGAGCGGTGTGAGCTGGCGCTTGCGGGGGAGAGTGACTCTGCCGGAAATTCAAGCCGCCATGGACATAGTGAACACCGGGTTGAGCAACACCAGCGGCCGCAGCTTGATTTGAGCTTTCATAGACAGTGGCCTGCATTTGCTCCAGGAATTGGTCCACGTTGAGAAGGTCGCTCTTGGTGCGAAGATTTGGCATCGGTGGCAAGGAATACTGGTGATGAAGAACCGGTCCTTGTCCTCCAGCAGAAGCAGCGACGGGAGAAGGGACGTGGTGGTATTCAGAAGCAAATGCACCGTTTTGCAAGGAAAGTGGGACGCCTTGCAGACTCGTGAGACGGTGACCAACTTCGGCATACGAGTTTGGGTCGATCTGACGACGTTTGGCATCGCCGAAGAATTCGTTCAGTGCATCGAGCCCACGCTTTCGGGTCTCGTACGACGCAGCATTGCCCACCTCTGCAGTACTTCCAAGCGAGTAATAAACTGGACCAAAGGTCGAGGAGCTGGGAGCTTGAGCAGCATAGTAACCGCCACCAGTGGCAGAGGGAGCATGTCCGTAACCAGTGTGCATCGACGTGTCATAGTATCCAGAAGCAGTAGCTGCTAAGGCTTGAAGTTCGTTGTTTACTGTCAGCAAAGTGTAAATTAGAGACGCGCGACAGGGGAAGTGAAGACATCCCATCATGGGTGATGAAATGCAAGAGTTTAACCAAGTTGCAAAAATGCTAGGGGTCACTACTCACATTTTCCAGTAGGATCCATGCGGTACCCAAGATCGCGATGCCGCCCAGCAGCCGGGTCGGGCGAGCGAAGGAGGACCGAGTCATCAGCATGAGTCTTTACATGTTTCTTCAAGTCCTGAGGACGCTTAAATGCCTTGCCGCAGAAATCGCACTTGTGGGGCTTCAACGGGACATGGACACGGATATGAGAGGTAATATGGTCGCGCTTGACAGTGGTGGTTCGACAGGTTCCCCACTGGCAAGTGAGGTTCAAATTATTGGTGCTCTTCCGACCGACATGGCGTTCGCAGACATGATCCTATTGAAAAAGAAAAGTCAGCCAGGCATCTTGTCTCTGTCTCTCGCCCTCTTCTCGAGACTGTTGCGTGAGGCTGAAAACCCTGGCGAGGAGCGGTTCGAGGAAGAAACTTACATAGAGTTGTTCGGGAGTCTGCGCCTTCTCCCCACACCCAGCCCACTGGCAGCTCAAAGTTTCGTCCTTGATGCTCTGCTGGACGACAGGCTGAATAGCTGAAGCGGTAGGAGCAGCATGGGCTGTTTCCGCTGTAGTAGCCATTGTTTGCTGGGAGACTCGCTTACAGCGGAGAGATTCACGATGCCAAGCCAAAAATCAGCCAAGACGTCCTCTCCGATGTTGACAAAAGCTGAGAATTGCTGATGAGCAGAAGGATGCAAAATGCACCACAAAGGAACAGGCTCGAATAAAATGAATAGGCTCGGGAAGATTTTCCAGCCTGAAAGATTGATGTTGATCAGAGATCAAAAGTGTTGTCTGAGAAACACTCCACCCGAGAGTAATCGAAAACGAAGCTCGCGGGGGTATATGGGGGGAAAGGAACGCTTATGAGAGAAGAGGCTCGGCTCGGAAAGTCGATCATCGGAGGAAACGATCGTTTCCTCCGCCGTAACGTAACGGTCTCGCTTAAGCAACTTGGGAAAAGAGACCGAGCGAGGGGAAGAGACGAAATCTTCGGGCCCTTGGGGGAACAGAATCTCTCAGTGTGTAGTGATTGGGAGTGCCCGATTGGAAGGGCTTGGCAGGATGATGCCAAGAGCGGTCTTATTGAGGGGCTCTCGGAGTGTGTGCAGATTGACAAGCCCGGGACAAGGTATGCGCGCACGCACATAAGCACAACATTCTCAAACACGAAGCACACTGTGAAAGAATGAGACGAGGAAATCAAGGAAGCGTTTTCAATTTTTGGATATATAAAATCATAAATCCTCTATGTTGCCATAAGACAACGATCATTTCATGCCTTCTCTCCTGTCGACATTAATTTGCCGAGGAGAGAGCCGAGGAGAGTCATAGAATTACCATGATCGAGGGAAAAGCCTTCTGGGAAGTCGTACAGCCCCCGAGCGTACTTGTTGGAGGCTTGGCATTCGGCGCGATCTAACGCTTAGGTGGGGGCGAGGTACTCTCAGGCCATTCCATCCATGCGTCCGATTGGCTGAATTAGCAATACTTGCTCATGAAATGCACCCCGCAGGTCTTGGCTTCTTGGCTCTCGTGCCCATGTCCCTCCGCTCACAAGGTCACCCACGCATTCAATCCCGAAGTGAACTGGGGCTGCCCCAGAAGAAAGCCCCACAAGCAGTCCATCGATACGATGTCTTACCCAAATTTACTCCAAGTCAGTCTGATTTAGAGCAGTCAATCTCGCGTGCCATAATCTCTCCTTTCAACCTTGCTCTCCCACGTGGTCAGGCCTTAGAAGTCCAGTGGATGGATCTAATCACGTGATACTATTTCGCATTCGGGTCAAAGTTTGTTGGAATGATGGTTTCATTAGCAGGATATGGCGGAAAGTCATGGCATTCGCATTGCCAAGCATGCTTATCATACTTGGCCAAGAGCCAAGAGCGGAGCTTTTTGGTAGCAACGAAGACAGATAATCTTATTATCGCCGTGATAAAAACGCTTACCAGGTCTAATGAAGAAGGTGCGGCTGTTTCAGTTGCTCCATCTCACACTCACATACATAACTACGCTGATGACATGGACGGCGGAAACAGCACGTGCAATACATACCATACAACTTTGCGAGATTAAATAGTCTGATGAAAAATGGTATAACATTGGAAATATTAACGCTTAACCCGCTTGAAAAGTTCTATAGCGTGCACAAATTGCTCAAAAGTCCAGCCAGAAAGAGAAGAAAAAATAAGAAGCCACCCTATAATATACGCGATCTAAAAGAAGACTGGGTATCCCAATATCGCAACCCATCAACACTCTTAACACCGCTTTGCAGATTGACGCAAAGTGATTCTATAAATGAAAATAAAGGGAAAAATTAAGTTAAGAAAGCTCACGAAAGAGCCTGGTACTTTTGATCCATGAAAATGCCGTTCCAATCGTCTCCACCAAATATCTTATCCAAGTCCAAGCCTGGCGTAATTGCAGGTCGCCCTTGAGCCTCTTGCGGGTCATCCATAACCGGCATCATGACATTACCCGAGTCTGGCTGAGTTGCAAGCGCGGTATCAAGGTGCTGATCAGGGACTAAATATGGATATGGCGGTAGAGGCCCGAAAAGAGGGACTTCAAGATTATCGTAGGGATTAGATGAATTGCCGTTGAGCATAAATAGCCCATTGCTCGGCGTAGGTGACTGGAATAGACTGAACGGCTCTTGACTCTGTCGAAAGTTCTCCAGCGTGGTCATTGGCTGATTAGGGTATGCAAATGGATCGGCAGATGGGAACATCATGGCTGATAGGTCTGGCACCCCAGCAGCCGTAAGAGGATTCGTTTGAGTGATCTGTTGCGGAGCAATACTGAAGCTCGACGAGGGTGTATTGGAAAGGTTCCCAGAATTGGTAGGCGAGTACCCATCGGATACATTGGAGCGGAACGTGGTAGAAGCGTCGTTCAAACCCTGAAGGAGCCCATTTTCGGGAGAATTTGGTGCGCTGTTCGTCTTCGACGGCAACTTCATTTGCGTAGGGAAGGTGGTCGCGCGCTGTAATATTTGATTTGGCAATGCTATGGAAGTCGGTCGAGTGGGCAAATTCGCCTTCGCCGACGCTTCAGGTCCGTTCGCAGCGGCTGCAGACCGCTTTCGGCTACTGGACTGCGAAACAGTCCGGCCGATTTTGACCTTTTCAGGGAGTCTTTCGAATATGAGCTGTACAGAATAATTATTAGCAAGGTCATAATATCATGCAAAAATTTCCGAGACCACATACTGTCAACGATTTTGAGCATCGGTCCGCAGCCATGCTTCGATTTGACAGGCTTGCCAGAGTCTCTCTTCCCTCGATAGCATCACGTAGCAAATCTTGGCTTGTTAAGCTATCTGGATTTTGAAGAACGAAAAAGAGCAAAGATAAAATGGCGAAGAAGGTCGTGTACATGGTGAACCAATAGGCACCAATTAACAGGCCTCTCTTCTTCATTTCAGCCGTGATATGAATTATGTTTCGAGAAACACTGACGCAGGCGGCGGCACAAGCAAAAGACCTCTTATCGACGGATTTTGTCTGGCTGGACTGGGAGACGTAGTGCAGGAAGGGTCGATAGAGCATCATCTGCACATGCGCATACGCCATTCGCAGAAGCTGCTGGGCGCTGTTGGTCCAATGTTAGTGTAATTCAAACGACTCGCTGCAAACGCATCGACTCACCGAGAAAGGTCGGCGGTTACCTCGCCACCCGGCCTCAATTGCACTGGAAGCCGCTCCATCCAGTCTTGCAAGTCTCGCTCGATCTCCCGGATTTTTGCATGAGAAATAAGATAAGTTTGGCTGGAGTGCTCTGCTTCATCGCATTGGGCGCTCTTTAGAGGATAAATATACTTGATAACTTTTGCAAGGATCGCAACAAGTTTACCATGGGCATTGTTGGCGGATATAAGGGAAAAGTGGCCCTCAGGAGTAGGTAGAATACCATCGCGGGTGATGTAATCATCCTCCACTTCCATGGGCATTTCCTGGTCGATATCCTCATCGTTGAGAGACTTCGGCAGACCTAGCGATGCGCTCACGTAGGTGTCCATTTTGCGAACGATCCAGAATACTCGCTTCCGAACCTCGCGTTCAATTGGATTGAACCTCATAGGGAGCGAACGATGCAGTCCCATACTGAGACATGACCGCAAGGCAATTCCAACGTAGGAATAGCATGTGCTCAGTCTAGCAGAAGCTTGAAGAAACATGACCATGACGACCACGGCCTGTAGCGATGTGATATCGCGACAATCGGTGATATCAATCATGGTTCGTCCAGCCTTGAAGTATTTAAAGCTATAACATGTCAGTCTGTTGCCTGTGGGGGTTCTACGGCTAGGAACGTGACGTACCCATGATCAATTGCAATCTCGTAGCCCTCACGATCCAGCGCACTCTGCTCAGTCTTTGCAAACAAGCAGCCGAGGGCTAGAATAACGTAGAGAAGGGGCAAGAAGCGGTTTTCCGCATTGGCAAAATTTTCAGGTGGGGTGCTGTAGATGCGGTCGACCATCTCATAAAAGGAAGGCTGATGGACGAGTCGCATAAGTGCACATGCGTCATCGAGCGCATTCGCGCAGAGCTGCATAGCGGTTTCTCGAGGAGGAAGCTCAGCCACATTGGGGATCCCGCTCTCCATGGGCGAATCCGCTGATCGTGGAGAGTCATACAGGGAACCGGTAAACGGCCGATAGTGCTCCCAAGGCCCCAGCGTAGCGGAGGGGAGGAGTTGGTCTCCAAATTGTCTTCGCAGCTTAGAGATGAAAGCAAGTCCAGAGCTATGACCATGATAATCCCATTTACCATCATCATCCAAATCCAACTGTCCCGTATTCTCCACCATTGATTCAAGCAGAGGGTCCTGGGCACCGTCCTGACCGACATTCGACCGTTGGCGGGATAATTCGACCCCATTAGTTTGCTTGCTCTGGGTATTCTGCTCGGGAGCCCGCGCCGCTGCAAGTTTCTGGGAAATGACCTGATCCAAATCCACACTGCCCAAATCCAAATCCGGCATCACGGCTTTCAGTATGGTCTCGGCACGATGAAGCCTTTGTTCAATAGCTTCGATATACTGCGGCGCAGGATTTCGGCGGCGGTTGGAAGGTTGGTCATAGGTACAATCTGGACACTCGATCAGAAAAAGGAAAAAGGAGGTGTACGCATTGCCCACCGCGGAAATCTGACTCACCATAGCTATATACCGTACAATGTGTGCATGGCTGTTTCCCGTCACATTTGATCTTCTTCCTTCGACATTCATCGCAGGCCCGGGTCACACGGCGTCGCTTCTGCGTGGGCTTGGGGGCCAAGGCAGCTTGACCTGGAGATTGAGCAGAATCATCTGGCGAGGTCGAATTCCCTTCGCCTCCATCGAGCGCCTGCTGATGTGACCACAGGCCGTTCCCTGTCCCGTTGGGGTCGTCTTCGGCCTGATCGGGCGAGGAATAGGAGGAATCCAGCCCCGGTTCCATCATGGCGCTTGAAAGTAGAAAGGTAGAACTGATGGATCGTCTGTGGTCAAGAAAGAAGGGACTGATACTTTAGGCACACAAGTGATTTCGGCAACGTCGGCGATTGAAGCACTCCAAAGAGAGTTAACAGTGAAACTCGTCTGCTTAGGGTGCGGAAGTGTTCCGATATTGACAATATCGCGTATAGAATGGACGAAGGTAAAAGGGATGCAAGGAGTAATGATCACGAGAAGGAAGAGCTGATGTACTCTCGTTGAGGCATTTAAGGGCTTTCTAGAATTTGAGTGTTTTCAGAGAATTGACTATCACGAAATGACTCTGCGTCAGGTTCGAGTGGGACACCCCAAGGGGAACAGCGGGACCAAGGGCAGGTCTGTGAAGAATTTACAAGCAGCTAAGAAATCTAGGAGGGCACGCCAGGTATATAGCTTCGCTGCTTAACCTGGGAACGGCGGTCCCGCTGTTGAGAGCAGTTAGTGAGGTAGGGAGGGGAAGGGTGGGCGCCATCTAAGAGCCTTTCCTTTGAGGGGAAAATAGAAGAACGATTGCAGAGTAGTAGCATCGTAATGGTGGGCTTGATAAGATTTTCCACTACCAACGTCCGTGGTTGACACTATTGACTACGTGACACTACTACCTCTCTCACCGCGAACAGGGGTCAGCCTGATAAAAATTGGGTGAGGGCAAGGGTCCTAGCTACAGAGAGTGACCGTTTCGATTCAGAGCTTGCGCATTGCCTTTGAAGATCCAAGGAACTTTCAGATCAGCGAGGGAGCAACGGTAAGGATGAATGACATTCGGAGTTGAGGGGCGAACGGGGAGGAGGGATCTGCGCGGATAGCGAGAGATGTGTGTGTGTGGGTGGTGGCTTGCAGCAAATGCGTATTGGCGCATGCGTGGGCCAGTGAGAAGAGTACAAGTACGGATGCAATACCTTTCCCCTTAGGCTACTCATCTTATGAGTATAGTTGGGCGCTTTTTTGTGCTGACGGAAATTTGGCCCCCTGGTTCGACAGGCGAATTTGACACAGAATTGGTTCAAAGTTTCCCCGTTCACGGAAATTTTCCTCCAAGGGACATCATCGTCATTATTAAAGTCTTATTTTTTTTTCCATCGCCACTACTCGATAGATCGCTTACCGTTGCTAACATATCGTTTGAGCATTGTTCCCATGGCTTTTCGCTAAGGGTCCAAATCGTCCATTAGGCAGTGCGCCCTAAGCATCTCTTTTCCCGCATGGAGGATGTATGGCGTCGGGCTCGTGGGGGGTTTAACTCAGCTGGAGAACGTCTTAGTCAGGCGTCAATGTTCTCGATGGCCACTTAGTCACACTCCCGGCCATTTCATCACTGGGGTCCGACCGACCATCAGTACCCGATACGGATCACAAATCGAAGTGCAAGGACCCATGGACCTTACGCACGAAGAGCAAGGGAAAGACTTCTTTAAACTTTCATTTGCGACTGTGTCATCTAGCACGCTTCTGACACGATACGAGTCCACGTTACTGATTTAAAAAAAGACATGCATTCCTGGGCGTCGAATACCATTGGCAAGTCAAAATGATGACCTGAGCACAAGGTGAACGTGGATGAGGTCATCGATGAGTTATTAATGAGGGCAAAAAATTCTGAAAAAGACATGCCAGAAGCAGCCGCTAGGGCAGAGCAGGGATACATGATGTCTAGCCGGAAACTGCCATGCTAAAAGATTCATGGCAGGGTGACTTCGATTGGATCGCACCTGTAAGAGCAAGTCAGACTCGTTTGCCGCCCTCAACATGCATGCTACACCATGTAATCCAAGGAACCTCCGAGTAACTTGCAGCCCTTCTATCCCTTCGCCACTTACCAGGTTTCCCTGAGAGCTCTGACAATGGCATGATCGTAAATCAAACAATCGCTTGCAAGTTACTCGCGTGAGAAAAAATCAATATTCCTCGTTTGATGACCATTTGTCCAGGTCATCATGATAGAGTCGGAAAATTCATCTACTCGGTAGTGCAACACCCAGTACGAGCAGGAGGATGGGTTGAAGAATGGTTGATGTGGATGAGCGCGGGATTAGACGAGGCCCGGAAGAGGGTCCTCCTTAGTTCCGTGGCGTCCAACCGGATTTTAGCCTCGGCCGACGGAATTCCGCCGCCGTCTCACTTGCTGCTCTCCCGGCTGACAGACGCTACATGAACACACTATCCGCTCACAGTAAGTGCTCCTTCTGCTCCTCCTCTTACTCTTGCTGCCTCTCAATTTTCGGGTTTTGAGTCCTCTTAGTAAGGCCTTCTGATTTGCCTCGGGACTGATTACTCGTCACCTCTCTTTCGCTGTGTTGCATCCTCGGTCTCGCGCGCCGCTCTTTTCCATCGACCGAAACGTCCGATACTGCCGAGGTCACCGCGGCATTTTCCCATGACAATCGACATCGAGCCTTTTCACGCCCATTATCTTCTCAAAGTCAAAAAAGAAGCTGTGCCGTTCCAGAATTTGTCAGCCAAATTGGGGAGAATACAATACGATGGACACATGTGTCATCGTCGACGGCACTGGAGGCCCCTTTGTGATTCTTACAGTTTACCCGATCGCGACGGAGACACCCGATGCTTTGCCGCATTTGTGGCTTATTATTGAAGGTAAACTATCATGGCGCTAAGCTAGTTCCCCGGCAGAAAATATGCAGGGTTGGCCGGTGCTTGACGGCCGACTTTGGGCACATCCTGACAAAGACTACAGTACCTACCTTACGTATGCACACTTAGTACAGGCAGTAAAACATTCAGCGGTCGTCCTAGATTACAATTCATCTCCCGAACTCTATTGGCTTCCATCCTTTGCTGCGAACAGGGCGCCGTTTCCCTCCAAAATCTTCGATCCCTTGCGAGGGTGACGTTTGCTTGCAACCATTAATTTAGCATCACCCACCCGCGCACCTCGTAGCCGCAAGACCAATACCTCAACTTAGTACAAAGATGCATGGCACACCAGGTCGGCAGCGGAGATGTTTTAACCGCGAAATGTCCGAGTGTTGGCAAGCTGGAATTTCTAGAGACTGACCGCCCGGGCCGGACACCGGTCCTGCGATGTTCGGCATGGTCGAATCACGCAAGCACCAGAGCCAGGAAAGCTTGACGACCCTGGTTCGAGCGCTAAAGCTTGTTCTGCAAGAGCCTTCAGACGTGGTCAGGCGTTTGGTACCTGTACAGAAAGGATACATGTCGGAGTAAGGTGTCCTACCAATATCAGCCCATTTAAGCTTCTCGATACTGCCCTAACCGGACGTATATCGATGACTTATCATTCTTACTGCATGTTTAAATCATTAGACTCGGAAGCCCCGTCAGCGTTATGTTATGTAACAAGGTTGACCTGAAAGCGTTATCCGGCCATCGTGCGCGTGCAGAGCTGACACACTGTCAATGGCTGTTGTCTATAATCCTGGCAGATGCAGCACTTTAAGCGTCTGTCAACCTTTCCACCGTGGGTCGTGGTTGATATCAACGATTTGGCGCCCTCCATGACAGCCTGAAGACCTTCCACGCGAGGAATGCTAGCCCCCCAGCTGCTGCATCAGGGGCAGCTGCTATCTCGCTACCCGACAGAGGGCTAAGGTAAATACTCCGTTGATAAAGATTGATGGAGCAGGACAAGGGGGTTTTGAAGGCTTAGATGAAGCTCTCAAACACGCGAAGGCGAGAGACCATCGTATCGAAATGGCACGGACGATTCAGCGTAGACACTTGCGGATGTTCACTCAAGCCATGATGGTCAACTACGCGGGGCAGCCCGCGCGCCGCCAGCAGATCACCAAGTTGTAAAGCTCTCTACCTAATTATGCCGGAGACATACGGAGTAGCGCCATTCAACCAAATACAGTAGTGGAGTAAGTTACAGCGTAGCCACTTTCGCCATACAACCGTCAGCGATTCCTTCCTAATTCACTCCCTGGCTATAAATATGAGGGTGGAGGTGAAACCATTAGAGCGGTCAATTCTGCGCGTTTAGCGACGATCGACAGGGCACTCCATGGAAGCACACCCATCACAGGCGTAATTGCCATCCCGCTGACCAGTTTTACAGAAATCTCAAATGAAGCATTTGTTGATTGTGGCTGGCAGCGACGATCGCAGTCACGTGCCGGGTAAATAATTTTCCCGCGGAAAGTGCTTAGGCGCCGATGGCGAAGATGGCTGATTCGTGGATATTGGAGAGAGATTTCCATCCGTTCTTCTTGCCACACAAGTGATCCTCTTTACTCATTTGCCTCCATCGACGTAAGATTAACATAACACTTGGTTTCATTGTCTAAGCGTTTCTTTTTTATCTCGCAAACAATGGGCAACAAAAGAAGTCGCATGGAACAACGGCCAAAACAATGATCAGATCAGAGTTTCAAATTGTCATGCAAGCAAACATTAAATACTTTCACCAAAATCTTAGTCTCCTGACATGCATAAGATTCATCGGAGTACTCTTGTTATTAGTTAATCGTTCATCCTTTACAAGGGTAATATTGGGCTGCGGTATACGTCAATTGGGAAGGCCCAATCTTTAATCTACTCCCGTAGTAATCCGGGTCTTCCCAGCTTCGCCATGTAAGAATACTCCCTAGGCCACATTTGGTGTCGAGATCCGATCTCCGCCGAAAAAGATATCCAAGGTTGGCAACCTTCGCGACCTAACTTATCGAATCGTCCAAAGTCCGGAATACTCCACGTGCAGTAGTCGTATATAGTTTAATAATTGAAGCGACCCAAGACCAGAGTTAAAGAATATCTCCTTTGCTGACTTCCTTGAATCACTTGGAATGGCTTCCAGGTGAATAGGTTGTGGGCGTGGCCGCAACGGGGAATTTGCAAATAAATGCACAGATTCAGGTAAGAAATACTAATCGGGGCAGGCTTCATTGTTGCAATAGGTCACAGACTGAGTGGGTTCTACACACGCACACACAGCGAGAGTACCTTTGTACGGTGTGCTTTCTTCTCTCTCTCTTCATCAACTTTGAGAGTTTGGCCGGTTGCGCCAACGGAGAGCAGACTAGGTAAAATGCAGACAAGCAGAGACTCGCTTGACGAGGGCGGATGGTCATCGACTTGACCAATTTGCCCTTTCCGTCCCTTCTTTTCACTCTTTTGTACGTGTGCCGAAACGACTGACAAGAAAACAGTACGTGTGGCTTCGTACCTTGAGGCTCATTTTGACTGTTTACATGCCCAAAGTACCTCCTCTACCTTATCTACTAAATTTTGATATGCTACACACAGATGTTTCCATTGTATCAATCGCATCCTGAACTCAGATGTTGAGTGCGTGTCTGCTTCTATATCATCTAGAGGTTGTCGCATCTGATCTATCTTAGGTGCCCTGCTGATTAGGCTGCTGGCTAAGCTGCTGACTGAAGAATTCATTATTTTTGTTTAGTCACGCGTGGAGGTTGTGAGGTGATGACGAAAACGATCAGGTACCTCTTGCCTGGCGCTGTGTGCTGAACATTCCCCATATCTGCCATGAGCAACAGAGATGTACCTCCGGACACATGTTCCCCCATCCTCATTGTGTGCCAAAGAGAGTTGTGTTGTGGTCATTATAGTGGTTGGCCAATGATAAGTGTCTGTCTGAAATTTCACCTCCGATTCCCCATCCAAAAAGGTCGTCATCTAGGTCGTGACAAATTTCCATTCTCGACCAGCATCGTCGGCATTCTCATCACTTTGATCGTTCAGAGTCTGTTGGAGACAACTCTTTTGTTCGCTCATACAATCCTCATTCATCCACCGCCCCTTCCTTGTCGTATTTCCCTCGCGCCGCATCTCGCGTGCGAACGCGTCTAAATTCCAACCCATTTGGACGAACCTAATCTAATCCAAATCCACTCCACCGCGCTCCTTCCAACTTGTTCTTCAACCCCATTCAACCGGATCCACCCTCGTCGCTCTTTACGACCGTCGCGATCCCTTCCGCTTTCTGACAACCCTCATTGAGCCTTCCCAAAACAATCACCATCGACAACGTCGCATCTTGTTCGGTCCACCTTTTGTCAGACAGCATCGCATCTCGGTGTTTCCGATCGGCGTTGGTTGAAGATTGTCTAGCAGGTATCGCACCTTCCCTCGTGACCAGTTTTGTTTGTCGCTCGACCTACTCGGTGTGCCTTGGTCATCGCGCATCGCTGTCGAATCGACTCTTCGTCGCTCCTTCCCATTTATTGTTTGTTTTGTTTGCCTTTTTCTGCGTTGCTGACATATATCGCCGCTCCTGCCTCTCTAGGCTGACAACATGCCGCCTTCCACGAATCGTCGAACGCGCGCGCGGCGCGAAACAGAATTGCAAGATGTTTCCGACCCAGAACTCCCCGACTCCTCCCCGTCTCGACCGGCTCGCAAGAAGAGAAGGGTAAGGAACTCGATCATGGTCGATGCTAACCCCCCAGCGTGGCAAAACGACCCAGTCTGCCCGAGTCGCTTGTGGCTAACCATCAATAAATAACAGACGCAAACTACCGAGAGACCCCAGATGGCTCCTTCCAATGGAGGGGTTGTACCGGCTTATGAAGATCAACTGCCGGTTGCTGAAGAAGAAGTCGAGACCAGCCAAGACCCGGTCGATACCATCATCCCATATCTTAGCGTCTGCAAGGACCGAGTGCAGGTCTCCATCGACCACGCCAACAGCATACTCGAGCGCGATTACAAGAACGGAGTGCAGGCGTATGCCAAGGTGGCAGGACGGGACTGGACTTACTACGTCAAAACGTTACGAGTAAACATTGGACGGCCACCCGACGGAGCAGCGCGCCTGGGATCGGAACAACCATCGCAACCCAGCCCCGGCTTGGGTCAGCAGGACGAGAATCTGATTCAAATCGATCTTGGGCCAAGCAAATTGGTCTCGAGATTGCATGCAGAGATCTTTTTCGACGCGACCGGAGCTGCATGTTGGCACATTATCGTCAATGGCCGGAACGGTGTCAAGGTGAATGAGACGGTATTAAAGAGAGGCCAGCAAATGAAGTTGAGCTGCGGTGATATTCTAGAAATCGCCGGAACTCAGATGATTTTCATCACGCCCGATGAGCAGCCACAAATTCATCCCAACTTCCTCAATCGCGCACGCTTATTGGCTGCAGAGGAGGAGGGAGCCCTTACCTCCGGACTCCCGCACGCTCACCCGGAGTCGTCCTACCATGGTCAACCAACCTCTGCACCGCAGCAGCCTCCAGCAAGCCGTAATGCCGGTTCCAGCCAGGTGCCTCTTGCGCCTGCGCCACCAGACTTCAAACGACAAAGCACCCCGGCGAGTTCTCGTGGAGTGGATTCGGACCACAAGTCCAAAGCTTCACCAGCTTATCATCGTGGCATGATGATGGAAAGTACCGAGGAAATCGATTACAGCGCGGACTCGGCCCGGGATCTGAAACCGCCATACAGCTATGCAACTATGATTGGACAGGCCATCTTGGCAAGTGAGGAGGAAAAGTTGACGTTGAATAGCATATATCAATGGATCATGGAAAAGTACGCCTTTTACCGGTATTCGCAGTCGGGCTGGCAGGTAAGTGTCTTTGGTCTTGATGAGTTTGATTGAAAGCGGCCCCAGCTTACTTGCGTTGGGCTAGAATTCAATTCGTCACAATCTCTCTCTCAATAAGTCATTCCAAAAGATTCCACGACGTACGGACGAACCCGGAAAGGGCATGAAATGGCAGATTGTGCCGGAGCACCGTGAGGAGTTTACCAAACGGGGCCAACGTGCTTCTGGCAAGGGAGGGAACCGCGGCTCCTCGGCGCCAAACTCGCCCGCTGCGAAAGAGACGGCCAGCTTCACCCCAGCAAACGCCAGCACCGCCGATCATGGAAGAAGCTTGGACGAGCCTCGGGAACCGGCGGCCGGTCCTAGCGGCCGGGTCAAGTATTCGCCTCGTTCGACCACGCCTCCTTTGAGTTCTTATCCCGTGGCCCCAAAAGAAGCTTATACGCCTGATCGGGGGTCTCGCCTACCGGCTATTCGACGTCAGGACAATGGGCCTCGCGGTGGCTTTGACGACAGTCCTGTTCCAGTCTCAAGAGAGAAGACTAATCCAATGGTTCACCCGTATGGTCTTTCCGACGCAGCGGCTGGTTCACCGCCGACGCTTTCTTCATCAGCTTACATGGACGAGAGTCAGCCAATGATTACCCCTGCGCCGCGGCGGCAACATCCACGCCTTGCGCCCCCATCGACAGCCCAGGTGCCGTCCACGTATATGCCGACCAGCTCCCCGGCACCGTTTTGGAAGTATGTCGACCTCGGTAGCACTCCTGCCAAACCCATGCCAGATCTGAGTCCGACCAAGAGCGTAGGTCCCACGGTTCCGCAGAGCAGTAGTCCGCCCCCAGCAATCGACCGCGACGATGTAGCGAGCCCGTCAAATGTCGGCAGACGCTTTTCAATCGACCGATCCGCCGCTGCAGACAAGGATAAGAGGAGCGAAAATGGTGCTGCCGCCGCCGCCAGTGGCAGTCAGCGCGAGGGGCCAGAAAACGAGCCTGAAGAAGAGATGCAGGGGTTTGATCTGGCGAGGTAAGAAAATCGCCCATACGCCTCTTTCCCCCCCCCCCCCTTTTTTCCCCCTTCTTTTTTTTTTTTTTCCTGAGGTCTCGCGATGGGATCAGACCGTTTCTAACTTTTCTGGCCTGTCGTCTGTAGAGGCTTCCAACCAATCGGTTCCTTTCATAAGAACATGACCAATGGCGTCGGAGGAGCTTGAATGTTGCATAGGGGCCCACTTGTTTTTAAAAAGTTCTCCAAATTAGCCCGCCTCCGCCTCAAGAGACGAACGCAGGAACGGGAAAAGAATGACTTGTACAACTAATCATTGATCTACACATGGTTGTTATGCGCATTAATGCTGTTACTCTTTGTCCGTCACGGGAAATGTGTCACATTTTTTTTTGTTTCTCTTTTTATCTAATTTTTATATCTTTTGTCGTTTTTTATCTTATATCTCATGTCGTCATGTTTTTCTACCCTAGTCAATGGTGGTTTTTTTCATCTTTTACCTTTTTTTTAAGTTGATTCTTCTGTCCCTTTGCCTTCGCCTTTGCTTTTTCCTTTTTTTTTTTCTTTTTTCTTATCGGTGTTACCCCTTAAGTTTGTTTTCGATTCAAACGTAATACCTTTTTTTTTTCTCTTCTCCTTTCTCTTTATTCATTCTAATTCATCTCGCTTTCTCTAAGTCCTACCCCTTGGCCATGCTTTTACTAACAGTAACTCTACGTATGTGATCATGTTTTGTTTTATTTCGTTTTACCTCTCTACTTTTCTTTTCTTTTCTTTACCCTTTTCTCCCCCACCCCCTTTACTTTACTTTTTTTATTTTTATTTTCACAAGGTTACCTTTTTTTCCTGCACTTTTCTTTTCTCGTCTTGGTTTTCAAGGTTAAAAGGTTTGACGACGTATTTGACGTGCCGAGGTTCCAAGGTTCCAAGGTTCCGATTGTTTTTCCCGCTTATGAGGAAATGTAAAATTATGCTGCTATCATTACTATTATTATTATTATTAGTATTATTATTCTATGCTCTCTTTCTTTTATTCCCGCTCAACTTCGGTGGTCTATTGGTCGAAAAGTCCAACAGTCTAGCAGTCTAGCCGGTGAACGGGTCAACGGGTCAACGGATCGACAGACATGTGTTGAAGCTTGAAGCTCTTGGGATTCAAATCATCAATTTATATCTTTTTCTTTAATCTAATTTCATCCAATTTAAAAAAAGAAAAGGATGGGAAAGGATGGGAAAGGATGGGAAAGGATTTAAAGGTGTAATGGATTAAATAAAAAGACGCTGCTATGAAAACTGAGACTAGAGGCCCGTTGAAAATGTATAAGCTAAGCGTAAAAAAAAGAAAAGGGTGATAATGTCATGGTACTGTGCCTTTCCTCGCCGCTTCCTTCCCTCTCCCTATTCCCACCCTCGGCACGAAGAAGAGGAGAGGAGAAGAAGAAGATCAAGAAGAAGAAAAATAAAACGAAAAAGAAAATAAAAAGGAAAATAAAAAAGAAAATAGAAAAGTTAAAGCTGTCTACTAGTTCTCTCAAACGCCACTCATGAGTTAAAATGAAAAGCCCATCTTGAACTTCCAAGTAACCTTTTTCGTGAATAACATGATCGTTCAAGTTGGCTGGGGGTCTGGGGGATAAGTTTCCGGTTTGATGGAAACGCCGCCGCCAGTACCACCAGTACTAATACCACCAGTACTAATACCACCAGTACTATTACCACCAGTACTATTACCACCAGTACTATTACCACCAGTACTATTACTACCACGACCAAAACGACCACCGCCCCCTCCTCCTCCAAGAACAACACCACCACCAACTTCATCCACATCACTCCATCCTTCACCATCATCCCAAATCTTCTCCGCAGCAACTTTCAACGCTTCTCTTGCCTTTTCAAGACGCTCTTCTTTCATGGCTTCTTTCGAGAGCGGAGTCAGAGCGCGAATCGAAAGCCAAAGCATGGCTTGCAGCGTATACGTCGCGTCGTTGCCGGCATTATGGAAATTCCATCCGACAAAGTCCAAGTCATAAAAGATAGTAGCAAGCGAGCGTGTCGTGCTATCGCGTTTCCAGGCTCGATATAGGTTTGCAGTATCAATGACTTGGATCAGGTTGGAGAGATTGTGTGGATTGTAGCCGATTTTCTGGAGGTATCCGACGTCAATTGAGACGTCGTGGCCGACGAGAACGATATTGCGAGGTTCTGCGTTTGCTTCGTCTTCCGGTTCCTCTTCTTCTTGGTCCCCTATTTCATCTGCTTCTGGACTGTTCTCGTCGTTGATGCAAACCTCGGCGACGTCTTCGCCAAGGGCTTCGACAGTAGATCGTTCCGTCGTGGTTTTGCCTTGCTCGAGGTCTTCAGTCCCTTGATAATCTTCAGTAATGTCGTCACTCGCGTCGACCGCGTGAGATTCCTCCTCATCGTCAACAGAGGAGTTGTCAGAAGAGTCCAAACTAGAAAGATTTGGCGCAGAAAATGGCGGGCGAAAACAAGACGCGACCACCTGCGGTGCATCCCTAAGTGTGACCCATTCGCTCTTGCCGAATTCGAACTTGTCCGCGCAACCATCCACAAAATCTTTATTCTGAAGATGGGAGTTATCAGAGACGCGAAAGTGTCGAGACCGAATCTTTGAGATCCAGTTTCTACCAGATTCTCCGGGGCATGTGCCAATGAGGTCATTAGTATCAAGAGTAGCAACTCCAATCTCGGTCACAATGTTGTGATTGCGCTCAAAGGCTTCAACGTCAACGCAAACAAACACGACGGACTTGTCAAACGGAAATGGCGCAGAGCATTCCGTGTCCAATTGCTTGGTGTTCTCACCGGGAACACTGTGCTCTTGATCCTGTTGCGTGTCCTCCCAGAGCTGATCATCGTCAGAAGGAGGATGTGCTTCGGCAACGGCGGATTGCTCTGGTCGAAGACCTAAGAAGCGCTGAGCCTTTTTCAATTCTTTTACCCAGCCTTGCTGGCGATCTATGCGCTGGGTTCTTTTCTTTGCTTTTGAAGCTTTATTTCTGTTCCTTGCAATCTCTAGTGCAAGTTCGACCTTTTTCTTAAAGGCGTTGAGCGATTTATCCGTCGGTTGACCAGCCTCGGACACTTTTTCATGGTCTGGCTTGAATGAGATGGACGGAATGTTGCGCTCTAGTTCTTTGAACGCTGCTTGGGTATTACACTGTCCCAGGAACCGCGGCCGCGGAACGTGCTCTTCGGAAAAACTCATCTCGAAACCACTTTCAACGGAGTTTGCTGGAAACCCGAGTTTGCAGCCGAACGTCTTGTTGATCTCATCAAGTAAATCGTAGACTTGTTCTGCCAGCACAAAAAGCAACGGCTTGGTAGAGAGACTATAGGGGGCGTGGAGGTAATATCTGTTTGCCAAACGGTTAGCTTTGGAAGAGGGGTGTGGCATATTCACGTAGTTCGTGTAGATATTGAATCGTGGATAGACGCAGCTTGCCGCAGCGTTTTGCTCGGAAAATTATATTGGGGGAATCAGGTCTGGGAATTCGGAGTGGGAAATTTGGACCAAGGAATTATTCTTCACAAAATGTGAATGGCATGCTCCAGGTGCGCTTACACGTCCCAATTCCTTTCATAGAACTTTCCGCCAGCAAAGAATTTTCGTGCTATTGCCTCCTCCGCTTCTTTGTTGACATAGCGGTATGGATATTTGGCGACAGCCTGTATCGGACAAAACACTTGTTCTGGCAAGGCGAGCTGGCCAATTCTGCTATCGAGCTCTATGAAGCCTGAAGTAGTAGCATCTGCCCCGGCATTTGGAGATACGAGTCGTGTAACGTCCCTCTCTTTGTGCAGCTGATTATGCTTATGATTAGGTGACTTGGGTCGTCGTTGGCGATGTACAGTCCTTGGTCCCTCATCTGAGGAGTCGTACGCCGGAACAATGTTGTCGTCACGGTACTCTTCGCCATGAAACATGTCGTAATCGGTAGGTTGGAAGACTAGGTTGGTTCCTTCTTGAGCTGTTCCCACCGCAGTTGAGGTTATCTCCTCTTCCACAATCCCTTCTTCCAAGACTGGATCGTTGCCAATGGGCAGATCGTCCTCTCCCATTAGCATTTTGAGCCTATCCAGCTTGGTCAAAGCCATTGTCGGTATCGTTGATAATTAGATGAAGCAAGAGGGCAAAATTGGGCATAAAATAGCGCAGATTATGAAAAACAAATCGATCTAACAGCGCAAGGCTCCTAATTGAAGAGACGTGGGATTTTGTCTTGTCTTGGATTTACTTTGGATATTCACAAAATCGTAAATACCCGACTGCCCGTTCCTTCTGTTTGCTGCATCACGTGCCGTATTCACTTGGAGATCTTTTAAAAAGTTTGGTGGATAGAGATATCGAACCATCGGGCTCCGTTCTACATAAATGCATAGAGAATATAAAACGAGCTCTCGAATAATCTCAGCATGCTATTCATGGAGGGGCAAGCTCGGAGTCGTGATTCCAAAACATTCAAAGTCTGGGAGTACACCGTAAATTGATTGTTTTTACCAGGGTTCCGTATGATATTCGTGTAAACGTAATTGCAGTATATTCATTGAGCCGTGTCAGTCACTGACTCCAATATCTCATCTCCAGATTCATCTTCATCTTCTGTCGGATGATGGTTAATTGTTGTCCACGAGAGTGAAGTCGGGTGTGTACTCGCTTATATTACCTGATTAGGATGCATGTGATGGCGACCCTGAAACTCCCAACTCCACCCGTTGAACGACAAGGAGCTACTTCAGAGCTTCGATTACAAACATTTCTCCGCCTTGCTCCTCTGTACACTTACAATCATACGTTGAGGAGTGTTTTTCATATGATGAAACTTCGGCGACTTTGCTAGTGGAGGAATCTCGCGTGTTGTCACTGTTCATCGAGGCTGAGACGCGATGGCGTCAATATCGGACGCGTTGAGCGAGATCGCGCTTCAACCGCCTTCGGATCCTGATGCGCAGGCTACTGTCACTGACTTTTTGGATTACACCGAATACCTCCCTTCGGACCTGATTCGATCCTTGACTTTGATTCGAAAACTCGACGACTCATATCTCTCTTCGACTGCTGAGGTCCACTCTCTCACCAAGGTCTATGGATCACTTCTCGATACTCCCTCCGACACGCGCCCAGATCCGCAGACCCTACGGACATCAATCTCACAGAACCTAAATCATGCGGTAAATGCTCGCGAATCGGCCTACGCAGAGTCGTCGAGATTGTACGATGTTGTTGATCGGCACTACAATCGTCTCACCAGCATTATCGCCAAACTGCATTCGCTCCCCAAGCCACCATCACGGGATCCCACACCGGTTCCACAGCCAGTTTCCCCTCGGACCCAACGTTTGCGGGCTGGACCCGGGCGCAAGGCAGATGGCGAAGCTACTCCGCCACCACGCATTACACTACGACTGGATGGTGCCAGGGTAACCGGATCAAGCCGGCCTCCAGGATCTGCAGGACGGCAAAAACAAAAGCATAAAAAGGTCACAGTTCCAGGCGAAGTACTTCCTCCAAGGAATCCAAACTCGCCGCCATCAAGTACGGATTCGGAATGGGAATCCGAACCCCCTTCCCCGGTTCCAATTGCTACTTCTCGTGTAGGAGCCACTCCACTGCGGACCAACAAACCAGGAAAACCATCACTGCGCGTTAAACTTTCCAAGCCACAAAAGCTTCCAAAGATCAAACCGCCAAAGACTCCTCGGCCTCCTAGACCTCCCGGAATGATGGGTACAAATGTTCACTCCAGCGTAGCAGGAATATCGTCAAGCAACGCACTGGCCTTACTCAAGCCTCCTCCGGAGAACGCCATTCCTGGCAGCACCGACGCGCCGTGGATGCGTCTGACCCCTTGGGAAATGGCCAAACTTCGCAAGCGTATGAAGAAGAACGCGATCTGGTCACCCAGCGAGACAATGATTCGTCGAGAGCTGGCTGAGCGCGGCCGTGGACCTGAGAATAGGCGTCTCGCCCAAGAGAGGGCTGCAGCCACTGGCGAGCCATTCGTCGATGAGTTGCTGGATGAAGAAGTGACTGGCGAAGACGGTCACCGGGTGCTTGCGCCTGGTGAAATCAGCGCAGGAGTCGGGGCTACCGACCTGCAACTCAGCAATAGAGGCATGAAACTCAACGAAGCCAAGAAACTCAAGAAAGAAATCCTGGCTCGGGAACAGGCCGCGCTTGCGGCAGCGGAAGCCGAACAGGCTGCTCAGAGGTTAGCAGAGGCCGGAAGCGCGTTTAAAGACCTCTTTAAACAACCAGCTGACAAAGCTAGTGGTAGTAGCAGAATCAGTGCTGGTGGGGTTACTGGGAAAGGAAAGGAAAAGGGGGGTATCAAGGGCAAGACTATCAGTGTGGATCACCTGGCCAAAGTGCCCATTCTTCAACCTGAAAATGGTGTCATGGTCGGAGAGGAAGACGAAGAAGAAGAAGAAGAAGAAGAAGAGGAAGAGGAAGACGAGGAGGGAGAAGAAGCGGAAGTAGATGAACTGGCAGCCGAGGACGAGGTCAAAAAGTTCGAAGATGTTGCAAAAGCTGCTGCTGCTGATGAGGGCACGGTTTCTGTTTCCGTACCAGATGAAACTGTCAAGGTACTACGAAAGAGAAAACGGCCTGGCAGCCCGGAAATTATCCTGGAAAGTGCATCACCAGCTGTAGCCACCGCCGCTGCTTCCAGCACCACTGCATCTCCCACAGTTGTTGCTGCCGCCGCAGAGGTTATTAGCCCCAAGCGACTACGAAGCAACGCTCCAGCACCCATCTCCACCACAACCATAACCGTTCCTCTGACCACCCGCCCCTCCTCATCCCGAGCATCAACTTCCGCGCTCTCTTCCCCCACAGATATCAGGAAAATCACCGCAGCCTCGTCCAAGCCGCGCCGCACATCAGTCGCACCTCGCGCTGGATCCGCCGAAGCAGCCATGGCCCCCTCCCGCTCGCGATCCACAGCACACACATCTGCCGAACCCCCGGCTACCCGCGAACACCTCCGACGCGGCAGCAACGCGAGCCTCCCAACGCCCTCGGCAGATGGCGCGGCCCCCAGTACCCGCCCCGCCACGCGCCGCAGCAAACGACCCGCTCCTGGCCCCGTGACGTCCAGCGCAGAAGGCGGAACCGCAGTCAGTGTCGGCAAACGTAAAGCCGCGCCGAAGAAGAAAGCTGCTGCTGCTGCCGAGGCAAAGAAGAAGGGCGGTGCTGGCGGTGCCGGCGCCGAGGAAAAGCCCGGCGATGCCATGGACTTTGCCGAAGAAATTGATCCCGATGAGCCGAGATATTGTCTCTGCGGAGACGTCAGTTTTGGCACTATGATTTGCTGCGAGAATAATGATGTGGGTTTATCACTTTCTTCATTTGTTCTTTTATCTCCCTTTTCTTCATTTTGTTCTTTATATCCTGTCTCTTCATTTTGTTCTTTATATCCTTTCTCTTCATTCTGTCTTTATTTCTATTCTCTAAATCAGTACCTTGATCCTTTATCCTCTCGTCATAGCTCCCTTGCACACCTCGATTTACTAGTATTTTTGCTAATACACTCTTCCAAACTGATAGTGCGAACGCGAGTGGTTCCACCTCGAATGCGTCGGCCTCAACGAACCGCCCGGCCGCACAACGAAATGGTATTGCCCGGATTGTCGCAAAAAGCTGGGTATCGGCGAAAAGGGCCAGCCCAGCGCGAGTCGCAAGAAGAAGTAGCCCGGCCTTTTACATTTTTACCACATTCTTGTTTTCGTCCTTTTTCACTCAATTTCAATCACGTCCTTTTCAAGTCTGTTGTAGCATTCGAAAACGTTGCTGGGCGTGTCATTTTATTTAGCCTTCTTTGATTTTTACCTCATCTTATGCTAGGGGGAACGCCTGGCAATTACGGAACACACTCATTGCTTGAGAGTAGAGTGGATTGGACAGGACTGGACGGGACATGGCAGGACACGACAGGACTGCATGGCGTTAAGGGAACTACTGTCTTTATAATATCCTTGCCGCGTAATATCCTTGCACATTTCTCATGCGGGCGATTGTCTTCATTTTACTATTTATTCGCGGCGAGACCCTTGTTTTGTTTTTCGGGATGGGTTTACTTGCTTGCTTGCTTTCTTCATTGGGTTTCTTCACTGGCTCCGACAGATCGTATCGATTTGTAGGAGTGGATATTACTTGCTAATGCTAATCGAGCTCTCCGAATGAATGAAAGACTTTTTAAATCATTCCTTTAGATGTAACTGAAATGCGCTGATATTGCTCACGCTCATGGTCACGGCTCAGGTTGGGAAAATATGAAGCTGCGTAGGGATTGTTAAGCGTGTGGGTCATGATGGAGGAGTGGTGGTAGGGTATTGAAGCACGGATGGACATGTTACCGACATCTTGAGATTAAGTTTTTGTTCGATATCATGGTTAAAGCCTGGGGGTTATCTCGAGGTATAAAACTGGATTGAAGTCAGTTCTGTGACCCTTGTATCTTGTAATACTATTGTCTTGCATGGTTTTCTCGGCGGAATCGTGGACAAAAGAAGGGACTCGAAATGGCATAATAGAGATGTGACCGACCAAAAAAAAAGGAAAAGGGGAGAAGGAGGAAAAAGGAAAACTTGTGATGATTGAGACATAGGAGAGAACTTGAGACAAGGGAAATAAAACGATACAAACTCTAATAAATGATAGAAACTCACCTGAGCAGCTTCCTCCTCCGAGACCTCCGACCTTGACGACAGCTTCTTATCAACAAGGCCGACCCTATTCCTGCGAATCTCCCACCACATGTCTCGTCTATCTCCGCCAAGGTCTCCCTTGAGCAGCTTATTCTTGAGACTGCGCACAAAGTCATTATACAGCGTGGGTTCTTCCAGCGCGGTCAGCTCTTCGCGCATGGCATTCAGCGCTTCAATCGCCCGCCCGTAGCCGCTATCGCCCACACTATGGCGTATCAGGTTTTCAATGATGACGCTCATTTGCTTTGACGCGTCTTGAATGGCGCCTAGGTCCTCTGTAGTTTCGAGCATTTGCTTGAATTCGGGAACGGCATTCTCGGGCGAGATCTTGGTGCGCTTTTCGCGGCCCAGAAGCTCGTCGACGTCTAGGCCCGATAAGGGTTTGGTGCGGTCTCGTGCGCGTTTGCGGCCTTTTTGTCGCGGTGAGACTTTATTGCAAATTGTACAATGTTAGGTAATTATATAAAATAAGACTTTGGAAACGGAATGTGGAAGTTTGACTCACCCTTCTTGACATCTGCAATCTTGATCAAGTCTCGCAGAGGGTCACTGGCCTGTTCGACAAGGTCATCGGGAGGTCTGGAAAACCGAGTGAGAATCTCGTAGGGCGGTGGGATGGGTTCAGCTGGGTGAACGGCTCTCCAGCGAACGCATTGGTCGATGCGATGTAAAACGGGGGAGAAGGTGTCTTCGATTGGCATAAACTCTGCTGGGTTTCTACACGGACTGTTAGAGAGCCGTGCGGAAAGTCCCTGAATGATGTAAAAGGAAAGGCTTACCCCTCGTCATCTCGGCCAAAGGTGGAGAGGTCCATGCTGTCGACATAAGTGTCCATGGCATCCTGGAGCTCGCGAGTGGGAATGTTACGGTGCTCGGTAAGAACTTTTCCAGATACTGTTTGTACTCGGTCGAGCGGTGGAAACCGATAGCTTCGGACATCTTCTGCAAAGGGAAGCTGGACATCTAGCAGACACTCGTAGTCCGCCTCGATCGATGGAGCCAAAAGGACAATCAGGGGCGATTTGTCGTCCTTTGTGACCAGCCTCGCCACGGCATAGGATTCGAGCTCCCATAATGCATGTATGAGCGATGACAAGGCCATTTGGGCTTTATCATTTGTTCTCTGCGCAATGACAATGCATGTTGTTGACATGTGCATATATCGTTCGTACTATTATCTTGTGAGATATTTCGCGCTGCAGCATGTTGTACTTGCGATCTTGTACGATACGATACATACCTTATCCTTTGGCACAAATCCGATGATATCAAAGCTTGCCATTGTTTCCAGTTTTGTAATGTTTTCATCAGTCTCGCTGATATGGACTGCTGTTCTGCCATACTCGTAGCCCTTGGCCAAGTCATCCCGGTCGACATCACGTTTGCCGCCTGGCGCTTCAGAGTCCTCGATCTGATAGGTACGAGCATTTCTAACACTAGTCAAAGCCGCTTGACCAGCAGACGGGCCAAGATCTGAGCTGCCAGCCATCGTCGCCGACGATTGTATGCTTGCGTCCCCATCAGCTGGATTTGAGGCTGTAACAAATTGGCTCGCGCTGGGTGGCTTGGCAACCATTGTTCGCGGGTAACGCTCTACGTCTATGCTCATTGCTGAATCGTATTTTTCTGGGTCTCCTAATGTCAATTGCCCCTTGTAGGACGGGACTGGTCGAACAGACTTGATGCGGGGAATGCCCAGTTCGTCGACTGCCTGCTGAAGTGTGCCAAACACGCCATCGCACGTTTCAGTCAGAGACTTGAGAGTTTCTTCATTTTGAGCCTGTGTTGTGTCAGTAATATATCCCGGCTAGCAAGAGAAAGATGGAGATTGCACATACCTTTCTGGGGTCTTTGTCCTCTTCTTTGACGCCGTATTCTGGATCATCAAAGTCAACACCGCTATAACAAGTCAATACTTTGTAAAACTTTGAGGCGCCAGAGCAGTTGGTACTCACAGAATCACAAGCTCAATATTATCTTCGTTTATCTTCTTCGTAATTTCATCGATGTCCTCAGTCTCCATGGATCCACGAGCATCTGTGAGAAGGATAATTTTCCGCCGATATTTTAACTTTTTGCAATACGTGCTAATCATCTGAATCGCAATCACCAAAGCAGAAATGGCTGCCAGTCATCAGCTCAATGTAATCTTCCTTGTAGGTAGACCAAAGAATCACCATCTCCGGAATTAGTACTGCTCGGAACAAGAGCACTCCGTAAGGATCTCAAATCTGGCATTAATATCCTATAAAAATGTTTGTCAGGTGGTTGGCTAATAATCGTAGCCGCAGCAAAGACAATATATTTTTCCACATACTGGCTGATTGGCTGAATCACAGAGATATGAGCATATCCCTCTTCAGAATCCAGTTCATTTGTTGTGTCTACACAATTAGCCAACATTCTTTACAAGCCTAAGGTAAAGTAAACCACCTACCATCCGTTCTGAGGCCAACCACGCCCAGCGTAGCCGTTTTCCGGCCCGTTGCAACCTATAAAATAGAATGTTATAAAAATGTAAAATATTCTACTTGAATACATTGGAACATACTGTACTCGTGATCTTGTCCCAGACGTAGCGCAGCGCCCAATCAAGATCCGTCTCGGAGCGGCCATGGTGGCGCTCGCCCATGGAGGCCCCAACATCGACAATGTAAACAGTTGCTTCTTTATCGGCCATGGTGAGCATCAGTCAAGATAACCCATTTTGAAGAGTAAATGAATTTTTTTGATCAAGCTGCCCCTCAAATAACTCAATGAACAACAGCCCTGTTACACCCAGCAGGCAGACGCGGTGGAGAGAGCCAGCGCCCACGCGAAACACGCGATCATGTGATTGCAATGTCATGAATGGTGACTTCACCTTTGCCAGAGCTAACTCTACCTTTATACCATAGACAATTGTATATATTCTGATCCTCTTCCTTATTCCTTTAAATTCCTATAGATTCTATCTTAATATCCCTTCCTTTTCTTTGAAGTGAGAGTCCAATAATTAACATTGGCAACATGTCCAGCTTTACTTCTCCCGCCCCATACCATATCCTAAGGTACGTCAATACTGCCCACAGAAATACTCATACAGATGTAAATCTGTATTATATCAAGTTGTCAACTACAGACTAACAGACTCAAATAGTTATGGCACTCTTCTCGGCACCTCTGTATTTCAGGTACATTCCCGTTTCTGCCCATGTTCAAAGAGCCCGGTCCCTTTTATGATACCTTTTTTAAAGTTATCTCAACATTGAAAGCACTAAAAGCTAACAAGCACAGTCCTTTGTCGGAGGCATTGTCGCCTTCAAGGTGCTCCCGCGCCCCCAGTTTTCTACTCTCCAGCGACACACGTTCCCCATTTACTTTTCCATGCAGACTGTGCTTCCTGTCATTCTCGCCTTGACGTATCCCGGGGAGCGATCTCTCCTGGATCCGTCGGTGACGTCGGGCTCTAGCCTGTCCGGCGTGTTGGCGGAGCAGAACCGCATTGGCGTCCTTGCTCCTCTGGCTACCATGTTTGTCACTGGCCTGGTCAATCTTGTATTTCTCATGCCCAGAGCGCATCAGACTATGCGCGAGCGTGCTCACCAGGGTAAGCCTTTGCTTTTTCCCCTTTTCTTTTCTCTCTTTTTTCCCTTCCCGTTTCTTCTTTTGAGAACAACACCTTATTGCAAAGAAGACTCCTCTCCTTGCCCATCCTTTGCAATATACTCTTCTTTAGAGACTATAAACCATCCCCGGATCCCCGTGTACTAATATTAACTACAATCAGGCACCATCGACGGCAAGCAGAGCTACGACAAGGGCCCGCACTCGCCGCGCATGACGCAGCTGAACAAGCGCTTTGGCAAGATCCACGGCGCCTCCACGCTGCTCAATCTCGCAGGTCTCGTCGCGACGGTGTGCTACGGCTTTACCCTTTCTGGTCGGTTGTATTAGCTGCGGCCCGTTAATGCTTGTACATGAGTCCTTAGTTCTTACCCACGTAATTTAATTGTATATTTATCGTGTTGGACGTGGGTCTTGTGTATTGTATATTCATCTTTGTACATTAGTTCATACCTTAGGTACCTAGTGTTGTGTAGTGTATGTTTCTCTGCGTACCTTAGACATGTTTCGCACAATCTGTAAAATCTCCTTATTGTCCTATCGTACTGTTATGCTATTGTCCTGATCCTATTGTCCTGTCCTGGTCCTGTCCTATATCCTGATCCTGTATCCTAAATGTCATCAACTTATTCAGAGAATGCCGAGGCTCGAATTAAGCCGTCAAACAAGAATATTGTAGACTATTGTATAGACCATTGGATAGAAAATAGTATACTTATTGAACAACTTATTGCTTATTGTACTAACACCGTCGCAGATTCAATGCACGGATCGAAAATATATGGGTAAAAGAAGTATGAGCAGCGATGAATGGGAGTGGTGAATAGGAATATACACCAATGAATGCCACAAAGCAACAATATCACGAATAAGACCAATTCAAATGTAAATATACAAGTGGTTATCCAGATCATACAATATACATTTGCAGATTCAATACTCAGTCGCATCTGCCCTTCAGGCCTCAACACCATCACTTCTTCTCCTCATAAAACCCCTCGGCGCTTCGAATGGGAGGAGATTGAACGCCGCGCCGAATCTCAGAACCCCTTTCCCTTCCACATCTCAATCCCCAACTCCAACTCTAACGCCAATGTCAACTAACCTTAAGGATCCACGGATGAGACCGATTTAAACTACCACAGAAACTACCACAGGAAATGGTCCTCGACTTTCTGGTTTCCCTCGCGCTGGTCGCGTTCTTGTTTGCGCTACTCGGTAGGCGCTTGGCAGAGGCGGAGGCGGAGTTGCAGGCGCAGAAACGGCTTGCTGGTCTTGCTGATCGTGCTGGTAACGATCAGGAGCAGGAGTTAAGGTCGTTGCTGTCGTCATCCGCAAGAGAACGGCGGATAGAGTCTCTGCGTCGACAGGCGAGCCTGTTGACTAGGATGATTGACTGCCTGGAGCAGTCTATCTTTTCTGTCCCCTCGGTGCCTGTCCCTCTTGTCCCCCCAGTTCCCCCAGTTCCTTCGGTCCCTGTGCCTGAGCCCGAGCCTGAGCCCGTGCCCGTGCCTCAGCGCCAGAACCTCTCGTTTGCCCCTATCATGGGCGTAGTAGATATTGCGCCAGAACCTGCGCCAGAGCTCGCGCCTGTGCCTGTGCTGGAGCAAGAACTGGAGCAGGAGCCTGAGCCTGAGCCTGAGCCTGAGCCTGAGCCTGAGCATGACCCGGCTGGTCCGGTTCAAGCTCGGACTCCGGCTCCGGCTCCGTGCGAAATCCAACTCTTCACGGTAGCTGAGTTTGCCCCGGTACCGGTTGCCCCTCCCGTTGCCCCTCCCGTTGCCCCTCCCGTTGCCCCTCCCGTTGCCCCTCCCGTTGCGCCTCTGGAGGAGGAAAAAGTAAAGGAGGAAGAAGAAGAGGTGGTGGAAGAGAGTGAGCCGGGAAACGGGTAAGTAAAACGGAAACGATCCCCCTCTCCCTTCTCCCCAAAAGAGAGAGAGATAGAGAGATAGAGAAGAGATGAGGAAGCACGGATTTAAGGATTTGAGGATTCGAGGATAAGAAATGCTAACAGCATCGACTAAGCAGGTCCATCCCGGTCCCGCTCCCTGCGGCCGTTTGTTCACCTGTCGCTGGCTCGCCGCCGCCGCCGCTGTCGCCTTGTCCCTCTGGCGTTCCTCTGCCTGTTTCTCCTCCTGTGTCTCCACCGCCTTCTCCGTCTGCTGTTCCTTTGCCTGCCTCTCCGCCGCCTTCTCCGTCTGTGGTCCCTCTACCTGCCTCTCCGCCAGCTCTTGCGTCTCCGTCCCCGCCTGCCGTTGTCGCAATCGCCAACGATCCCGATACCCCACTGGATAACGGCAAGAAGAAGCGGCGGCGGCGGCGGCAAAAGAAAAAGAAGAAGAACCCGGCCGGGGCTGACGAGGGGTAAGTAAATTCAACATATAAGACAAACTTCATACATATAAAGGCAAACGTCAGATATATAAAGACAAAAATCATACGTTTAAGGAAAGACAAGATCATAAAAGTGCTGACAAGCTAGTAGCAAGGAATCTACCCCGATTACCACTACCACGTCCCTGGCCCCTCTGGCCGTTTGTTCGCCTGTCGCTGGCTCGCCGCCGCCACCACCGCCACTGCTTTCTCCGTGTGCCATTCCTTTGCCTGCGTCTCCTCCTGTCACTCCGCCACTATCTCCATCTGCCATCCCTCTGCCTGCGTCTCCTCCTGCCTCTCCGCCTGCTCTTACATCTCCGCCTGCTGTCGTCGGAACAGCCGCCGCCGATGCCGTTGCCGATACCCCACTGGACAACGGCAAGAAGAAGCGGCGGCGGCAAAAGAAAAAGAAGAACCCGGCCGGAGCTGACGAAGGGTAAGTAAAGTCAACATATAAGACAAACTTCATACATAAAAGACAAAAGTCGGATATATAAAGACAGTAAAAGTCATACGTTCAAGGAAAGACATAAAAAGCGCTGACAAGCTAATAGCAAGGAATCTACCCCGATTACCGCTACCGCGTCCCCGGCCCCTCTGGCCGTTTGTTCGCCTGTCGCTGGCTCGCCGCCGCCGCTTTCTCCATCTGCCGTTCCTCTGCCTGCCTCTCCACCGCCTTCTCCGTCTGCTGTTCCTTTACCTGCGTCCCCGTCTGTGGTCTCTCTGCCTATGTCTCCGCCTGCTGTCGTCGGAGCCGCCAACGATGCCGGTGCCGACGCCGATACCCCACTGGACAACGGCAAGAAGAAGCGGTGGCGGCAAAAGAAAAAGAAGAACAACCCGGCCGGAGCCGACGAGGGGTAAGTAAATTCAGATATAGGACAAACGTCGGATATACAAAGACAGTAAAAGTCAAACATATAAGTACAAGATCATAAAAAGCGCTGACAAGCTAATAGCAAGGAATCTGCGCCGCCTACCGCGTCCTCGGCCGCTGCCCCTGCCCCCGACAACTCTTCTTCATCTTCTCTGCCAGTGCCGGTGACCGACATCGCGCCGGACGAAGACGGCAACAAGGAGAAGAAGAAGAGGAGGAGGAGGCAGAGGCGGAAACATGAGCCTAAGGAGCCGGAGTAGGGTAAGTAGTAGGGTAAATAGGGTAAGTAAATTGGAGCCAGAGTCAAGAGAAAAAAAACTAATGATAAGAACCCGGACTAATATGCATAGCGAATGGCGTCAACATGTGAGAGAACAGGCGGGGCGGCTGGTCTGCTCTGGCAGCTTACCAGACCTGATTTCTTTCTTGTCTTTGGTTTTGTTCTTTTTGATGGGGTGACGTTGGGGCTGAGACTGGGGATGGACGGGACGGGACAGGGGCGGACCAAGGACTTGTTTGCATATTGCATCTTTTATTTCTCTAGGACAACGTGAAAGCCATACGGGCTTAGTGTCGTCTGCTGGTCAGACGGCTTATTTTGCCAAACTTGCTGCTGCTTTCCATTCCATCTCTCGTCTTTTGCAAATTGCTTCCCATCCACTCCGGACAACATCCTCCTGAATGCTTCCCTTGAGCTTTTCCGCTGCTTCTTCTACCGGTAATAAAAAGGATTGATATGTTGCTTCTTCCTCATCTACACCTGTATTGGGATGATGTACAGGCTCGTAGTTTGGCGGCTCCATGGCAATTCGATCTTCAATGCTCAAAAATGTTGGATAGCGAGGCGGGGCTTGATATGGTATGGCCAATACGCTGGGAACAGGATGGTTTCCTTCTCGAACAGTCTCAGATCCGGCATGCTCAGAGCGGACAGCTGGGTCGCGGCCTTGAGACGGATCTTTTGAAGTTTCTTGGGCTTGGTGTTGTACTTCTTTGTTGATTTTCTCCTCAATGTCCGGCGGAAGCGTCTCCGCAATGTACCAGAACAGAACATATTGATGAGTATGACCATTTGGGGCGAGCTGTGTCCATATAGGCTCAGTCACAAACGGCGAGTGTGATGCTGGCGAGGCACTATGTGGAACATGTGGGCGTGGTTGACAATGGCGGAGCGGGATTGGCAGCAGACGGTTGCGGTAGCCAGACTGATTAGGAATTAGCACATTGGTCCGGAGCAGAAAATAGAAGAAGCAAAAAATAGCAGAAGCTCCAAGGCAAATCTTAACGGAGCAATTCAGAACGAAGGTAATATACAGAAATAAATGCAAAGCACCGCGTTACGACGAATAAGCCCAAAAACGAAATCAACCATACAAACGCATGACAGCGACATACGCAGAAAAAATTGCAGATCGTAAGTAAAATATGATCAATGTATCAATATAAACAGCCATATCAACAAATCAAAGATTGCCAGAATTTCACTCAACTGCAACGCCAAACACCCGCATCCCGAATAGATAATCTCGTCAATCATCTGTAGAATATGCCTCTATACAAAAATGTAGAAGCACCACAAATACGAATCAAAAAAACTCACCTCCTCAAAGCCCTCTCTTTCAGCACCTAATCCCGACTCCTCATTTGCATCTCGCCTGCCCTTCGGCAGAAACCAGTAGCCGTCTCGGCCATGCCAGCAGACCACGACTCTAGCTGAAGAAAGATGAAAGATTGCCACGCCTCCTCCGAGAGTCAGCTTATTGCACGCCCAATTGGCATATATAGGCAAGTCTGATGGCGGAGGAACGCGCGGCATGTTCTCATCATGGTGCACCTGGGATGCTGTCCCTGTCGGCGCGTACTGTCGTGGTCTATCTGGCCCATGCTGATGGGGCGGTGGTGGAACCGGCACGCCATTCTTGTGGTGCTCCATTTCTTTGTGATGCTCAATTTCCTGGTGCTTCATTTCTTTGTGGTTGCTATTTCCACTGTCCATATTTGCAGATTCTGGTGAAGTTGAAAATCTAATCTCCGGCGGCTGGTAAACACCTTGACCTAGAATCTCGTCTCCGGTCATCGGCTTGAGTCAGTGTGCCTTGATGCAATTGGACCAGTTGGGCACTGATATGCCTCTGTTTTGTACTTGCGATTCACAGGATCCCGTTTATCCGCTGCCTCTTCTCCGTCTTTTTACTTGCGATTCACGGTGGTCCCGTTTTTTCCACTCTTCTCTATCGCTTTGGACTCCTCGTTATTTTCTATAGTAGGGCCTCTTCTCGTCCCAAAAGAAAAAGAAAAATTGCCCGCTTCAGAGTCGTAAACCGACCGTACTCCGTATCTGCGCTTCCAAATTCTCAAGCAGAAGATCCAATTCTTCTTCCACTCAATGGAGTGAAATCCTGGCCACCTTTTTTCCAGCTGTCTTGTCCCTCTTGCCTTCTTGGCTTCTTGCGTCTCCAGCACGACAATCCGACAATCCGACAATACTCCTGGATGACAACAAAGGTATGGTACTCTGTATCCGTACAGAGTACAGCAGTACTCCGTATGAATCACAACGCAACGCACAGACGATTTCGTTAAGTGTCAATCTTCTCCACAGTCGACTTCAACCTTCAACGTTCACCATTCAACATTCAAGCTTCATTTCACCCATCCTAGTAGTTTCATGGGCTTGCGGAGTTTCAGTCCAAATTTCACCCTTCAACATGCAACCTTTGATGTTCACCCATACTAGTAGTTTCATGAGCTTGGGAACCCAAGTTACAGTTCAACGTTCAAGTTTCACCCCTACTTACTCATAGTACGTAGTAGTTCATGAGCTTGATCCCAAATCCCCTCAACCCGAGTCCGAGTTTCAGTTAGTCATAATTGTGGGGAGGGGAGGGGAGAGACTGACGTCCCACGTCCTGACGTCCTGACGTCCGGCCCAGCGCGGGCCTGGCGGTTAACTACGGCCAACGCTTAACTAATTCCAAACTCCAAACTCCAGACGCGGCCTCGCGGGTCGTGGGTTCGTTCTCGGCCCCACTCTCGCTCCTCGCTCCAGGCTTTAAGATGCCAACGTCAACGCGCGCCCTGACGCCGTGGCACGCTGGCACGCTGAAAAACAGTGAAACTCACAAAACCTGCATAATGACTTGAGATATTGCGATGCGCGATGGACGATGCGTTGACTCGTTAAGAAGACTTGCCGAATCACTATCTATCCAAGACAGATCGAAATTAAGCAACGGTGCGTCGTGCGGCGTGCGGCGTGCCTGGCCAGCTGACTCCAAGGCGCTCTCCGCCTCAAGCATGGCGATCGTTTACTTAATCGGGCCAAGTGGCCGCAAATTCAACGCAGCAACCAGGCAACGATTTCCCATATCTTAGGCCGTCTACCAGTACAGAGTAGAAAAGTCAATTACGCTGTACAAAACACGGAGGTATTGAATTGCTCTTTCAATTGATGCGTTAGACTTATTTATATAATGGCGCTTCATTGAGTATGGTATATAGTATAAGTTAATGGTTCATATATCCTAGGATACATGGAAAGGCAAGAAAAAAGATAGAGAAACAAAAGAGAAGAAAGAGAAAAAAAAAATAATAATCGCAAGATGCCTTACATGTTCGTAATAGTTATATAAGATTTGAAAAATCAAGTGTTCGCTCAACGCGCAGATGATGATCCTCGCTTTAACCTCATGGAAATCTCAAAAAAATAATAATTTATGCCGTCTCGGCTCACCAATAAAGTGGCAAAAGAGGCAGGGTTCCCAATCTGCGGTACCAAGGATCATCGGCGGAGACTTGTAAACACACTTTTGCTTGGCAAACAGTGGGTAAAAGTGTTGCAGTGTCGCGCGCGCGCTATTCGTCCAATATCAAAAATTTTGTCGTAATGGAACATGAGAAACGAAAAAAAAAAAAAAAAAAAAAGAAGAAAAAAAGGACATGGTGGAATATAAATCCTGACCAAAAAGAACAAAACGATAACGACATATATAAGAAAGGCTGTTCGTTTCCATCCCGTCGTGGCAAGGTGGGATGAGCTTGCAACCCACAAAAAGAGTCTGAACCTTAGGCACCGGCAATGATATAATCTGACAACATCATAGAAGAAGAAGAAGAAGAAGAAGAAGAAAAAATACACGGGCTAAACGGGGGGGTAGAGATGCATAGCCCAGCGCAAAACGCTTGTTCTGCACGGAGAAATGCGTATTCACTCCTCCATTCCGCCAAAAACGCCGTCGTCGTCTTCGTCGCTGCGTCCGCGGGACACGGATCGTTCGTATTCGTCGTCCTCAAACTCTTCGCTCTCGACCATCTCGACATCGTTGTTGCCGGGCGTCTGGGAGCGAGCATTGGATCCGACTTGGTCAGAGCCATGCACATTGGAAACGGACGACGGTTGGCCGTTGTGATCAAGGTAGCGTGCCGGTAGTGGCGGCACGGGAGGCACATCCGCCGGGAGGGTGGAAGGCCGAGTTCTCGGCGTGCCAAAGCTGGAGCTCAGCAACTCCAGCGCAGCAGAAAGACCCGCCTCGTCCTCATCAGGAATGTAGCTTCCAACGATGGCGCTTCCAGATGCTTGGAGCCGCTGATCAGAGCTATTTTGCCTGCGATGAGAGAATGCGTGAGACCGCGAAGGCGCGCTGCCAGCGTGCAAATGGCTCAGCGGCATGTTTTGGAACGAACGCGAGAGGCCAGAATGAGTAACGCTGAGGCGTTTGGGGCGACCGACGCGACCAGTCTTGACAGGAAACGACACGGGGACAGACTCGGGTCCATGAGGCGGAGGCGTGGTGTCGGCAGAGCTGTTTCCATCGTGGTGCGCGGATGAGCCAGAGGCAGGAGGAGATGCAGAGGAATGGTCGCTGTCGATATTGGCATTTGATTGGTCGGGTGTTTCATCATCCTGGTTCATGGCAACCAGGACGGAAGCCGCTTCGAGCAGTTGAACTTGTTGGTGTTTGGAGATGAGAAGTTTCGACGTGTAAGACCATTCGGGCGTGTGTTCCCATCTGTTGCACAATACGTTAACGTCATAGCTTTCAAAAAAAGAGGACAATAGCAAAACGTGGCGGATGCAGCTCTTCTAGGGGATGCGCTATCGCAACCCATGTCTTAAAGCAGTCAAAAAGGGGTTGTCGATGGTATACTTACAAGTGCTTCGTAAGGCAACTGCCATGCTTGTAGCTTTTCCCGCATTTTTCGCACCGCAGGTCTGGCTTCTTGTCTCCCTTGACCAAGTGTGACCCTTCGCTGGCCCGTCTGATGCGCGCCGCGGCGGCCTTGCTGTCAGGGCGAGGGGTCGCGGCACTTCGGGCATCTTTGCTTCCAGCAGAGTTGCGATCGAGGTGGTATTTGCCAAAGCCATTCTCGTGACTGGGTAGGCTGCCGGGCGGCGAAGGGTACTTGCTCGCATCAGACTTCTCATCCTTTATGGTTGGCTCCAGGTTCTTGGGGTTAGTTGTGTCCTTTGAGGAAATGCTTCGGCGGTTGACCGATGCCACAGTGCTTAAGCCATCGTCTGCCTCCTTGACCGCCGCCGCCAACGCAGCGGGATTACCCGCCGGGTTGGTCGTCATGCTCTTCCGCCGCGTCACACGGTGCGTCGGATTGTAGGAGCCCAAGGAGATGGAGTGAGAATGATTTCGAGTGTACGGCTGCCTGGCCGAGTAGCCATGGCTGGCGGTAGTTGACATTGTGAAACAAGGTTATGTGGAGAGTTGGGGAATGTTGCGGGTACTACTCTTCTCGTTAGCCACAGCGCCGAATTGCATTGAACGAAACATTTATGACAATAGAGGCCTGCCAATCTGACAGTCCCTCAAACTTTCGCATCACATACAGTGTGACGAAAAGTTGAGCGCCTCAGAAAGTGCAAAAGTTGGGGACCGAAACACGGCGGAGAGCACTGGCAAGGGGGAAAGAACGGGCAACTAACCTTAAACAACGACCACTCGCACCCCGTATGTTAGTGGATTGGAGCAGTCCGACGAATTGTGGTAGATGATGATAGACAAATGGAGTCGAATCTTCCCATTCAGTCTTTGATGGGTTGCTCGAGATGGTTCAAAAGCGTATATAACAAGTCGCCGCTGGGGGGACGGGAAAGTCGGCGCGCGAGGCAGTGCAGGCAATCGCCGAAAGGGTGTTCGTTCAGAAGGCGACTTCCGGGTTGGAGGATATATTCACGGTGGAAGTCGATTGACAGCAATGGTGTATCAAAAGAATGAATGGAAGAAAGAGAAGAAAAAAAGTTGAGAGAAGTTGCAGAGAGATGTGAAGGTTGAATGGTTGAGTTCGCAAGAGCAGTTGGAAATGGAGTGATTCCGGGAACGCTGGTGTGAGCGGAGCTGGGAAATGCGTGGGCGGGCCCTGACTAGTAGTTGTCGTCGCGCGCGGTTCATAAGTCTCAGCGAAAGATCAAGGAACATCTGGCACTCTCAAAGAGTATATTGATAGCAAGTCCGAGTAGTATCGCTTAACAATCATAATCATTCATCGATATCTGCCTGGAAACTACTAACTTCTACTAATCTACCTGGTTTATTACTTTCTACAGGGTCCCGGTCAATGATCCGAGAGCGACATGAAACGGGGGCCGATCGTTCGTATTAATTCTTTCCGGGGGCAAGTTGTCCAGGCATTCCCGGATTCAGAATTCCATGACTTTTTTTTTTCTACAACTTTTTTTTTAAACTTTTGGGGGGGAAACAGTCAAGTAGCATGATCCCTTGCGCTCGTTTCCCCCCCCCCCATCTTTGTCAGGTACAAGTTACAGTCAGGCGGGGGGTCCAATGGAAAGTCATTCAGGTACCACCGTTCTCATGTATTCGTGTACTATATTCTGTGTACACGGGTACCTGCCAGAGTTGCTAGAAGATGCCATGGGGAGTTGACTCGTCACGTCTCCCCCCAACGCAGCACAAAGCATGCAATGCAATTAGTCAAAAACCGTCTCTAGCCCATATTTTTTGTCCGCAATCGCAATCGTATAGTACAAGAGTACTCTACCGTAGCATGCCTTTCCATTTGAACAAATTTTCCTCCAATTTTTCCCCCCACAGATGGTCCAAGGTTTGAAGCCATGTGGAATAGTGTCACATCTCGAACAATTTAATTTTGTCGGCTGTACTTCCGTAGAGTTGTCGAGACACAATTGGGGGCCTTGAGAGAATCGAGGCCGGGCGGTGATCAGCATGCGGACACCTTCCCGTTCTCGGGCCCACATCTGGACGATCAATGGGCACGAGAGATACAAACGTGAGGTAATTTTTAGGACTTTACCGGCCTCACTTGAACAATGAGTGTTTGTTCGGTTCGAATCATACATAATCTCCATCATTAATGCCGCATCATTCTTGTTTCGCAAACGGTATATGAGAGTCCGAGGTATTCGTCATGTATGATCTCATTCTGTTGTAAAGGTACATGCGGAGTTGGTGGGTAAGCCAGAAAGAGAAAAATAATGTAGTGACATGGTACCTCGAAACTCTACCATTGACCCTGAAGGGCAAGAAAAAAAAAAATTAAAGACTATCCTTTGGGCAAACAAATAACTGGAAAATTTCCCGTTAGATGCCGAAACCAGGTCTTGAACTTTGGGAAGAGGGCGGGGGGAGGGGGGCAAAGCAGGCCTATGGGGAGAGTTCGAGCGCAGGGCCATAACAGACAGTTTGGCAGGTTGGACAGTCCAATCAATCAACCAATCCATCCATCAATTGGCCAGGGCCACACAAGCCAAAAAGGGTGGATTCATGCAGGTCAACCCGCAGACTAAACCCCCCTCCATAACGCGCCATGATCAAGCCACCCACCCTTTGACTAAATTGTCCTCTTTTTTCACTTTTACTTGGCTACTGCCATGGACCGGGTGACACGGTTCGACCACCATCGCCTCTCTTTGCCGCGGGGTGGAATACCGCGGTACTCCGTACTCTTGTACAGAAGTACGGAGGTACAGTGAACGGAGCACTCGGACTAAACAGCCCGGGGGTCCAGGTGACCTATTGAGATTTCAACTTCTTTTTGGCGACCAAAGAACGGGACCGAGGGGAGGCAACGGGGGGTCGGGTTGTGCATTATTCAGAACCACATCGGTGGACCCGAGCACCGATGACCCTTCTTGACCCCCCTCCATTTCGACTGGTCAAACGTCCTGACAACGCGTCCCTCACCCTCAGAACAAAAAATCCAAAATCTCATCAGATGATGATTCCATTTCAGGGTTGGAGGGGGGTATACAAAGGTACGGGGGGGTTGAGAAAGTGGGAACTCCAACCCCACACGTGATGTACGTGATATAACCACTTTGGGGGGAACAGAGGGCGGAGTCCCATCCCGCATCGTAAAGCGGGTCAGATCCGTTGTCCTTCACTCGATCAAGTAAGGCGCCGTAGGGGAATCTTACGTACGCAAATTGATGCCGCACTTGCGTTATTGCCGTTTCCGATTGCAGCCAATGACCCTAACCCAATTGAGGACTCCCCTACCTTATGTGCCTCGTGCCAGGGGACACTTGCATAAGTTACACAACTGCATATCCTGGCAGGTTCATGCAAAGTAAACATTTCCTTTGGAATTTTCTGATAGCAAACTCAAGCCATCATCTGATCTCATTCTAATCAAGAATCTAAGATGCTTTAATTGTATAGCTAGTATGTATTCAATTATATAAGATGATTATATATTTAAAATATTTAATTATTCTGCTTTAATTAATTGAATTATATTCATTTTTATTAAATCTCCATTGCATTCACTCTAAAAAAAAGACCTCTCTTTATTTTTAATCTCTCTACTATCCTCAGACAACTAGCATAATTGTAATTCAATTCCTAGTTTACCTTATTCCTGTAGCTTATAATTACTTTGTATTTACTAGAGTATACTTCTGTAAAGCATGATAGCTGTAACACTGTCTGTGGTAGTAAACAACTACCACACTCCAGACCTCCACACATCAACCTCTGCAACGTATGACTCTATTCTCTGTTTGAGCATTACCTCTCCAATTCCAAACAACACTGTACGACTCATCTCATTCTCCTCCCCGGAGAATTATTGTCACCCGCTTTCCTCAACGACAGGTACTACCCCACATAACTGCAGACTGCAGACCATACAGCCACTACCTTAGCTTCCTACACTGACGCGCAAGATCAGCATCAACCCCAGATTTTCAAGTCTCCCTCCGTCCCTCACCTCCCGCCATCCCAGCCTTACGCGTACCATTAAACCTCCGTACAACATTCCCACTGCACTCTCTACACCGATAACGTCAATTCCATTCTTATCGGTCGATCTGGCCACCCTTTAACTCGTGGAGCTGCGTCAGCCCTCACACTTCTCACTTCTCACCTTCTCGAACTAAACCGATTCGTACGGAACCAATTCGAGCCAATTCAATCAGTCACTCAACATAACCAAAAGAGAAACGAGACAAACGAGGTATACCAAACGCAATGACAGCTCCGCCAGTCCGCAAAGTCGGCCGAGGAGGTAAGTACTATGACCTTTGACCTTTGACCTTTTACCCAATTTCTCTTCCGTCTCGAGTAAAGCATGGCTGTTTATACATATCCCATCCATCTACCTACCTACCCACCTGCCCACCCAAGAAACCAGTCCATCATACCCACCCACACAATCGTACTAATCCTATTTTACTCTCCAGGCGCAGGAAACATCTACTTCTCCAACGACCCTTCTTCCTTGGCCGCTGCCGCCGCCGAAGACCAGGCATACAGCGGGAGAGAAGATCTCGAAGCGCAATTAGATCCGACATCTGATCCGCTCTCGCGCATCGCTACCACCGCGTCCTCCTCCTCGAGCTACGTGAATCAGGAATACGCGCATTCCGGTCGAGGCGGAGCCGGGAACTGGTTTCGGCCTTCAGACGTGGCGGCTGCGGTTGCGGCCGACGCCGAGGCTGAAGCTGAGGCTGAAGCAGCGTCGGCGTCAGCGCAGGAACAAGAATCGACGGCGGGAGGACAAGGACAAGACGCGCAGGCAACAAGGAGAATTAGTAATGCGACAACAACAACAACGGCAACAACAACGACAACAGGACAAAGCGGGGCCTACAGAGGGCGAGGCGGGGCAGGCAATTACGTTTCACATGGGCCGGACAAGCAGACGCGGGACAGAATAGAGGCGGAAAAGAAGAAACAAGAAACACAGCAAGCGGAGCGGGAAATGCGTGAACGGGTCCTGAAGGACGTAGAGGCCGGATTGACGCCTCCTAAGCCTGCGCATCTTGGGTCGAGATGGTGAACGGGATGGTGAACAGGGTATAGTGAACGGGGGGTTTAGCAGTGATTACCCAGTCGGTGGTAGGCTGCTGGGCTCTGGGCCATCGCGTGGGAATGTGAACCACATCGAGGTCGTTGATTTCGTGTTTCTTTGAATGGTTCTTTGAATGGGCGTAATATGAGATACCATGGGCTGTTGCTTCGATTGTTCGTACGGCTTAGATATATATATATATATATATATATATATATATATATTTTCTCACGGTAGTTTGAGACTAATCATAATGTCCGATGACAATGTCATTACGAATATGAATTGACAAAAGTGCAAACATGTTCATGACTTGTGTCTAATAATAATATATTTGATATCGTAAATAAGACTTTTCTTTCTCTTCTGGTGTGGCTGGTGCTGCTAATATAGAATATAGCTGCCATGAACCCGAAACTCCAAATCCAACATGGTTCCCAAAACGCCTGGTTCTTGATGCGAACAAGCAAAAAGTCTTTTTGCACAAAAGAATTTGCACAACAGCAAAACATATGCCAAGGTGAAGGGAAATAAAAGAGCCCAAGCACAATCCGAAAGAGTGACTTGGCGACAAGTACAGTCGGAAAGATACCGGGTTGTCTCATGCTCCCTTTCTTCATCCTCTTTAATCGACATCCATCTCGTCCTCGACACCCTTGCCAACAATGAGCTTCTTCTTGCCCTTGACTTTGCCGCCCTCGACGGGGATCTCGAGTCTCTGCTCCTCCTCCATGACTTCCGGCTCCTCTGCCAGTCTCTCCGACGCGCGGACCTTGGGAAGCAAGTGCTCGTTCTCGGCGACCAGTTTGCGGTCTGCGGCAAGCTGCTTCTCCTTGTTGCCGGCCATGCGCTGTCTGTAGAAGACTTTCTCGCGGCGTTCCCGGATATCGGACACGCGCTGCATGGCCCGGAGGGTAGTAGCAACGAGGTCGCGGTTGTAGCGGACAGGAACGTTGCGGCGAGCGGCAAAGGTGAGGGTGCTGTCGACAGTCATCTCCTTGCCCGCCGCCTTGCGGAAGGCTTTTGTCCATTTGAGCTAGAAAATTCATGTTAGTTGAAAAATTTCACTAAACATCATCTGGTTGTCGGAAAGTTGTTGTGTTCTGAGCCGCCATTACCCAAGATAATGGATAACGACAGTTCTTGGACGACGAAAGGCGAGAAAGTAAAAAATAAAGATGCTAAGAATTATGGGTCGTACCTTGCGAGGGTTTCTCTTCATCTTAAACTATATTTGCATCTACTGTCAGCGTGTTTCCCTCGGCATTAGATATACCGGCAAGGATTCCTTACGTTCTTGTGGCACTTGCTCCGGCAAAATCTGAAAGTCCGGGCATCGTTGCGCACAAAAGTTATCCCTGCACATCCAGCGTATCAGCCATTGTGTTCTTTCCTCTATTTCATCCACATAATCAAGGAGAGACAGTCTCCAAAGTACATCTGTACTCGACGGGAAGTAATGACGGCACACGACGAACCTTTGGAGGGATAAACTGGCTGCGAACAAAAATAGCACGTCTCGACCCTGTGCACGAAAAGGTTAGCGATTTTCCATCATTCCAACATCCTTGTGATTTGCGGGGAACATCTTTAAGGTATAAAATTCCAAAGGAGATCACGTACCTCATTGTGACAGCCTTGCTCGCTGAAGCTGTTCAACAACGATTTATTCTTGTAAGATGCTGGATCGATATCGCTCTACAAAAATGTCGGTGGATTTCCCGTCGAAAGAGCCAACTGTTGCCTAAAGCAGCTAGCGGCCGAAAAAAGTTCAGACATTGTATTATGTAAGCAGCGACCACCACGAGGGATTGTGTGTGGCTTATGGGCTGTGCCACTTGTGGCTGACGAGGACTGAAGCACTCAATATTCATTAAAAAAATATTTGTTAATTTAAACTCGGGTCAAATTGAGTGTCATATGGGCATGTGCAGATTGTATTTTTTCCTTCTCTGTCTCAATACCAGAGCGCGCAAACTTCCCACATGGCGATTGTCTAAAATTATAATAATGCAGGTATCATATTGATCTTCAACTGTAACAGACAGTAGAATATAGTAATTGAAAGAAATTTGCATAAAACCTTCTACAATTAGTTGCGCTGCCTAACGTATATTTGTATAAATATATATTTCAACCAAATGATATAGCAAAATACGGACCTTTGAAACAGCCTACTCAATAATGCATTCATCTAATCTATACCGTGGAATGCTTGTCCTATGCTATGCATTCATATATTCGTCATCATATATCTCATGACTCTCTCATTGCTTCGGCCTTTGCAACCAATGCTTCAATCAGCTCATTGAACTGTTCTCTTTCTTCGACAGGTAGAACATGCCCCCTTCCTTCAAAGATTATCTTCTTTAGCCCTGACTGCTCACCGCCTAACTCGTCTGCTAGCATGTGCGCATGAGGGACGGTGATCATGCGGTCGATTGTACCATGAAGAACCTGGATTCTATCCCTTCCGACACGGTCACCCAGCAGACTGAGCTGCTCCGGACTTTTGTGATGCCAGCCTGCCGCAATTGCCTGTAGCATGAAACCTTTTCGAGTGAATCCTTCCTTATCCATTCTTTTTGAGATTTCCTGCGCGGCGAAGAAGTCACCGTTGGTAGGGAAACCACCAACCGAATCGGGCGCATTCAGCCACTCTTCGCAAAATAGATTGGCTTTGACATGTTGTAATTGCACATCGATAGGCTTCGGAATAAATAAATTGATTCGGTTGCGAAGATTTTCGATGAAACCCTGATAACGTCAACTGACACGGCCGGAATCCAAGGTGATATAAAAGTATAATAGGTTAGTGCATACCACTGTATTGACCAGGCGTGGAGCGGTTGAGACAAGAGACAGAGAGGCCACTCTATCCGGTATTAGAAGAGCCTTGAGCAGCGTTAGTCTGCAACGCAACATCTACCTGCAAAACTCGTTTCAGGACTCACCAGCTCCTGCGCAATCATGCCGCCCATGCTGATACCAATGACATGCAGCTGTCGTGAATCTGTCCATCCAAGATGATCCAGAATCTCTATTGTATCCTTGGCCATTTCTGACGTTGAATATCTCACGACAGGCTTGTCAGACTCGCCCATACCTCGGTTATCGAAGATCAAAGAAGAATATTTGGATGATTTTCCATGAGCAAGATCTTTGGTCTGGCGTTGCCATCCAGTCTTGTATGCTCCCAAGCCCATGATCCACTAAAGGTCTAGTTAGAAATACTTCATTAGGGGAGAGAAATGGCGCCAACGTGCGGCCAAAAAAATGCATTTCAAACAGGGACGACATACTACTAGGCGCAGTGGACCTTGTCCATGGACTTCATATGAAAGTTCAAAAGGGCCTCCCCTGCCTTTGGCAACGGGTACCCGCCCTTTCTTGGTGGGTTTGAGATCCCAAACCACATTTTTGAATTCTGGGAGCTGGACAATCTCGGCTGCCGTGAGAGGCCTAGGCAAAGAGGACAGAGAAGTTAATATCAGAAATCATCAATCCTGTGCAGCAAAGGAAACTAAATGCGGCAAGAATTGATTGTTGCACGAGACTGAAAGAAGATGATAAGCATACATGATGGTCTTATCCTACGAGACTGTGGGGGGAAAGGTGGAACAAGGAGGACTAAGATTCCACGATACAGTTTAATGATACGCTTATCAGATCATGATGATTAGTTCCAGGTTCGTCATTTCTTGGCAGCCATGGTTGTTGTCTGTCCTAGGTAGGTCCTTACTGTCGGAACGAAAAAGAATATAAAACCTGAGCTTATCCCCCGTGGCGTTTTGCTTCGTCGTTTTAGGAATAATCTTGTGCTTTCTTCTCGTCGGGGATGAATGAGACAACTCAAATCGGTAATTCTTGCAGCGATGAATTACCGGGAGGAGATGGATCCGGGTGGGAACCTCGGAAGGACGTATTCGTTCCGCGCTAAAATTGACTATTTGGGACATTTTGGATGACATCGGCATTCGGAACTTCAGGATCCGGGAGCGAATACGAGAAGAAAAGAAACGGCCCCTCGTCCGGGGAGGGAAAGACACAAGAAGGGACGAGAGGAGGGCAAAAAACGGCGGAGGGCGGAATCAACTTCGGCCGAAGGGTCTAGTAACTTACGTTAAACTGGAGCCTAAAAGCCGAGAGAGGCCAAGAGTAGCTATAGTACTCGTAGTCACCAAACTGAACGAAACAAGGAGAAAAAGAAGGATACCATGTGCTCACATAAGCCTGCTATTTTGCTTCTTTCCAACAATCTCTTCATACCCCCCTTGGAAAAGGAATCGTTTGCATTGTGACTCTTTCGGCTTGCTGAGTCAAATCTAGAGAAATTTGTTCGTGAAATGCCTGCTCTATGCCCACTATCATCTTAGTCCCTGCACCGAAGCGGCCCCCCCGTCATCTCACCAACGTCAACTTGATGCCTAGCTAAGGCCATACACTGACACCCTGCCAGATCCCCTTTCAACGTTCTCCTGGGTCTCACAATAACGTGACAGACCCTGTCCAGGTCACTTATCATTGTCTGCTTGCCTTACCAATCTCTGGCGTTGCTCCGGGCACTTTTGGTCACTGTCCCAAATCCTCGTCACACAGCCCCCCGTGGGGACGGTTCGACGGCATTTTGCGCTCTCGTCGTCATTCCTCAATTGTCATCAGCATAACAATCTGATATGCTGCTGCACGGATTTCAACCTTGGATGAGATCCGGCCTCGCCAATTCCGCCATCTGCTCTACGCATTAGTTGCCAGATTACTCGTCCTCTACTAGTCGAGGCGCCAGGGCATCTCCGAATTGGACCAACGACAGAATGTCCCAGGACGGTATGACGCCGCAGGCGACCACACCCCTCATGAACCCACCTCCTCAGGTATTTGGTCGCTTTACTCCCGGAGGTTCTCCTATCTCTCCCGTCCTGAGCGGTCCCATATTTCCACAAGACGCATCAGCACAAACATCAGACGAGCATAATGATGGGAAACGGAGGAGGATTGCGAGGGTGAGCACCTGACTTGATTGAACCCTGGAGAGAAACACAACTCACACAGCAGTAATACAGGCTTGCGACATGTGTCGCAAGAAGAAGATCAAATGTGATGGCAAGCTCCCAGCATGCACACATTGTTTGAATTACAAGACCGAATGTATCTTTACGCAGGTGGAAAAGAAGCGGAATCCTCCAAAAGGGTACGCAACCGACCTTGCCCAACTGACGCGTTGCACGAGACTTATTCTTTGGTCAGCGCCAAGTATATTGAAGGCCTCGAAAATCGCCTCGGCCGCATGGAATCTCTGCTCAAGCTCTCCGGCTTGCTCTCCGAAACTGATGGCAACACAGACCTAGGAACCTTGGAGAAGCGTCTCGCCGATAAAGCTGCCACCTCCAATGGAACCCCCCCAAGGGCTTCCGAATGGTCTGCCCCGCAACGCTCATCGACCGAATCGCAACGAGAGCCGTCTCGACAACCGTCGTTTTCAAGTCCGCCAAGCAGGGCGACAACTCCTGAATCAGAGAAAGAAGACCAGGAAGAAGTGGAAGCGCTCTCAGACATGATGTGCTCCCTGGTCACCAACAACTGCGGCGAGACCAGATATATCGGTACGTGCGATTGGATATTGCAACCAGTCGAGTATGCTGATGTGGGTTAACCGTGTAAAATAGGGTCGTCGTCTGGATTTTCCATTTTCTCACCAAAGGGGATTCAATGGGTCAACGAAAAGACCGGAGACTCGTCTTTCCAAGACATGATTTCCAGCGCAACTGTAGACGACAGTAAATGGATGCTTTGGAAGCCTGAAGTATTTGGTGATATTTTTGGCCGTCGTCTATACATATCTTTGCCCCCAAAAGAGGAAGCGCTGTCACTTCTGAAGGACTATTTTGAAAACTTCAATTGCATGTTCCCCCTCTTCCACGAGCCTACATTTATGCATCTCGTTGAAAGACAATATTCCCGTGATCCATTTGAAGGTTCTGGGTGGTGGGCCAGCCTCAATGTTGTGCTCGCGATTGCACATCGACTACGGATCATGAGCAATCTGGTGCCGCAAGATGAAGATCAGAAAGCTTGGGCACATCTCAAGAATGCCCTTGCCGTGTTTACGGAACTGACTCTGCGTAACGCCGACTTGCTCAGCGTTCAGGCAATGCTTGGCATGGTAACGCCACTTTTCTTTTATAGGTTGAAATATGCTAATTTAATTATTAGGCTCTTTTCTTGCAGGGTACACCGAACCCGCAGCCGTGCTACTTTCTGGTAGCGGCCGCTTTCAGAATGGCGCACAGTATAGGCCTTCATAAACGTGGATCAGGCTTTAATCTGAATCCCGTAGAAATCGAGCAGCGAAAACGCGTGTTTTGGATTGCTTACCTCATAGACAAGGAGTAAGCCTCACATTACGGACGACGCGAAACCAGATACTGACGGTTTACAGCATAAGTTTGCGTTCCGGTCGACCACCGGTTCAGGACGATGACGACATGAGCGTGGAGCTGCCAAGTGAAGACCCTGCCGATAATATTGGCAACATTCCTTTAGCCGATGGCAAAAGCAAGATCAACCTTTTTAGGCTGATATGCACATTTGCGATCATTGAAGGCAAGGTCTACAAACAATTGTATTCCACCAAGGCTGCCAAGCAATCGGACGGAGAGCTGCTAAACACTATCGGAGAACTCGATCGTGAATTGGAAGAGTGGAAAGATGCTATCCCTGTCGATATTAGGCCCGGTCATGAGATCAATTCTTCGCACACGCCTTTAATTCTTCACATCGTGGTTTTGCATTTCGCCTATCACAACTGTCTGACAACAATACATCGGATGTCTGTCCATCACGGGTACTGGACAAGCCGACTGTCGAATTTTGCGATCCAAGGCCTGAACTCTCGGCCACTTAATCCCCGAGTGTTCTCCTCGGCCAATCTTTGTGTTTCTTCTGCTAGAACTTCGATTCATCTGATCAGATATATTCCTCAGGGAGACTATGCATGTGTCTGGTGAGTAGTTCCCTGCGAGTGTGATGCACTCATTCCGCGGCACAAGAAAGCTGAGAGATGAACAGGTTGATCCTTTATTATCCCGTCGCTGCGTTGGTCACTCTCTTTGCAAATATCCTTCAGAATCCTCAAGATGCCCGAGCACGCTCTGACATCAAGCTGATGGACCAAGTGGTCACTTTCTTGTCGAATATATGCACAGATGACCAAAACGGAGGTGCCAAGCGGATGCTTAACGTTTGTACGGAATTTGAACGAATAGCCAAGGTTGTAGTAGATAAAGCCGATGCAGAGACCTCGAACAGAAAGAAGAGGAAGGATCACCATGAGGAAAGACCAAAATCGACAGCGGGAACAACGCCCGCGCCACAGTCCAAGGCCACACCAGTCCCCGAGGCAGCTAGAACTCCGGCGCCAACATCCGGAACATCGCCTTACGCTTTCATGGGTGCTCCAACCCCCGGAGTGCCATTTACCCCGGAACTCACGGCAAGCGTTGGTACTCCTGTATGCATATTCCCCGCACCGCAACATTCTCTTTCCCCTTCAGTTCTAACCTTTGTTCTGCAGGCCCCTCATACTAGTTCGTCCCAACCCTCAACCAACGGATACTCTCCCCAAGTCGGCGAGAGCCATTGGCTACCAGACTTCTCTTCATCAGACATGCCGAACATTCTGTCACCAGGCGGCGGCGTGGGACAGGACTTTGCAAACATGACTGCATCATACTCGACCCCTGGCCCTTTTGCATCACCAGCGCCCTTTAGTCATCCTGGGAGCATACCCAACGGCGTGGCAGCACCATTTGTCCCGCAAGATTTGTGGCAATTGCCAATGTCCCTTGAATGGGATTGGACAGATATATCAAGTTTCGGCTATCCGCCATTCGATCAGACTATGGGTGGTGGCGGTGGTGGTGGCGGCGGCGGTAGCGCCAGCAGCCATGATCCGACACAGAACCAAATCCGTCATGAGCAAGCGTTACCGCCGCAACCTGATCATAATCCTTCATGACCCCCTTCCTGAAACACTCTTTTTTTCTTTTTGTCACGCTGTAATGTTCACGCTTACGACGTTGTATAATGTTGTTAGTGAAGCGGAGGAAAGCAAGGCGTATCAACCCCACTCTTTGGCGTTAACCCGGAAGCCCTCGATTGATGGTAGATTAACCCATCTTCCTCAGTCACGACCACTCCTATTCATTCTTCTCCCTTATCAAGCATTGCCGGCGCTGGAAAAGGTTTTATGTTTTACGTTACGTGGGTTTCACCAACCAATTCTTGAGAGAAAGAATCGGATCAGAAACTGGGCCATTTGGATTATTACGGCCAGATGTTCACCCAGAATTGGATGCTGGACGCGATATGCAAGTCGCATGTGTACAATAATAGGTAATATTTATTTCCGGCCTTGAACTATATGAGCTCTATGACCATAATATAGGAATAAATATAAACATTAAGTAAAAAGTAACATGGCTACACGTGCATCATATACATGTGTGATAGGTCTAGCTATTGCTATTTCAAGCAATCTGTATTCCAAGAAGAAAAGCCGAGATTTGGTAAATTACTCTATCTCCATACTCTTTGAGTATTTATCTTTCGATCAGCTTTATCGATCAGATTTATCAATATTACCTTCACTTCTAATAGCAAACAATCTTTCCAAATTGCACGACTTCCGGCTGTAAAGATGCCTATTTCACATTTCATTCCTTTTTGGAAGACCCCGAAGAGGAACCATTGCCGGTTCCACTTGCTGCTCTTGTCTTTAGTTTTGGCGCATTGGCATTTTTCACAAGCTTCGGCTCCTTGGCCTTAGTCGCGGCCGTGCTCGTGCTCGTGTTCGTGCTCGACTCCACAGGCACAGAAAACAAAGAGTCGCCGGATCCTAAGAGTTTCGGGATGAACTTGGGCACGAGTTTCTGGTATTCGCGGTACTCGGGATACTTTTTGGCAGAAATGCTCTCGGTCAGCCAAGTCGAGCCCTGGAATAAGAAGGCGTAAAAAATGGACCCGACGACGGTCCAGTTGAATAACGTGTCCGTAGTATAGCAACCCCATTGATACAAGATGATCCAGATGGCTTGCTCGGCGGCGAAATTGGGGTGTCGTGACCACGACCATAATCCGGATACGACAAATCCGCGGTCGAGATCTTCTTGGTTGAACTTCCGAGGTACTTTGGCGGTCTTTTGGTATTCCTTTTTGGCTTCTTGGAAGGCTGAACGGTGAGGCGTTAGTTTCTGCAGGTTCTTGATCGAATAACTGGAGGGAGGGGAAAGAGAGGAGCATACCCCATTGCTGCTGGTCAGCGAAGAATTCTACGAGAATAAGTGCCATGAGCACGCGGGAAAAGACCAAGTCTCCTGTCGTGTTTTCATTGCCCGTGACCCGTGAGGCTAGCAAAAGGACGTAGGTCGGCGTGGTAATGAGAAAGAGGAGAATCTGTTGTGGGTGAAATAGTCAGTCTTAGTTGAATGAAAATGAATGACATGTGGTGGTTGTAGAATGGGAGAAGAGGTAGTCGTCACTTACGCTCTGGAAAGTAGAAATAAATACAACATTGAACAGGAAGAAGAGACTAGGGGACATCCATGACTGGACAATCTTCCACCGGTAGTCTTCGGATCCAATCGAGTATCCGCCTTTGCGCCAATAGTTGTATGTCAAGCGGAGCTGCGGAGAAGGTACGTTGTGTTAGTTCTGCCAGATACCGGCGACAAGAAAAGGTATGGTCTCTTTCTTCTGCGTCGAGGGTAGAAGAGAAATGTTCCATGCAGCTTCACTTACCGACCAGACGACGCTAAATGCTATCAGTGTATCCTGCCTCAAGGTCGGTAAGCCAACCATGTGTGCCCAGGTGACAAAGTGCGCATTGTATAGTGTTGGCAGAATGCTCCAGAAACGGTCCACTTGAGAATAGTTTTTGTTGATTTGCGAGGAGAAGAGGAACAGCGGTGACAGAAAGAGCGAAAACGCAAATGCAAGGATGAGCGGATTCGTCGAAACGTAGATTTCCTTGAGCTGTTGCGGATCCTGAATGGAGTGGAATATTTGTGAAGGGAGCTCGCGGAGCTGTGGGAGGTATGGTAGCACTGTGCGAGAGAAGTCGGCGCAATCGGAGACAGTCTTGACGACTGGCAGAGGACTGAGAGAAGCCATGGCTGCCACAGTCAAGTTGAGGATATCACTGTGAATAGTGAATCCCTTTCGCTGGTGGGAAGGTGTTGTTTCTGCCAGCGAACGTTCCGACGACGTCGAGATAAGTTATTATGTAGCAGAGGTTAGAGCGGTCCCATTGGCGGATGCGAGCGAGGACCCTGGAAGCGTCAACAACCAACCTAAAGTATCACCACATGACTTTTCTGCATGTAATATACATCGATCTATGACCTCATTGTTCTGTAGGCAGCAACCACTGCAAACAGCAATCAGAAGAAAAGAACACGGGCGCGAGCATCCAGACCTCAGATTCAATATTTACAGGTTGTAAAATTTGGAAATAAGCCCGGAAAAAAGAAGTGTGCGATGTATCAAATTTCTATGTGAAGGTATTTTTACATGATTTTCTTCACCGCCAAAGTCCATGAAGAGACTCCGGCAATGAGATGAGATGCTATGGACGCCTAAAATGTACCCCTATCATACAAGACGGAAAAATAGCACGACTATAATTACAGGTGAAGGAAAAATGTGTCAAACTAGGCTTGAGGAGTGAAGATGATGGGAGACGATAACGATGATAATGCCAATGGCGCAGTTGTCGCCCAGCCATATCGTAGTCTAACTTAAATCAGGCTCAAATAAACCACAGAACCCATAACAAGTCGTAAAGGACTAAAAGGAAGGTCGATTCTTAAACACAAGGTAGGCAGGTAGCCAACACGTTTATAACGGGTTCGGCATCTCAGGGGGGCTGTCCGTGGACTCCGTGGGGAATGGGGGCGGAGCGCTTTTGCCACCCTCAGGCTGCTCACCACTAAAGTATTTGCTGAATTCCTTGTTGTCCTCGAATGGCCGCTTTCCTAATATCCGAACGAGGTCATCACGAGAAAGGACTTCTTTGCGCAAGAGCTCCTCTGCGACCAATCCAACCTCGTGCTTCTTCTCGGTAAGCAGATCACGGCACTGCTTGTAAGCCTCGTCAACGATCCTCCGGACCTCGATATCAATGTTCCTGGCGGTCTCCTCGCTGAATGGCTTGTGCAGCTTCTGCTCATCCTCCTCGAAATACAAGTAGCCAATCTTGTTTGACATACCCCATTTGGTGACCATGGCAGATGCCATCCGAGTGACCTTGTTGAAATCATCACTGGCACCGCTGGTGACCGTGTCAAAATGAAGCTCTTCAGATACACGACCTGCAAGGGTCATGGCCATACGATCCATGAGCTGATTGACGTTCAAGAGGTATGACTCTCCCGAAGGAAGATACTGTGCGTATCCCAAGGCACCCTGACCACGAGGGATGATGGAAACCTTGAGTAGCGGATCAGCGTAACGGAAGAACCAACCGCAGATGGCATGACCAGCTTCGTGATAAGCAACAGTCCTCTTCTCTTCGGGACTAAGGACAAGTGACTTCTTTTCAAGACCGCCAATGACACGTTCAATTGCCTGCTCGAAATGGATCATATCGACACTGTTGGCTTTGTGCCTGGCAGCTAAGAAAAAAATTAGTAATTGTTAAATATCACGATGAAGTGCGTCTTTCTTACCAATCAAAGCGGCTTCATTGACACAATTAGCAATATCCGCCCCAGCGAAGCCAGGTGTGAGAGCAGCAAGCCTTCCCGAGAGGTAATCCATGTCTTCGCCAGTGACAATCTTCTTGAGATGCACCTGGAAAATCTGTTTACGGCCCTCCATAGTCGGTCTGTCAATGGCAATGTGTCTGTCAAAACGGCCCGGTCGCATCAGAGCCTTGTCAAGAACGTCCGGTCGATTCGTGCCAGCCAACACTACTACTTGCTCAGACGTGTTGAAACCGTCCATCTCAGTCAAAATCTGATTGAGCGTGCTCTCTCTTTCGTCATTTCCACCGCCAAAATTTTGCTTCGCTCGAGACTTTCCGATGGCATCTATTTCATCGATGAATATGATACACGGCGTGTTCTTCCGTGCATTTGCAAACAAATCTCGGACTCGCGAAGGACCAACACCAACAAACATCTCAACGAATTCCGAACCGCTGACGCTGAAGAATGGCACTTGAGATTCACCAGCGGTTGCCTTGGCCAGCAGCGTCTTTCCTGTACCAGGAGGACCGGAGAGAATCGCACCGCGGGGTATTTTGGCACCGAGCTTCTGATATTGAGCGGGTTCTTTGAGGAAGCTGACAAACTCCATGATTTCTTGTTTGGCTTCATCCATGCCTGCGACATCCCGGAAGCGTACCTTGATATCGGCCTCGTGGTTAAACTTCTTGGCTCGACTCTTTCCAATGCCAAAAATTCCGCTTTGGCCGCCGGCACCACCTGATGCACGCCGTGACAACCAGAATACTGAGCCAATGAGCAATAATGTAGGACCGAAAGACAAAAGAGTAGAAGCCCAAGAGATCTCATCAGTGTAGGCGACAGGGATGCGCTCAGGGCTTGGGATTCCAAGTTCTCTCTGAGCATCTTCTACCTTCCTTTCAAAGGCCTCTACAGAGCCAATGGTAAAGTAGTAATGAAAGTTTCCATGTATCGCAGGAGACTCGGGATACAGCTGCGCGACCGCCTCGCGGTAGAGCTCGACACGAACACGGTTTCGGTTGACAACAGTTAGCCGTTCGACGAGTCCTTTATCAAAGAAAGTGGTCCGGAACTCCTGCCAAGTGATCTCCCTAGAATTCTCTCCAGGAACCATAGTCCGGTAGAAGAGATAAGCCACAAAGGAGGAGATGATGAAGGTCCCTGCATCGAATTTAATGTCGAAAACGGTAGGGCCCTCTTTCTTGTCCTCCTTTTTAGAGTCTTGACGTCTGCCACCTGGTGGTGGCATCTCGTTCTGTCCCTTCTGGGACTCCTCACTCTTAAAGCTTGGTTGCTCTGACGTTGATGCATGCTTTTCAGCTGCTTTTCTGGACATTTGAGAAGTGGCCCGAATCAACTTTGCAGCTGTTGAAAGGTCAAGTTGACCCCCCTTTTTAACATGATCCATAACCTCCCTAACCTCCACTGGTATTCCATCTTTCTTTATCTCCTCAAAAGCCCGATCAAGGTCCCTCGCTTGTTTTTCTGGTAGACCATTCTTCAGAGTAGCTAATAAATCATCAATCGCCTTCAGCTCATCGGGACGAAGATTCGATCGAGCTTCCGATGGTTGAGATGAGCCCTTGTCGCCACCTGATGAAGGCACTGAATTACTCTTGTCGTAAAAGCCTTGTTTCCCAGGAGTTTCTTGGGCGTCTCCCCGTTGCTGACCTTCTTTTTGAGAATCCGATGGCTGCTTGTTGTCCGGCCGATTCGGGTCATTTGGATTGGTAGAGTATTGACGTGCTGCTCGCCAGGCCAGTCTCGTGTTCACGGGCATATGAATGCGCTGGCGATACAAAGGTGAGTGATATGCATTGTGTACGATTGAGGAAGTGATGCTAGCAAGATTGCCTGACCGCCGCAGTAGGCTAGTCATGGTAGAGAATTTGGGCGCCAGCGGCGACGAGCTGCTGTCAGAAGGTCCGTGATAATCAAATTTCCTAGCAGCCTGACAGCGCTGTGTGTGAAGACTCGAATTCCGCCAAACAAACGGAATTGAAGTTGCCCTTGAGGAGTGGCGAAAGAGCGATGGAAGAAATTGTCAATGTCAACCTGAGGCAGACCCTTCAGATGAATGACGATTCCAGTCAGTTTGAGCGCCTGAAGAGGATGGGGTTGCGGCCTCGGATAATCACGATACTGACACACTATAGTCAAGTTCATAATGATGCCTAATTACAGCAATGAGTGCTTCGGGACAGATAGCCTCAGTCAATGAAGCGCGTGACTAAGCAAATGATGACATAAGTTTGTGAACTTACGCTCAACGACGCGTCTTCTGGAGTTACGGTACTGTTCGACTCGCGAACTGGGCCAAGCTCGTGAGCCTGAAAGCTCTGTCACTAGTTGAACGTACTTGCTCATTGATGCAGACTTTTTCATGGCACGGTGGGACGCAAAGTCATCTCTAAAGACTCTACGTCTCTGAAGGGATTATCGTAGACATTCGGATTCGCACAAGGGCGACTTGGAAGGTTTCTCTTCTCATTTCATCTACGCTCTGTATCGCAACAGCGATCTCGGGTTTAGTTCCTGGCCACACGGCTAGTAAAATACATCAACATGCTGTGATACTTCTATGAGTCTAGTGTCATAACAAAGACAGCAACCATGGTCGCAAAGATCTTATGCGTTGCTGAGAAACCATCAATTGCTAAGGCTGTGGCCAATCACTTAGCCGGTAGCACAGTTCCTGCAGTAAGAATTTGACACAAGATTAAAAGTGTTGGCATGAAGCTGACATCTTGCAGTCGAATGTAAGCGGAATCAGATGGCTTAAAAACTATGAATTCGATTTCTCCTTTGGACAACCTTGGGGTCACTGCTCGGTGACCATGACAAGCGTGGCAGGGCACCTTGACAGGTTGGAATTTGACGAAAGGTATCGGAAATGGAACTCCTGTGATCCTGGGAGCTTGTTTGATGCCCCTGTATCGAATATTATAGATAAGGTTTCTATCATACCCTCATTCTATCGAGTTGCGCAGATTCTGACTGCTGCACAAGGATAAACAACCCATTGCGCGAAATATCAAACAACAAGCTCGCTATGCAAAGGCTCTTTTTATCTGGACTGACTGTGACCGCGAGGGCGAGCATATCGGGTCAGAAATCAGAAAGCTGGCGCAAGAAGCTAATCCCAGAATTGAAGTAAAACGAGCGAGGTTTAGCAACATTGAAAAAGCGTATGTCTAACGTCTGTATCCTCTCAAGTCAAGATTACAGCTAAATGTTTTTGAGCCACGTACTGAATGCTGCACGGCAACCTATCGACCTTGATGAGCTCCAAGCCAATGCAGTTGCTGCGCGAATCGAGCTGGATTTGCGCATCGGGGCGTCCTTTACCAGATTACAGACGCTAAGCCTTCAACCCCTAGGCGAAGAACTCCAGGGCCTTACGATCAGCTATGGTGGGTGTTTATAGTCTGATTCTGGAGCGAAATAGCTCACAAGAATTAGGGTCTTGCCAGTTTCCTACTCTTGGCTTTGTCGTCGATCGATATTTCAGAGTCAAAAGTTTTAAACCTGAGAAGCATTGGCGTATCGAAATGATTCATCAACGCGAAGGGAAGAAAGTCAATTTTCGGTGGGATAGGGTCCATTTGTTTGATCGAATGGCTGCTACCATTTTATTCGAGAGGTGTCTCGCTGCAAGGACCGCCAAAGTTGTCAAAGTCCAGACTAAGCCGACGAACAAATGGAGGCCATTGCCACTGACCACAGTCGAACTGCAAAAAATGGGAAGCAGGTTCCTTGGGATGGATAGTCAAAGAGTAATGAAGGTGGGGAACCCAAAACAAGTACCAACGGATACAAGAACTTAAAGTGAGTAGATTGCAGAGGACCTTTATACAAAGGGCTTCATCAGCTACCCTAGGACCGAGACGGATCAATTTGATAGAGCTATTGATCTCAAAAAGCTCTGCGAGAAACAGAAGAATGACCCCTCTTGGGGTCAATATGCAAGTGGGTTAGTTTCTCGAAATTTCTACGCCATCTTCTGTTCATATTGCTCAAATTATACAGACTCTGCGAAGGTGGCTTTAGGACTCCTCGTGCTGGAAAGAACAACGATCGAGCCCACCCGCCAATCCATCCGGTCATTCACGTCACTCGGGACAAGTTGAGTCCAGAAGAGCGCAAAGTGTACGAATTCGTTGTACGTCGATTCCTGGCATGTTGTTCCGAGGACGCAAAGGGCAACATAACCACGGTGGAAGTAGAGTACGGCAGTGAAATATTTTCTAGCAGCGGATTGGTAGTTCTCGAACGAAATTACCTCGACGTGTATCCTTACGATAAATGGGAGAGTAGCAGTCAACTACCGCAATACTCTGCAGGAGAAAAATTTGTTCCTAATGAGGCGAACCTAGTTCAAGGAAAGACGACACCCCCAGGCTATCTGACCGAACCGGAACTAATCGCATTAATGGATGCGAATGGTATCGGGACTGATGCAACCATGGCAGAGCACATTGCCAAAATAAAAGAACGGCAATATGTCATGGTTCAAGCAAGGTCTGGCGGCCCCATTCTACCTGATGACGACGCAGAAGAGGATCGTGGCGCCACGCAGCGTCGATCTCGAGGTGCAAGCAGCAGGAGAGGGCGTGGAGCATCACAAAATGGAGGAGGTAGCTCGAGAACGCAACGTTCCGGGTTACAAGAATTCATTCCCAGCACACTGGGTGTCGCCCTTATCCAGGGCTATGACGATGTCGGATTTGAGGTTAGTCTCAGCAAACCATTTCTTAGAAAGGAGGTAAGTTGGGTCAAATAAGCCAAATTGCACAAATGATCATATCCACTCAAACTTCCGTAGATGGAGATGAAGATGAAAGAAATATGCGCCGGGACAAAGAATAAAGCCGACGTCATTCACGAAAGTCTTGAACAGTACAGAGAAGTTTTTGTGAGGACATCACAACAGATGCATGTGCTGAAAGCGGTAAGTTGAGCTTCACAATTTCATGAATGGTATTGGAATAAAAAGCACCAAGGCTCTAATTCAGCTGTAGGCTTGTCGAAAATATGTGTTCAATCAATGAAACGCATGAGGTTGGCCCTAACATTATATGCAATAGTATGAACTTTAGGGAAAGAAAGGACAAGGCTCATTAATACTGACATGCTCGTCCAATCTATCCCGTCATGCAACTTGGGAAAAAAGGCACAACGAATGTTAGTTGGCAGACTACTGGATACCCAAAGCGTACCTGATCTGAACTAAATCGAGTAGTCGAAAGATCAGAAGTTGCGGATACCACCATAAAGTGAAAAAAGCTGGCAGAACTTGTCTCAGCCAAGGTTTGGCAGCTGACGAAAAGTTATTGGAACTATGAGGTCTGCTGACTGCACCATCTACCGCTGTCTTTGAACATTCATCGAGAATCCGCGTGTAGCCGCAGGCTCTGGTTATTCAGCAGCGATGGATTAGATAATCAAAACGTCACTGCGGGTTCAGCTTCATTGACAGCACAGCACATCTTGGCCCCCGGACTTTCCGAAGCGAGCCGATCCGCACAAAGTACACAAAACCACACGTGAAGTCCAATCTCTACTTTGCTTGGTGGAAATGTTCCCGCCATTCAAATTGCGCTTCTAAAATTGACTTGACGTGGAGCACACAAAGGGCGATCATGAAAGCGATTCAGACCCCACGTTTTAATATTCACTCTGGCATTGGTGCTCGGTCTGATCAGAGAGTAGATCTCCTACAGATTCTCCGATGTCGCTCTGCGAAAAAGGACCTGTTGGGAATGCGTGAGGGGAATATGCTGAGTGCTTGATAGCTGATCCTTGGGGCCACTTCTAATCTCGTTGATGGAATTCGGAATCTCCCCTTTCCATTCGTGGATGAGTTATCATTGAAAATGGCCCTATCGGGTTGCCCCCGGCACTAGGTTGAGAGGGAAAGAGGGTTTCTGAGGGTACGGTACAGATACAGCCATGCTTGTACCTGCCTCGGGAATGGAACTGGGTCTCCCATTTGGGTCTATCAGCTTCCGGGTGCGTGCTCGCCTCTGAGCGGGTGCGGTGGGTGCCTTCTCTCTTCCCCACCTTAAACCAGGCTTGGGAGAGAGTGAACCCATGCGTGTGTTAGAGAGACAAGAAACAGGAGGAGGGATTACCAAAACCCCACGCAACCAATCATCAGGCACTCAGCCTGCACACCCACAATCCCGAAATCGATCAGGGCCGCACTCTGTTCACCTGAGGCTACTCATATACCTCTCATAACGCTGCCTCATCTTTCTTCATTCACTCTTCTCTAGGATCAAATCGAAACTCAGCAGAACGATACTTATCAAGGCTTCCACTACTTAGCGGCGTGCTTATCAGTCAGTTGGGTTTCTTTATCCCACCCACGATTTCACCTTGCGCTGCCTCGCACTCGTCATTCCTCCTTCCCCGCGATTTTGCCGGGAAGTCGCCCTTTTGCTTGTTAAGGGTCCTTTTCTACGCCCTTTCCTGCAAGTCTTTGTGACGCGTAGCCTTGTGGTTATTGGTCTTATCAATAGGTTCGCCTACCCTGTTTTTGAGGAGGTTTGTCAAACGCGCTCGTGAAGCGCGATTATACGAATATGAGTCACTAACAAACTTGACAGCGTTTTGAGAGCCTTTGATCATATTATCCACCTTTGAGAAAATGGGTTCCATCAAGCCAGTCTCCAGCATCGCGATGGCTCTTTCCGGCGACGCCAAGTCTATTGATATCCATCGCCATGGCTCCAACCGCCAGCATGAAGGCCTCGATTTTGCCACGGCTCCCACTGGCGGACCTTCGATGCTCCTCACTCCGCCCAACTCCATCTCCCCTTCCCTGCCGCCGCAGGGCTTGAAACTGAGGAAGCATACCGGCAATGCCAGTCAAGATGAGTCGGACATCGATCTTCAGGACGCCATTGATCATGCAAAGAGTCATTCTCAATCCGCTCATGGCTTTCATGGGGTTGATCGCTCTGACTCTCTCGCTGGACTTGATACCGCGGGTACCATCACCCCAATCCTCCTTGCGAAGCATCACTTGCCAGAAATCCTGCTGTCCCACGGACCCTTGGCCATTCGCCACATTATGGGGTACCTGACTACTTCCGTACCGGGATTCTCGAGGATCCCGCCTGCAAAGGCACGAAGACTGGTTGTGAGCGCGCTTGAAGGTCGTGGCAGTAACGGGGAAGGGGCAGGCATCAACGGTGACGTTGAATTCGAGAAAGTCGGCTGGGGAAGATGGGATGCAAAGCGTCGGAATGGGCAGTCGCACGGCAGAATTTCCTCACGGGAAAAGGGAAATATCTCTCCCCCCGCAAGCATTACCTCGTCGTACAGCCCCACTTCAAGCGGTGGCCTGCAGATCCCCGGGCCCCGCTATGATGCAAACCACAACCTTGTCAACAATCGCAAAGACGCGTATGGGAGTAGCCAACGGAGCTGGACGGCCTATTCTGCTGCATTTTCGCACGATGAAGATGCTGATAGCGAGTTTCAGGAGGACATGACCATGCTCGAAAACGAGGCTGAGAAGATGTCGCTTGATGGTGGCGATGATTCATGCTCGTGCTCGTCCTCTGAAGCGCCGGAAGACGATGGGCCCTTGATGGATGATGATCTTGGGGATGATGCCACTGATGACGAGGACTGGGCAAAGATCGGCGCCGCTGCCCTTCGCCAAGGCTCGACTCCATTATCTGGAACCGGGAGTATCATGTCTAGTGCGCGCAACTGTCTCATGCCCCGCATGCATTCATATGCCGGACCCGGAATTGCCATGGCTGGAAAAAACAATGGCCCATTTGTTCGAGCTGCTCAAGGGGGCGGCATGCGTTCAAACAGCGATTTTCCCATCAATCGGCTGGCTCAGCATCCTTTAACCGAACAACAAGATGTGGATATGTTCGACTCCGACAAGCAAGAGCGTGAAGCCATTGAAGCTTTGGTTCGGCTCAGCTCAGTATAACCTTCTCCACAATTAATCGAACGGGGATTTGTTTTTTATTTCTTTAATCATCATCTTTTTGGCACCAGTGGCGTTATCAGGAGTGTCGTCACAGTGCTGGCCACAGACCGGGCACTGCAGTCCTCTTATTAGGCGTTGGCGCGGACCGGAAATCCATACCTGGAATCACACCTGGGAGCATATTCTTTCGCCGACGAGCATTCTATTTATTCATCTGCGATTTTCGAAACGTATTAGAGCTCGATTCTTCTCACATTTTTATTTTTTTCAACACGACCGACGAAAATGGGGCCCAGAACTTTATATTTCAATCGGTTCTCCAACCCTGTCGTGCTTCATTTCGATGAAAGCGGAGTCTCAATTTTTGCCCTGCGGCCCAGCCAGAGGAAATGTACAGAAACCTCTCTGGTAGCGTCCTTTGGACCCGGCATTTACACATAACTTTTCGTTTCAACCAACTCATCTATTTAATTTCCCGAGACACGACACATCGTGCAGGCGAAAGCAATACATTGCCTCCGCTTGGCATTCGACTGAATCACCGATCAAATCTATCGTGGCTCAGCCTCAATACTTTCTCCACTCTTAAGTCTTAATCAGCTAGACAAATCATTTTTTTCCCCTCTTCCCGACTTCAAACTGGACTCGCATATTCACGGAAGCGTCGAAGCCGGGTACTTATTCCAATTCTCGGCAGATGGATTCTTTTCTCACGTTCCAATCTGCCCTCCTCTTCCGATATCCTTTTACTTTATGACGAATACTTGACGATGGAACGAATTGATGGATGGATTGAAATTATGAAAAATAATTCGACACAAACAAACGGATCGCTTTCCTATCTAGGTTCCGAAAAAGGGCTTTCCTAATAATTGGTCATTTCAGCTTTCTTCCTCATCTCTGGTTGTTCATCTGATTAGGTTCCTTTTACGATCCCACGATCTGATGAGTTTCCGCCATTTCTTATCTCTTTTATTTGTCTGTCACTATCTCGTCTCTAAATCCAGCTTCCCTTTTCGCCATTTGATATAATGGGCCCATCCCCTGTTTCTTTTTACTTATTTTCTCCATCGATCAAATTACGATGGGCAGTCCACACACAATCACTCTGATGGACAGACAAAGCTAGTCTTAGCCTTGCATTTGTCTAGGCAGTTATGCGATACCTTAGGTAGCTAGCTTTTTCACATAACATTTCTCATCCTGTCCATAATTTCGGGACCAGAAAGGATAGGGATTTATCAATATACCCAACTCAATTTATTTATTGAGAGCTTTTTATTTCATTTGATACAGAGTACTTTCTTAACTGCGAACAGTTCTATTATTTTTTTTTTTTTTTTTTAAAATGTGACATGTGACATGTGATATTTTTAATGTGTGAAGATTTCAATTCTTTTTTTGGAAATAGCTCGTTGGAGACGTTGTATGGTTTCACGACAATCTTTTGCACGAGAAATGTTTTTAAATTCAATCATTAGCCGTAGATAATCTTCTAATTACTTCCACTTGCTATTTCGCCGAGTAACCTAAAATAAAACCCTAAAATAAATTCCTGACGCTCCCCTTTAAAAAAATTTCCAACGACAGAAGAAGGAAGAAAAAATTCGTAACCTATTGCTATCCTAGACCCTGGCCCGAAAGTTGCGCAGAACTGAGAGAGGAATAAAACGAGAAAGTGAGGGGAAACAAGGGATGGGAAAAAAAAAGGATAATTGAACGGTGCTGTACTAATTAAATCCTCAAAAGGAAGGGGAAAAACAAAAAACAAAACAAAAAACCGGAAATCAAGCAATCGCCTTGCCCATGATCAATAGGCTTTGAAACTCCTGGACAGTCCTTCTCCAAAGATCCTTATCTTTGCGCTGGAGAAATGTAGACGCAGATGCAGAAACGCCACCGAGGGACTTTTTCCCGGCATTCTTTTCTTTCCAATCGCCCACGATGCCGCCGATTTTGCGGTTCAAATACGCAGTAAGCCTATCGGGATGTGGTTTGACGCCGTTACCGTAGATGATACTGGCAGACGGGTCTACTGAGACTTTGATCCCTGAGACGGCAATCACGAAGCGAACTAAGACTTTTGATCTCAAGGCTGGCAAGAGGACCATGGATCTGACTTCTAATACGTCTGGAGTTGAGTTCGAGGAATTGTTAGAAGAAGAGGAGGAATGGGAGGAAGAAGAGGAGAGAAGTTGGACATCGGTAACAAAGGAGAGGGCGAGAGAATGGATTCTCCGCGTCACGTCGCATGCCGTGTCCCAGAATTGGCGCAGGTCTGAGAGAAGTTTGGCGAGATTGATAGTTGATGATCCGTTCCTCTCCCCCTCTGGAGAGGTAAGAGCATGAGCGAACTGGGATTTGGCGGCCCTGAGGAAGAAATTTAGAGTTGCTTGGGACTGAGCAGATTGGAGAATAGGTTCGAGGGCATCGGCGGAGTAAGAGAAGCCCATACTGGCTTTTGATAAATCAAGACCTATTTTTGAGTTGTTGGGTGAGGATAAGGTGAGGTTAAGCCCGTTAGTGTAGGCTATCACGAGATCGGTGGCAGATGCTGATTTGATAGACCAGCCATGTTGTTGCTCCAGCGCTTGGACTTCGGCTGAAGAGATTGTGAGTTAGCAAAGCGCGACATGAATGAACTCAAATGGTCCGGTAGCATACCTTCAAGAGAAATGATTTCGCTAGACTCATATCCGCGGCATTCCTCTCTGGTCTTCTCGGCCTGAGCGGTATCCTCCAGTACTTTTGCTTTCCTGTCAAGGAGATCTGCCTGAGTGTCTTCAACCTCTCTCATTTGTGATTGAAGTTCCTCAAGAAGACGGGTTTGTTCTTCGAGGTCTGATTGCGCGTCTACCAATCTGTCTCTAACATTTCTCAGCTCTTGAAGGTCACACTTGGCCAGTTCCTCTGCTCGCGTACGCAGCTCCTGCTCTGTCTTCTCTAGTGCTGTGCGTTTCTCAAAAAGAGTCGGCAAAACTGGTTGCAAAAGCTTCTCTTGGGAAGCAATTGCTTTCTCGTCTGTTGCCAAACCCTCCAGGGTAGATTCGAGATCGCTCTTAGCCGGTTTCAGAAGGTTCATCCGCCATTCGTACCATGTTCTTTTGCTTTGCAGCCTGGCATATGTTTTCATGTTCTTGAGCTGATTATCCATGATCGATTTGATGTCAGGTGGAGCAGAAGTGTATTCCTCAAATAGTGGAGGATTATCCTCGGAGCTCCTTGCTTCGATGTACTGAATGGTATTGCGGCCATCTGAGAGCTTGTTCTTTAGTTCGTTGCAAGACTGGGTATTGAGTTAGCTAACGCATCAAATCAAGACTACAATCGAACTTCACCTTCTGATAGACCTGTAACATCGGGACGGTACAAGTCCCGGCAGCGACATGGTCGTCAAAGCTCTGAGACGCAGGTCCATTGGCACTGGAACCATTGTTCTTTCCTGTCGTGATATTACGTGCGAAGGTAGTATCCCGTCTCTTAGTTGTCGTGAGCTCCATGAAACGAATACTGGTGAGATTCAAAAATTCTTGGAGTTGAATATTGTCCTTCCGCCTTATGCGACCTGTTGGTTTGGCGGGTGACTTCAGAGGTTCTGATCTACTAGCATGCGTGCTCCGCGTGCGAGGGCCTGCTTTGCGTGGTGTCGCCACCTTTGGTTTGATCGGGGAGGGTTCCCTCACTGGAGAGAAGGAAACGTTCTCTTTTTCGACTTCATTTGGTGCGGCTTCCTGAGTCTTCGATGTCAAACTCTTTTTTGGGGTTTCGCGGAGAGCAGACGGGCTTTTTGGAGGAAGCACAGGAACTGATAGGTCGTTCCTCTTAGGCGTTTCTCCGCCCACGGAAGGGCTTTTTGCGAGGCCGCTAGGGATATATAAACCATTCCTCTTTTCTCGAAGTTTTGACGGAGATCCGTCGTCAGATTCCTCGTCCAACTCAAGAGGCCGCTTCCCGAGCAAGCCCTTCGCACCACCGGTATGAAGACTCTTGCGACCTCGAATCTTCCGTTTTGGCGTTAGGCTTTGAATCATTTCCCTAATATTGAGAGTCGGCTCCTTTTGAGCCTCCTTCTGAGCCACAAAATCTTTAGCAGGTTCATCCATCTGATTCTCCATGAACTTGGCCGGCGAAGGCTCCTTTGTCAGTTTCTTTGATGGCTGTGCTGGTTTCGCACTTTCCGTCGGTTTTGGCAGAATTCCACCCATCGCCTGCGTCATGTCCATTTCCATATCGACTTCCATCTCATTGGAACCGCTTTGTTCCTCAACTGTGGCCTCAGCTGCTTGAGCACTTTCTTCAATAACTTTTTCATTTGAGAAAGACAAAGGTGTCACAATCTTCTGCTGAGGTGTCGTGGGTTCAGGCGTGCCTTCTTTGCGAGAGCTGGCACCAAGTAAACCACCAATGGCAGAGGTGAATTCCATGGTCATCTCCTCGTTCTCATCTCCCTCTTCATCATCGAGAATGCTATTGACTTGATTGGCAGGACCGTTTATCTTGCCAAGAGGCATAGTCAATTCCATGGCCATCTCTTCCGGAGAAGAGCCACGATCAAGAGACTCCCACGCGCTGTTCGAATGAGACATTGCCATATCGGACTTTTGCTGATCCCCTTGATAGTCATGTTTCTCTTCTGGAGAGACAGGCGGAACAATTCGGCCAACTCCACGAGTTAGGTCCATGGTCATATCAGCGTCTCCCTCAGAGCCAAGCTCTAGATCTTCACCCTCATTTTCATCGGGAGGTGTGCTTTGCTTCAACTCAGGATAGAGAAGATCCTTTCCATCGAAGCTTCCTTTGTCTAGAACATGTTCCGAAGGCTTATGCATCCACGGCTGGAAGGCGCTCGTAATTTCATCGCCCACAATTTCCATAGTCACCTCACCATCATCGTCGACCTCACCATCATCGGCATCCTGCGTCATATAACCCGTTTCTGGTTTCTGAGACGGATTATGAGGACCACCGCTGAGATAAACAGTGTCCAAGACCATTGATGCAGTTCCTTGATCATCATCCGAACCTTCCTCAGACACTGAATGCTCGCTGACGGGAGAATGGGTTTGACTGGTATTAGCAGGAAGCTCTTCGTTGACTTCAGAGCCACCACTTGACGGACTTGAGGAGATATCGTCAAATTCATCTGGGTTGTTGAAGTTCATTGGAGGAATTGTCGAACTCCTGCGCCGACGCTTCTTCTGAGGGCTTTGGCGCTGTCGGGGTGACTGCATACGGGCGCTGCTCCGGGTCCGTTTAGGAGGCGTTGATGGGGAGTCCGGAGTAGCATTCATGGACGTTGAAGTGAGCTGGTCAAATGTACTTGACGCTGAAGATGCACGTCGCGTCGAGTTACTAGAAGCTGATGACGTGGTAGAGTCGTGTGCATATTCAATGACGTCCCATGTGTGAAGAGTCGCCTCAGGCGCAAAAGAGACACGCCGATTGGCTAGATATCGTGTAAGTGACTCAAAACCCTTAAGATCTGAATCATTGGGGGATTACCTAGAGATTTTCGCCTCGCATCCCTCCTCTCTTGGATTTCTCTCCTTTGACGTTCTCTTTCCTCTTTTTCTTCCCGTTCCCGCTGTGCAGCCGTATGCTCTTCTCCTTTCGGCTTTCCTTCATCAACTCCAGGATTCATAGAATTGCTTGAAGGCTTTGGAATGTCGAAAAGAGAGCTCTTTCCGTTCAGAAGAGGGTGCTGCGAGCGCATGATTATATTTCCGTCGTCGTCCAAGGCGGGGTAAGTTGGTGTCCGTGAGGGGATCTGCCTCAGTGGGGAAAGGGGTATTGTTGGTTTAAGTATCGACTTGGGATATGACACATTTGACTGTGACAGTCAGTAAATTGACAGTAGTAAAATTCGGACCGAAACGTCCAGCTTTTGTGAATGCCCACCTCCGCTAGTTTAATGTCATCATCAGTTAAAGCGTCAAGACCACCGGGTCCAATGCTTTTGCTTCGTGATTTCCGTAGAGCTTTAGCAGCATGTTGCGCATTCTTTGTGTTTTTGATTGATCCAAGATCTGTAGTCGCATTTTCCTTGTCTGCGTCCCCAAATGTGGCTCCCGTTGGCATATGTGCGATGGATCGTCGAGAGCGTGGCCGTGGCCGCGGCGCAATATCACCTCGACCAGACGGGGACGGCATGGTGGTGATCTATTGGTATCGAAGGCTGCTAATATCCTTTAAATGAGGTAGGATTTTGCAGCTGGCATTCTTCACTCAATCAGTAGTATTGGCGGAGGGGAACGTGTTCTATGTGGGTGTGTCGGCGTGATGCCTAGGTCATCGCGTCGTTGTTTTGTTTACTTTGTCGCTTCTACGGGTTAGTTCATTCGTTCCAGGGGACCGAGACGCCGGGTAAGAAGCTGTGAGCTTTGCTTTCCCCAAGATTGGTTAGCGTGAAATGATGAACATCCTAGACTGAAAGAAAGTATCGATACTTAAGCGAAAGCAAAGAGCATCAGCGTTTCCTTCCCGCCAAAGTCGGGGAAAACAAGTACCTGTACTCTTCCGCAAACGGAAGCTAAATGAGGCGACAAGGGTCGCTTAGCAGTAAGGGTCACATGATTTAGTAGGGCTTAAACCGCGCACAATAATCGTCTCGAGTAGTTGGGTGATTTCCCAAAATCGCGAGCGACAACAATTTCGACAGCGAACCCTCACGACCCGGCCGGCCGATCCTCAACCCGACCCCGACCGTCAAAATGGCCACCGAATTGACTGTTCAGTCGGAGCGTGCGTTCCAGAAGCAGCCTCACATCTTCGTCAACCACAAGTCGAAGTCTGCCAAGAGCAAGAGAGTTGGAAAGGGCGGCAGAAGATGGTACAAGGATGTCGGTTTGGGCTTCCGGACGCCCAAGACCGCCATTGAGGGTACCTACATTGGTAAGGGAATACCCGGATTTTGCGCGATCAGCGCAGGGCTTCTCGTGCGGGAAAGATGCGAACGTTTTGTCGAGCGAACGACATCGAGATAACACGCGAACCCGGCCTGTTCGAGGCTATTTGGAAATCAAATGTTAACGACTTGAAATAGACAAGAAGTGCCCCTTCGTTGGTCTCGTCTCGATCCGTGGCCGTATCCTGACCGGCACCGTCGTCTCTACCAAGATGCACCGTACTCTCATCATCCGTCGCGAGTACCTGCACTACATCCCCAAGTACGCCCGTTACGAGAAGAGACACAAGAACTTGGCTGCCCACGTTTCTCCCGCTTTCCGTGTTGAGGAGGGTGACCAGGTCACCGTCGGCCAGTGCCGGCCCCTGAGCAAGACGGTATGTGATAATTGGTTTGACGAAAAGCAATTACGAGTCTGACGGAAAATACAATAGGTCCGCTTCAACGTCCTTCGCGTCCTTCCCCGCACCGGCAAGGCCGTGAAGTCGTTCAACAAGTTCTAAATGCCTTAAAATCGGGAGATTCCAAGTTTGAGGGCGCTGGTTTTTCATGGTACAACAATTCATCAATCGTGTGACGATGGAATTGGCGCGGTTTATCTCGACAGCAGGAGGAATTTGGTTCGATCATTGTGTCTGAATCAACTCATGTTAGCGATAGTCGAGAATGGACCGTTCTTAAAATACACTTGCTGAATACAATACAATATGACCAGTGCCGACGGCGTTGGTTCTTGTGACGTTGACGAAAATGCTAGAGTTTCGTGAATTTACATATGGAAATGACGTCTCTCCTTTCCGCCAGTGAACGGCGCAAACGATGCAAGGAAGATCGAATTTGATCCATTTTATGACAATGTCTGGTCCGAATTATACTTTTATCTAAGTGTTTATACGACCCATCCGTTTACCACTTCCTCCGTTATACACTGCTCCAGCTCTCGCTCGCTGAAGAGCTCTTCTATATTATCGGCCAATCTGCAACGTTGCAGCAATCCCTTCAAAATGAATTTGAATCGACGTTTGACGACACTAGCATCATCTCCACCCGGAACGACGACACCCTGAGCAATAGCAGCCAAAAATGATTTATCCGCTTCAGCGATTCTAAATTGGAAAGATCTTAAGATTTCCGATACAAAAATGGTAACTAGATCATCGGCGACGCCAATGCAATTGATCAGATAGCCAATAGCCAGCCCGTGATCTTTGGTGGATGCGGTTCTTACACACGTCACCCGAAACTCCCTAATGCGTTTGCACTTTGTAAGGATATCTAAATGCATGAACGATAGCGACAGTGTCGAGGTAGCAAATTTCCGGAACAGTTGGTCCATTGAAAAGGTAGCAATGATTGCGCTGGCTCTTACTTGACCCCATATCAGATATTCGGATTGGCCATAGTAGAGATGCTTTTGCCATTGCTCCAAGGCCAAAAAGTCAAACAATGATTTGACGTAGTGCACATGTCGTCCGCTTCGTGCTGCCCTTTCCCATGGCCGGGCAACTTCCCAGAGATCGATGACAGCGATGGAAACCGGGAAGCCTGCTTTCCTCTTCTCTTCTGCGATGTGAATAACACGCAAGAAATCGTGCGTCGCCGAGATGAATGGACTCGGCTCTGTCGAGTCCTTCCGCAGATGGTTGATGACAGCCTTTTCAAACTCTGCAGTGCGCTTATCTGACTTGCTGGGAGTCCGCACAGGAATATCTACATATTTTCCAGCCGTGAATCCAGTGGGGCCATTCATGCCATTGCTAAGGACGTTATAGGCACGGTAGGCTATTCGAGGAAGACGAATAGGTTTGTAGCAGTGCAGAGCTTTTTTGACTAGTAAGATTGTTTAACATTATCTTCCTGAAGAAACTGTCCAGGTGCTTACTTGGGCGTGGGGCTACTTCTGCTCTTCCCCTTCTCGCCGAAGACATTGTATATACCGAAGACAATTTGATTATACTCTTGCCAGATCGGCAGTAAATAAAATTGCTGGCTTGCACGAAACGACTGATGCCGTTTTGGACTTATATAAACCCACTGGGAATTGAGGCCAGCTTGACAGACCTCCGAACTTGAACAAGTGCGGTAAAACGGTTGGGATCATGATCGTTAGCCATATTTGAGGACTGGCAATATATATCTGCAGTACCGCCATCGTCCTTGCAGGATTTGCCAAATTGAAAAGATGATACTTGAGCATTTTTGGCAGTGCCTTTCAAAAAGGAGACCATTGCCTTCGTAGCTCACTGTTCGTGATATTCTTTGGAGAAGGAAGGCCGGTCATGGTCATTCTCCTCGACGGAAGCACAAAACGGACTGGACGGAGGCACTAGCCCGCATTGAGCGAACTCGCATGGAAAGCAGTCACCATGCATTCATTTGAGCCCAGTCCTATCTCATCCGTGGGGGAGTCATTGTTGATGCAGGAGCTGTTTGTCTGTTCTTTTCGGCTCCGTTGTATATTGGTCAACTGCAATGAAGTAATTCCATTCACCATCTCGGCATTCCTTGGCAGAACTGCAGCTGCGTCAGAGCCATGATCACAGGATCGACAACGTGGCTTTAATTGACTGCTTCCAAAGTGATTAGAAATGTCTTGTAAATATGATCATGATAAGCTTCTCGGGAGAAGAGAACGACGGGCAAAAAAGGTTCCGAGAGCCATCAAATCAAGCCTTCCCGGTTTAGTGCGGTAGAAACAGCCCGGGGGATAGCAAAGAGACAACGGACGTCGTCCCATGGCCTTTCTAAAAATGACTCGCGGCTGCCTATCAGATAGACGTCTTCCCCTGTCTTGTACCATGTCGAGGTGAAATAGAGTCATGCATTGTTGCAGCTAAAATCTTAAGTAATCCCATCAACCCATCCTCGCAATATCGGGGATATCGGAGTGAGCAAACCGAAGTCACTGGCGGTTTCTGGTAGCTTAAGAAAAGGGTCGTTTGAAAGAGGGAAGCTTTTAGTCGCCTCCGTTGCTCCCCTTTGGCCATTGGCGGCGTCACCGTCACCGCTACCGCTCAAAGGTCCGACCAACCCCGACCAAAGCAGCTTCCTTCCCCCCCGTAGCTTTTGGGTCCAGACCAACTACAGTAACTACCGTACGGAGTAGTAATAGACCATCATCTACTACAATCCACCACGACCAACCTCACAACTTCTGATCATTCTTTCCCACCCCTAATCTCTTCCACCATTTCTCTCGAGCTGCATTTCTACTTTTCTATTTTCTCATCGGCAGGCGAGACAAGACCAATCTTCTTCTTCAACCAAATTCTATGATCCCGTCAGTGGGCATCTTGTCGTTCCGGTATAGAGCCTGTCGTGACTTCCCTGCACTTTCCCTCCCAGCCAGCTTTGCACAAGCACCCATCTCTGTTTGATGCAAGCAGAGCGATCGTACCGATCGAGGATATCATATTGACGTGTTCTGGCTCTGTGGCATAGGTCGAGCGCATATTCGCATCGCGGACGGAGCGGCTTTTTGCCTCCACGCTTCCGCTCTCTTCCTCGAGCTCATCTGCCCGCAGCACCAGGCTGATAAGTATATACTTTAATTCTGGTGGATTGTTCCCACACAGAAATCGAGCTACGGCTTTTGATACTGGATCACAACGACGCAATCGAATCGTATAGCTCTGGAGTCGATTCGAGCTCTTTCCTGGGCTGTCATAAGCCAACACCTATTCATTGAACATCAAAACGAAGGCTTTAATCCCTACAGGGACTGATTTTTCTTGACGCTTTACATATTTAAAGTATCTAAATCGATATCCGAGAAAGGGAACTCTCCCAAGTGAAAGGCTCTCTGCCGAACGTTCGCCAATAAGCATCGTTGTCACCACTTGCACACGCCGTTCCTACTACTCATCGGCGCCAGTGATCACGAAGAACCATTACTTCAGTAGCTGAAATATCCTGCTAACCCATTGAGGGCCATCTTCCGCAATGGGCCAGACCCCGTCGAAAAAGAGCGACAGCTCGCGACCTTCGGTCAATGCCGCGCAGTCCGGTGGTGAAGGGCTGGAGTCTTATCCTTCGTTCAGCCGATCCGATACAAAGGAATCCCTTCGGTCCTTTCGCGGCTCAATTCGATCTAAGATCCCAGGTAGTGGAAAGTCGGATAGCCCCAGAGGCTCGGCAGCCGGTCTTGCCGGAACACAGAACTCGGGCAATGGAGAGAAGTCAGATGCAGCATCTGTGAAATCGACGGGCAGTAACAAGTCCGCCGCATCCCGATCAGGCCGTGCGTTCTCCAGCCCGGCAATCCAATCTCCGACGCCAGAAAGTCCGGCTGCTACAAGAGCTAGCAGCATTGGCATGGATGTGCCCCAACCGCCACCGTCACCTACCCAGTCATCGTCCCTCGGGCACGGTCACGAATCTGTCGATAAAGCACAGCAAAGCGGTGAAGTTGATCATGTATCAGATATCCCTCCCAAAGGCACAATTCATCCGTCCCACACTGAACATCCCAAGGAATCCATCCTGATGAAGAGGGATGGTGCTCCGAACCTTGGGCCGGCACAGATACCGATTATAAACTACCCTGAAGATGGATCAGTGAGCGGATCCCCTACCATGGGCATTGGCGCCCTTCGATCCATTGATTTGGATGATATGATTACGCGCCTTCTTGATGCTGGGTACGCCGGAAAGGTGACCAAAGCTGTGTGCCTCAAAAACGCAGAGATTACCGCCGTCTGTGCTGCCGCACAACAGCTATTCTTATCTCAGCCCGCCTTGGTCGAACTCTCTCCTCCTGTCAAGATTGTGGGAGATGTCCACGGACAATATACAGATCTCATCCGCATGTTTGAAATGTGTGGCTTTCCTCCAAATTCTAATTATCTCTTCCTCGGAGATTATGTCGACCGTGGCAAGCAGAGCCTCGAGACCATACTGCTTCTCCTCTGTTACAAACTCAAGTTTCCAGAGAACTTTTTCTTGCTCCGTGGCAACCATGAATGTGCCAACGTCACTCGAGTGTACGGATTTTACGATGAATGTAAGCGACGATGTAACATCAAAATCTGGAAGACTTTTGTTGATACATTCAACACTTTACCAATTGCGTCAATCGTTGCAGGCAAAATCTTTTGTGTTCACGGCGGTCTTTCGCCAAGCTTATCACACATGGACGACATCCGGCAGATTGCCCGACCAACCGATGTGCCAGACTATGGCCTGCTGAATGATTTGTTATGGAGCGATCCGGCGGACATGGAGTCTGACTGGGAAGCAAATGAGAGAGGCGTGAGCTATTGTTTTGGAAAGAAGGTTATCATGGAATTTCTCCAACGACATGACTTCGACCTTGTATGCAGAGCACACATGGTTGTTGAAGACGGCTATGAATTTTTCAGTGACCGAATACTTGTCACAGTATTCTCAGCGCCAAACGTAAGGATCAAATCGCCCTTTCCGTTCGTTTCACACTAACAGAGGTTTTAGTACTGTGGCGAGTTTGACAACTGGGGTGCAGTCATGTCCGTTTCGGGCGAGTTGCTTTGCAGCTTCGAGCTCTTGAAGCCTTTGGACTCGAGCGCGTTGAAGAGTCATATCAAGCGCGGCCGTAACAAACGCAACAGCATGTTGAACAGTCCGGTTCGTATATTCTTCTTTGAAATTTATGAAGAGTATCACTGACTTTTAATTTTTAGCCTGCTGCGGTGATGCCTCAAAGCTTCTAAGGCTTTGTTATCCTTTGACTTGCGCCCTCACATCTTCAATTAAATATTAAGGATGGTTTGTCCACGAGCGTTCGAATGGCTGGGAGCAAGCGATCAATTCGTGATGGAATTTTCTTCTGCTATCTCCTCCGAAAACAAAGACTGGGCGAATGACATTAGCACGTTCTCGACAGCGTGGCGAAGGGAGCGATTGGATTGCTTAGTTCAACCACGACTTTGACTTTGTCGTCTTGTTTCTCATTTATTTACTTTTATTTTCCTTCAAATTTGGCGAATATGGAGTTCAATTAGGAGTTGGGTTTTGGGTTCGGGCACAAACTCGAGTTCGCACGCGTTAGGAAAGGCAAACAGAGCGAATGTATGTCGTATGAGACGAAATACCTTAGTTAAATCACGAGAAAGTGGACAAGTTATCTAACCATGCCTCAAAGTCTGTCCAATGCTGCAGACACCAAGCCTTTGATCAAATAGTAATTTTACGAGCAATCTCCATATTCCCTCCAGGCAACAATTTCGGGGATCTCGATCACGTGAATATTGATTATCTTGATAAGTGTCAGCCCTACAATGCCGCGTCTACGGAGTGAGGAAGTCGCACCTTCATCATTGTGACTACATTGTTGCCACTCCCAGTCATCCTCATGGGTGCGCTCATTGACTGGCTCGTGCCTCCAGATGCAAAATAATCTTCAAATCTTTGTGGGATGCATTTTGCGCCTCTTGACGGGAGCAGAAGCAGAGTGCCGAAGGATCATAGGCAGATGACGTCGATATGGGTGTTACTGGGTTATGGAACGTGCTACAGCCTTGCGCACGTCCAGTCAAGCTCGAGACATTGAATAAGAAGCGGCTAGCAATAGATGCGTCTATTTGGATCTATCAATTTCTCAAGGCCGTCCGAGACAAGGAAGGAAATGCCCTGCGCAATAGTCACGTCGTTGGCTTCTTCCGCAGAATATGCAAACTCCTCTTTTTTGGCATCAAACCAATCTTTGTCTTCGATGGTGGTGCTCCAGCTCTTAAACGTCAGACAATTTTGGGCCGAAAGCAACGCCGAGAAGGAAGAAGGGAAGATGCCGTTCGAACTGCCGGAAAGCTACTAGCCGTACAAATGCAACGGCGCGCGGAGGAGGAACACAGGAGAAGAAAAGACGCAAGGTATGCTTCGTACATTCTACAGATTAAGCAATGATCCGTACTCATGGATATACTTTTCAGCAGTGCCAATCGTCCGAACGAGGAAGAGGAGAAGCTACCGGAGGAGCTCGTGTACGTCGACGAGCTTCAGATGACACCTCAAGAGCGCAGATTAAACCGACAGTTCAAAAAGAAGGATGCGTATCATCTTCCAGACCTGGACGTATCGCTCACGGAATTGGGAGCACCAGGAGACCCACGGGTCATGTCTCAAGAGGAGCTAGAAGAATACGCGCGCCAATTTCACAGAGGCGAGGATATCAACCTTTACGACTTTTCAAATATCGATTTCAACAGCCCTTTCTTTTTGAGTCTACCGGCTAGCGACAGATATAATATTCTCAATGCGGCAAGATTGCGAAGCAGGCTCAGAATGGGTTATTCAAAAGACCAACTCGATAGCATGTTTCCTGACCGCATGGCATTTTCTAAATTTCAGATCGAACGAGTGAAAGAGAGAAATGACTTGACACAACGATTAATGAATCTCAATGGCATGAATGGGACAGACGCGGATTTAGGACTCAACGCTACCGGAAGGGTGGAAGGCGAAAGAGGTCGCGAGTATGTCCTTGTGAAGAATGACGGTGCGGAAGGTGGCTGGGCATTAGGCGTTGTCGGCAGTGCGGACGAAGGAAAAAGCGACAAGCCCATAGATGTTGAGGTCTACGACCAGATGGCGGTGCCGAAAACCAATGCCGACGAAGAAGCGGACGATGAAGACGGCTTTGAAGATGTCCCTATTGAAGGTTTGAATCGTCTGCCGAAACACATTTCACAGGCAAGACCTAGTGCTGAAGATCACTTTGTTTTGCAAGAGAACGCTAGGAGGAGAGAGGAATTTTACTCAGCTCGAAAGCGTCAGACTGGAGCGCAACCTACGCCGGAAGAAACGGATGGTCAACTTGATACATTGTTCATTCCAGAAGATGAACCGTCTCAATTGGGTGAGACTCATGATCTTTTTCATGATGGTTCAGTATCGGATGAGGAAGAACAGCTTCAAAGGGCCATCCAGTTGTCACTACAACCCTCTGCTGAAGGCAAGAGCCCCGCCGATCTTTTGGACATGGAGGATGATGATCTGCTCAATTTTGATGGGGGAAACGAAGTGCCCTCGGCTTCCAAATCTCCCGCGATAGCTGCTCCTCGGCATCTGGAAGCCATCGCAGACGATCAAGATGACTTGGATATGCAATCTGCTCTTGCAGAGAGTCGTTCCAATCAAGCGGTCAGCGACCAAGCCCGGAGTCAAAAAACTACAGCACCTCCTACCCGCGCAACGTCTGCATTTGGGAACAAACCCGCTGCCCAAAAGTTTGATGGCCCGCTTCCATTTAAAAGGCTTGAATTCGGCAAGTCGATGCTTCGAAAGAAGCAACCTGAAAAAGAGCCCGATGAGGAAGCAGGAGGATTCGAGAAAGGCCCAGCGGAGGAAGAAGAAAAGGCACAACCTCTGCCTCCATGGTTTGCTGGCGACGTAGCGAAGGATCTGAAAGCTGCTAAAGACTATGAAAAGCGGGAAGCAGAGTCAGCGCGCGAGCATGATATTTTTGGGTCGCGGAACGAGATTCTACTGAATAAGCCCAAGCAGAGAGAAGTGATTGACCTCGACGAGGAGGAAAAGCCCGCTGCGACCATGACTCGTCCCATCGAGCTCAGTCCCAGCTCCAGTCCGAAGCCGAGAGACAAAGTCGACGCTTCAAATGACGCCAAGCCATCGCTGCCGACCTCCGCAGCACATGAGGTGCACAAGTCCCCTGAAATACCTCCTGCTCACCAACCCGCGGAACCTTCCTCGCCCAAGAGTGTGAGCGAGGAATCCTTACAGTGGGAGAACGTTGCAGAAGAAGGGGAACCCGCTCCCCAGCAACAAGAACCAGTCGACCTTCAACCCCTTGAACAAGCCGATTACGATTTCCCTCCACCTTCGCCCAATCGTGAAGTTGATCATTCCTACGACCATGCTCCCGAATACCTTCAGCCCGCCGCTGGTGCAGGCGAAGACGTCGTCGAGGACGCTGGCGTCTACTCCGACGACGCCGAAGAAGACGAACTCATGCAACAACTTGCTCAAGAAGCAGAAGAACACGCACGATTCGCATCCAGTCTCAACAACCACAGATCCCAATTCCAAGACGCCGCTGACTACGAGCGCGAGCTCAAACAACTCCGCAGCCAACAAAGCAAAGACCGCCGTGACGCCGACGAAATCACTCAAATCATGATCACCGAATGCCAGCAGCTCCTCAAACTCTTTGGCCTCCCATACATCACCGCGCCCATGGAAGCCGAGGCCCAATGCGCCGAGCTCGTCTCCCTCGGCCTCGTCGACGGCATCGTCACCGACGACAGCGACATTTTTCTTTTCGGCGGCACCCGCGTGTACAAGAACATGTTCAACCAAGCCAAATTCGTCGAATGCTACCTCTCCTCTGATCTCGAAAAGGAGCTCGACCTGGATCGCAACCGTCTCATTCGTCTCGCTCACCTGCTTGGGAGCGACTACACTGAAGGTCTGCCCAGCGTCGGGCCCGTCACCGCCCTGGAAATCCTTTCCGAGTTCGACTCCCTTGAAGGTTTCAAGGACTGGTGGACTATCGTTCAATCAGGACTTCGGAACCCCAGCGCCGCCGCCACCCAGGACACCGCGTCCCCCTTCCGCAGACGTTTCCGCCGAAACGCAACGAAACTCTTCCTCCCCCCCACCTTTCCCGACCAACGCGTCGACTACGCCTACTTGAATCCAGAAATCGATTCCGATCCTTCCAGTTTTGTATGGGGCATGCCCGACCTCGATGCCCTCCGCTCGTTCCTCATGGCCACTATCGGATGGAGCCAGGCCCGCACAGATGAAATCCTCGTCCCTGTGATCCGAGACATGAATCGCAGAGAAGTCGAGGGCACGCAGGCCAATATTACAAATTTCTTTTCGGGATCTGTCGGTGCGGGCGCAGGCGCAGGCGCAGGTGTAGGTACAGGTGGCAGTGCAAGCGCAAGCGCGCCTGCACAGGCGTTTGCGCCAAGACGCAGAAAGGAAGCGAAGAGTAAGCGCATGGAAGACGCGTGGAGTAAGCTTCAGCAGAGAGCGAAGAAGAGGAGAAAAGGCAATGAAGATGGGGATTGAAGCTGAGGGCATCTAATGGGTAGATTGAGTAGATTCAAGGAGTTTTCTTTTTTTGGGGGTTGTTTTTTTGGGGGGGGGAAGAAAGCTGTGATTATTTTACTCTTGGAAAGAAAAGTCCCGGTTTAATCTTGCTATAATATATACCATGACAGTGGACAAATAAAGGCGGCACACGGTGTATATGGTACATGGTAAATAAGTATCTTCTTGCATTGAACCTTGGAAAACTATTAATGGAAGTGGCTATGGTATGACTGTACTGCACCTTTTCGTTAGGTGAAAGGATGATTATAATTGTAATGCGAACGCTTTGATACCAACAGAAACACGACTGTAAAGGTATCAAGACACAGCTGTGAATGTATCAAGATTTTCATCCCGTTCAACCCACTCTCCTTTTCTTCCAGCGCTGGGATCTTCTGAACCTCGACGATTTCATAATAGGTGCAGAAGCAGACACGGCAGAAGACGACGCTTCAGACTCCTCCTCGTTTGCGCTGTTGTGATAGTCTTCGTCTTCTTCGCCGATCATTTCGACTTCGACTTCTTCTCCTTCCTCATCTCCTGCTCTTCTTCCTCGTCCATCTTCTTCTTCTCCTTCGTCCTCTTCATCCTCGTCATCCTCGCTATCCTCTTCTTCATCTTCTCCATCTTCATCATCGTCGTCGTCGTCTTCAATCTCGATAATGGGAATCGCGTCTGCACTGCCGTCCATCATGAGCCCATGCAATCCCGACGGCATAGCTGCTGATCCGCGTTTGCGTTTCATGCTCGTAATTGTGGACGACGAGTCGCGTGATGATGGGCCATGTACGCGTAGAGTAGTAATCTTATTACTATGTGTCCCCGCTGATGCTCCTGCGGGCGCGGCGGCTAATGTTGCTGCAACTGCAGCTGATGATGACGAGGAGGGCGATACTAATAGTGACGGAGAGGTCGAGGAAGGTGTGATTGCATGTTTTTGTTTTGGTTTTGCAGAATATTGAGATACTAGCTTCAAAGATGATGGTGACGATGACGATGCCACGGTTCCGGATGTTGCGGTCGCGGAAGCTGCAAGTTTTGCTTTTGCAGCTGCGGCGGCTTTTAGGGCGCGTGGTTTCCTCCCGGCCCCGGCGCGCGCACCCCCGCGTTTACCGGGCTTTTTGACGGTGAGTATGATCCGGGATGTGCTTCCCTTGTTGGTACCGGATGCGTCTCGGCTGGAGTCGCCTGTGTTGTTACTGTTCTTGCGGAGCTTGACTTTGACGAATTTGACGGCCTCGCCGGAGTAGCTGTTGGCGGTGGGAATTGGTTAGTGTGATCTTGATAGGAAGAATGCAAGCATATGCTAGAGAAGCGAGGTTGCGGTTGAAAGTGAACGCTTGAAGAGAAGGCTAAGACAGAAATGAAAGAAAGAAAGAAAGAAAGAAAGAAAGAAAGAAAGAAAGAAAGAAGAACAACTCACCCGTAGTCGAACAACAATTCTTCACCGACTTGGATATCTCGGGTTGCGTACATTCCGATTCGGTGAGCCATGTTGCAGAACAGGACTCGGGGCTCGCAGTTCACGTCTGGTTTGTCCTGGTGATTGACGTAGCGGAATTTGTTGCCCGCTCTTGTTGAATCGAGTACTTGATCTGTGGGATGGTCAGACATTACTGAAGCTTGGTATCAAAGCAAAAAAAGTTCGCCTTCTATGCTGGATAAAATTGCAGGACTTACTCATGTTGAGATCAAAGAGGTAGGAAATATTCCTGTTATCATAGACCCATCCTCGACGCTCGGATTCATCCTTGGAGATTACTTCGCCCTTGTATTCTCCGAGATAATCACCTGCCTTGGCCGGCTCGCCCATGTACAAACCCCAGCCAGCAACTGCAGAATGGCCAAGGAGTGTGCGCTTAGGAACGTTTTTCTGGATGTGCATGTTGCTGCAGCAATGGAGTCGAGCCCTCTCATCGTAGCGATTGACAGGATCCAATGCTTCTGCTGCGCCACAAGTGCCACATAGGTCTGGATCGCATTCGCGATTCAATTTGTAGCAGTCGCATCTCTTGTTCTTCCAGCATGGGCGGTTCCCCCGAGCGCAGGAGCAGCCTCGGAAGCGGCGAGTGCATCCGTCCGAGCACATGCATGCTTTCTCACAAGTGATGCCAGCTTCATAGCACGGGCAGCCCCTCTTTTCACAGGAACCCACATGATTGCATGGCTTGAATGCCCCTCGTTCATGGTGTTTCCAAGTTTTTGAGTTTTCGAGCCAGTGCTCGAAGCCCCTTTTGTTTGTCAGTCGACTGCGAATACGGTCGCTTTGAAGAAGTTTAGCGGCAGTCGATAGTCCATTCGCATTTATCTTTGACCGCACTCTAAAATATACCTGGGAAACGAGTCAGTCCTAGATTACACTTCAACAAACTTTTCAGAGCAATGGAGTCAGAAGCTCACATCAATGCAGCGCTTTGAAAGCGAATGAGCCAGCAAGCAGGCGCAGCGTTTACTGGTGACATACGCCGGCAACAGGGCGTCGAGCAAAGCTAGCTCTGATTCAGACCAACCAGAAAGGTTGGATGACGATCTGTTACTCTTCTTCAAAGAGCAGTTAGCTGAAAAGGTCCTATTCCGCGTCAGAAAACGATTAAGCATACCTTCCAGAAGCAAAAAGGCGAGCAGAGCTCATCATCTGCGAGGAGATCATCTTCATTTTCCTCCACTGGAATTGGAGGGTCTCCCCAGATCTCTCCGTTGTCGTCGAGGCCAGATTCATTGTGTAGAGTCTCTGCGGAGAGGTGTGAAGCAAACAATTCCTCAGTGCCACCTTCTAGCAGCTCGCTGATCTTCGCGATGCGGGGAAATAACGCATGAGTCCGGCTTCTTGGGGAGAGCGCAGCTTCTTCCACTTCTTCCGCATCATCGTCATCATCATCATCATCGGCAAATGCGCCATGGCCAGGACATTCATGTCTGCATCCAACAATAAAATATAAGAATTTTGAGCACTGGTTTTGGAAACATGTGGATGGACTCACGCGAAGCAAACTAAGCAGCCCAAGTCGGCATAAGTCCCCAATGTATATGGGTCTGATTCTCGTGCTTGACGAGCTTGGGACTTGGTAATTGGTGTATTGAAAGCCGTTTTGCGCGGACTCTCGATGTCGGTCACCAGATTTTCCTTCTTGGCAATATGCCATATACTGAATCCCGTAGCGTCGAGGAAAGCTTTGCACGCCAGTCCAGCCACGGCAATCGATGTGGGACTGGAGGGGGGCAGTTTTCTCTGTACTTCTCGCCATCTTTTCATTTCTTTCTCGTCATCTTGATTATAATTCTCCTCCAAATGGTCTTCGCGGTCGTTCCAGACAGCCTCCCAATCAAGAGGTACCAACTCATCGGGAATAGGCTTTTCCTTGTCGAGCAAGAAATGTAACACATCTGTAACAGAACAGCCCACATCTGCTAGAAATCTTTTGCAGCAGTCTCCGAAGTTTGCAGCCTGTTCGGCACGGAGATGAAGCATAGGCATATCCTTGATCCTATTCGAGAAGAGCTCGCTAATAGCCTTGTGACTTTCGACATTTTCAACCTCTGACTCGCCAAAGTAAGGCCAATATCTCATTTGTTCATCATCTTCGGTCAGAATGTTGCTCCTTAGGGTGATATAACTTGTATAAGTAGGTACCGTCAGAGGATTAGCAGCGTAAGAGGTAATGGGTACAGAGATGGACCTCTTGTCATTCTTGGCATTCGGGCCCCTCACAACCTATAAGAGTCAATCAAGACAATCTATGACGGCTAAATATTAAATTCCTACCTCTTGGATGAGCCGGCCAGGCGAGCCTGGAGTTTGGGGACTTTTCGAAGTAGACCCGGCCTCTTTTCCTTTCATATCAGCAAAAGGGGAAGTGTCGTCTACCACATTTTCCGCCTTCAAAGGACTGCGAATGGGGGCCCCTGATGAGCGGTCGCTTGACGCTGACTGATGCAGACTAGCAAGCCTTGAATTTCGAAGCCATGCCTAGGTACCCTTAGATTTAATAAAATATGGGGGAGAAGAGAAAAGTAGGAAAGAATATACCCTTACGAAATAACCGTGATCTTGACGAAGATCAGCGATATGATACGAAATTATGGCACGCATTCTTTCAATTGACCAAGGCCTTCTCCCCTGAGGAATTGCTTGAGATTGAAGTTTATCGCCAATTGCATCTATCCGGTTTGTCAGCCTGAGTAGTCAATCATAAATGCAAGAGAACAAACCTTCTGTTTCGAAATTCGCGTTATTCATATCAAGCGGAGTTTGAGAAGCTTGGGCTGCTGAAGGGGCTTCTTCCTCCGGCAATGAGGCCATCTCATTCTGCTTCTGGATATTCGTTAGCATTGAGATTCTGCATTGCCCTGTCTATGATCCTTGACTCAAGCCCAACCTTCTCCTGGCCTCTAGTGCGTAGTCTCGGTCCCATTCGCGACTCATCATCTGAGCTTGAATTGGGAACAACCAGTCTCCTTGTTCTTGTCCCTTCCCTCATTATGCATTACAATCGAAATGAAATTGAACAATTCTGAAATCATTGAAAAAGTAGATGTGATGACTGGGAGAAACAAAAAAAAAGTAAAGCTTCAACAAGTAATGGAATTGCGAAGAGGAAGATACCAAAAGTTTCTAAACAGAACTTGAACAAAATGACATTGGAGAACCCGAGAAACACAGCATGCCTTGATTGGTAGTGTAGTGCCAGAGCGTTTAGAAGCGCCTTTCGGGTGCTGCAAGCAAATGTAGCATGATTGATATGCTAGGGATTATTTCCAGCAGCAATCATCAGCTCGGGCTCATTGTTCTGTTATAATGGAGCAGTGTTGAAAAAGCAATCCATGCAATAATATACAGTGCGTAGTACTCTTTGGAAGTTGGATACATTCACAGTGGTGATTCGCGTAGCGTGCAACTTTCCGCGCCTCGCGATAACATTGTGATGACTAAGCAAACAATTGGACATGTCTCATAAAATTGTGCCGGTTTACATGAAGCACAAAAATTAATTTCGCTGCAAAAATGCGGCATGAGCACGCATCGACTCCTGTGACTGCTCTTTCCTTTGTCCCAGAGTTTCATGGTCGCCTCCTCTTGGCCGGAGAAGGTCCGCGGCTTAGGGTCATTGATACCCGGAATGAGAGCATCTTGATAGAAAAGCAAGTGTTTCGCGCACAGGCAATCCATGGCGTTGAGGCTCGCTGGCAATTTGATCCGCAAAATAACAGAAATGCACAAATCCTGGTACTCATCTGGGGTGGACACTCCGTTAGATTTGTACAACTCGACTATGTTGAAAATGCATGCGCTGTCACATTAAATTGGTCCAGCAGTACAGTGGAAGCGTTGGCCTCGGATTGGATTTTGGCTGCAACTTTTAGGTCCGAAGGGACCGAGAGGGCGGAGAATGCATGTAGTGCAATCTTGGTTACTGCGCACAACGCCCTGCTCCATGCATATGTGGAAGGTGGCTTGTATTTGCAAGACGAAAAATTGCCTGTCATTTCTCACATTGCTTCTGGTTCACGTTCTATCCTCTATTCAGCGCATGTTTTGTTCTTTTCCGCTTCTCACATTGTTATTGCCTCTGGAACTGTGTTTGGAGATATTCTTGTGTGGTCTTGTTTCGTGGATGGAAAAGTTCGCCCAGTTGCTCTACCGCAATTGGACTATGTCTTCAGAGGTCATGAGGGATCTATTTTCGGAGTGCATATATCGCATGAGCTGTCTCATTTGGGAGGAGATGCTCCTCGGCGCCTGCTTGCCAGCTGCAGCGATGATCGTACTATAAGAGTATGGAACATCTCAGAATGCTGCGCACTGACGCCGAATCGAGAGCGGCAAATCAACGATGCCTCACATGATGAGTGTGAAACAGGCTTTGGACGAGATATTCCAGATGACATTTCCGGCGCAGAGCATTGCGGTGCAGTTGCGTGGGGTCATGCATCGCGAATATGGGGCGCGCTCTTCGTTGATATCGACGATCCCTCTCAGACAGCTTTTGGCATAGCAAGGATCATCTCTTTTGGAGAAGATGCTACATGTCAACAATGGACATTGACCTCCAGGCCAGATGAGGCGGCAACCAACAAAAAGAACCAAAAGCCCAAGCCAGAGTTTCCCTATGCGTTGACAAACGTCGAGTCATCAAACTTGCATTCAGGAAAGAATATCTGGTCGATGAGCTTGAGTCGTGACCAGCACGGAGATCTTGCCTTAGCCACTGGCGGTGCTGATGGCAGGGTGGTTTTCAGAACGCTGCAGCCGTGTTTAGGTAGCCAGGGCCTGAAGAAACCCCACTCAGAATCTTGGGGCGCGGATGATTTCCTAAAGAGTGCTACTGCTCCAAATAATAGCGAAGATAAAGAGTTCGTTGAGAGAGCTACTGAAGGTGAGTTATCGCAAATTCAAAACAATCATGGTTTCTATAGTGGTCAATAGCTCATAATATACAGAAAACAAGGTCCGAAAGCAGGGTGCTGTTGCCAGGGACGTTTTCAAATGCTACGCCTTCTTAGACTCGAACAAATTTATCGCTTCCACCAGTCAAGGAACAGTTTTCCTTGCAACAGCTCGAATTCTCTCAGAAGGTCAAACTATTAAGCGAGCTTTACTGAGGGAGAAGCTTGCCCAATTCGATGATTTGAGATCGTATTCTGTTATGGGCGCTCCTCCCAATTCTGGTCTTGCTTTCATCGGCGGTGCTACAGGGCTTGTGCGGTATTACGATAATCGATCTAAAACTCTCGGGGACTTGACAGATGTTGGCGGTAAAATTGCTGGTCTCTTTACCCACGAAATATCCGCCAACGAGTTCTGGCTCGTCATCACATGTTTGGGCTCGTTCATGGCTTATAGTGTTCGAGTGAGGCGTCAAGAAGCCGGAGAATCTATACCTGCTGTTGCTGCCACAGAAACGAAGAGGCTTGAATTGCCGAAAGGGTTCGTGGTAACCAGCGTCCGCTCCCTCGTCAACAGAGGGCTGTTGGTTGTAGGTTCCAGAAATGGGGAATTGCTGGTCTATCCCCTCTCTGAGGTCAATAGCGTGTCCGACCAGCAGGCCACCTTGACTCCTTTCTCTAGCTCCCGCGTAAAGATAGCGACCGATGCAATTACGGTCATTACGGGCCTCCCTCAAAGTTCGAATACACAAAACACCGAGTACATACTCACGGCAGGACGAGACGGTAAATATTCCATTCATGAGTTGAACATTATTAAATCGGATGACGGAGGCATCGACGCCCAATGGAGCACAGTTCATGTGGCGACTCCACCGTTTGGGCCGAATATCGAGGGTGCTTACTTTAATTCAAAGGACGAGCTTGTATTATACGGCTTTCGCAGCATTTACTTTGTTGTCTGGAACGAGACAACACAGAGTGAGCTTATGATTGTAGAATGTGGTGGCGCACATAGGAGCTGGGCATTCTCTAAGCTCGATGCAGATCCGAATTCAGAATGCGCATTGGTCTGGACAAAGGCATCGGAGTTGCAAATGCGGTTACAATGCGGCCCGTCTCACCAAGTTCTTCAAAATGGTGCACATGGCCGTGAGATTAAATCGCTCGCAATCTCGCCAGCTAAAAACCAGTCAGGAAAATGCGGAGGAATTGTGGCAACCGGAGCGGAAGACACTACCATTCGGCTCTTCCTGCGAAAACCTGTATCAGACCCTAACACTGGGGCCGGAGGATACAGGTGTGGCGCCCTCCTCAAGAAGCATAAGACAGGAATACAGCACCTCAAGTGGTCCGAGGACGGTTCCTATCTCTTCAGCAGTGGCGGCTTCGAAGAGTTCTTTATCTGGAGAGTCCGCGAAATCCCATCGATCGGAATCGGTGTCGTGTGCGAAGCAATCTGTCAGTCGCCAAGTGCCTCTCATGAACTTCGAATCACTGGATTTGATATTTCTGAAGTCAGAAAAGCAACGAGTAGAGATGATGCTCAAGAGTCAGGGTTTCTTATTACGCTTGTTTACTCTGATTCAACGATAAGGGTCAGTATGATTCCTTTATTTTAAGAGGCGGTTGCTAATAATGCTTTAGACTTATCGCTACTGGACGGGTGACCCTGAGAAAAAGGTAGAATTGCTCCTGACGGGCACATACAAGACATCTTGCTTGACACAAGCATATCATCTCATTGGCAAGGATAGCTTCCATCTCATAACAGCAGGAACTGATGGCTACCTTGGGTTTTGGGATCTTGGGACGCCTTTGCGCGATCTTGGCATTGTAGTCTCTGAGGGGAAATTAACATCTTCTCAATCAAGCCTAGAAGACCGCACAGCCTCATGCACAGCAAGCGCCAAGGTCCACCAAAGCACAATCAAATGCTTCACTGCGCACGAGATCAATGATGAAACGCTGCTGGTGGGGACCGGAGGTGACGACAATTCTGTTGCGTTTACTTTGGTGCGGCATCAACAAGGAAAGTCTTCTTGTTCACCATTACTCGTACCGAATGCCCATACCGCTGCCGTTACTGCCTTGGCTTCAATTGTCGATGTTAATTTCAAAGACCCGGCTGGCCGTAGGCGATTCATCTTCTTTTCCTCGAGCAACGATCAGAGATTGAAAGCTTGGTCTTTGGTTGTTGGTGAAGAATCAAACGGAGTTGAGGGCATGGAGGTCAAGCTCCTGGCCAACGAGTTCACGCCTATCGCAGATGTGTCTTCAATCGACGTCGTCCAGGAAGACGGAGAACCAATTCGTGTCATGGTCTGCGGTGTCGGCATGGACGTATGGACTATTCCCGAAAACACTTGAAGCAAGGCTAAATCAGGGGTCTTCCCACGTGGAGCTGTCTAGATTGAGGCTGTGCTACTTTTATTTTCAACTGCGGGAATAGGCTGGCGACCGAAGCTTAATCCGTTCAAGAGTCGACCACTGCAACGCCAAGCTATTTTTCTCCGAGACATGGTGACGACGCAATTTTCATAGCCTCTCAGCCACTGAGATACCCGGCAGTTGTGTACGGGAAAATCTATATCTTGCGAGATCAGATAACTAGCCAACTCGGCCTTGCGTCTGAAGGCAGGCATATCATAATTCGGCCTAAAAGAGCAGGAATGCCGTGTATATAGCATTTAGATTTGTATTTACGAGGACACGACACAAAAGTCATTTTCTGCTTAGACGTTAAATTATTCTAGCCTCAGAAAGCTAAGAAAATGAATTTTTCTCAATATGATATACACTGTGATTGCGAATGATTGTTGCAAGATTATCAAGATGAATTATGATCTTATCTGATTTCGTTTGACTTTATACAAGGTACATGGCTGTATGTGGAGAAGGCTTTGAAAGTAAAGTACCTCTGTACACTTTGTGCAAACACGAGCCAAGTGGAGAATCAATTTCCAATTTTAGTTTTTGTGCTCGTGCCTGGGGCTGCGTCAGCCAAGGGGCACTGTGCATTTGAGGAATGACCCACCCAACAAGTACCTAACCAGCAAAACAGTTAGCAAGGATACTTGTCCATCCCCTACCGGGAGACCCTGGAATTGCGTGGCAGATCCTCTCCACCTCGCACTTATTTTTCTCTTAGCGACCGACTCCGCCTCGCCCTGGCAACGCAATTCGCAGCCTTGGATTATCGTTGTAGTAATGGAGGTTAGGAAGTAGCTAAGATCGTCTGTGTCGTTACTCCGCCACACAATTATTGACTTGGGCTGCTGGCAGGCAAACGGTTTCACTTGGCATGTCACCAGCCTTGTCTGACACTTTTTACTTAAATGACGTGAATGCCCTTTTCTTTTTTGAATCTTCATTTTCATCATCATCACCATCATCACACATCTTACGATAGAACATCGCGATAGCTAGCCCACTAGCCAGCCTTATCGCTACGATCTTCACGACTGGCACGATAACAGTGACATAACGCGTTTGATCATCTTCAGAACGAAGCTACAGTACCATACTGCCATAGCTTAATCTTCGCGTTCTTATCCCGCGGTTTCAAAAGACCTATTTGAGTTTCCAGTCCAGGTTCAAAATTGTCATCATCATCAAATAAGGAAACGACTGCAACTGAAATTACGACAAAGCTGTACTGCGTATTGCAGCCGACAAGATGGGCAAAGCAGGCAGAGTAGCGTGTATCTTCACGCCCATGGCCCTGACGCTTGCGTCTTTGATCTGCATTATCCTCGTGGGCATGGGCGGAACCAACAAGAATTCTAGCACATTAAACAATCTCTACTTCTTCAAGGTATGTTCTCCTCCTGCCCTCCCCCGTCATCTCCCTCAAGCCATCGATTCTGACGATACACTTCACCTTTAGGCCAATGCGCAAAACGTAACATCGAGCCTAGAATCCCTCGTTGCCAGTGAAACAGGCATCAGCTCTTCGGACTTGTCCGCTGCATTGTCCAGCACCGGCACCAACCTGACCACCGCGCTGGGTCTCAAGGACTTTTACACCGTGGCACTATGGAACTACTGCGACGGCAGCATCACCACTTCCTCCTCCAGCAGCAACAAATCCAGCCAACACCAAGTCGACCACGTCGAATATTGTTCCCCGCGCAAGGCAGAATTCTACTTCAACCCCGTCCAAGTCTGGGGCCTGGACAACAGCACCAACTCCTCCTCGTCCGCCTCTTCTTCTTCATCCTCATCCTCTCAGCTCTCAGAAATCGAATCCAAAATCCAATCCGAGATCCACAGCTACCTGCACGACAAGATCTACAACGAGTCCTTGAAAAAGGGCCTAGCGACATACAAGGCGGTCGCGAAATGGATGTTCATCGCCTACGCCATTGCCTTTTTCGCCACCATCGCCGAGTTCATCCTCGGATTCTTTGCCATTTTCTCCCGCTGGGGCAGTTTCGTCACGAGCATCGCCTCGACGGTCGCCTTCATCTTTACTCTTGCCGCCTCAATCACTTCCACGGCCCTGTACGCTTCGCTCGCAGGCACCTTTGACAGCGCGCTGAAGAAATACGGCATCCACGGCTCCATGGGAAAGCAAATCTACGTTACCACGTGGCTGGCAGTCGCGTTCGCTGCCGCAGCCGGATTGTTCTGGGTCCTCAGCACCTGCTGCTGCTCCGGCCGCTCCTCTTCTTCTTCTCCCTCGAAGCGAGGCAGAACCCGCAGCCGTGGAGAAAAGGATGGTCCTATCCCCATGATGACCGGCGGGGCCAGCGGCACTGGCGCCGGCGCGCCTCTCCGGCCAGGCACCTATGGCTACGACCGTGTTCCGAGCCCGTACATGGGCCACGATGATGGCCAGTACCACGGAGGAGTAGCACCGGCAGCAGGAGCAGGAGGATTCCCGCCGCACACGGATTACACGGGGTATAATCCCAGCCACAATATTGGCACAGCTATGCCGTATGAACCATATCGGCACCGCGAAGCTGTTTAGTGTGTTTAGAGTTATACAACTTGGTTCTTATCTTCTTCTTGTTTCCTCTATCCATTAGCTTCTCTCTTTTTTTTTCTTCTCTCTCATTTTTTGTTCTCTTTATTTTCTTATTTCTTGGTGGCTTTTCCTCTGAATGGATCGCTACTATATGGTTACGGCGTTTCCTCTCTCCCTCTTTCTCTCCCGGTAACGATTACTTAAAGACGTATATTCTAGCTTTTAAAGCATCTTGTTACGATTTACGATTCTCAAGATGCATGCTAATGCTATCTCATGACCAAAAAAGAAGTTTACTGAAGAAGGACAAGGGGACTACACAGTCTAGATACACCTCGCAATTCATATAAATTTACACATGGCTCCCGTGATACCTTGCCAAATAGACAGTTCTAATACCTTGCCTAAGGACAATAGTGTTTATACCGTTTTCGTGATTCATCATAACTCCACCTATAGGTAATGTGGAATTCTACCTGCAAATGCAACATGCAAACAACATGCAACAATGTAATATCGCTAGAACAAGTTGAACGGGCGATTCCTGGGCGCTGGCCGCTGGCCGCTGGGAGCTTCTAGTCCGGCGATCGGATGGTCCCTATTGAGAGGTTAGTCTGAAGGGTTAGTCTGGACTCTTAGCATTCTCCACGGCCTCGCCGGGGAAGCTTGTTTTCATAGCATAGTAGTCATAGCATAGTAGTCATAGCACGGTGATGTTGAAAGAATTGAGATTCCGGGGCCATCTTGACTCCTTATATAATTGAGCTGCATGCAAGGGCTTAATTACTTATGCAAGGGTCAATTAATTGATGCAAGGCCCTCTCTTTGTTTCACGCTATGTTTCACTCGGAGGTGGACTTTGAACTATTTTGTATATTAAGGGTATAGGGTATAGGGTTACTGGTATGGTATGGTACGTATGGTATGGTATGTATAGTATAGATAGTATAAGAATTAAAATTCAGTCCGTTGAAGCTTTGCTTCTCCCTCCTTCCCTCCCTAAATTTGACTAACATAAAGATGATTTTTACAATAAACCTATGTATTCTATGTTGGAAATGTATCAACCCCGAAGCATATAGCATGAAAATTGAGCTAGATAGGTTAAAATATAGATTCTTAACCACAATTCTTAACTACATTACTAGAAGCTTTAACTGTAATTAGTGAGCATCATTCATGTATCAAGTCTCACGGGTTCTGGGATAGGGTGTTTGGGGGGGCGGGGGCTGCTGCCACGGGGGGCTGTTTCATGACACGATGCATACATCCAGGCCTACTTAGTCACTTACACCTTGCAGCAATGCAGCAAAACCCTCGCATGGAAGTGGTGATACCTTGCAGAGAGGCCCAATCAGGCAATGTCCACCTCTAGCGCGGTTCAAAGTATTTTTTATTATTGTTAAAAGAGCACGGCCAAATCATAGAGAAAACGCTGCAGACTATACCTCCCCCTCCAGAATCCCGAGGTTTTTTGAAAGAAAAAGATATTCCGATATCCTGATATCCCGATAAACACCACCGCTTATGAAGACCTAAAAAAAAAAAAACAAAAAAAAAAACACGAAAAGAAAAAGGAAAGGAAAAAGGAAAGGAAAAAGAAACATATCATTCCAGGAGCAGCGAGCAAAGTTGACGGGGGTATTAGATTGACGGTAAAAAAGGCATGGAGATCTAAAGTCTGGCATCAGGCCCATCGTTATCGACAAGGGCGTGCACATCGCTAGGTAAGCCGTCGACTCTTGAGGGTGGACGACGCTCGATTGTCTGCCGGGTGAATTGATGCCAGCAACTTGAGTCAAAGAGCGTTAGAAGAGGAAGAAAAAATGAAAAATAAAATGAATAAAAATTGACGAATGTGGGATGATGGATGGCTTACTTTGGAGCTTGCAAGACATATCTGCCCATGGCTTCTCGGAAGCGGCTCTTGTATTCCTTGGGGCTGGTCACGGTAGGCTTATTCTTGCCGCGGTCTTTGATCCAGGATTCGAGCTTCTTGTCCCACGTGTAGGTGCGGATGCAATCTGTAATAAAGGGGAAATGTAAGTGTCCAGTAGCCCAAAATATTTGGGGAAAAGAGCCAAAAGAAAAAGCTGAAACAAGCTTGGTTGACAAGCTTGGAAGTTTTAAAGGTGGCAACATACCAATGATACCAACGACGAGCTCCTTTCTGTTTTCATCAATGGCAATCATAAGACTGTAGTCCATGACATTTTGTCTTGCGAGAAAGAGCGTGTCATTCCAGACACTAGCGCGTAGTAATCGCTTCGAGTGCTCGCGTGCGAAGAGGGGCGATTCATAGATGAATTCGACCATGTTTTCGTCCAAGAGAACTTCATTTCGCTCCCCTGTGGACCGCGTATATCTGTTGCGCATGGATCCCTTGAGATCGAAGATCTGTAATGATAAGTAAAGTTAGTGATGTGACTTGGAGTTCATTCGGGATAAAAAATAATTCACATACCCTCGTTGGCGTTCGGTCATAGAATAGATTCTCCATTGCTAGTAGATACCAGTTGAATTCCACACCAGTGTTGGGATTCTTGATAATGACTTGATAGAATCCAAACATCTTGGCAATGACTGACGGTAGCTGTATTGATGTCAGAACAAAATTAGAAGAGGGAAATAAGGTTCCGGTACATACCTCGTGGAATAATGCTTCGGACATGATTTGAAAGTAGGCGGGTGCAAATTTCAAGAATGCTTGTGTTTCAATCGGCGATAGAGACTTTAACACAAATCGATCATCAAGCGTCTTGAGAAAAACCGATTTGGTCTTGCCGCCTTTGGAGTCCCATTTCAAGCATCGTGAAAATGACTCTACGATGCGATCAGAAACGCCGCATTTTCTGCGCAAAGCATCAAATTGCTCTGCATAAAATATCTTGCAAAGCATCTTGGCTGAACCTTCTTGAAACTGGTACTTCAGATGCGTCCCAGTGGACCGTAGCAGTGATCGCTCAACTTCAATCTGGTCGTTCTCCTCCGAAGTACTACTGGCCGGGCGAGGTTCGTCTTCCTGAGCCGCGGAATCATCTTTCCTTTCGCGGATTGCACGCAGCTTGGTCATATAATCCTCCGACCCAAGAGCAAACGCAATAAGTGAGCTTGGCTCATCTTCCCGGACAATAATGTCCGAATCTGCAAAAACGTGGTCCGTTGCTATCAGCGGATAGTCAAGGGCCGCCCACCCACTCGCGGACCGTTCAGCCCAGAAGTTGGTAAGCATCTTCATCAACGAAGACTTTTCATGCTTAGGCAGCTCAAGGGAAGACTCAGTCGGAGACGCAATCTGTGATTCATCTGTAGGCTCTGGTATATCATCCAGAATTGAACGCTCCAAATCGCTTACTTCTGGTTCGGCTTCAATCTCCGAACCGACTTGACTAGCATCCGGAACTGCTTCAGTTCGTTCGGGAACTTCGTCCGAGGTAATTTCTCTCGCAATCGTAGAGTCAGCTGGGGATTGAGAAAGAGTCGATGGCGGAGGACTTTGGGACAGCCCATTATCTGTTGCATTCATTGTATCCTGAGAATCTCGTCGCGGCTCATGGGTGGAATGGTCATCATCAGACGGCTCTCGTTCTTCGACGGCCTCGTGCACGTTGCGGTAGACCTCCACAATGGGCTTCGAAGAGGTGATGGGATAAGCACGGGATTGCCTACTTCCTGCAGCCCTGAGGCGTCGCTCCCGAAGCCTTTCTTTCTCGAACTCGCGGCTGAGCTGTTCAAAGTGTTTTGCCAAGGTGAAAACCTTGGAGTCTTTCCTTGCATGGTGTATAGATCGCGGGATGAGAGAATGACCAGCCGTGTGTTTAAGAGGTTTGATCGTATGAACCCCAAATCTCTCCGAGAATTTCTTGTCCCCTCCTTTAGACGATTCAGCAGAAACTTGGCGCGAAGAATCGGCACTACTCGAAGGTGATGGCATAGCCCTTGACCCAAGAGATGTAGTTGAAACGGCATTGGTTCTTGCTCCATTTCTATTCGATTCCAGATGAAGATGTGCTGGTTGGGATTGCATGCGATACAACGGCGGAGAGGCCGAGCCACTGCCAGTTCGAGCGGAAGCCTGAGCAAGTCGAGGAATGCCAGAAGCTTGGACTTGGCTCACTGGCTGAGCAGTGTTCAGAGCAGATTTACGCATCTGTTCCACCTTTTCTGATATTTTCGGCTCCAATGCTGAAGGGGCTTGCGTTGGAGATGCTTCAGGTGTCCCACCAGAGACCGGGGAGCCGTGGCCATTCTTCTGTTGCTCATCAGAGGCAGATTGCACTGAGGATGATGCACGTTCGGAAACTTCCACTGGCACAGCAAGGTCAAGATGCTGGACTCCTTTCCCGGATAACTCTTGCAAATCAACTTGAATGGTTCCGTTCGAACCAGACCCTGGAGAACCATTTCCAGGCAAGATCTGCCGCTGTGTATCGCTTTCCACGCTCTGGGCCGTTTTAGCTTGCTCATTCACAACAGAGGTAAGCACGTCGTGGGTTTCTTCAGGTGACATATGCGCCGGCTGTGGACTGAGCGCTATCGATGTATCATGAGCGGGCTTTTCGCTCATCTCAATTTCTGTACTACTTGAATCGGGGCCGGCTTCGACAGTGCCTACCGATGAATCATCTCGATCGAGGAAAATCTTTTTTAGCTGAAGAGCCGCTAGCCTTCGAATATCCCGCTCAGAGGGGAAGAAGTTCCTGTCAAAATCGGAAAAGGCGGCATCCCACTCCGCAACCTTCTCTTGCATCGCCCTGACTGCCCTGTTCAAGGGAATCATCTCAAAGTATTTTGAATCCATATATTTGTCTTGTAAATTCTTGATCAATTGAGAATGATCCTCATTTGCCTTTCTGGTAAGTCGTTCTATCTCCGCTTTACAGGCTTCAGACTTTTCGGGAGCAACACTTTCGAGTTTGATGCCTTTGATACGACTTTTGACAGAAGACATAAATCTATGTATTCTATCCTCAGTCTTTTCGAATTGCTCATTCTTGATCCTCAAATCATTCTCAACCTTCCAGATCACCCTGGGTCGAGGAACGATTATCTCCAACAGATTGATTGGATCGTATTGTATTCGAAGAGCGACATCTTTGTATCCGAAAAATCTTAGATGATCTCGGTGAATATCGTGAGGGCAGACGCCCGCTCTTGGGTGCAAATCGCTGCTCCAGAAAGCTAGCTCGAGATACTTCCCAAATGAATATTTCCATGTGCTCTCAGACATTGGTATCACCTGGGTTTCCGTTCCACAAACTCTACAACAATTCCACATCAGGATCGTGTCTTGCATACCGCGTAGCTTGCTCGGATAATGCTGGACGAACACGCTAACTTGAGCCTCGCCATGGACATACTGCCGATGGTGGTCAAACATTTTTCTCTCACAGCCATTGGCCATGCAAACGGTATCAGATCCAAGGCAGAGCTCTTCGACATACTGTCCCAACGTGCAATCTGCCTCAAAATCAAACTCGTTCCCATGCTCGTTGTAGAATTCTAGCGCGAGCAACTCGGGGCCAAAGCATGGGACAGTGGTGACCGTGCAAACAACACTGTACAACACCACGATGCTCTGGTGAGAAAAGGGGTCGAAAAGATCGCGATTTCCCGAGATGTATGTTTCCCATTGACGCTTCTGGGTTTTGTAGCTATGGAGTGCCTTGTCATACTCCGCATCGTGGACAGCACGCAACACTTCACGTACTTTTCTCGAAGCGCCTAGGACGGACTCATGAACCATTTCAGGTTTGATCAGATCGAATTTTTGTGATCTTTCCTTCTCGTCCATGACATTTTCCTCGCTAATGTCCTGATCTCTCAAACGCTTGAGATAAGCAAGCCGCCGCTCCTGTTCTCGAGCCCTCATAAGAAGATAAGGTTGCATGAATTTAACAAAAGGTGAGGCTGACAGAATGGTATTTTTGTGTTTCTCGATCATATCTTCATAGAATGTGGGCATTGGCACATCGTCCGGCATTAAAAGCTCGTCAGAGTCAGGCTGCCCTGCTAATTCGGTATTTGAGGAAACGGGTCGTGTGCCGGGGAGTCGTCCTGGGTTGCCGTCTTGAGGAGCGTTGGTCGCTATTGGTGTAGTACTACTAGGCTGATTGACAGGATACTCGTAAGACTTAGTTTCCAAGTCTTCGACTTTTGTGGATGGCGGTCTTTTGCAATCAGCAGGTTGCTGGAGGCAGGCATTGTTGCTGGGTGTGAGACTTCCTTCAGACGTGGAGGAAGGGATCAAGACGAATTCGTCCCTCATTAAGCAGGTCTCAAGCTTCAAATTATAGACAACGTATATCATGAACTCTGTAACCTTCTTGATCTTGCTCAGTGTGCCAAGGTCGGCTCCTCGAAGAACGATTGTGCAACCAAGATCCTTGGAGCAGCCCGAGAAGTACATGTAGGTTTTCTTTCGATTTGCTTGCACATACGTCTTCAGATGGAACCCCTCGCAGGTTCCAAGCTGGGCTGGCTGAATGGCCAGTTTGTCAATTGATGATATGATTCGGGCTTGAGTACAACGCGCCACAGCTTCAATGACCGAAGGTTTCACATTGTAAGCAGTTGCGATATTCGCTTCCTCGAGGAACTGGAGAGCAAGACCAGACACATTGCGTTGAACAAGGAGAAGCTGTGGGCGAAGAGCAGCGATCCGATTAACCAGATTCTCCAGAAATTCTCGCTCCTGGGATATAACCGGTTCGAGGCTCATGAAGTGTTGTTGGTGTCGAGCATATTCTATTGGAAAAGTGACAACAACGATCCTTGGATTGAAAATGCTTCTGGGCATGCTCTTCAGCGCCAGATTCTTGGAGAATACTACGCCAGAGACGTAATGCGTATCCCCTGGTCTGCCTCCCGGCACTTTCTTTAGCTTCACATAATGACGAATATCAATGTCATCGCCGTGACTAACGTCCGGATTGACATCGTCTGTGCTCTGGAGAAGGATTGGTAGAAGAGCCCTCTCCCAGCGTGACACACTAGGTACACCAGAGTCCTGTAAGAGCTGCTTGAGGAGCTTGCTGACATGCTGTAGGCTAGCATAATTCAATTCTACAGCTGGCGCGTCGACACCAGTCATCGATGCACTTCGAGTTAAAGTGGAAATGCGAGAAGCACCTCTAACAGAGTCATCTGCCGTAGGTGATTCAGCGCCATTGGCATCCCCCAGTCCCAAAGCACGACTGGCACCGTTTTGTTTGTTCATAGGAAAAACGCGCTGATGCGCAAGGTTCGCTGTGCTCAAGTTGCGCTTTCTCGAGGAGCGAATCATTCCATTGACCCTAGAGCTGCCAAGGCTGGCCTCATCTGGATCTCGGCCTAAACTAACGCCGCTGAGGCTCTTTTCACCGAGCTTCGATCTCCCCTTCTTTACGGCAGCTAAAAAGCCACCCAGTCCATTTCTCTCATTGCCCACACTACCAACTGGCATATCGCTGTTCAACGCGCCAAAGATACTGATCTGTTCATCAGGACTAGAACCTTCGTCTGAAAGGTAAGGCGCGAGGTCGGGATCTATGATGCTATCGTTGTGGAATGCTGGTAATATTGATGGCTTTTCATCCGCCACACTGCGATGAAATGGAGCTCGATCTTCCGCAAAAGATCTAAATCCCCTGAGGTGCTGATATCGCGAATGGTGCCGCTTGTGGCTTGACGAGTGCGGTCTTCCCGTTATGGAAGCCTTGAGCGATCTCGAGGAGCTTGGCCGGCTCAGCGGCCGAGGTCCATCGATCTCTAAGACCGCTGAACCGCGGCTAGAGGCATCCCTTGCTCTTCTAGTAGCCGGTATAGCCATCACTGGTGTCCCAGTAATGTTGTGATTTTGATCCGGCGGAGCTCTTTTTGAAATAGCTTGATCCGCTTGAGTCGAATTTGCCAGGACTGCATCTGGTGTTATATTTAACGTCTGCCGTTGTCTGAATGGGGATCCAGATGAAATAGTGTCGTCATCGGACACGTCCGAAGAATCATCATACCCATTAATGATCAGCTCACACGGTTTACACACTCGCACAGATCCAGGATAGTCAAAACGCCGCCCTGACACCAGGGAGGTGCATTTGGAATCAAATATTTGTCCACAAGTTCCTTTAGTGAAAAACACCCGTTAACAATGAAGCCGCATGGCATCTGACTAGGTTCTTACTCACTACAATGATGTTTTCTCCGAAATGTTGAAAACGTATCGCCGCAGCAGAAACAATCCTTGGCATTTTCATCTCGCATCCAATACTCTTTGCTCAAAACTTTACTACGCGGCTGCGGCAAGACTGCATTTAAAGGCTCCGGGTCAAAGTGAGGGCCTTTGGAGCTAACGTATCCTTGACGAGCTTGATTAGCAGCAGAGTAATCGTCTCCAAGCGATACCTGGCGTTCATATAATGGGGTGGTTGCAGGCAGTGATTCTTCGGCATCAGACGATGAGGTCCGGGAGATACGATATCCAGGCAGACGTGATTGACTCACACGCGTGGCAAGGACCGGTCGTTCATGGTTTCGAGAGACATCAGACGCAGCAGAGGATTTTCGTTCTGGTTGGGATCCTTCCGGCAGGGCCCCCGCCTGAGCGCTATTGGAAATCGATGGCCGATGGCTGTTTTGATTATTCTCTCCATACTTCGGTTCCGGAGAGCCTCTGGTTGTCGCGTGCTCAGAAAATGCGCTCGGCGTAATCAGCGGCTGCTTACTCAAAGACTCCTGTTTTCTGGACGAGACTAGATGATTGAAGGGATCTGTTTCAGGGGCATGATCTAGTTCTGGTTTGCTCGGACCATTCGAGCCGGAGCTGGTGTCAGCGCGAGAAGCTTTATCGGACCCAAGTGCTCGAGCCTGCGTCCTGGTATCTGCTTGGGCAGGTTGGCTGATTTTAATGCTGCTTAGATCCAGAGGCTCAAGACCCTCCTTTTGGAGACTGCCTTTTCTTGTCCTTTGAGGTTCACGACTCTGTGGCAGTGGCACATCCTTGCCTTTTTTGCCATCGCTTGACGTATTTCCAAAGCTTATACTTCCCTGATCCGAATTTCGGCGCTCTTCTGCAGTGTCGTTGATGGGCAAGCTACTTTCTGGTAGTGAATGATTGGAAGGTATCCTCGAACTATCTCCAGCTCCTTTAAGTGGCAAAGTATCAAAATGAATGTGGTTGCTGGCTTGAGGCAACTCCAAGTTTTTATTATTTTGAACGTGAGGATGTGAGATCGCAGAGATCGAGCCAGTTTCAGCATTCAGCGGCTTAATCGTCGGTGGGGGCAGATACGAAGTCGTTGCTGGATTCGTTTCAGAAGTAATTAGCCCCTGTGATGAATCTCGACTAGGGAGCGAAGACCGTTGCGAGGGTTGTGTCGCAGATTGCGCATCTGACTCCCGTACGACAGATGATTTTGCGGCCTTGTGCTCCGGTGGCGCAGAATACACTCCTGTTATTTCCTTTCCTCCGGAAACTGAAGCCCGAAATCGACTATATAGACCACTAATTCCTCCATGAACGAGGTCTCCAGTCAGGCTCTTTCCTTCCGCAGCAGTAACGGCTGGAGGTGGCGAAGCGAACTCATTGAAGGTTGTCAAAGTCTCAGACTGTGAAGCCGAACTGTGAATGTGATCAAGCGCCTGTGAAAGTGCTCCTTTGGACATGGATGAGACCGAGGCCAGCGAGCTACGGCGCGAGCGGCGGGAAATCGATGGTAAAAATGACGACGCGGAGGGAGAAGGGCTCGGAAGATCGCGGGACTGTTTCGAAGACATGGTTGTACGTCATCTGAGCAGGGGAGGCGATGCAGTCACGGTTATCACCATCAAAAAAGTATATCCAAGATCCTATGCCGGGATCGCGGAGGTCGGAAATGTGGCGTTGGGTGTGCAATAAGATGCGTCATCGGGTATGTTTTGAAAGCGCCATTCAAGCAAATAAAGAAACCAACTATCTCCCGTAGATCGTTTTGCTATCGACGATAAAAATCCTCTTGCCGTCTGGAGGGGAAAGTGCTGGTCCGCGTTCTATATGTGCTTATTTTTTTAGGTGATGGGAAGGGGGCTGCGGGTTGGTGTTTGTTGTATGGGGATGGGGGTCGGGATCGGCGTGGTGTAGCTACAACTCAGCGGGACTAAGTTATCTCTCTAGCTCAAGCTCCCCGTTCGTTGGTCCCAAGACATTAGTAGGGTCTAAGCTCTAGATTAATTTTATTCTCTTCCCCTCTTCTCCTCATTCCATTTTCCGGACTCTTTAATTTCTGATGAGTAGAGTACATAAATGACCAACTACGGTCACTCACGAATTCCAATGTCTTGCTCTGGTCTGGCCGTTCCACTTTTGGGTAAATTATGTCATTATCCATCTTTCAATTTGTCGGCGAATTTAAACTCCGATGTCACGGGATTGCGGGATGGTAGCCGCCAATTGCCGCGCTTCACCGTGTTCTGGACGCGTTCTTCCCTAAATAGGAAAAAAGTGAAGGTCATGAATATCAATTTCCCCCATTCACTATGACAATAAACATTCCCAGCCATCTCGTAAGACAATAGAAACGGACATGTCAGGCTTGTCTCATCAACTTCTCCTGACTTGTTCCTCTTCAAATCCCCATCCCTCTCGTCAGAGAAGAAAAGCGCGTCAACCATCGTTCTTGTGATTCGATTGATATCTCCGCTTTGGACTCTGTTTACTTGCAAAGTATTCTTCCTGCATATGTCCGATTGATTGCACGAGTCAAAGGGTGTTTCGCTTTTGACTCCTTGATCGACTCTTCAATATCCCCGGTATTGATGGCCAGGCCGGATAGCCGCCTCGGCACAGGAACATTCCAGATGAACGGTCTGACCAACTGGCTCAAGCCGTCTGTCGATGAGCAGTTCGAGTCTATCCTGCCCTGGTTACGGAAAAAAGTTCTCAATCGTTCGACTGCTGCTCGTCAGCCCCCAGCTCCTTGGAGTTATACTAGCGACAATTTACGCTATGCCTCGGTCAAGCCTCAAACGTTGCAGATTGTAAAGGTATATGCCACATCCCAAGTCGGACTTTCAAGTTTCACGTTCATATATTATTTCAACCGTTTACTAACTCGTTCTCAAATCTTAAGATCTTATCATCCAACCGTATCTGTAAGGTTTTACTCTCGGATTCCTTCTCGACTATTGAGGCTATTATTGCTGCTCAGCCGCCGTCGAGGAATCCCACTGTTACTGTCGCGAGCATTGGCGGACTCATCAGCATTTCACGCTACGAGCTCGTTTTTCATACGTTTGACTCAGTTTATCCTGTAGACATTTCGCTCTTCGTTCAGGAATCGGAGCTGTCCGGTTCCGAACGCTTTCATTGCCTTGGGCATCCCAAGCCTCTAGCCATGGCTGGGGGCACGGAGGCATTTTCTGACACTCCGAAAGCGGCAACTTCAGTGCTCAATCTGGGTACGAAATCCCCACAAGAGAATAAGCACTTCTCAACTCAAGGTGATGAGGTTTTATCCCATATCGAGAATTCGTTGAATATTGCTACTCAGCCTCCCTTTGTGGGAATGCAATCAGATGCATCGAAATCAGCAATTTCTCCATATACGCCTTCCAATCGCTCAACCCCCCCTCTCCCTACGACTCCAACAAGTCTTCTTTCAGGCCGCACCTCAAAACGTCTCAAGGCCGTTCCATCGTTGATGACAAGAAAGTCGGCCAATACGACTGAGGATCTCATGGGTCTCGTAGGTAGCAAGAAAGCTCCTACAGGATCCTGGTCGAGATTGGAGCCGGGCCCTGCCCAGGCCTCCTATAACGAAGGCAGCGCTCATTTCTCCATGCCGCAAGCAAAGCGAGCAGTGGACAGTCTTTGTGGAACCATTAGTCACAGCGAGGATGCTCAGCCAAAGCACGTCTCTGGAACTTCCCCTAAGACCGTTCATATCAAAGAAGAACCGGTCTCCCCGCTGATGGAATCTCAAAATTTCTTGTCTGGACGAGACTCTCTTCTAGTGAATGGACTTTCAGCGCAAGACTCCAGCGAGCTTCAACTTAATGCTGAACTCCTGCAGCATTATGCCTCTGAACAAGGAGAAAATACCGATTCAGGCATTTGGAAGGTCAGTGGATTATATGTTCTGATTGTATCAGAGCTGACATTTTTCAAGGGAATGGAATCGGTGCTTCGCCGAGATGTTGATATTCCCAAGGATCAGAGGAAAGTGCTTGACGGGGAATATTGTAAGCCTAATCGTTCAACCTCTTTTATCAATTAATACTGACCTGTTGCAGCTTGGCTTCCTCCAGAGCCTGGAACCGATGAACCGATGGTGCCTTTACCTAGCCATATTCTTCGATGGCTTGACGAAAAAGCCGACGACGCTGCGAGCGAGGCTACTATTCTCGAAAAGGAACAAGTTCCAAAACCTGATGATCTAAGACTGTCTTCTTCATCGCCTCTGCCTGAGCGAAATGAGACAGATGAGAACGTCGACGTCGGTAGTCCCGTAACGAACTGGTCTTTGAGTCCTTTACATCACAGACGTGATTATTTACCTCCCGACAGCAGCGCCGAAGTGATGAGAGATCGATCCATCGGAAAAGTTTCGAGGACTAAGAGGCAAAGGTCACTTTCAATGGATGAGGACATTCCTTTATCAAAGAAGAACAAGGTTCTAAACAGCGTTACACGGATGAACCACAGCTCCCCGTCAGTTTCGCCGTCACCGTCACATGATCGTGGCATGATCAAACATAGAGAACGCAACGCAAGAGGCACCGATACGTTGGCCCAACAGGGTGATTGCCTAGATGCCTTGCAGCAGTCTCAGGAAGATCTCGTTCATGACACACAGCCATCTTCCGAGACGCAACTGAATGTTGGCAAGTCTCCCAACAAGGAAATCCCCGAAGCCAGGCGGTCCCAAATCTCTCCGCCTCCAGTTTATGAGCTGCCCATTTTCATTCGTGGTTACTATAATTCAACTCCAATGATGCCAACCGATGAGTCAGACCTCGATTCTGATGAGGAGTCCGAGCCGGAGCTTCATACATATTATCATCCGACGGCAACTGGAAAAGGAGAGAGTGGGAAAACCGGACAAAGTAACAGGCAGAGCCCACTTCCTTTTGCCGAATCCGAAAATTCTTACTTACAGGTGCACCGGACACCTTATCAAAATAAAATTGTTTCAGATCCACCCAACCACATGACGGCAAAGGTTTCTTCAGAAGTTCGGGAAGTGGGATCCAACGACACATTTGTTTCAGGAACTTTCGAAGAAGGCAGGACTGAGCCCCAAAATGGGGAATTCAAGTCCGGTACTCAGCTGAGCACCGGTAGTTACATTCAGGACGCAGCCGGGAAAATTGTCTCGCAAAGCTTGTTTGTGTCCCCTGCTCAAGCCTCTGAAGCATCTATTTGCCCGCAAAATGGCAACAATGATGATATTCCTCTGGACGCCGAAGATTCAGGCAGCCGAAATATCCAATCCGCTCGCCATGCATCTAGTGATTCTCCGGCTGCTGGCCCGAATGCTGAGGCGTGCCTTGGGAAAGAGACTAAATTTAACTTTAGCCAAGAAGATCGGCACGTTGCCAATTTATCTGAGAGATTGAAGCAGCACAGGAGAGACTTTATGAAAAAGAGAGCCGGATCGCAGAGCGCCCACTCGTCACTCCGTACACCAGTTGATCAGCAGAGACTAGAGCCTGAATCTCGTCGTCCATCGCAGAATGGAAAAGCAGAGCAAGAAATCTCCAGGTTCAACTCAGATCCTTCTATTGCAGGAGCGGCCTCGATTCGATCATCACCCAAGAATGGGAATCTGCGCCGAGTGGTTGGTACACCACCCTCATCCCAGAAAATAGAGGATGCAAACGCTCCAATGAGAAATACACCTGGGAGCTCTAGCCATGCTGATGGAGTCAGTGACGACAACCGGCAACAGCCTTTGAGGCAGGAGCTCTGCCAGATTTTCCCTGGCACAAATAGTCCTCTGGAGCTCTTCCAGCACTTCCGAAACGCGTATCCTGAATATCAAGGAAGTTTCAAACACTTCTCTGGTGTTTGTAATCGTATCCACCAACTTACGGCCCAAGGCCAGCTCTTCCCTCAATGCTTATGGGACGATTTTATTGTCCGGCATAACACGGAATATCGCTCGTACCTAGCTGAGTGCCACAGCAACTTTGTCGATCCAGACAAGTATGAGTCATATTATCAGAATATCACCAGTATCCGCTATACTGGTAACATAATCACACGTCAAACTTTGAAATTGGCGTTACGAACGGCTTCGAGCTCAAGCTCAACCGGAGACTCTAAAGACCGTCGATCTTCTGGTTCGACCTATGAGGATGCGTTGACGGCACGGACTGTCTCATATTCGTCCAGCGTTCCAATTCTTAACGAAGAACATCAAGGAAGCCGGGTATCTAGCCGGCGCTCTGAACATCCACGTTGTTCTAGCCGACCAAGACCGTCTTCTCAACCTCCTCAAACAAATCGTCAGTCTGAGGACCGCCCATTGCCTCTCGACGCAGTCGTTTCATCCCAGGCGTCACGCAAACGATTGAATACGGAACACTTGCCATCCGATCGGCCCCATAAAAAGGCCAAGTCCATTCCCAAGACTTCGCAGCCTACTCACGTAAACGTTGAACACTTTCCCGGATCCAGTCAGAGCAACAAGTCTCGTCGATCGAGTAAATCAACCGCTCACTCTCCTCGTCACACTTCTAGTCGGCCTAGTTCTCGTTTGAGTCAGGGTCGCTCTAAATCGCCGATTACTACTACTGCTGCTGCTGCTGCTGCTGCTGCTCCTGTACAGTCAGCCAGAGAACGGTCATACCACTCTGCGAGAGCCGCAGATCCGCATCGATCCTCCGCACCGCTCGTTTCAAGTGCTCCTGCGCCTCAATCTGGCTGGTGGCAAGACACTAACACGCCGTTCAAAATGTTCGCACGCGCCTACACTAGTCTCAAGTCTGTCAATGGGGCAATTGCGGACGTTGACGACAAAGCAACCCGTCCGATCAATGTTTTGGAGTGGGAACTCTGATTCAGCTCTGACCCGAATTCATGTACAGACCTTGACATTCCAAGACGGTAATCTATTCGAGCTATCATTGTATCGATAAGCAGCCAGTCATAACTCGTTTTTTCCGTCTATCTGAACCTCAAAGCCAGGTGATGCCTGGTATCTGTTATCTCAGCCGTTGTCCACCAAATTATTTTTACGTCTTCTGAGGCCGTTCCTCAGTCTTTGTTCTGTTTACTTGGTTCTGAAAACCAGGTGTCTCCTCCTCTGGGTTATGGAGGAATTGTTTCAGCGTGAATTTGAGCGAGAGCATCACTGAGACGGATTATTCATGGTTATTTATTTTCAAAGGATTCTCTTTGCATAAATCCAGGCGCCGTTACTTATGAATACCCCTCACGCAGTTATTTAGTCGCTGAAGCTCAACAGCAAGAATTGAATGCAAAATGTTAAACTGAATGCAAAATGTCTTCTTATATCCAGTCTAGTGATAAAATCCCATCAAGTGACCTCCGTATCGCCAATGCCCAAAAACGCCACGCTAAAATAACAATTTTCAATCCCGAATGGCCAACGTCCAAGGCCAGACTGTTCCGATAACACACAACAGCATATCTCTGCCCAAACCGCTAAACCACACAACCACTTATCCAGACATGGCACATTGCAAACAAACGCGCACATCCGCAAGAACCGCACATGTTCCACAAACGAGCTTCCCACACGCTCGACATCGAAGGTCATCGGAATTATACCCACTTGCACCGGTATCCATCATTTCCATGTACTCCATATCTCCGGCAACATGCGACAGCTCTGCATCGCAATCCTCGCACCTCGATGTGTCCAAATCTCTGATGAATCCAGCAGCAGGACCACGGAATGGGTTTTCCACCATCGAGGATGTGGTCCTCGCTTGCGGCAACGACCAGAATGCGTGAAGAGAGGACTGTAGTGGAGATTTCCGCCTGCCTACTACATGCTGGTTGTGCGACGACTGACATGGCTGCGGCTGCGGTATCGATGATTCTGGAGGCATCTGATGCTCGGCGGTATGATGATGATGATGATGATGGGGTGGTTGGTGTTGTTGGGCGGCGAAGAGCTTTTGTAGAGTGTTTTCTGGAGTTGTTACCAAGGAAGTTTTAGCATTGTGTCTTCCATTGAATAGTGGGAGTTGGGATTGCAATGGGGGGTAGGTAAGAGTCTTCTTCCCAAAAAAAAAAAAAAAAAAAAAAAAAGGAAAAGAAGAGAAAGGAGAAAGGAGAAAGAAAAGAAAGGCCCAATGCGAAAAGAGAGCAGGAGTCTTTCTCGAACAAAGTGGGGCCTCCAATATAACAAGAGACATGAAATGATAGTTTACGGTCACTAACCATGAACCACATTCTCGTGGGGACGATTATCCCGAAACCGCTTGCGTGTTCGACTATTCAGATCTCGCGCACCCGAATAATCCATTGCATAATTCATACGCAAACCGTCTGTTGCAGCAGCAGCACCACCACCACCGGCGGCAAAAAAGGGAAATGGGCGGCTGCTGGGATTTGCTATGATTGTATTAGGTGCAGGTACCACCAGCTGAGGAAAAGGAATTGGTGCAAATGCAGGCGTAGGGCCCGGGACGGGACTGTGTGATGATTGCCGGAATCCGAATAGTCCGTCTATGCTACCAATGCTGCTGGCACTGCTGGTCGAGATGGGAGAAGAGAGAGAGCATGAGGAACGCTTTCGTTTGAGAGTCATTGCGTGTGGATAGGGTTGGTTGTTTGGATTGCAGATAATCAACGAATTGGTCCAGCAGGATTAATTGGCCGTAGTGTCCTCTGTAAATCAAGTCAAGAATTAATGTGTGTATCAAGCTATAGGGCGTATGGGTATCGAGGCAGCGACAATTTTGGCGTAGGTAGAGACTGGACATGTAGGATGGCTGGGCAAGGGAATGGATGAAATGGATTAGGTCAGGCCATGACGCGCGAGTGTGACGCGAACGAGAGACTGCGACGAGTCCCGGCTGTGCTAAAGTGCTGTGCTGTGGTACTTTGGTACGACACGGGGAACGCGTTCGAACTAGTCTATTTTGGGGTTATATATTGGATTCTAGTGCTCGGAGGTAATATATTAGTAGTTAGTTGAAGCTACAGTGATGCCATGCCAAAAGACTGGCTAAAGAGATGGCATAGTGAGCCATGATATAGCTGATCACAGAGGAGCCGAATATATTCATTATTTAATATGTAGCTTTACGATAGATTGTGTAAAACTATAGCGATGATTCAAGTAAACGATAACAGGCCTTATCACTATCTGGTCATCGTCGTCTCCCCACATTCAGCGATGACGACAGCCTGGGCTTCAACTAACCTACGTAGTTAATGCTATTTTATACCCAATCAGTAGAAGCACCAACTGAGTCGACTTCCACTGATGATACGGGAAATAACCCCGCTATACTTTATCGCTCTCACCACTATCCATCTACGCTCATTCGCTCTCTAATCTTTCGGCTTCTTTCCAGGCTTTTTCCCATCTAGCATATCATTCTGTTCAGACGTGTCTCTATCCGTAAAATAGAGCTCATACATACCTTACCTTAGATACTTGAGTATCCGAAAGACGATACATAAAGCCATGGTTCGACGAGAAGCAAGCCACGCTGGCTCGTGGTACACGGACGACGGGCCTACACTGTCCTCCCAGCTTGACCAATGGCTCGATCAAGTGCCCGACACCATTGACGGTGTAGGAGACATTCCCTCCAAGGGCGCCAGAATCATCATTGCCCCGTAAGTGTGCTGCCCCGCGTCGTGTACGAGAACTTCAACTCTCTTTGAAGCCAGACTGCTGACAGAGAACCACCTTCACATGAACAGTCACGCAGGATATTCGTACTCGGGACCGCCAGCTGCATGGGCATACAAGTCATTAGATTTATCACAGGCGTATGTTCTCAGCCTCTTCGCCTTCCGTCCAAATATTTGGTTCACTCCGTATAGAACATCTTGGAATGATAACAACACGGCGTCTAGAAAACGCATCTTCCTCCTCGGCCCCTCGCACCACGTCTACCTGTCTGGCTGCGCTCTCTCGCAATGCGACAGCTACGAGACTCCTCTAGGGGACCTGAAACTCGACCGAACCACTATCGAAGAGCTCGAAGCCACGGGCAAATTCGACAGCATGTCGCAATCTACAGACGAAGACGAGCATAGTCTCGAAATGCATCTCCCGTACATCTACAAAGTCCTTTCAAGGTAGTTCCTGTCCCCACCTCTATTGACTGTCCCATTGCCTTTTTCCTCTTATTATCCTCAAGCATCCACTCCCGAGACCCACCTAAGAGGCTGACCGCGCTGCTCAATCCATAGAAGTTTCTCCTCGCCCTTCGAATACCCCCTCCTCATCCCCATTCTGGTTGGCGCAACGAGTCGCCAGACCGAGCGGTCATTTGGATCTCTTCTCGCGCCCTACCTGCGCGACCCGACATCAGTCTTCATCATCAGCTCTGATTTCTGCCATTGGGGCCTGCGTTTCCGATATACATACTACCTACCTTCATTATCCACCTCCTCTTCTGCACACAACGACGACGACGACTCGGCAGATGCAACGAGCGGCCACACGCTCAGAAGCGGGGACAGACCGCCCAAAGACCCGCCCATTCACGAGAGCATTGCGCGACTCGACCGCTTGGCCATGCGAGCCGTCGAGTCAGGCTCCCATGGCACGTTTTTGAATAATCTGCGAGACACGGGCAACACGGTCTGCGGCCGACACCCCATTGGCCTCGTCATGGCTGCACTGGAAACGCTCAATCTCGATGCCTCGTCTGGTAAAGGCCGATTCAAGTTTGTCCGGTACGAGCGCAGTAGCGACTGCGTCCGGGTTACAGATAGTAGTGTGAGCTATGCCAGTGCTTTTGCCGTTCTGTAGGTCGTTTTTGCCTTCCATTCTATTCACAGGTCCTTTTTCTCCCATTCCATACAGATCTTCCCAAAGTCCTTGCTATCTAGATTCCAATATCTTATTATACACTATTATTTTATCTTACTATACTTTACCATTTTCATTTTACTCAAACGGCATTCGCTGCCCTTATTGTGCATTGTGCATTGTGCATCATTACGCATCGTTCGATACTTCTATAGACTTACCGTAGACTTACTGTAGACTTACTGTAGAATCACTATAGAATCACTATAGGCCACTCCCCCCTACTCCCTACTCCGATACCAACCTGCCTGTCTGCTGTATGGTCGAGAGGTGTTATACTCGTTCGAGACAGACTTGCACCGGACATTAGTAATGGTATGATACCGATCGGCACTCAAAAGACAAGGCAACAAGGCAACAGTAAATTAAATTAAATTAAATTTTACCTTCCTGCTACGCAATCTGAGCTATGTGGGCCAAATACCAGGTCTTCCACGTACCAAGTATACCAGGGAAACCGATCCCACTACAAAGTAAACACGTAGACACGTAGACACGTAGACACCAGAGACCAAGCCCAGGTTCGCTCCTACTGTGCTCAGTGGATTTGGACTTGGGCAAGCACAGTTCAATACAGCCCACCCGATGTGGAAGAACAGCTCGAGGTGAGTGGGAGACAATTGCAAAATAATCAACTCTTGGGAAAGTTTTTTTGATCTATGCGACTTTCTTTTCCTCATTCTTTTCATACTATGTCTACGGATAATACATAGTAAGATGATCGGCGACGGGGGAAGGGGAAAAGAAAAGGTAATGTCTGCATGTCTGCATGTCTGCAACGACAAAAAGAGAAAAAGGAAGACAATTGTGAGAGTAAAAAAAAAGGAGATGAAGAAGTATACAAAGAGTTCTTCATCTTCACCCTCTTTCTAAGCCGCGAAAAAAGGAACAAGAGGAAAGGGGGGAAAAAAGAAAAAGAGGCCATCGTTCTTTTGCGAGGGAACACATTCGTCGAGATAGACCCATGGAAGCGGATGAGACGGATCACAAAAAAATAGAGAGAGAGGGAGCAATAGAGGAGACATGAGATGGGAATCGCGAGGGCCCGCGAATAGAAAGAAATGCGTCCATGAAATTCAAGAAGAGTTAAATTTGAAAACCATGAGAAAATTCAATCCCTATATGACTTCTTCCAAGAAAAAGTAGAAGAAGAAGAAGAAGAAGAAGAAAAGTATGACATATAAAAAAAATGTGTGTGTAATCAAGAAAATGATAAAGAGAAGCGAAAGAAATGTAGATGGGTATGAGAAATGAAGAAAAAGTTAAAACAGCCAGACGCCAATGAAGAAACAAGAAAAAAGAAGCAAAGAAACACGAGAAGAAATGCGTGTATGAAATTAGAGCGCCGATATAAAGAGCGCAAGATATACATTAAGAGTAAAATGAATGAAAAGACCAGGATGCTTGACGTCGCATGCAATGACAAGGGTCGTTGTAAATGACCCAGACTCCTCGACGCCAGTACTAAAACGAAGCTGAGGTAAATAGGTAGGTCAATACATTCGCCAGACGTGAAAAAGCTCAGGCCACATAAGCGTTACAAGTGCAAAATATTGGAGTTGAAAAGAGTATCGAAACAAAAGCCGTTTTAGATATGGGTGTATATGTCACACCAAATAATGCAATATCGACTTTTGACCGAGAACCGAAACTGGAGAGGAAGTGTAATAAAATTATTGGCGATTAATGAAAGTCGTTGGACAGCCAGTCCGATCGCTCGGTTCGATACATAGGTGTCGATCGTCTTTGGTAATATTCTATGATTTGGTTCCGAAAAGGAAAGCAAGCTGAATCCGTAAATGGTCATACAACGCATCGACTTGATTAGACGGCGGCCGCCAACTCAAGCACGACCGAAGGAAGGTGAGATATTCGGATCCGGTTAAAATTAAATTCGCCGGTAGCTTTGAAGGACGAATGCAGGCTAGTAACTTTGATCCGGTGATATCTACCTTCGGAGATAGTATTATATTGATTATGGACTGCGCATTTAGAGGCCATCAGGGGCCGGGCCGTTGGCATGTTGACCGCCCTCGCCTCGGGCATGTATCCACTCAGTAGAGCCTTTGAGCAAAGTCTTAGTCAAGCTGCGCGAAAGAAAGGAAGGGTTTGACGACAGTAACAAAGTGAATAACATACCAGTTTGTCGGCCAGGAACTTTCAAATCATCCGAGTTCGAACGCGATACAGGAGCGCCTGGAAGCATGTTGGTGATGCCCATGGCGAGAGCCTGAGCCGTGTAGGCTCGAAGTTCCCGCTCCTCGCGCTCATCTTCCTTGAAAAGCCGTCGGCACTCTTCTTTGGAAAGATTCTCCCGTCTCATCCGCCGAATCTCATTCGTTATCCAGATGAGAACTTCCTCAGGAGCCCGTGTCCGTTCGTGTCCATTTTTGGTAGGGTTCCGAAGATATCGTCTCGTAACGTCCGTAGCGCCGTCAATGGAGAAGGCGATACAATAAGCTATCTTCTTGCCCCATCCTGTAATTTAATATTGCATTAGCGACGATTCAATCGTCTTCGGCATCATTTACAAGTGCAGCATACCTTCAGCATAGAGTCTTGGGTTGTCCCAAGCTTCTTCGCAGGCGTCGACGTGAATCCAGCGCCGCTGATGCTCGGAGTAGACTTCGGTCCATACGTGGTCCTCAGAGTTCCATACCCAACGAACACGGCCACCAACAGCGCGGCACAGCATGCTGAAGCAGTTGGCCCATTCTCCACAGCGTCCTCTTCTTGTCTGGAGCAGTGTCCATACATCTGAAAAACGGGGGAAACGCTCGTAGGCGCCGCATCCTTGCGCCGAACAGCGGTAGAGCTCAACGCGGGCCGCACCGCGAGCTGCTTCGTCGGGAGTCGGAGTAGTCATGCCTTGGGCAATGGTGGGAGAAAAGCAAATGGGACATGCAGGATTGTTTACCCAGGAAAAGAAGGTACGACGAAACCATCTGGAAAAGATTGCATTGCCTGATTAGTATCGGTCGCTGGACAAGATAAAAGCAAAAAGACGACAAACCTTAATAGTGCCCGCACCACACAATCTTGATAACCCCACTCGGGTTTGTGCCCATTTCCCAGACTCGCGGCTTGCGCCTCGAGCACCTCGCTCTCTTCCTGAGCTTCGCCGTAGATGCGGTCCAGAGGAATAACCGACAAGGCTTCATCCAGTAAGCCCGGGTTTTCGTACTTGATCGGCGTATATGAGAGCGAGATGAGGAGGTTTCTGAACTTTAGCGACGATGCATCTTGAGGAGCCGCCGGGAACTTGGGGAGGCTTCTCATCGATGAGGAATATGATGGCGGCGATTGGGGAATCGGTGACGGAGAATTCATACTCGGGGATGCTGATGATGGCGAAGCAAAATCTCGAGGGGAAGGTGAGGCAGCTCGTGACCGTGCCCGTTCCGTGAGCTCATTCAGTCGTTTCACCCGGAGCATCTGCTCAAATTGTTCCCGGAGATCCTTTGCCCAGTCTCCCTGAAGACCTTGGTCCATCGCCGAAGGCGGTCCATTTCCAGGTATGTGGGAGCCGTCCATGGTAGATCAAAAGTTGTGCAAGCCAGTTATACCTCAGCGATTTATTCGACTCTGACGAAGACCAGTCGATGACGATTCACGAATAATGGTGATTGAATTCCGTTCAAACCAGGCGATGACGATGAGGAAGGGAGCGACCGCAGAGGAGGCAGCAGGAGCACAGCCGACCGATCCCACGAAATGCGCCACTGAAGAACGGTTGTAGGCCCTGGCAAATCAGGGGGGCGCTTAGCGACCTTTTTGAGGTTCAATCCGCAAATGGAAGCGGTACTGAATTGGGCGAGCGGATGAACTCCTCAAGACGCTTCACGATGGCAGCGGGTGGTGGTGGTTGTCGAGAATGAGTTTCGTCGAAGAGAAAAGGGTTTCGAAATTCGGGGTGAGAAAGTAATAATAGTAAGGGTAAGTAGCAGAAGAGGAAGAAGGAGAGAGATTGACTGCGTGCGTGTGTGTGCGTGGAGCGGGTACAGGTACTGCAGTCGTCGTAGTGGTGGTAGGTAAGAGGATTCGTAGTCGTTCGGAGTCTACTGTGCTAGGACGCGAATCCTCTGAGACTTTGGGGCGAAGGATGACAGGCCGCTCTGTCTTGTCGTCGTCAGCTCCCCTCAACTCCCCCTTCACGGGCCAATCAGCACCCCCACTGAACAAATCCCGCTAACCCACCAAATTATTAACAGTATTTTGATCCGCGCCAGCCAACGACTTGATGCTTTTCCCCAGGCCGAACCTTTGTCCTCCAATGTGCATAATCCAGTCGGTGTTCAAAAAAGTCAATCCAAGTGATGATCTCCAGAAGCTAAGCCGATATCATTCAAATAACCATCTATATTCCACTTCTTCAACCGGTTTGTGCAGTATTATCCATCAAATGTGTAGATAAGACGTCCCCGACACTACTGTCACCGTCAGTCCTAGGTTACTCCGTACTCTGTGCAAAGGGTGTGGATTGCTGACGAATGATCTCCGCGTACCTGACGTTGCTAGTCGATGGAATAGTGGCCCGCACTCGTGGCGATCATCCACCTAAGCCACGGAAAGAGAAGTGGCGGATGAAACCCTAACGATGGACGAAATGAAATCTTGCACCAGCCATGAGAGACCTCTTTGCTTGATTATTCGACACCAGCTTATTTGATGGATTCAACACTGCATTGAAATGATTTGGCCTTTTGCTTCCTATCTGCGTCAAATTCGACGATGAAATATCTGCTGATTCTGCATGTAATTTAATCGCGCCGTCTCAAGTGTGTCAACCATTTCTTCTTCCACTGTAGCTTTAGATGAACACTCGGCCTACTAAAGGAAATTATCCGAAGTGAAGACCTCAAGAAAAGTCTCGGGTACCTTCAATTACCATGATTTTCGCTTGTGTATCAGAGTCCCTTCTACTCGGGACTCGAGTCCTCAGCCACGTCACGAGAGAGAGTAAAATGGGCCCGCGAAAAGAAAAACTTCAAATTGGCCGAGATTGCGCGGCTTCATTATTTTCTTTTCTTCTCTCGTACTTGCCCTCTCTAGCCTTTGACCTACGGACGAGGGAGTACGTGACTGTCGTGCTCACCGCTTTCGCTTCCCCAGGTTGTTTCCGATATGAAAAAGTTTGATAAACCATGATCGTAGAAGTCACGAAGAAGGCCGGCCTCGTCCCGTCTCTGACGACATTCAGCCTCAATTGAGTTGGATGGCGCACCCATGAACCTTGTTCAACTACTTGCCACAGAGCGAGTCATTGCCGCTCCCAGTATTATAGATGAACGCATCTGTTCCGATAAGAGTGTTAAAGGCGGCTGATCGCTATCCTCTGACGGAGGAGAGGAGGACATGTTCCCCCCTCCGTTGCGGATGATCATCTGGGGGTGATGATCATGAAAAATACATACAAGAGGGAAAGGAGGGGTCCTTGTGTGACATAAAGCGCAACCAAGGATATTACTGCCCGTAGGATACAATTTGTCTTTGGCAAATGGTTTGCAAAAGACGGGACGAGTTAATACTTCCAACCTTAATTGTGTGCGTATATACTTTGCCTCTCTACCTAGCTCACCGCATACCATTATCTCGTTATCGGGCAGCATGATTTGCAGCTTACGCGGCGACATTATATTGCGCATGGAGGTTGATATTCTATCGTTCAAAACACCAAAAGAGTGGAGAACTCACCGCTATCAACCCAAGTGCGACGCGCAAAGAGTTACGCCCGCCGTGCAGCTTCACCCAGACAAGAGTCTCTCATTCTTTCATGAAAACGGACAAAACTTTGCAGAGAAATAAGCCCAGAAAATGTCTCGCATTTTATTGTAACACGCCCTTACCCATGCTAAATACTCCATGAATGCTTTTTGGCCAAATAAAAAAGATAGTGATAAAACAATCGAGCAGATTATTTGACCCATTCCTGGTCACCGTAGTATCTTGGTGGAAGGTCGACATCCCACATGGGACGTTCGACCAACACCACCTCCACGCCGTCGTTCGTATTTGAGTCATCACCTTCATGGGGGGTTGATCCCAACGGAACGATTCCCATAATAGGTCGATATTTGTACGTATACCACCAAGCTGGCGATGTGCCGCCTGTAGTCCTGGAAACCATGACGCTACCCTCCTGTGCGCCTTCGCCATCAGCTTCAGTAGCATCATCAAGGTTTCCGTTGGTCTGAATCGATCCAATGGGTCGAAGACGGCCGAGGGACGATGCCTCAGTGACGAGTTCTTCGTCATCACTGTCGGGAGCTTTCGGCGTATCCAAAGAGATCCATTCCTGTTCCGCATCCAAGCTGTTGATCTTTCGCATCTTTGTGCCCAGTCCACGTAGTTCCTTCGAGGCAACTCTACTGCCAGCACCAGTGGTGTCTCTGCTGGCGTCAACAGCGTCGTCTTCAGGGTCACGCTTCCGTTTTCGCTTTTTGCTGCTGTCATCCTCGGTGCTTGCGTTTCTCTCCAGGTTGTGTTCAGCAGATGAAAGGTCCTGGGAGAGATCAAACATCCAGAGCCAGCTACTTCCGTAAATCCAAATACGCTGCCTATCTTCAGAAATGTCCCAAAGGCACCCCATTGCCCTATCACGTACCCCTCGGAAGCTGTCAGGCAGGCTTGAAGTCGGGTTCCTCTTCGACCAAGGCGAAAGTTTGCCTTTGAGAACTTCAAGTTCGTGAATATGATGATCGCTTGTGAGAGCAAAGAGGAGGTGCTCTTGCGATGGGAGTTCGTGAGAGTGCGGATTTGGGTTGTTTCGAGTAGCATGGAGAGCTGTGTTTCCGAGCCCATTGGATCGTTCCTTCTGAACCAATGGCCGGAATGAGAGAATTAATGGCGCTGAGGGCAGACGGGGAAGGAGAGAGGATGAAGGATTCTCGATCCAGTGTTGTCCTAAGATGGTCGGGGAATTATTTTGCTTATTATCAGCAGAATCTTCGTCAGATGATGACTCGGCGGCATCATCCTCGTCCACCTCAGAAAGATTGATATCTTGAGTTTCGTCTTCAAGGCCCTCCAAAATCCATGAGTCAAGGTATCCTGACAGATCGCCCACAACGAGAACCCTACTATCGCTCGAGAATGCAATTCGAGAAATGGTCCTCTCATATTGACCAAGGCTTCCAATGAGACCCGCTTTGGCTCCTCGAGTTGGATCGCGCCACAGGCGTTTCAATTGTACAAGCCTCGTCAGGACCGAGACTCCTTTGGACGAGCTGTCACTAAGGATCCTAAGAAGGCGGACCTTATTCTGCAGAGTAATGATACACAGCCATCGTGCGTCGGGAGAAAATTGTATCCTCCTGGCGCCTAAGCTAGAAATGTGTTGCGGAACATCGACCTTGTTGATGCGGAGGCCTTCCCCCTCAGCCGGTGATTTGGATTTCAAAGTGAAAAGCTTAAGGCCAGCGATGGTCGATACAGCAAGCATTTCCCCGTTGGGGCTGATTGACGCTGATGTAATATTCTCATCGCCCTATTTTCTGTCAGCGAATATCTTCACAAAGATGCGTGATTATCTCAAATAGTGACTACGAACTTTGATCAACATCTTCGCCACAAGTTTGCGAGAGGGTTCATCAAGCCCATCTGAAAGGCCACCATATAATTGTAGACGCTTCGAAGGGGATTGATTCATCTTCCAGATGCTGATTTCCCTCTCCCACCAACTCATGACCAGCCTGCACGAAGGCGCACTCTCAATTGGCGGGTCTTGCGGGAGACTGGAGAGCGCTCGATGGTGTTCTTTTCCAAACTCTCTTAGAGGCAATATAACCGGCATTGTATCAAGTCCTAAGAGGGTCAGCTATAATCACGGATTGACGTGTTTGATGCTCAACGTACCTCCAGAAACTACAATGCTTAGATGCTTCGTCTCAAACGAGGCCATTGTTTTCACGTCGTGAGAGTGAAATCTCTGGTGCGCCACCTCTGCCCATCTCCTTCTGTCCATTGCTCTAATACCACCAGTTCGTTGATAGACGATAGTGCGTCTATCCATGCCACCGCTAATTACCGTCTCTCCGTCTATGCTTGTCTCCACATCAATTACGTCGGCCCGATGGCTTTTAATTCGTTGCACAAGCGTGTAATTCTTCCCGTCCCAGAAGCGAACCTCGCCCGTGGAATCCCCAGAAACAATATCTCCATTCGGGAGGCATTTCACAGACCACACCAGGATCTCGCGGGGTCCACCGCTTGGACCACCTCCAAAGGAGATGTTACGCAGCAACGAGCCATTTCGGACATCAAAAACACGGATTGTGCTGTCAGAAGAACCCGCAATAACCGTATCTCGATTTTGGAAAGTAATGCTAAGGACACGGGCTTTTTTCGACGAAGGTCTGGAAAGAGTGCGAAGGAAAGTGAGGTCTCCGTCGGCGGTTGAAAGAAGCACCACTGTACCATCAGCGCAGCCAGCCGCCAGCTTTTGGTAGTCAGAGGCGTCGTTGACTTCAACAGGCTTCTTGCCCAGGGATTGTGATCGCGGTTGAGCAGCTAGGCACCAAACTTCTCCATAGTTTCCGCTCGAATGGTGTGCTGGAATACCTCGTTCCAAGTCCCATTCTGTAACGGCTGTAGAGTATCCAATGCTGAATAGTCTCAACTTTCCGGGTTTGGCATAGCCATTTTCGTGTTCGTCAGGATCTTGGGTCCAAACCAAGCCTTCAACACTCCTGTCCTTCCCGCCGCGCAAGGTGGTTTCATGAAACCACGCACCTTTCAGCGGGTTCCAGATCTCAATGTCTCCATTGGCTCTTCCTAATGCAAGCCTGAGCGTTGACGGCCCTTTTCCCGATGACTTCGTCGAACTGGCGTGCGAAAAGGCGAGGGCATTAACCGCCGACGGCGGATATGGGACGAATCGGCACCGATGGACGTCCATTGCGAGAACAGTCGCGCGCTGGCCGTTTGGAGTTAAAGATCACTCTGGAGCTGACGCTGTTAGAGACACCACCTTCTTCTGCGGAGTTCAATCGCTGCACATTCTGCGACTTCGCAACAGCTCTCAATGTCGCAGACCACAAGTATGTTTCGGCCAAAAAATTGTCCAACGTAAAGATTAGTACCGGCAATTTTTCGCGAGGTCAATGAGCGGCGGCTATACCGTTTTAATACTAGCTTAGTTCTGCCTGATTGTATACTCCGCCAAAAAACGTCCAATCAAAGATCTCTAAAGAATCTCGCCGTCTTCGAGCGAAATCACCAGCCTGGGATTTGTCTACATCCTTGTGGTCATGTAGGAGACATTGGCAGACTCTAATCGACCCTGCGTACAAAATGAAATCTCGTAGCTTCCCCACTGCCGGAATATACACGCGTTACACAATGCAATCAATACACGGATATGGAACACTGTGCTATTCGAACGCCATATTGTGGAAAACATTTCGTAACGTAAGCTTGTTCAAGGCCATGGAGGAGACAAAACAATTCCTATAAGAAAATGTGATCATTGTTCGTTTTGTTCCAGGCATAACAGCGCGGACTACCCGCGACTGGCTTACTTATGGCCATCAGATCGTTATGTATATCCGAGCAGGTGGAATCTACCCAAGAGAAACCTCGACAAGAACAAGGCCGAAAGATTGATAGGCAGCGGCGAAGTTTGTAACCCTCCAGCCACCGAAGCCAAAGTTTGCCAGGAGCTTTTCAAAATTGCCTGAATTGTATCATTACAACCCCCCAAGACAACTTTCTCGTTTGATAGCATGAAGAGCGCTATAGGGGTACAACCTGGTGGCGCCATCGTTTTGATATTTATGTGATGGCAATATCTAGACCAGACAAGCCGCATTAGAGAATCGCCCTTGCCTGAGTGAGACGTTGCACGGGGCAAAAGCGTAAGCGAATGGTGACGGGCTTGGATCCTGCCAGTCTGTTGTTATATAGAAGTAGAGATTCCGAATTGATGACTTCATTCAAAGAACAGTAGTCATCCAATCATGCTATGAACAAAAGGGGATTCAGGCTTTCAATTGTCAAAATTATGTTGATGCCAAAAACTCATTGTACCGTACTGTACAAGGTAAGACGATAATGAGTATTTTGCGTCAAGGGGAAAACTCCATATGAAATTTCAAACGGCGCGTAAGTCCGCTGTGACATCAAATGCCGTGAATTAACTTATCCTCCTGCTATAAACGGCAGAGCCGTTAAGCAATCTAAGCTCAGAAAAGTGCTTTATCGGGGAAATGACGGAATAGACGCCCGATCTATACCACGCAGCCATTTCACTTTTTCTGCAGGGGCGAGAAAATGAGAAAGACAGAATTTGACATCAGCGTAACCATAACGATTACGGAGGACTCCGGTTTGAAACTTGGCAGGCCAATCTGGGCGACAGACGCCCAGGAAATACGCAACACGCTCATAAAAATAGTGAGTTTGGAGGCCCCGTGTACGGAGTAGTCGAAGCGAGCCGTAGCCAACATGCAAACTCAGCAACTCCCAAGCACAAGACCAGCCATCCCATGGAACTGGCTCTTGATTCGCGGGAGACAGCACGCACTGTGTGGCATCTGTACGGTGCCAAGTGCCTGAGTGCAGGATTATGGGGTCAATATGTGAGATTTAATTGTCTCTCCGCAAAGGCGCGCCGTGCAAGGACGCGCTATGGCGCGAAAGGTGCAGACATCTCGACCCCAGCCGCGTCTTTCGCCTGCTCGCTTAAAGAGACAATTTGATTCTTGTTCAACCTTTTCTGCCCAGAAAAACCTAGCGTCCAACCTGTGGTTATGCTATCAAACACTCGTCAGTAGTGCAGCAATCTAATGCATATGAGCCGTTGCGTATTGCGGAATTACGGCTTCAAAAAGACACGGTACGAGTATTAAAAGGTTTTATGAGTAGCCTGGAAGTTTTCTCAACCAATATTTTTGCTGGTAGCGGGGCGCTTTCATCATTGGGGCAGGGTCCACTGCTAGCAAGGGCGGTGTTTGCCTTTTCTTTGACACAAAATTTGGTCAAGTCTTTTTCGAATTGAAGATCCTTCTCTCACCGTCAAGGCGAAAAACGAAGAAAATTGTATGCCTCCACCTTTTCTGACGTGAGGGTAGAGACTTGCTCCACCCGATGACACCGAGAACGTACGCCGGCGGTTCAGAGTTTTGTGCCGGGGCGGCGGTTAACCAGTAAGGGTGTCAATAAAGCAGTAGAACACGCGAATTGCTTTTGACCAACGCCCCGCATTTGAGGTGAGTATAGTCAGCGATCACTAGCGGTCTCCTGTTCACCGTAAAGTTCTCGGACCAAATCAGACATTTCAACGCTCATTGCCTTTCTTCCGTTTGTTGCCAGAGGCAACATTGAGCGTGTCAGTAGATTTGTTGCGGAAAACGCAAAAAGTTGACAAATTCTATGAAATCTGATTTGCTGCGAAAGTTGGGGGAAAATTTTTATAGTTGAGAGCCAACGAGCCCGCTGGAGCCCGCGCCCAAGGCCATGACAAAGAAGAAGCAAGGGATGTTTCGCGAACCCGCATGAGCCCATTCGGTCAGGACACTATCGAATCGAACAATGACGTCCCATCATAGGGGCTTCTCCGTACCTACTAAGAAAAACTGCGTAATAATCGGATGCACTGTGTCTTTTCTCGTGCAGAGAGGCCTGGCTTCGTTTGATTCCCTGACTCAGAAAATTTGCATCAAAAGACCAAGTATCAGGACAACTTCTTTGATATACTAGCTCAATTATTCTGATGAGGCATATTGCTTTCCAGAAGCTTCAATATAGAATTCTGTGGACGCACAATTCACCTGGACTTAAGAAAGTCAGTGAATGCCTACCATAGCACCAACGTATTCGGAGTAGTGCTACTCTAAAAACACACCGAGAGCTGTGCTCGCGAGGCATCATGATTGGCCATGCGAGCGAAGTTTTACCTAACGTCCCAAAGTCCCAAGATCCGCTTGTACCCCGTCCCGCCTCTCGGGCTCCACTGGGTCTTGCCGGGGCTAAACTAAATTATACTTAGCGCGGTCATGGGGTGCACTTGAGCCGCACCTTTGGAAGCCCCGTGGCACCGAGAAAATCACCAGCCACACGACTGACACGCGAGGAGACAGTATGCGCCACAGGATTTAATGACAGTGCTTTGGAAAACATTCCAATCTCCAGGCATTTTCTAGGCGTTTGAAGATTTAAAGCCTGTGAAGATGATTTCAAGTTGAATGGTCAGAAAGCTGCCCCTTCGAGCAGCGATCAACGCGTTGCAAAGTGGAGCTGCGACTCGCCAAGCCGCGCCCCAGCGAGGTACAGTCGAAGTACATTTCACGGATGGAGACACCTCGGCTTCCGCGTGAGTCTTTTCAACAAAAGGAGCGAGTACCGCCGAAGACAGGAAACCTGTGGGACAAGAAGTTGATCCGTAGATCTTGCGATCCAATTCCAAGTTTCGAATGCCGTTTCAGTGCAATTACCTATTGCCTTTATTCGAGGCTTGCTGACAAAATCGCGTTTACCACAAGCAGCTCGATCGTCAAAAGTTTTGCTTCAAAGGCGACAAGAATAGTGTAATAAAGAGCGTACGCATCATCTGCTTATCTTACCTGCAGCATCTTGTCCTTTTAGAGAGTGGAGTGTAGAATAATGCGTCGCGAGCGCGTGTTGAGCTAAACCGATTCGACATTTCACATCATGCCATGACCCGGTCAAATCAGTATTCAGGAGACGCCGTTTAGAGAGCACTACGAAACAGGGCATTTTTGCTTGTTCGAATGATGAGGTACGTATGGAGGTACAGTACATGATCTTAATAATACCTAGGTTTCGTACGTAGCATTGCCGATGATTCTCAGGGATTAATACGCATTGGAGATACGCGCGCAGGTTACGGTTTGTCTGTGGCTTGACAGAAACAGGGAAGTGCAGAGCGCGGAGATAGCCCATATTGGTCGTAGGGGATGGGCGGCCCAGCTGAGCGGAGGGGCATCATCCAACAGCCAAAATAACGATACGGAAACTTACGAGTCCCGATTAGCCTGGAGGCCGGTCTGAACAAGCCCAGACGCATTTCGTCTCGCGAGGCGAGCCTCAGACAGAAAGTTTCAATAAAAGAAGTAAAAAGGAGACAGCAAAAGAAAAAAGGAGGCCGATTTGGGTCAAACCCGCACTTGTGCATGCAGAGGAAAGGGGACGATTCTGTCTCAACCCAATTGCTTCAGATGATTTGAGGCAGGTAAAATTGAAACGAATTGAAACGAAATGAGAAGCAGAGACGCGAGGCCCCCATATAATTACGACAATGCACGCACTGGGCGTTTGTGCCAGGACGGGTTCAGTTGAGGCGTCTGGTGTCTGGTGTTCGCCAGTCCGCCGTCGGGCTCTCGTCGAATTCAAATCTAGCGTCCCAGCCAACGAACGAGTCCCAGGCTGGGGGATCCATGAACAGACGGGCGTGAGGGAGCGCGTGTCCACCACGGTACGGGTCTCTCATTAGGGAGACTTGGATGCAGGCAGGAAGAGTAGTGTGGGAATGATTAACTATTGCGACTGTGAGAGATAGTCCTCACGCGATGGCTGTCTTTCATTGGCAGTGCCTGTAACGGACCAGGGGGCTGCCCCATCTTTAGCATTTGTGCCGGGTTGGATTGGCGCAAGTGGTTAGATTTCGTTTTAGTCCCAGGTAAGGAAGGAGAGGCAGTGAGGACTCGCCTGTGGGACACCATAGGCTCAAAGCCTCTCGTTTCGGCAGGCAAGCAGGCAAGCAGACAGGCCAGCGTGTGTGTTATTACCTTACCTCTTGCACCACTAGAGTGGCGGAACGGACCCGTACGGTATTACATCGCGCTCTATACGCCAACTGTGTAAGTCGATCAGTCGTAGCAGTAGTGGTACTGTAGTACTGTAGTAGATGTTACAGCTCGCCTGCTCTCCTCTCCGAACTCTTGGCTGCAAACCCCGAGCTCATCCTTTTGTCCCTCCTCTCCTCATCCGTCTTCCTTCTTCATCATTCCCTCTCCCCTTCTCCTTCTTCTTCTTCTTCTGCGGTCGGACTCTGGAGGTAGTTTCATTATATCAGGAGTCTAATTCCAGATTTCTAAACTCTACTTTACCCTCTCACATCTTCTCAACAACCTTCCATAGACCGACCGTCTCCTCCTATCTTCCTTACCCTCATATACTCTCACAGCTTCAGTTCAAGCAGCACTGGCAGCTTGAACAAGAAGCAAAGGTGAGCTTGTCTGATTCGTCGGTGACGAACGATAAGCCAGAGGACATTCTCGTCGACTGTCGGTCGAGCAATTGGATCCCCTTGTCGTGGCCTTTTGTGGACTCGATGAACCAAACGGACTCGGTCACTTCCACTTTGTGAACGTTCTGACATCGAAACCGTCGTTTGAGAAAACAGTCAAGTCAATTCCGGCTCTTAGCCTTGTTGTGAGTGGAAAATTTTCTCTTTCGTATTTGCAGACCCCAAGAGCTGGGGCTGGGGTGGTCCGATCAGTTCAAACTGCGTTGATCGATGAAACGCACATGTTGGAGGGTCGATACAGTCAATTGTCATAGGCCGTTGGACTTGATGACTTTGACGTATGTGAGAGATATATATAGGACATACGCTCCGCGGTGATGAACGTCCTTCCCACGCTGCTTGTCACCAAAGGTCATCCTCCCAAGGCAGACTGTTTATATCTGGGTCCACAATTCTCGATACATTGTCCTGGTGACAGACTGGGGGTAAACCTGGATATTTAAATTTTCTATGCGAGGAGTACTTGGAGCACTGCCTCCGCTTAGGACCTGGCATGTGGAGCGAAAAAAGGCAACCCCCTTCACTGGTCTCAGCTGCCGCGAATCACCCGGACAGCTGCCATCCAAGGAGGTTCTATGGGTGAAGCTTTATCATATATCGGGAATGAATTATCTCATCACTGCAGGGGTCTTGATTGATGATATAACACTTGTGCATCACTGGTGTGGGGGATTATGGTTCGAGAAAGAGATAATTCATTGTTTCGGGGGATTGTCGGAGCTATTTTGATGCGAGTCTGATTTTTGAGATTATGTTCACTAATACTTTTTTCTCGTTGCAGATACTGTTTCCTTTCTTGTGGACTAGCATCATCACCGTCATCAACTCTCACAAGCCGTGTCTGCTTCACAAAAGGTATCATACCTGTCTCATGCTTATCCCCAGCTTCACGATTCTATATTGTCCTTTTCAATTCACGAGCGTGTGAATTGCATTGCCCTCGAGGGTGTTTTAGATAACAGCAATGCTGTATTAAAGGAGATCTCCCGGCTAATCTCATGCCCTTGCATAGTGTTCGTGCTCGTTAAGGGTGTAACTACATTCCACATTCTTCCAATTTCTCGCCAATTCACGATCAAGCGAAAGCAACGGCAGACCAGTGCAGAGACGTTAATTCGTGCTTTGCAAGAGAAGCTGTGTACTGCTCGCGTTCCTCCACAACCCTATCCTCCCTGTAATAGAAGCCCGTTTGTGCCATTCCAGTTTTCGGACTTGGATGTCGCTGCTGCCAGATTGCCACATCATCTCGCCGGCAAGGGATCTTCCCCAGTTCTTCTCTTCGCAGTCGCTTTTCTCACCAACTACAAGCCACTCCTTTTACCTGGACTCGCAGTCCGATAATATAATTCATTTCAGGTGTGTTTCCAAGGTTTAAGCGCACGAGGGTGGTGTCAGGTACCGAACACGCCCCTCGGTCGCTTGCCAATTCCTAGCCCAAACTTATCGCCCTAACGTCAGGGCGTCCTAGGAGAGCAGGGGGCTAATGAATGATTGCAATGCATAGTATAGGCTCGCTCTATTGATCTCTTATAACTGGCGCTCTTTGCTGCTTCTGGCGGTTTAGTCTCCAGTCACTCGAGATCTCCTCGACGCTCAATTTACCCACAGTCATTCCTTTTACAGTAATTCTACGACAGCCACTCTCTTTAATTCGTCGTTTGCATTTTCGGTCGAACTTATCGCATTTTATTCAGCATCATACATTCATTTTATAATTTTTCTCGTCTTTGCATCTAGTCGATAATTATCGTCGAGGGGTATCCTGGAGAGCCTGACGTCCATTCACTACAACCACCCCGTTGGATTTTACTACGCATTCTAAGATTGAAACATTTCAGCCATGTCTTATCCTCAGTGCGATAGCTACTTTGTGGAAACGCACGACAATGGTTACTACGCAGCACAAGCGGAAAGCAGGGAACGAACCAAACTTGTCAACCGAGCACGGCAAAATGGGATCGCAGCTGAGCTGTCGAAAATAGCGAGCGAAGAGTACAAGGACGATGTCCTGGAACACATGGAGCAGATGGAGGTAATGCCTCGGCATATTGACTACTAGTAAAGTTTTCTGCTAACTTGCTGCAAGGCCGAGACACTTCCAGATGTCGCCTCTATAGACATTCAAACCGAAATCCAGTGGTTCATGCGACCGTACCTGCTCGATTTCTTGATTGAGGCTCACTCGGCTTTTCAGCTTTTGCCGGAGACACTGTTCCTCGCCATTAACCTTCTGGACCGCTACTGTTCGAAACGGGTTGTTTACAAGCGTCACTACCAGCTAGTCGGCTGTGCTTCACTGCTTGTCGCTGCCAAGTATGGTGATCGCAAGGACCGAATTCCGACCATATCAGAACTCAAGTCTATTTGCTGCTCACTTTACGATGACGATATGTTCATACAGATGGAGTGGCATGTCCTGCAAACCCTCAACTGGATCATTGGTCATCCTACTGTGGACAACTTTATCCAACTTCTGCTTTCCGAATCCACCTATGATCCCGAAGTCGAGCATATGACCCGCTACATTTGCGAGATTTCCCTGTTCCACAAGGAATTTGTCTCTATTCGACCGTCAGTCTTGGCCAGATCTGCGTTGGCACTGGCGAGGTGCATCCTGGGTCGTGTGCAGCCTCATCAGTCTGAATGGGCAGGACAATACGATTCTCTTACCGTCGTTACCCTTTCTCAACAACTGCACCGACCAACCACTGTGCTCGCTAGAAAGTACGCCTCATCTCACCTATCCCACGTGTCCAGGATTATGGAAGAGTTTTTACTGCGGCAAGCCTCCATTGCCAAGCGCTATGCGCCGCCTACGCCCCAGTGCGAGACGCCAAGCGAGCAGAAGTTGGAGCTTTTGGGTGAATTCGGTCCCCATACGCCTGAGAAGGGTCATTATCCCTTGTCGATGCCCAGTGGTTACATGACTCCCCCTATTACCCCCAATGGCGGCAATTTCGAAGCTTCGCAACACGAAAAAGCCTACGGACCAGGACGTCGTACGGCGTCTCCGCAACAGACTGTCCATCAACCTCAGCAATACACGGAGTACACGTACCAGCAAAGCGCTTGGTAGAGTGTTTTCATGGGATGTCACTAGCCTTGGAGCTCAAGTCTTTCCCCATATAGTCCACGATGCTTGTAGGCGACCTGGAACCATATCCATGTCACTGACTCTAGCATTCAGTTGACTTGCCTAAGAATCTCCGACTTCACTGCTTTGTTTTTCTGACCTCCGTTTCATCCTCCATACACAGCTTTTACTTAGCACCGCATCTTTGTATATGCATGGCATTCCTTCTACTTATCTAGCATTGCAAGCAAGCATCTATTTTCTTTTCTCTTCTTGTCCTTCTCTTATAATCTCATTGTCGATTTTAGCGAGCACTTCTCTTAACCACAAGAATACCATCTCACAAGGTCGTTTATTGCTTACAATATGTTCGGGAAAAACAGTGGAGGAAAGCAAAAGTATTTTTCTATTCGCGGAGTTGTTTGACATTGTCTACGGAGTATTTACAACGTATGGGCAAGCTCGTCATCGACTCCGTGATAGAGCTCTTAAGAAGATTGGAAGGAATTGGGTTTGAAATTGCAAAATCTGAGTGGCCGAAATGGAGAGTATCTCATTTTGCTTTGCGACTTCTCTCTTTTCTGCGCATACGGCAGGGCTCATTCTGGAGGTTGAGCTTGGTCTCACTTCCGCCAATGTTGCGCCCGCTCGCCACAGTCGCTAACCCTGTTGTCTCTAATTTCGTTTTCCTTGCTGAGGCAGCGAAGATACCCTTCTCAAATACATGGATCAGAACCCCGCCAAATTTGCCCCTAAACGCATTTTTTTTATTTGTTTCTTTTACACATTACAAATGCTTTCACACCTTCGAGGCTCTGTATGTAAGAGGAACGAAAAAATTTATTCATCAATTTGCGGTCGGGTCAGCCACAATTCTCCTTTCCAATTTACCAAGCTATGTTCATACGGCTTCGGCTTCTACATAGCGTCGTAATCCTCGTTGAAAACGTTTCCTGAAACCTACACGGAGATTCTAAGCCTAAATTAGACCAATCTACTCCACATTTGAAATGACGAGCTCCAAAATATTGTAATATAGATTCTTTCCAGAATCTTACACTGCTCCGTGATTGGCTTACTCTAATGAACTCGAAGAGAGCCCTGACTATTTTAGTGCGACGATCATACTTGCGTAGAACAAAGGGAAAATATGTAGCGAAAGGCCCATAAGAAAAAAGGGGCCGGCGAGTTATGGAGCATTACTCTGTACAGTAGTCTAGGCAACGGTTGCTGCAAAATTCGCCCTTTTTTCTTTTCACCTTTTCGGGTCCGAAGTGCCGAACGATTTAATTTCGCGTTGTTTGCTTTTTCAGGATATGACCATAAAATAAATTATTCCTAGACATCCACGGGGTAGCTCATGCATCAATGTTATTGCTGATAGGCAAACATAATCAGCGACCGGACTGACACAAGTATCATGGTTCCGAGCGAGAGCCTCCTGGCTGACGAACCCTCGGCCATACGTCGGTGCTCTTTGAATGCAGTAGGATCTACCATAATAGATGTATCGTGCCTTTTTGTGAGGAATCATGTGAAAGTTGAGAAATGGAAAAAGGGGTAAATGGTATCTGATCTTGGAGATAAGATAAAAATTGATATGATGAATCACGTCAAGACCAGAAGCAGACTGCAATTAACCAGGCTGCTGCTCTCTTCATCGCTCAAAGGAATAATTGGCTGAGGTGTCGAGTTGTTACATGAACGCTAACTTCTGATTCTACCAACCTTTGACTTTTGAGAGCATGAAAAAGGCATTGGCTGAGACAGTAGTTCCCAACACCTTATGTTGGCAGTCCTAAGCCGCGCAGTGGTTGCTTGAGAAGAGACTCATCATGTCCAGCATGAGAACGGATGTCACTGTTCGCATAGAGAAGCACATAGTACGAGTGAAGATGCATTATGATTATTTACTCGCTCACTCACCATAAGCCCTAGAAAATACATTCACGAATTAGAGAAGGGCAGAAACCGCGAGAAGGCGCAGTACCAAAAACACCCGGACGCAAGAACAGGTCATGATCACTTTCAAAAACGCCAAACAAAGAGAGCAAATAATGAGTTTGAGCCTGATAGACAAAAAAGGAAAAATACAAAAAGAACAATTATATATCAACAAGTTTTGCTTTGAGATTATGAGGCTACAAAAACTGTGTCCAGGGAATCACAAACGAAAATAAAAATCAAATCAATGAATCACGGCGCCAGTTGCGGAGCAACGCCCGGTAAACAGCATATTTCAGTCATCCCAATTACCACAACCTCAAAAGTGATTAGACTATTTACACATCATTGTTCTCGTTGGACTGGGCGGAGGCTCGACGCGCCTCGCGGCCTTTCTCAGACCAAGGGAAATGGGCGACAGGGATTAGGAAGAAGCTGTTGGATCGATCGAGGAGACCGGCCAGAGCATTGTACCAAGCCATAAAAGCGGCCAAAAGACCGAAGAAGCCGCCAGCCTTGATGACAGGAACCCTTGGCATGCCGTCCTTGCGCTGAAGATAGCCTATGCCTAGCAAAAGGAAGGCAAGGTCCAGAAAGAAGAAGAGACTGAAGAAGGCGACCGTGGATCGAAACGTTCCAAACAGTAGGAGCGTGGTGAAAATAAACCACCCCTGTTCGCGAGTCATTCAGCATCACTGATTATTGAACAGAGCAACCCAGAACCTGCAAAAGAGAATTTGCAGAAAGAAGCAGCCATGATTACTTACCATCAAATAAAACCCAAAAGTGTCGAAGAAGGCTGTGTCTTCACCACCGAGACTGGAAACAATCTGGAATCCACCGGGAGTAAGGGTGATGGCAAAAGAGATCCAGAAGCCGCCATATGAAGAAAGCGCAGTGGCACCAAAAGTATTTCCAACGGCCATTTCCCTATAAAATCACCATAACGTCATAAATACGGTACAATTTGTATTATTCGTTTAGGAAGTGGATTCTTCTTACCACATGCCAGCAAGCAATTGCACCAGTCCACCGTAACCATACGCAGATGCGATAACAATATTAGGTGCCGCAATACCACGCGTTCGCATGTTGATCAAAGAAAGAACAAAGGTGGTCAGGGCGAAACCGCAGAGTCCCAATGGCGCTGGGTTTCCAAATTTGCGAGTCGGAGGACTATAAAGACCGGGCTGGAAAGCACCACCAAAGGCGGGTAACTTGGCCGAGTCGCTGGTATCCAAACGGGCCAGAGGATTTCCACCATAATCCCAGACTCGAGTGCGGGGATTCATCTGCTCAGGATGGCCTCCAATTCCAAATCCTGCTCCAGCTGGAACTCCAGGTCCTGCTCCTGCTCCTGCTCCATTTACATGATGCGAAGCAGAGCCTTCAGAGTATTCCTTGTCCGCAGGCATAGCATCAGTGCGGTCGTGTGCGGCGGCCATTTCGAGAATGTGGTCGTGCCCTTATGATGTTTCAATCAATCAATCAATGGTGACTCCACAACCTATCAAAACAAATCGACACAAAATTTAGAGTATGGGCAGCAGAGATATCAATCTCCTGAATCAAACACTCAAACAAGTTACACCAGACACGAGGACCTGAGTGACGGGGGCCGCATTTTATACGTCTACGTGCGGAGAAATGGGGTCTTCTTGGAGCTCTGCTTACCCCTCGCATCCGGATTGCAATTGCTCCATGCCGGGTAGAGAAATGGTACGATGATCGCTGCCGTGGATACTAAGAGTCCTCTATTGCATTACAAAGAATTCGGATGGTCTTGGGGAGGGTTGGGCAAAGGATTGGTGGAGCTTAGTTTGACCTTGGGGAAGAGGGGTTTGTCTTGGGCGATACTGACTAGGGGTCATGACGAGGTCAATGCAAGACGCAAAAAGTGGCTTTGATTTACTAAATGTGGGGGGAAAGAAGTTTTAGCGGGTCGGAGCAGCGGCAGATGGGCCGTATCGCTTCACACTTTCACTTTTGCGAGTATGCCTTGGGCGGCCGATCACCAGCCCCATGAAAGCATCAACCTGGTTCTAAGAGTCATGGGTTGCGAGCTTTGTAACCCGACCAGGTAAGGAAGAGTCGTCGGACCAAAGGCCATGCACCTGCAGCGGGTTGGCTTGGTATCAACTGCTCGGATCGAGCTATTAGCTCTTGCACTAGGAGTGTTGTCGTCGCATCAACACTGGGGGGAGCTCAGGATGAGAAGCTTCCCAATGCCCCAAGCCCATTGGAGGGACGTCGGAAGAGGAAGATGCGCCTGCCGTCTCACCGGGACTGCTTCCCAACCTGGTGCCGCTCCCCGATGCAGGACAAAGTCTGCTGCTCTCCCGCCGTCATTACATATTGCATGGATCCTTAATCTGACACTCATCCCCAGCAAAGATATTTTGCAGCAATGAAACCCATTGTTAATATTTCCCAATTCCAAGAGGATATCCATCCTGAGTGCTCTCTGCTTCACTCTCAAGACTTTGGGCTGACGTCACCGATGTGTATTGCCAAGGAACAAATATTATGAGAAGGTACGTCCGTACGCGCAAGCAGAAAATCGAGTACCCTTTTTGGCAGTGCCAGTATCCAATATACTCCTTCAGAATCACGGCCGCCGCTTTCGCGTAGAGCATATACACGTAACTGTGTAATATAGAGGGAGGGGGGAGATAGGTTATACGAATGTGTGCACTCCCTGATTATGCAGATTTGTAATCCATTTGTGATATCTTCTATTTCTATACCCTACCAAGACCTCCCTCGACTGGACTTGTCTCTCTATTGATTCCTCTCTCAGTATATGGCATGTGGTAAGCATTGGAGCATCATTATTATCACAGTAAGTACCAACTTGCCGGCTGCTGTGGGGTAAACGAGGTGCCGATAATATGGCTCCACCCTTGGGCCGGTTGGCCATGGCGTGTGGGGTTTGCCGTCCCCGCTAAACCAAAAAGGGTCTCACCATCTTCCCTCTCCGCATCTGCCACACCTCTTGGGATCCCGGGATTTCTTTCTCTGATCCCAGGTTTTATCATACATTGAGCTTATTAACCCTAGCAAAGCGCTTTAACTCCGAGAGAGAGATGGAGAGAGATGTTGTCATCATTTATGCCCAGCTTCTCAGTCTCTAGGTGGGACAGCTGCGTGCGATTATATCACGCCGAAATTTCCATGCAGTATCAGCAGTATTACTGCTCCGCTTTCTGAATGGTTTCAATTATGCCATCATTTCCTTTTTTAAAGTGTGAATCTAACATATCCAAAGGCAAGAGAAAAGAGATGAGAGGAGAAAATTAACAGCGCTGTCTTGGCTTTCAGACTTAACGACCTTGTCTTCGGTCAGATGGAGAAACACTTCACACTTCGCACTTCGAACTCTTCCTATTGTCCGCCTACCTTCTGGTTGCTAGCAGTCTTGGCTTCGACGTTACATCTTTCTCTACAGAATTTCCACGATAATTTGAGTTCCTCTCCGAGTCGAGTAAAGCACCCGCTTCCCCGATTAGGCCACGATTGAGATGCGCTCTCACGTGGCGCTCTTAGCCTCAAGGCCCTTCCCCCTTCGATGGCTTATGCCTATCTTACCTCTTGGGCGGTGCAACTTGTCAACCATTTACCATCTGAAATAACCTTAAGAGCAACGGCAAACTTCTGGTTCTCTGCTTAGTGCGGCCACCGGTGTCGTTTGATCCTTGGTACCATCGCTCGTCTCGATGCTACACTTTTCCGGCGTGCTCGACGTCCCCACCCCTGTCAGATTCCAGACCACGGAGTCCAACATCATTGACCCTTGTATACCTGTGGAACTTTTTGTCTCTTCGGTCGGTTAGGCTTTTTTCCGATTCTGAATGAAGCCTAGCTTTCCCTGATCGCGAGTTGGCAGAGCATTCGAAAACTACTGGACGCAAGTGTTCCTGTCGTCTCAGACGTGACAAACCTGAAAACCCCAACCCGTACATCGGCTCTTCTTCTGATGGTTTTTATGGCTGGCTACTGGGCAAGTGTCTGAAACCTTGGAACGATGGAAATTGAGATGATTTTCTGGCTCAATATTCAGACCATTTGACATCTCTCACCGGGATAAAATATTTAATTCGTGGATTAAACTTGGGGTTGGAGGCCATATTGTGGCGAATTATCACACATTGACGGCGAGTCAAAGGTTCAAACCTGAGGCGCTGGGTACATAATCATTCTGCCATCATCCTAGGTAGATAGCCAGGTAAGTATCTCCTATTCTCGGCGGTTTACTTTGCGTATTATAGGTCCGGCGTTGACCTTTCTGGGAGGCTTGACGATTTCTGGCAATAACATAACAAGACCTGTTTTGCGCACAGCCCACTCGAGTATTAATGAAGTATCTCACGAGGATATCAATCTAATTTGCATTGATAAGTATTCTCGATAACAACAAAAGGCCCGAAATGTTCAATATCTAGATTGTCAAAGAGAGGACTCCATCCTGATGCAAGCACAACCAAGTTTACCCGACGCCAGTATAACATTCGTTCCCTCCAAAAACGCTCAACTGATCCCAGACATTCATGAAACGACACAAATCCAATAGCGGCAAGAAAATCTCAAAATGCCGAACACGGATGCTTAGAGATCCACCGCCAATAATATACCCAGAGAACAAAGAAAAAGTCGAATTCGTTCATAGTCCATGTGACTTGTTTTCATCTCGTCCGATCCTCTTTCGTGGCATTGGATAGTTACTTTCGTCGAGGGTCGTACGTCTTTCCACCCGTATTATGTACGACTACCGACTGGCCGCTGGGCCCAGTCCGCTCGATAGCGGAGTATCCGTTGGGGTTATTTGCTACAAGAATGTCAGTATGATGTGATATCCAAGTTACAGCAGAGTTGTATCGCTTCACATACTTCCTGCACTTGGAGTCCGAACGACATAGCTTGTGGCTCCACCCTGCCCATAGCTCGAAGAACTCGAGCTGTTTGCGGAAGGCGAGCTGCCGTATCCACGGCCAGTACTGGCGCTGCTCAATTTAGGCATGGGGCTGGCGATGTAGTAATCTCGAGACGATCTCGATGATGAGGAATATGGAGAGTAGATTGCTGGCTCTCGGTATGCCTGGGTGTAGGCCTTGCTGGCAGTGCTATTCGTAGTGTAGGCAGAGCTGAGAGTAGATCTTGGTGATGAAGTATGAACAACAGGCTTGCCGTAGCGGTCGTAGGACATTTCTTTCCTTGCAAAAGGCTTGGGGTGTTGAGAGATAATATATGCAAAGACAATGTATGACAGTTATGCTTTAAGAGGCTTTTTGATGTGATTGAGTCTTGATGAGAAGCGATGCTGAAGGGGAGAATGAGGTGAAATTTATATCCGAAGCACAGAATTACCGGTAGAGTAAAAAAGGATGAGCCACAATAGTAGGAGACAGTCAAAGTGACCCCCCCCCAAAACGTCGTTGCCTGGTAACTAAGGCGACACTCTTCTCGTGAGTGAGAATACATCTGGAGAGCAAGGCAACCAAGTTCGTTGCCTTTCCTGTGACGGCCATTGCGGCTTCTCGGTCCAGGCAACAGCCCCGATTCTTTGCGGCCTGAAACTAGACGCCCTGGAAGCAAAGAGCAACAGAAAGAAACGCAAATGGGGAGTCATCGAAGGGAGGGATGGAAAGCAATTGTTGTCAATGAGCTTCAATTTGCTGACGGGGGGTGAAAGGGGCAAAAAAACGGGCTTGGGGTGGTCGTGCTAACGGGTCTACAGACAGTGGAAGAGTCATGCTTTGTTTGAAGCCTGCCGAGCCAAAAGCGTGACGTTGATGAAAACCGGGATCTGGGGCGCATTCGAGAGGATTCACGTTGGTGGCCTAATTCTTCTCTTCTGGGGCCTTTCCTCTTCTTTCCTTTTCCACCCCACGAGCACTCTCGAGGAAACCCGCGCCACGGCCTAAGCCAGTGAGACATTTTGTTCCCCCCAAAAGCGAGGCTTTGCTTTCTACTAGCGTCCACAGTTCACAAGATGAATTATTTCAAGTCATTGGAGGATTTGTGGCATAAGTCGTCACTTTTTGTGTGGGCTTTTTCCGTCTTCTTGGGGATCGTGGAGGACACGCTACGGCCCAACGCAAACCGCGACCCCATGGGGGGGGTGTGATTCTGTTACTTTTTTGCTTTTACTTTTCCCGCGTCATGATCCACAATTGGTTTCACGGTTCCTGCAGAAGGCTGAAGGGTGAAGGGTGCAATTGAACCAGAGGACAACAATTCACACCCTGCCCCATCCTCATAGCTTTCCTGGTGGTTGTGAAGCTGTGACTAATTTTCGCATGAGGTGGGTGTGTGGAGTGCCTGACGCAGGCGAGAAATGCTTCAAGTGCGTGGGTGCTTCAGGCAACCAACCTACTGTTGCGCAGTGGGAGGTACTTGATCTCTGTCACGAGGAAGATCTGGAACCCCCCGGTTCATCCCGACGTTACTTGTCATATCTTGGGGCTAATAATCTGAGTGTTAGGCTTTTGTGAATGTTTTTCATCATCGTCATCATCATTTCTTCAAAACCGAAGCAAAACAGCCACGGAGGCTGAGCAATAACTTCCCCCAAAAACACGGCCTTTGGCAAACAATCGTCATTGTTGCCATATTGGCGGCGCGGCTGTACTATACTTGCCGGCCTACAGGAACTACTGTATAGTGGCAGTTTGCATGGGGTCCAATGCAGCTACAGTACGTCGCAGTAGTAAGTACTGGGGTCGTACTCTTTTGGCTGTGCAAAATGGGGCTACCGTGGGTGAGGCTTCCAAGGCGGTGAGGCTGAGCAGCCAGTCATCAACTCCCAAAGGGAGTAGTACCCCAGGAACCCAAAGGCGGCCCCATATTGTAAGCCCGAGTGTTTCGTCCCAATTCATGTGGCTGGTTGGTTGTTACAATGAATCTATCTTTTGCATCGTTCATGACTTTTCACTAGGCCCGGTTGCTTGCAGCAAACAATGGGTTTATTTTTGGACGAGAAATCCCAAGAAAGAAAGGTAAGGGAAGTCGAAAAGTGTCATCCTCCCTTGAAAGACGAAACTCGACAAAAGTTCGACCCCACGAACACGGGAGAATGGGAAATAAAAATAGAAGGAAACGCTTATGAAACTCCGAAAAATGTACATATGACATTTCTGAAGTCTCACTGTGACTCGAAATCAAGGCGCGGTTGGAATAACTGGACAATGGCTTGGTTGCACGGTAAGGTTAAGCGGTGGCTTTTTCCCTCGGGGCGAGCGAGGAGGATCTCAGGCAAACGATGGGGATTCATTCCACTACTTCTTGGCGGGCAGGCCTACCGCGTATCATCACATGCTTGCCTGCGCTGTCGATGCAGGGTGCCGCCTCGTTCACGACCGCGCCTCGATCTCGAGGGTCCAGTGCAGTTCCCTTTTTTTTCCAGTGCGACATTATATTTTTGTTTAATTCTAGCTATCTTCTTTTTTTCCTTTTCTCCCCGCCTCTTTCCTTTCCTTTCCTTTCCTTTCCTTTCCTTTTTTTTGGTGTTGTTGTCGGATTTATTTACCCATTCCTAACAACTAACTATTTCCTATAAAGTAACATATATCAATATCAGCATCCAAAACATATCCACCAACTCACCATCATCAGAATACAATACCATCCTATCCATCATACAAGCCATATCAATTTCATGAATCCTGATATCCCGCCATAATTTGCCTTCCACTAACTTGGCTCTCATGTAGATTGGTTCTTATCTTCACGCATAGCATTCCCCTCGTTCGTTTCCTCACACGAGTCCAAGGCCACGAAAGGGCGGAACAACATTGACATTACCGCACAGATTCTCCAACAACGGTGGGATGGCCGAGTTGGTTATGGCGCCAGGTTAAGGTCACCTTAACAGAGTTGCTTTCTTAGTAATTTCCTGGTTCGGGAAACTGAGCGTGGGTTCGAGTCCCACTCCCATCAACAATCTTTTTGCCTTCTTTTTTTTTTATCTTCTATCTTTTAGTTTTATTTATTATGTTTTTTTTTCCCTCCCAATTTTTATTTTCTTTTATATTGGTTTGATTCGACATTTCCTTCTTCGCTCCATGTTTTTAATTGGGGGTTATTGAGAATGGAATTGACTCGGATTGTACGGAGTACAACTACAATTCCAAGTTGACGTGGTCTATCATTTTTGCTCAATCTTCTTACATGCCCAAGGGAACGAGGAAGTCCGCAATACACGGCCGGAGGCGGGACAGGAGTTCAGGTAAGAAGAGCTTCGCGCATTACTGCTTCATGTGTCCTACGAATAACAATTGAAATGGCACTTGCTTGTATCGTTTCAAGACACCAGGAGATATCAATCTCTCCACAATCATCTCATTCTACTGTGCATATGCTCACTCTATAATATTTTATTTGTATCACCCGTAGAACAACCATTTCTCAAAGCCACGCAGGCAGATGCGCTCAATCGCTTGTACCACACTCGCCTACCGTACGAGTATGCAACCCCGTTCCTCGTGCGCTACGTGCCAATTTCCATTCTGCAGCCCGACCACAAACGAAAAGAAAAATATAACAACCAAAGAAATAGCAATGAAAAATGAAAGGATCCATAAAGAATAAAAAGGGCAGATAAAAAGATGACAAAAAAAAAGTCAAAAATGAATGGACAATCTGGGAATTGAACCCAGGACCTCTCCCATGCTAAGGGAGAATCATACCACTAGACCAATTGCCCTTTGTTATTGAAAGTGGACGAAATAGGTAATATATGAAGGTATAGTAATCAAGCTGACGACAAGCTCTATTGGCTCCTCATCCCTGTATCTCTGTGACATTTCGTTGTTGAGATAACACGCGTGTGGTGCTGACAACTAGATTCAGATTCGAAATCGTCGGGCAAGTGAGACGGTCGGGTCGATTCAGCTGGCGGGGTCTCGCTACGATATATGCAGGTAGAATTAAAAATCTCGCAATTAGACCACAAATTACTATCTTAAATCCAAAACCACCATTATTATTATCATTCATACTGCATGCAGCCCCCAAGGCTATGACAGAGTCTGTGAATTAAATACACAAAATAATGTGTGTTAGGCTTTTTTGTCACTTTGGATACAGTCATTCTATCATGCAATAAAATCCAAAACTGAATACATTGATGAAATCTGCGCATCTATAATTCCCTCATGATCTCCTTGTTATTGAAGAATTTGTGGTGTTTTTGATCCGTTCTTGCTCTTGCAATTCTGTAGTAGCAAGTGCTCATTCAGAAGCTATTCTCGAATTTTGACGCGCTTTTGGTGGCATTGTCGCGTTCCGAATAGCTTCAATTTGTGGAGCTGGAAACCCGCCGTTGGTAGTACGGCGTCATGTTGAATTTGGACCCCTGGTAAAATCGGTCATCGGGTCCAGTTTCATGCCTGTATATCATGATATACAGGGTGGCTTGAGAAACAGGGTCGCTCCAAAGGATAGTCCTCCACCGATTTAATGGTATCCTAGCCATTTGGATGCCACGAACACAAAGTAGTTCGTTTCAAGGCCTGGCTGACAAAGTTTCAAGCCGGTTGATCCATTGAATCAGAGGCCCGTCTCTTGCCCAGGAGCCAATCTCCGGTTCGATTCCTGCGCTTCCATCCTCGATGCAGGAGCCGATTAGGCGATGGAAGAGGGTCCTATGGACTCGTTTTTCGAGCTGCGGTCTTGAATCGCACTGTGGGTAAGTGACAATACTATGGCTCCCTCATTCGCGTCAATAACATCTTGACAGCGCGCGCTCATAGTTCCGATTGGTAAAGTCTAGAAAAGGACCACAACTCTGAACCAGTAAGTAAGGAAGAAAACATGCTGAAAGACAGACACAGCAGAATGAAAAATTTCCAAGAACAGGACCCTTATGTAGCCACTCCTTCATTCCATCCCAAAGCTCCTCAATTGGATTGAGGTCTGGTGAAAAGTCGGACTTGGCTATACACGCACACACACATGATGACAGGAGAGACACATAAAACCGTCCGTACTTGACTTTCGAAACAGTCCCAGATACCTCCCATCCAAGCTCTTCTAAGAGCTCTTTCCAGCTCATTGACCGCACAAAATAGCGATTGAGCTGCGGGATAATGGACTTGATCATCATCTGTATCAGCGAGGGGTCCTTTGGGTTGGTGTCTCTGTAAAGCTCCCCACCCGTGAATAGGCACTGCGGGCTTTGCCCCAGCGGTCATATATTGCTTCACAGCCGCCGCATCTCTCGAAATTGCGGGCAAAGCTTCCGTATGCATTAAATCTGCACTGCCGCTGCCTTTGCCAGGCAAACTCGCAGTATTCGTCAGCTCCGGATCCGGATTTGTATATTTGTATATCCGGGGCTGACCGAAGGGGTTCCCACTCATTTCGATTCAGATCGAAAGGCAGATAAATCCCCATTGTTCTTATTATTTTCTGAGTACCATTCAAAATTTTTTTTTTTCGAACCGTTTGAGTATGATCTCTTCATCTCTCTTCCCCTCCACCCCCAGCCCACTCCCCCAGCCCCTATTTTTTTTTTTTTTTTTCTTCTTTTTTTGGTTTGTTTGTATTTATGTTTTTCATCGAAAGGTTTCGGTGATTGTTTTTTATCTTTTATTTTCATTTTATTTTTCTATTTGTTCTTTCGCTTCTTGATATTTTCCCCCTGGTCTTCCCCAGGTGCGATAATTCTTTTAATTGCTCCCCGGTGATGGTGCTCCTCACAACAGTAGGTAAATCGACCGAGTAAGGGAGTGGCACCTGCCGCGCGAAGCCGAGCATGTGGGAATGCTCAAAATGCTCATGCTTTAGTGCTCATGCTCTTTTCACAAGGGGCACTTGAAGGACAGGTCTCTGCTTGCGCATACATGAAGCTTTTTTTGCTCCACACGTCCGTCAAGCCTGGGGGTTTGGTCCCAAACTTCAGGCACCACCCATGATCTCTGTCCTTCGTTTCTCCTTCCATCTCCTCAAATCCAACTTTCCGTTGTCTATTGCCGTAGCTTTCAATCCTCCTCAATCTTCCTCAGTCTTCGACAAAACTTCCCGTCGCTCAACGAGCATTCGTCTCTTCACTACCCATCCGACTTCTTTCGCACGTCCGCCAATGTCTCTTTGATGTTTCCTCTTTGTCCTTTCCCCCTTTCCCCTGTTTCTATTTTCTTCTTTTGTCTTTTCTATTTTGTTTTTTATTTTTTTATTTTATTTTTTGCTTTTCAAGTTGAGTTTATCTCTTTGAGATTTGTTGTTCTCTTCCATTTGCTTCCGGCGTAATGCCTGGGAACTCGCTCCCATCTTTCGGTTTTTATTTTTATTTTTATTTTTATTTTTTTTTGTGAAGGAGCTTCTGCTGTCCCTTGTCTTCCTCTAGGCTCAAGATTTTCAATTTTGGAATGAGCCAATGCCTGTTGGCGGCAATAATCAGAGGTGGCATCGGTGCCTGAAAGGCTTCTTTTTCCTTTTATCCTTTTGCTTTTCCGTCCTTGGAAAGCATTCCTCCTAAACCTATTTCCCCCTTTCTCCCTCTCCATCTCGAAGCAATCCTGCCACAGATACACCAATTAAATTTGCAACGCAAGTGCCCGTACGCGGCGATCTGTGAGCTTCCTAGGGAAAGGTTCTTGATGCAATGTAGAAACAAAATTGGGTTTCATGTTCACGCTCCTTGAATATAACGTTTTCATCGTTTAGGAACCTCAGTGAGATGACCAACCCAAGACCATTTCAAATTAAGGTTTGTGGCGCGCGGTGACCGCTAGACCGTGGATCAAGCAAGAGAAAGGCAACAGCCTCTGCTCGAATTTGGCGGAATATCTGCCTCTTCGAAATTTCAAATCTAGTATCTCGGTCCAGTGGTGCGTCACTTCCTTTCCCTTAATGACCAGGCTCATCTCCAGAGTTTGGATCTAGTAAAGATTTTTTAATGTGCCGGCACGATAGTGATAGGCTTCTTGTGAATGATTTCTTTGCGTCTCTTGAGAGATGGGAAGCCCGTGTCTTGCACGATTGGATTTTGGCTTTCCTATTCCGGCGGTGAAGCATCATCCTGGGTTGTTGCGTTTTGCGGGCACCGCAAATGCCTTATTCCCTTTGTCCGACCATCCATTCATGCTCCTTCGAACTCCGAGAGTTCTCCTCATTGTCCCATTAGAAGAGTTGAGTGCAGCAATCGTTGTATTGTGAAATGTCTTTGCAGGACGAATACCGCTGGGAATTTCTTGTTCGATAGATTGCTTTGGAATATCTTTTTGGAGATCACCGGCTGCTTGCTCAGCTTCAGCTGCGACTTGTTTGGATTGATCGAACGGAGGAGGCGAGCTGGAAAGAAATGTGTATGCTTTCCTTTTAGACGCAGGCTCTTGTGAAAACTGCGCCAACGGCTTCCTCGGGACAGGTGCCCTCGGTCGATGTCTTGACAAGGACAGGGGAATGGCGCCAATTGTAGAGTGCTCTTCCTGTAGTCTTTGACTAAAGTTGTCTTCCGAGTTTGATGTGCCTCTTGCTTTCTTGGTATAAGAGACCTCACAAGGAAGATTAGGCAATTCATAGGGCACATGTGTAGAAACCATATCCGTATCCAGCCGGGAATTTGCCAAAGACGAGCGAGGGAAGTTGGAGACGATATCAAGCTTGTTTTGGACCGAGCCAGGCTTTGCAAAAAAGCTTGTCAGTCGAGATTGCCTGGCGCCTGCAATCGCCGCTGACTTTTCACCTATTTCGGGGAGCCCGGGAAGGCGCGACGGTTTTGTTGAGCTCTTGCAGCCAGTGCGATTTTCCAAATCGGTATGGCTTTCACGACGCGATGGCTCAGCTGTCAAGCCGGCATTTTGTGAATGTTGTCCAGCACTTATGAAGCCGTTCTGAATTGTGGTATTGGAGATGGAAAAGGATGAGTCGCGTTGCATGGTGATTGGCAGAGATTGCTCGGCAAGCGAAGTTTTATATTGCTCAGCGCCAGGAGCGGACAGCTTGTGACGTTCCAAAGATGTGAATTTCGTGGACCATCGTTCTCCGGCATGCTGAGCATTGCCTAATTGCAAGCCGTCGTGACGGTCCCCATTGTTTGCGACCATTTCTCCATTAAGTGGCCATATGTCATCCTCTAAGCTCTTCAAGCCATGGTTTTCTGGCAACGTCAATTTGGGCGGACAGCTGCGTCCGAGTATTTGAGCGAGCGATCCGGCAACGACCGATGTGAAAGAGGGGCCTTTATTCTGAAGAAGCGCCGCAAGAGTCTCGCTAGATAGGAATTGAGACAATTTTGTGCAGTCTAGAACGTGTCAATCCTCCATGTCAAAGAGCAGAAAAGCCAGAAAGTCGAGGCAGCGCGCTCACCTTGATTAGAATTTTTGGTCGGGCAGCTCAAATAAAGCAGAGCTTTTGCTCGTGTCATTGCAACATAGAGGAGTCTGCGCTCCTCGTCCATATCGTCTGATCGTGAGTGAGGTATGGAACCTTGATAAGCTCCAGGAATAAATACAACAGGCCACTCTAAACCTTTTGCCGCATGGATGGTTGATATTACGACTTGGTCATTAATGCCGGCCTGTGCGTCCTCTGGTTTGATTTCAGAGGACAGTGCCACGTTTGCAAGAAACCTTGCGAGCCCGTCTTCGAAGGATGTGGGCTTTTGTTGAGGTAATTCCTCAACTTCGGGGAGACTTTCGTCTTCGTCGGATCCATTCTGTATCGAAAGTGAGAAATCGGATGCCTGTGCCACGAGTTCTTGAACATTCGCCCATCTGGATTCGTGGTCTTCAGAGTGCGTCTTTTCCAAGAACTCCTTGTACGCCAACTTTTTCATGACGTTTTCTAACAGGTCCACGAGGTTAAACTTGGATTTGGTGCAGTCAGAGAGCATTTGTCTGGACTCAATTATAAGATTTGAAAGTGATGAGAGCCCTTGCTGAGCTACCTTTGTGAATTTAATTTTGGACGTCAAGTTTCCTCGTAAGACTCCGCTAATGAGAGCCCATAGAGTCATTGAATTTGTCTCTGCCTCTTCTAGGAGGTTTTTGATGGTGGTTTCGCCAATCCTGCGGGAGGGCACATTGATAATTCGAGCGAGCGCATCGCTATTTCCCGGATGACTGATGATTCGGAGGTAGTCTAAAAGAATTTTGATCTCAAGTCGGTCGTAAAACCTCCAGCCGCCGACCATGCGATATGCGATTCCAGCTTTGCCACAAGCGGACTCGATGTGTCGAGATAAAAAGGCCGAGCGGACAAGTATAGCAAAGTCCGAAAGGCGTAATAAGCTTCCAGTGAGCGCAAGAGAGCGCTTAATTTCCGTGACGATCCATAAAGCCTCTGTAGCAGCAGAATGAAGTTTCCTCAGGACCGGACGGGTGCCAACACAATGGGTGGGTATGAGATTATTGTTTGGACGGGATGAGTCTTGTTGAATGACTTCCATTGCAGAAAGGAGGATTGAGCCAGAAGATCGGTAATTCTGCTCGAGAAAGACAGTCAACGTGTCTGGATAGCACTGCTGCATGCGTTTGAGGTTTTCAATTTCTGCGGAGCGAAAGCCATAAATGCTTTGATCAGGGTCGCCCACAATGGTGATTCTCTTTTGATATTGAGAAAGCAGACACATCAACTCAAATTGGATGTGATTCGTGTCTTGAAATTCGTCTATTAAGACGGCCTGCACTTTTGAGACACATTTTGGGTGCTGCTGAAGTAATTCGACGCAACGGACCAAGAGGTCATCAAAGTCGAGAAGGTTTGACTGAGCCAAAGTCAATTCGTACTCGCGGTAGGCAATTGCAAATTCCTGCTGATCGAGAATCTTGGAAGTGTGATTCTTTGCCGTCACATCATCGTGTGATATGCCTTTTGCCTTGCTGTTTGAGATGCGTGTGCGAGTTGCTGCAGGATCAATATTGAGTTTGAGCCGCTTGATGATGCGCTATACTTGTGTTTTAGCCCTCATCAAATCGTCGCAGATTATCCTCAATGATCGACTACCTTGATAATGCCTAAGCTGTCGCTGCTGTCTGCGATGCCGAAGCGTCTTTGAATGCCAATCAGGTGACCATAAACGGCAAGATAGCGACGACAAATAGAGTGAAAAGTACCAAGGACAAGCTTTTTCCCTAAATCATCTCCGACAAGTGAGCGAACCCGTTCTCCCATCTCTCGGGCAGCTTTGATAGTAAAGGTCGTAACGATGATATTGGTCGGGTCAAGGCCATCATGTGCGAGGAGATACGCGACACGAGCCGTAAGCGTCTTGGTTTTTCCTGAGCCTGGAGGAGCGAGAATCTGTAAAACCGAAGCGGGACTGGTCACTGCCGTGCGCTGTGCGCCATTCAGGCCGTGTAGAATCGTATCCATGCTCCGTAGTCTCCATGGGCTCTCGTTTCGGTGCTTCGTAGATGTTATCGTAATGGAAGTGTTGGGGAAGACGCGACGTCAACAACTGGGGTAACACGAGGTCACGTGAGGTTCTCAATCGAGTAACCACCGAACCATGGAAAGCCGTGTGCTCCAACGACAGTCACAACGAAAATACATTCTCCCTGCGTCGAGGAGGCAGCTCCCTGGCATCAGGCTGGCTCATTTCCTCCGAAGAAAGAAAAGATAGCCGTCACGCCGCTTCGCCACCTCCTCTTCGCTCATCTCCCGCACTTTGTGGTCGTTGGCGAGCCACCACTTACCGCTGGTTTTCACCAGGGCCGTGTAGTGGCCGGCGTTGATTCTGCACGACGTTCTTGTTAGCATACGCTTGTGATGTAAAGGACAATTCGGATTTTGTAAAATGGCATGAAGAACTTACGTCTGACCACAGTGCTCTACGACTCCGTAGACCTCGTACTTGCCCTTGGGGGCGACCTCGGTCGGTCCAAACCACTGAGAAAGGTCTAATTCCCCTACGGGAAGCTCAACCTTTGTTGTGATTTTTCCCTGCCAGTCCACACGCCCAAGATGGACGACCAAGTGATCAGGGGTCTCCACAAGGTAGGTGGCCTTGGAGACGCCTCCCGCCTTGTTGCAAAGTTCACACTTGTAGTCGGAAAGATCCAGTGGATCTTTAACGCTTGCAAAGCAGCGCTCTAGGGATGTAATCCCTTTTTGACGTTCAAGTGTGAGGTCCAAGCAATTGAAGGTCGCGAAGGTGTCATTGACTCGTCCACACTTGGAGCAAGTCATCTTGTCAACCTTTCTACCTTGGAAGACCCTATCGATGGTCGTAGGTCCTTTCGCTGCACTCGGCTCATCGCCTTCTGGTATCGGACCGTGCTCCGAGAGCTCTTCTTGGCTTAAAAGCGCGAAGAGCTCGCCCAGAAATTGATGAGCGTCCTGCTGCTCTTCTCCATCGAACCCTTCCCGCACAGTCCCGTACGCTTCCTGGAAGGCAAGCGGTGAGAGGATCTCCTGCGATTCAGGTTCTCCGGACATTTTTTGTAGAAGTCGACCGAGCAGTCCCGAAACCGACCTAGAATAGCATATTAGCATTGAACATACGAGATCAGAGAGACTGCAGCGACTTACAGCCGGTCGAACGAGCATCGCCTGAACGCCTCCTTGACCGTCTCCTTTATCTCAGACGCTTTTCTCTTGCTGAGTCTGACGAACTCACGGAGATCGCTGTCTGGGACACCGCAATCAATAACGTCATGCAGTGTCGCTGTCGCACAATAGTGCTCTGAAAAAGGAGCCGTTTGCGCAAGGCACTGGAGGACGGCGTTGCAAAAGCATGCATACCTATGGTTATGAAGACCAATCGGTCGTGACTGGGTCACGCCAGGAGCGACGGCGACCTTCTTCTCTGCAGTTGCCTGCTGAGTTTCTGGCTTCTCGGCTTCCTTGGATGCAGCTGGAGCGTTTTTCAAGCTGTTTCCGCTGCTTGGGTCGCTTGCTGTGGCTTGCAGCTCAGATCCCAAAACATTGGAAGCTTGAGGAGTTGATGACTCCCGCTCACTCTTCTTGGCCGTAGATCTCCGTTTCACTGGTTCAGTAGCTGTGGCAGGCCTACTTGATACCGGATCTACAGGAGTCTCGGAAGTGGTTGGTCCAACGGCCTAAACGGCATCATCAATGTCAGCATGATTCGAATGAACCAGATCTGGAAGGAGAAACTTACGCAATCCAACTTCCTCGGGCCCTTGGCCCTTGCAGCTCTCTTGGCCTTGAGACAGTAGTTAGTACAATGGTTAAGTGAAGAGGATGGCATGGGTAAATACCGCAGAAGAAACAATCTCCACCTCTCCGCCCTTCTTCGTCGTCCTCTGCAATTGGGTATGGTTAGAGCTAGGGCCGAAAAAGGATCGCGAAGAGATGCTCTCACTTGGATCGACTGGGCATTTCTCGTCCCCTTCTGAGTCGCCGTGGCTTTAGCCTAGAGGGATATGTTAGCCTAGCGGACAGTTAGACAGGGAGAGAGCTCAAATTACCCGGACCGAACTCTTCTCTTCGACTTTCTCAGCCCGCCTTACTGTCGAGGCATCTGTGGCCTACAGGATTTCAGCAGGGTACAATAATTAGAGGGGCATTTCATGCTCATTACCTTTTTCGACGCTGTCGTGGCTGACCCCTGAGGTGTTGACCTAGCTTGGACAGCCTATGACCAGCTTCAGCCTTTGTCAACTTTTACTCCAAGATGCAGAGCTTACCGGTTTCAACGCTTTACGCCCTCCAATGAGGGAGAAGTATGAGGACGCACGAGGCATCACTTCTACCTTCATCTTCTTTGGACTCGGGGGTTTCTCTCCACCCTCTCTGGCCCTCTTTCCAAGATTTGAAGGCTTCCCGCTCGGGAGACCAACTTGAGAAGAAGCCCTTGCCAGCAAGGTCTAGAGTTTGGCATATCAGTTTCGGGAAGGCATCGGGACTCTCATTCTGTGGGTGAGCTTACCTTCTGTCTCTTAATCGTTGGCTCTTCCCGGCCAGCCTTCTCCTCCGGATCAGCCTGTCTCTTCCTTTTATCCGCCATGTCTATCCAACGGCAAGACAAGTCGAAATAGCGGGAAGGACTCTCTAAACAACTGGGAGCGTCAAAAATAACGAGAACTAAACGGCAACTATAAAAATAGTGCCTAGCAGTAATCGAGATTTTGTGTTCGCATCAACCGGTTGGTACGAGGAGAGGAAAGAGAAGAATTGGAGGCGAGAAGGGGAAGAAATATGACTGCTCGCTAGCGCGGTTCCCTCTCTCAGATTTGCGTGGCTGGGTGCTCATTCACTGAGTTGACACAATAGCATTGCTCTGCCGACTCGTTTTTTCTAACTGACAAGCTCTATAGACAATAGCAATAGCAAGAAATACTATTTTTATTGGGTATTCATGAATGCCCCTTAAGCAGTACTAGCTCTCAATTATTACTTCACAACAGCACACGTCTCAAGGGACCGCCTTTACAATAGTGCATGGCTTTGGCATTGGGTCCTTATTGTAGATCACGTCAAAAGCCGCGTACTAGAATTTAGGAAAAGATTCGACAAACACAATAGCTTTAGATTAAATTCAAGACGTATGTCTGGGATGACCTATTGGCTACGTTTTCCACTTGATTCTAGCAGGTTGGCCTTTGCCGATTAAAGAAAAAGGATCGACTCCATTTCTACCGTTCCATTGTCTGCTAGATGAGTCTTCAGTTGGGGGTTCTGTCAGGAGTCTTGATCCGCGAAACCTGCCATTCATCCAACGCAAATGACTGCGAAAATGAAGTGACTGTATAGATGGGTACTTGCCCTTTCTGTCAATGCAAATTTGGTACCTTTTCAACCTGTGAATAGAAGACCATATTTCAAATATATGAAGCGAAAGTGAGTCATCTTCTATATCCATCGGCTCAAATATCCCAGCCGTCTTATTCACTGTTTATATCTCCAAATTTCTGCGAAGTTGATGTTTCGTGGATCGCGAATTCTCTAGCCAATCAGACTTCACGGTTTGCAGAAGCTAAAATACACTAGCGCGGTGCAGGAGGCGCACGCGCCATGGGACCGCTTGAGGCGTTCCCTCCGAAACCCCATGGTCCCCACTTCTGTTTAAGCGAGGAACAGCCCCTCCAGGGACCATCAAACTGTAACTTAACCGTACGTACTGCCACTGCTCTGCCTCGTCAATTAGAACACATCTCTGCAATATCTATTACCCAACAAGCTTGAAATTGAATTTCAATTTGGCAAAATCCAGTACAACTATATAACCTTTTGATCTTTCTTTTATACTATTGTATCCAATTATGCGTTTTCTCTCGCTCACTTTTGGTCTCCTCGCTGCCGCGGCCTCTTACGTGGCCGCTTCAGGCGACGAGGTCAAAGTCGACGTCACCAACGCGGTCGAATGCAATCGTAAGACTGAAAGAGGAGATACAATTGAGGTGCACTACCGAGGTACTTTGGCCTCGGATGGCAGTCAATTTGATTCCAGCTACGACCGTGGCAGCCCCCTCTCATTCACGGTCGGTAAGGGCATGGTCATCAAAGGGTGAGTTTCACGAGAAAGCTTCACCCTAGAATATAACGATTTCTTTCTCTATTCTAACTACTTTATTTTCTTCAATATAGCTGGGATGAAAATCTACTTGATATGTGCGTTGGCGAGAAGAGAACTCTTACGATCCCACCTGCGTTTGGCTACGGTGACCGCGGCGTCGGACCTATCCCGCCCAAGGCTACTCTGGGTATTTAAAACTGTGCCTCAAGAATTTATCAACCATTTACTAACAATAGTTTATAGTTTTCGAGACCGAACTGGTCGGCATCCGAGGCGTTTCAAAGGACGAGCTATAGATTATATATGGAGATTTACCCGGCACATATCTACAGACGAATTGTCGATTCTTGACGACCGAGACCATCTCATATTGAAATAAAATACTCTTTTGTGGTAGCTAGATGCAAGGGTCATATAATATTTCTATGTCCTTATGACATTGGCCATTTCCTCGGACATTCAGGTCCATGATGTGCTCTAGTGTTAGGTTTATGTGTATCCGAACTTGTTGTTTAATCCTCCATAGCTGATTGTTCCATGACCTCTACGCCATTCTCCAATTCTCTGATTCTTTGTCCAGCTCTGCGCTTTACCTCCGCACTGACTTCGGGGTCAGACGTTTCTAGTATCCGATTGTACGTCTCAAGAAGCTTTGTGAGTTCTTCTCTGGCCGCTGCTCGGTCGTCCGCAGCATACACCGTCTTCTTCTCGGTTTCCTCGACCGCGATATCAAACTGTCATATCCGTTCAATATATGATCCAGAGTATCGAGCTGGAATAGAATAATTTCGTCATACCTCGTCCTTGGCAGTAAAGTAACTGTATAGTGGTATTAGCAAAACAGTCCAACGACACTGAACACTAGGCATCCGAAGCTCACAGTTCCTGAATTTCCTCCATTGCCTCATCGGCAGCACCTTTGTTGTCGGCGAATTGGCGAACGAAAGGAATGCGCGATGACGTTGGTGCAACGATGCTCCTTGGTAGCCTGGGGCGAGGAGCAATTGTGTGCATTGGCCGCAACAGACTCGTCATCTGTAAAGAGAGAAAACCTCTCCAAGCATATCTCGACAACATCTTGATTGAAAATGAGAAGAAAATGCAGATCGATGCTGTGTACACTTGCCCTTCTTACCTCGTCAGCAGCAGCTCAACAGCTTTTGGCGTCGCTCGCTGTCCCTTGGTGACATAATCATCCCTACGACATCTCGCTAATCAGCACCTTACCGCCAGGCCGCCCTGCCGCCTTCAGGTTATTCCTATGTACCTATGAGCACAAACATTGAATGAAGATACCTTAAACTACTTACGAATGGGGGTCTCGTGCTGCGCTGCCCCTTGCTGACAGACCCCACGTTCCAGAACAACCGCCGGCAAAAAAAGGGTTCGGCGCCAAAAGGCATTCTGTAGCTAAAAAGCAAACAACCAGTCAACCCCGTCCACTGTACCTGTCGGTGGACAGTCCTACAAAGCGTCCATCCTCGACGCCGTTGAGGCGCTACATCTTTCGGCATTTAGGACTCTTCACTTCTTTCGAGAGTTCAGTGGGTTACAATGGTGTTACTGGGAATTTCCCTCCTCGTCGCGTCGCTCTCCTTTTTACTCTATCGACATCCGCCAGGATTCTGGTACTCTTTCCAGAGACAACTCGCGCATATCAAAAATGGAAAGAAACCGACAGAGAAGAGCACAGAGCAAAGAAATATAGATCTAAACGCTTCTCATCGCAATCATGCGCGCGACGAGAAGGTGACCGATGCTGCCGCCACCACCACCGCCGCGATACCACCAGCGGCGACAGAGCAACCCAACCTTATCTCAACATCTTCGTCCATTTCTACAATAAATCAAACAAGCACTTCAAACGACGCTGCGTCGTCACCAGAAACTACACCGAAAGCACTTCCTTCTCAACCTGCTAAATCAACTCCCTCTATCCCATCGTTCTCTCTCGACGACCCCTCTACAACAAGCAATCACAAAGCCGACGTCTCCTCCGACGAAGACGACGACGATGACGAACCTCCCATTTTTCCCGCCAAGAAATCTGCTCAGCGTGCCGGCTCCTCTGCACGCAATGCATTTACAAAGTCTCCTCCAGCTCCAGTTCCGTCTCTCTCCACAACTTCCACCTCTCCGATTGGCGTCAGCAGTCCCGCATCCACACTAATGCCACCTCCTCCACGACCCACGCCACCCTCTGCCGCCGCACGACTTCGCGCAGGACCGTCCACATCTACATCTTCTTCAACGCTCTCCGTTCCATCGCGCATACCACCAACATCTTTATCCCCCGCTGCCGCCGCACGAGCTCGACCCACGCCCTCTTCCTCTTTATCTCCCTCCTCCTCATCTCCCTCCTCCTCATCTTTAAGCCCATCTCTATCAAATCCTCCAACAAAATCGCGTGCATCCCAAAAAGTCATACTCCAGCCAGGCCACTCTCCACTCGACTGGGCCGAGCTCTGCCGCTCTCACGCCCGCGCACAGGCTCAGGCCTTTCCCTCTTCCTCCTCTTCCTCGCCCTCCGCCGTCCCTTCAATCCTACGCGTTCCTCCGTCCCTACTCAAGTTGAACAACGGCCGCCATGGTCGACCGGCATGGACATCATATTACGGCCGCGTGTACGATGTTACTGCCTATCTACCTTTCCATCCGGGCGGTGAAAAGGAACTGTTACGTGCGGCGGGCCGCGACGGCGCGAAACTCTTTGAGCAGGTCCACCCGTGGGTCAATTGGGAGAGCATGTTGAACGTGTGGATGGTAGGGGTCATGGTTGACGAGCAAGATGCGGATGCGAATGCGAATGCGAATGCCCACGCCCAGGGAGGTCAGGCTGGTCAGCAGTCAAGGGGCCAGTGGGATGAGATGGATTAGCTCATTTCAACTATTTTTTTTTATTTTTTATTTTTCATTCTCATTTTCATTTTTATTGTTCATTTGACCGCTCTATTTCATCTTGGGGTGTTGCAGCGGTGGGACGACGAATAAGATGCTGAAAGATCGATATACATTACTGATACCCGTACGCCTGGCTCTATGCATTGTAGACAGTTAGATATTAGACACGCCATGGCTAGACTAGAGAGCATATACACATAATTTTCAAATGCAAGAACAGCACTGGCTTCACCAGATGAATGTTTCTCTACCATTGATGATGAAAATGGACATAATATTGGGAGTGAGACAGAAAGTAAAACGTGCTTGAGATGTATTTCTTGCCCATGTCATGGACGGGACGTACGTAGGCATGCATAAGGTACTAGCTAGCAACAAGTCCGCAAGGATCCATTGGTACATTCATCTCCTGCCAAATCTAAATTTCAGCTCGTCTTCACTATCCTCGCTCTCCTCATCATCCTGGACAAACAACGACTTTTGCTTCTTCGCTGGCAGTCTACTTGCCGACGCAGGCGCAGGACGTTTTCTCGTTGTTATCGTTGTCGTCGAAGTTTGGCTTTGACTTGGCGGGGCGCGTTGCTGTCGCTGTCGCGTCCTTCTTACTGGTATCGGTTCCTCTTCTTCCTCCTCTTCTTTCTCCTCGTTGTGCTCTGGCCTAGCGGGCTCGTCATCTGCAGGCTGGCTTCTTGCAGTTGCAAACGGTTGCGATTCTGCGTCAGCATCAAGCTCTATTTCGCTGGGTCCATCGTTACTTTGACGGGGTCTATCGCGGCGGGCAGAGTGCGATCGATTCGCAGCAGCAGTGGTGTTTGTAGTGGTGCTATCTAGCCAATAATCTTCACCAATGCCAAACCCTTTTCGTTGGACTTCTTCGAGTGGAACAATCAACGAATGTCCACGACGGGGTTGGACTCCGTCTGCCTGGCGGCGAAACTTTTTGAAATTCTTGCGTCCGTTCCAGCGCTCGTCCCATCTGCTTCCTTCGGAGCCATGTACGTCTGTGCGAACGGGCTTGTCGGCGCGTGGTCGGACGTCCATGTCCTCGACAATAGCGAGATTCTTCATCTGCTCGACATCCATTCCGTCGAGGGCGTGTCTGAGCGATTCGTCGTCCTGCCGAGCGGCTTCTTCTTCGGCTTCTCGACGCTGTTTGGCGGCTTTGATAATGTCGACTTTGCTTTCTCTTTTAGTCTTGGACCCGGCTTGTTGCTGTGACTTCTTTTGGGATGCCTGGTCATCATCATCTGCTGCCGGCTCAGCGGTGAGACCTCGTCGCCGGTTCTCTTCCTCTTGCTCGATGATGCGTCGCTTCATTCGTGCTGCGCCTGGTAAGAGGTTATCGACCATTTCGTCGTCCTCGTCGTCGGAAGGCGGCGGGCTTCGTTTTCGGGACCGGGATGGTCGCGGTTGTGGCTTGGCAACAATTTCGTTTCCAGAATCCACGTCCACGTCCATGTCGGCTTGCCTGGAGGCTGGGGTTTGCTAGATACTGAACGTCAATATTTCTGTTGTTAAGCTAATGCACGCGATCTGAGGACTTACGCGACTGGACATCGAACTGCCATGATGCTGTGAAGGTTGGAGTTGCGATGATTCGGTCGTTTCACGTAATCGAGAACTGATCGGCTCTTCGTCAATGTCATCGTCTGAGTCTTCAAATCCTTTGAAGCGACTCGTTATTGGTCTTCGTGTGCGGGCGCGTCCTTGAGAAGCCTGAGTTGCTGGCGCTGGCGTTTGTGAGACTGCTTCTGCTGGAGTCGCAGAAGCTTCTACTGCCGGTGGTTCCACATCGGGAAAAGCTAGACATCGAAACCGAAGTTAGAAAAAGGTGCTACAGTTGTACGAGTGCACAAGGGAGACTCACGTGCGCTTGAAGGCGGAAGAGCAGCGGAAGGGGGAAGTGTCCCGTCGTCTTCTTCCGGAAGCTGCTTCCGCAACGTAGCTGGATTGTTTGTGAGGATAGCGTCAAGAAACTCGCTCTGTTCAATGACACGCTGATCTAATGACTGTGCAATTTCGTTGCCTAGCTCAATGGCCCAAGTCTCATATGGATCCTTGGCTCGGAACCTCACCAAGACGACTCCTTCGCCTTCACTTTTATCTTCAAACTCGCCCAATCCCTTTTCCCCTGCCGCATTCTTTGCAAACCGAACGACGTCCGCAGCAGTTGTCTTTCCCACTTCCAACCGGTATATCAAGGCTTTGCCGCCACCATTTACAATGGGAGGTTGCAAATTGTCAAACTGCGCCTGGTCACAAAACACGAAAATATAACCTTCAAAGATTTTCGTCCTGTGCGGATCAGGAGCAAAGTAAAAGGATGGCCGAGGGAATGGCTCTTTCCCCGGATCCGGAAGATATTGCAATGCATCGGGCCAGTTTGCGTCAAAATCAAATTCCAAGAGTGATTGGCTTTCTGAGTCATCGGGATCCTGCGGACTGGCCGCGGCCACCAGTGCGTCGATGAAGCTCTCGGTGACAATGCATCGAGCATTGATCAATGCTTGTAATCCCTTGGCTGTGTTGCGCTTATTTGCCACTACGTGTGTGGTTTTATCAATAATGTATGGCAAGACCGTCTTGACGTCCAAAGCCTCCAGCCGAGAACGCACAGTAAGCAGAGGATCCTTCTTCTTTTGTTCTTTGCTGGGGAACGAAAAAGAAATGACCACAGGCACCCATTTGATTCTGACTGCTGTCAGTGCGTGACTCAAAGAAGCGATTGAAGTCGATGTCATTACCGGAATAAGAACTCATAACTGCCCAACTTGATCTGATGCTCGTCATCTTTCAAGATCCTCGACTGGCCTCTGATCTGTTCTCCGTCGAGTAGTGTTCCGATCTTTGAGTTTTGATCCTCAATGGTCAAAGTAGATCGGGTGTGCACAAGCGACTTAGGGTAAGAGTGTTAGTGAACGGAAGACATTTTACAAACATCAAAAGAAAGGTAAATGAAGCATACCCCATCACCTGGTTTCACTTCGGCAAGTGAGATGGTCAGGTGTTTGCGGGATATCGATTTATTCTCAATAGCAAATCCTGTAATACTTTCTTGTCAAACTCTTTCCTTTTCTTTTTGCCATTTTCATTTTCTCATACCTGTTCCCAGGCGGGTCCTTCCGAATAGATATTTCTTTCCAGGCCGCAGCCAGATTCGTTTGTCTAAGTATCGTAAGCTTCAAATCCACCATAAAACCCTTTCCATTTAAACTTACTCTGCAGCACGTCTCCATCACACTCAAGCACCCACATGATCCGGCTGATTCAAATTTGCATCGCAAATGGCTGCTCTGGTGGGATGATTTGTAGGCCAGTTGAATTGGGGGACGTGACTGCCCGGCGCCCGGCTGACACGTGGTCACGTGGGGTGCACTTTCGTTAAGGCAGCCTTGGCAAAACTCTCCGCCATGTGGTACCGTTCATGGTAAATGAGAGCGAGGGTCGAAAATAAATGCTTGATCCACGAAAAAATTCTATTTAAAATCTAGTAATTTATAAACTAATTTACATCACAGTACGATCAATTTGGAGGAAAAGGGCTGATATTTTGAATCCAACCCTGATCTTGGCCGTTATTCCTCGCGTGCACTTCTCACACGATCCTGAAGCGGTTGCCCCGGCACCGAACTAAGCTCTTTCCAGACAGCTTCTTGCGCTAAGATGTCATTCCCCACGCAGGGTCTCTGGTTTTGTGTGGAGACGGGCAATGGTGGAGGGGTTCTGAATACGGAGTACTGGGCTGGTTATCAGGTCAGGGCGTCTACCTTACCTAGCCAACACAGCAATGGCCCCCAGCAACCCAATGACCCCCGCCAGTACTGATTTGTACACACAACACACCAACTGGGATTCTTGTAGGCTTTAAAAGCTCGTTCCTGGAGGGCTTTTGACTATTTCTTGTCATACTTCAGTACCTCTAACAGCTCTTCCGTTGACTTTTGACCATTACGCTACCCAATACTCATATACATAGACAACTCGTCACAAATTACTACCACGATGGCTGATGAAATTATCCAAGCTGGCGTCGATGAGAGCACCATCTCTCCTATCGAGCGGCGCAACTCGCTCGAGAAGCACCTCCAGCATCGGCCAGATGCGCAGGAGCTCAAAGAGAGACACATCCTGTTGGATACTTCTGCTGCTCCGTAAGACCTTTTCATTCAAAATTCACTGTAAAAACTCACCGGCCATGGCTAATACGTCTGCAAGGGCATTGCAATCTGCCGCTCATGACCTCGAACGTCATCGCGCAATCGACAATTTGAGAAAGAATTTGGAGAGGCGGCCTGATCGTGAAGAGCTTATCGAGAGTAAGCAACGCGTTTCCCTAAGCTTATCTTAGTCGTAGGGCCCTCGGCCAGGACGCTAATATCTTGTGCACTCTTAGAGAATATTCTCCCTGCCTCAAATGCGGCGCCCGCTCTTCAAGCTCATCAGAAAGAGCTCGAGAAACACATGCGTGCAGATAGCTTGGAGCACAAGATCCAGCAAAGACCCAAGCCGGAAGATTTAGTTCAGCAAGGCATACTCGAAGGTATGATTGGTTGACTTCTCAATTAAAAGAGCAGAAGAATTCTAACGTTGCTGTTGCAGCCGACGAGGACCCGACTAAGGAGGAGTGAATTTCGTCATTTTGACCTTTTCAGGAGGGATAATTATCTCCTGTGCTCGTTTTCGCAAAGTATATGGCGTTTCACAATTAGTTTAGTATACGATTTAAGCCTAGGAGGCTCCCCATGGTATTGTAATCCAATATGAAATTTAATTTTTCAGGTCCAAAGCAAAGGCGAAATTTCAGATTTAGAAAATGTACACAACACCGCTCTCGCAAAGCTCGTGAGATGAGAAGAAGCTCAGCAGAGAAGGGTCCCATCACTGGGCAATGTGCAAGATTCATATAGGCACTTCTTCGGCACAACTGCAGCCATGGAAAGGGCCGAATTGCAATTTGACATCCGTGCCATCTGGAAATTTTGTTTTTCCAGCATCAATAAAAAAAAGGGAAAAGGCTGAATACGCTGGACATGCAACAAGGATGAGGGTCATATAATAGTATTATTGCTGTAGCTGGATATCGTACATTAGTGTATTAAACATCATATCAGTAAATCGTTTCCCGAACTTTCTTAAGCATGGACAATGCCAGCGTCTTCATGCTGCGAAATGAACAAATATTACAACTCCCCGTGAGGAATTTTGCTTGCAATGGGGCTTGGCTTGGAAGATAGCCCAAAGGGCAGATGTTGCTTTGCTTGGTCAAAGGCCAGATCAAAGCGTGCACCCATAAACCACGCTATGGCAATCTGTTCAAAACGTTCATCAGCAAATGATTTTTTCGTGCGAATTAAGGCGAAGACACATACCATCACGGCTGACACAAAAAATAGAGTGGCAAAGACGGCAACGAAGAGCCAGAAGACATCCTTGCGAGCCTCGGCATCTGCCTGTGCCTGCTTCTTCGCCTCCTCTGTCGGCTCAACCAGACCACCGGAGCTCTGACGCACGACAGCCTTCGGGTCTTGCGATGGAAAGATGGCCTCAACGAATTGTTCAATCTATTGGACGAAAAACAGTCAGTATGGTGTAGGTGCAAGTGTCCGCTGGACAGAGAGGAAACGTACCTTTCCACAGGCCATGCTAATCTTTAAGAAGTTTGGATCCTTTGGAACGTTCTTTTGATGAATCTTCCGTGTGTAGCGTCGGAACAAGTCGCAGATTGTCTTCAGGTTTTGAGTCGACTCGAGCATGTTCTGACAAGCCTCACCCTTGGTGATTTTGATGTTCTTTTTGAAGATATCAGGATTCCGGAACACAAGGTGAAGGGTGGCAATGGCCATGGCTTGCGGAATGGCGGCAAAGTTGAACACACTCTGTTCCCTCAGACCAGCGAGATAGAAGAGGCATTCGTCAGCGTGTTCTAACGCATTCAAGACCATGTCAGAACTGCAGTTCAGAGCTTTATCGAGATTCTTTTCATCAAAGAGGTCCTCAAACTTCTCAACGTGTCGGGACCAAATCTCCTTTGGCCAGAATCTTCTCTTGTCGTCAAAGTCCTCGCGGATATCACGAATGATGTTAGTCTTCTGAAGGAACAGTCCCATGGACTCTTGTAGGTGTGGCCGCTCAAGAAGAGCTTCATTTGCCAGACCACTATCCACGAATAGTCGAGTAAGACCCTCGCCGACGAGACCAGCCACGTAATGGCAGTAAAGGTCGTAGTCCTTGATTGAATTAACTCCATTAATGTTGTGCTCGGCATTGCGAGCATAGTCAGCCATGCCATTTCCCATTTTGTTAGTGATGTCTTCAATGGTCTCCCTGTACTGAGGCTTGATTTTCAGGAACTCCTCAATGATAACATCAAACTTCACAAGCACGTCTCTATCCTTTTCATTCGGGCCATTGCCATTGTAGTTCCAGCCCGGTTTCCGCAACACCTTGTGGAAATCGCGGAGGAGGGGGTCCTTTTCATCCAAAGCAATTGTCATGTCATCTTCGACCGTGTCAAGACCGCGAAGGATGAGGTAGAATAGAGCTACAGCAAACAGAAGTTCTGGGTGGAGCTCCTGGATGACCATAGCAAAGCTTCGACTGGTCTTTTCTAGCAGAGCGAAACAGGTCCGCATGGTCGGGGTCTCCTTGGCCTCGTTCCGCTCATGGACAGGATCATGCCACAGCTTCCTATAGAGTCAAACTCAGTAAGGGCTTGGAACTGCTTGATTTTCGTTGCATTAAACATACCATTGGATGATTGACCTCAATTCCTGAACATGAATGGCATAGTAAAGGACATTTGAAAACTTGGGCATCTTGACTCCCCTTTTCACTCGGGAAACCGAGCAACTCACAGCACAGAGCGATATCGAAAGAGAAGAGAAAGGGAAACAGGGCAGAGAATGTAACGGAAGAAGATGAGAGGGAAGCCACTGACACGAACCAGCCGTGAGATCCAGGTGCTTTGAATCAATTGGCGTGTTCCCTCAACGTTGAAACTTGGACGGGGGGATCAGGTTGTGGGGGCTGCAATTTAAACCTTTCTCGCCAGATCTGCTCGCGTAACGTTATTACACAAACTGGGACTTCAACTAGCCTTTTCGCGTGGAATCAGTTGAGCTGAGCCTCGCCGGTTGTGACCGGCAAAGGCCTGGTACCGCGATGACTACGGCGGGCGAGAATACCCACTATAGGTAAAAAGACAGCTGAGCTACAGCTGCCCCACAATGTATGATGTACTCCGTACCACAATTCCAGCTCCAGCTTCTTCAGCAGATAGGTAGTTATATATGCATCAGGATCAATTATGAATATTTACCTATTAATTGATCTTACTGCCTAGAGACGGAAAAGATTTGCTCAGCAACCCATGTACAATACCAATCCGAATTTGCCGCTGAAACACGAAAACTCCAAGTGTGTGAATAAAAAACCCCCCGAGCTCAAGCTTTTGACCCTGTCTTACTGCTGCACATACGGAGTATGGCATGAACCCCATGCGAAGTCATCCTTTCCAGCCCTGCCCTAGAAGTTCTCTCTGTTGCTGCTGTGTCCAGTCTGTTGTCGGCAATAATAGGTTGAACAGCTTCCAGTTAAGCTGGTCGAGATGAACACCTTCTCTCGCGTCCTCGATGCAGAGTCAAATTCGAAAAGGAAAAATCGAGATACGTCCTGGGTCCTCTTGGTTTCCCGCCGTCTGACGGAAGCCAAAATAAGCGTTCATTATCGCTTGCCTCCGTTGATTCCATATCTCCAAGTCATATAGCCAATCACTCCGGCCATGCTTCCGAGTCCTGTCCCTCCAATGATTTTTCTGAGGCGATAAGGATCGTTCTTCGGGACTTTCAGTGTTGCGTACACGGCGGCTAGAAGCGTACCGGCGACGCTCCAGTCATCGGTTTCCAGCTGTCCTTGATTCTCTAGCAGCCGCCAACTTCGGTCTCTCCACTCAATCTCTTCTCGACCCCACATGCGTGCTGGTAGGCCTACGACCATTGCAGCAGTACCTATCAACGCTCCAGTTCCTGCCGACCGCAGTATTGTTGTTGGAGCCACTGTGGCAAGCACCGCAAGCTTTGAGGTGCCTCGTAACATGAGTAACGAGCGTGCAGTGCCGACCAAAGAGCCTACTACCGTGCCCGCTTGAAAGCCTCGATAGAGCACATGAGTTGCAAGTATAGTCTTGAATAGCGGCTGATCTTCTGCATAAGGCGTATGAGGAAAGAATCGTGACATGCCGGATCGCTATATCAAGGGCAATTCCACAGTCGGAGGCGACCAATTTGTAGGATATATACTCAGGAAGCTAGGTGTCTTATGTCTTCATTCAAGGTGTATTCAGATCACTACCATTAACTGAGCAAAGCTACAGACTATATATTCAGAGAAGACACGGCATGCGGGGAGGGGAAACTCTCCGTGTTCTCTGGTAAACTACGGCTATCTATCTCCTAGGGGTAGTCGGAGGGGATTGTTCTGTTTAGCTTTCTCGGCCGTACTGTGGTAGAGCATCTTGGGCTATTCAGGGAAGGCAACTATGTAAGCGAATTGATTGAGCGGGGATTGGTCCAAAAGTTACGCCGACTGAGGGGACGGAGTTTTGTCAGGGGACTTTGCCGATGAGCGCCCAACGGCCGGGCTGGCCCTTATTGAGAAAGTATTCTCTGGACCAGTCTACTCAGGAGGTAACTTACCTTATTCTTTAGCAGCCCAAGGAAGAGAGGAATGAAGAGATAGACTGTTAGCGGTGCGAGACAGGAGAGTGTCCTGGTGTAAAAATAGACGAGTTCCCTCTGATCAAGCGAAGACTGTAGTACTGTAGTACTGTATTGTCATCCGCACGAGCGACCCAAGAACGGACTTTTTTGGCCCGACAACTGAGCCACAGCAAAAGACCCCTCTAGCCTGGGGGAAAGTTGCACTTTCGTAATCATCGTCACAAGCCAAGCCTCTCCTACACAATACTATTACCTGAACGCTTCCTCTACCAATTTAGTGTTCCCTTTCTCAATATTTTTTTCGTCCCCTTTTCTGTGCGAAGCTTCAACGGACAAGCTTCGTAGCAGTCTTGTTTCCTCTAGTATCTTACTGAGGCAGGCTTCAAAACACACATTCTTCGTCCGCAAAAATGGTCGCTGACACCACATACTATGACGCACTGGGCGTCCAGCCTACGGCCACTGGTCTGGAAATTAAGAAAGCATACCGAAAATTGGCAATCACCCATCATCCTGGTAGGCTTCTGGGAAATATGGCATGAGTGGGAAGCATGAAGCGGTTAGGCTGACTCGTGGTCACTACAGACAAGAATCCTGGTGATGAGAACGCACACCAAAGATTCCAAGAGGTGTGGATTTTCCCTTTGTCGTTCTGATCAATTCCAGCAGCTCACTCATGCCGAACAGATTGGTGAAGCATATCAAGTCCTCAGTGATGAGACCCTCCGAAAGCAATACGATGAGTTTGGAAAGGATGAGGCAGTCCCAGGCAGCGGGTTCGGTACGCATGCGACCTTGGGATTCTTAAGAAGCAGTGATATGTAGTGGGCTAACCACTTGAGCAGAGGATCCTTCGGAATTCTTCTCGATGATCTTTGGCGGTGATGCCTTTGTTGATTAGTAGGTTTTCACCACTAGCCCCATCAGCTGGCAGTTATCCATGCTGACACTGCTTTTTAGCATCGGCGAAATCTCGCTCGTCAAGGACTTGACCACGACCATGGAGATCACGACCCGGAGTGATGACTTAGCTGACGAATATGCCGCCGCCGAGGCCAGAGACAGCGCTGACGCCGCCGCTGCTGCTGATAAAAATGCCGCACCCGGTGCTCCCTCTGGTTCCACGCCCGCAGAGGCTACTGCAATTGGTACCAAGCCCGACGAAACGCAGCCGTCGCAGAGCGGCACAAATACGCCTCGCGGAATTCCCACCCGACAGGCCCTTGAGTACCGCTCGGAGGAAGATGCGCGCATGTCAGCCGCTGGTGTGTCCGAAGCCGAGAAGGAACTGCGTAAAAAGGAAAAGAAGAAGGGTGGCTTGACTAAAGAGCAGCAAGACGAGCTGGCTGCATTTGAGCGCGAGAGGAAGCGTATCCGGGACGAGCGCGTCGACACTCTTGCCCGGAAGCTGGTGGACCGCATCAGCGTCTGGACCGAGACCGACAAGGGCTCCGCTGTGACCAAGGCTTTCCAGGAAAAGAGCAGACTCGAAGCGGAGAATTTGAAAATGGAGTCTTTCGGATTGGACATTCTCCATGCCATTGGCCAGACCTATGTCTCCAAGGGAACTTCATTCCTCAAGTCTCAAAAATTCCTCGGCATCTCTGGCTTCTGGTCGCGACTCAAGGACAAGGGCACGCTGGCCAAGGAGACTTGGAACACCATTTCGTCCGTCTTGGACGCGCAGTCAACCATTGAGGAAGTGGCGAAGCTCGAGGAAAAGGGCGGCGACGACTGGACCACCGAGAAGAAGGCCGAGTATCAGAATAAGATGACGGGTAAGATTCTCGCGGCGGCATGGCGCGGAAGCAAGTTTGAGTTCCAAGGTGTTCTCCGTGACGTCTGCGACAAGGTCCTCTACGACAAGAGCATCAAGCTGGAAAAGCGGATAGAGCGCGCCGAGGCTCTTGTGCTGTGCGGAAACATTTATCAGAAGGTACTTATTCCCCTTTCTTGTGCCCTTTTCCAATTTCAAGTCAAGTTCCGTCCAAGGGCTAACTATTCCTCGCTAATCAGGCTGAACGCGATCCCGATGAACAAGGAGAGTACATGGCCTTTGAGCAGCTCGTCGCCGAAGCCGCTGCCAAGAAGGGCAAAGACGAGAAGAAGCCCAAGAAGGCCAAGAAGGAAGGCGAATCCTCGCACCACAACCCTCTCCATTTCTTTGGCGACCGAGGAGAAAAGGCCGAAAAGGGAGAGAAATCCACTCCCACCTCTGGTTCCACTCCGACTCCCTAATCAAGAACCATATGGCTGTTCGTTGTCTTGACTCTTTTGTTCTCTAGACCTTTGTGCACTTTGCATTACCGTGTTATATCTGCCCTTGGTTAAGTGGGTGCGTGCGGCAGTTATCACAGGATTTTCATATTAATTGGCGTGTAAAGATCTCGTTTGGTTTTCTCCCTCCCTAGAGCGTGCAAAGATCTTCTTCCACTTGTAATCTTTCTTCACACATACATTGCCTTGCGCAACAACAAACTCACAATAGCCTGCCAGCCTACTAATCTGTCTTATCTGCTGAATCTACGACAGCAAGAATCCTGAAATTTGTTTTTTATACCCCGCTTGAACACAACGAGGTCTTTTCTTTTCTTTCCTTTCTTTCCTTTTTTTTCTTTCTCTAGTGTATTTTTTTCAATAGATAGTTTCATGACTCCGTTTGATCGACTGATCGACTGACTGATTGATTGGATGGTTGGTCAGTTGATTGGTTGAAATAAATCATTTACACCAACTCGCAGATTTCATTTCTCACGTAGGGTGACTGACTGGCTTGAGAAAGCGACATGCATTCTCTACATTATTCGTATTGTGATTTGTAATGTACTTATGTAATTTAATGTAATTTAATGTAATGTAATGTAATGTAATAAATTGATTTGATAGAAATATAAAGAGAGGATCTAGTAAATGCGAAGACAATTTGCAATGCAAATATGTATCAAAGGGGGTATCTCTGACTTGGAATATTGTAATAGCAGCAGTAGCAGTAGCAGATGCGTTGAGCGCTTCAAAGACCGCTTGCGCGAACATGTCATATGGGAAACAGAAGACAAATTGAATAGTATGAAAAAAAAAAAAAAAAAAAAAAAAAAAAAAAAACGCCTGGTCCCAATCCTTGCAACGCCAATAGAAAAGAACGCTTTCTGCGCTGTAAAGTATAGTAATACTGGACGTGAGAAAAAAAAAAAAAAAAAAAAAAAGAAAAGATTCATGATAGGAACTCCAGAGTGAGGACAAAAGGGTACATGAAGAGAGTGGAATAAAGGTGAACGATAAGAAAATGGGTAATGGAAACGGTCAAGGGGTGGAAAAGTTTCTCCTGTGCGGGAATCCCATATCATGCGGGCTGTTCGAGTTCAACACCGCTATCGCGATCAGCGCCGTCGCTCTCGAGGGATAATCTCTGATCAATGTCTTTCCAGGTGCTGGACAGGCAATCCTCGAAAGCTTGATACCGATGTTCAGCAGAATTCAAGCGATCTTCCTCATCGTGATGATGGTGGTCGTCGTGTGTGAGAACGCGTCCACCAAGCTGGACATCACTAACGTGAATCTGGTAATCTAGTGCCTTGCGACCTTCGGCAATCAATTCCTCTGTGAGTCCCAAGCAGCGCTTGAGACTCTGGTTCATCTTTTGGCTGTCAACGAGGAGTTCTTGGTGTTTTGCGAGGTCTAGGCGAAGGCGCTTCTCGTCTTGTTCACGGTGTCTCGCGTCACTTTCTGCAGCCGCACCAGGACTCATGGATCTTTCACTTCCAGAGTCATCTGATTCTGAGATATCTGTGTCGCTCTCATTTTCACCACCGGCTGAGTCTTCCGAGAAGTGATCCTCGTCGCCGGTCTCGTCCTGGTTTTCGGCCAGGGTGGATAGCCTACTACTCGAAGCAATGGAATTTGCTATTGAGAGACGTCCCGATCTACTTAGTCGGCGGAATCGTCTGAGCTCGGCGCTTTGCTTGCGCATTTCTCGCTCGAGTGTTCGGTTGATTGCAAGGAGGGATGAGTTGGTGATTTCGAGGTCGAGGACTTTTCGCTCACGGCGGGCGTTTGCGGCAAGCTCGTTCGCCTGCTGGAGATTCATTGGAACCGTCTGAGACGGGTTCGGACTAGGTGGCACGGAGGTGGCAAGCTTCAATTGCTCTGCCGCTTCAGATGTACCAAAAGATGATTCTTCCTGCTCAACTATAGCTTCAGTAGCGGCGGCTAAATTCGGCAGCGGTGTAGGGTCCAGTCCTCCAGAGGGAGGTGAAGCGCTTTGCAGAGACTCCGCAGCAAACGTTCGCCGTCCAGATGCATTTGTGTCCAGTGATCCGACGCTGGCGGACTTGCCGTGGCGAAACTTGTTCGCTGACCGATCAGCGTTGGCAGACTGGCCGATGATTGAAAGTATAGTGGCAGTGTTGCTGGGCAAAATCCCAGCAGCAGATGAGATGGATGATCTTGGACTAGTTGATGAGAGTGGAGGCAAGGTCCCGGCCAAGCGTGGAGAAGTTATTTGCGGCCCGCTAGCGGGAGAGAGTGGACTCTGCGGCCGCGAAAGTTCCTTTTCATTCTCGAAGAGAACAATCCTTGGGGACGTTGTTGAGGAAAGTTCTCTTGTAGAGGCAGGAAGTGTCTCGGCTTCTGGGGTGCCGTTTGCGTGGAAGAATCTCGGCTGAGAACGTTCTTGCGGGGTTGTAGTGACAGTATTTGGAGCAGAAACAGGCGGTGCGGCTTCAGAAAGTCCATTGGCATAAAAAAAGCCAGACGTCTTGCTTTGCGGCCGAGGTTTCGGAACCTGCTCTCTGGAAGAGGTGAGATTCTTCGCTTCGTTCGCATGAAAGAACATGGGAGAGTTCTCGCGACTTCTTCGTGAGAGCCCAGACTCTACGGAGCTGGATCCAGACGAGACATTGATGTGTTTACTCTCTCCAAGCATACTCCTCGGTCTGACATGTGCATTATCCTCGACTCCGGCAATGCCGAGACCGGGACTGCGATTGTTTCCATCATATCCCCCACGATATCCTTCCGCGGCCACATTGGGAGGTTTCGGTACACAGGGTGTAGAGTATGCGGACGCTGAAGGAGTTGAATGCGTGCTCTCAGCTCTGGCTTGACGAGCTGATGATCTCGGTGTGATATTCGCGTTCAAGTATGATCTCACAGGGGTAGAGAAGTCGTCTTTCGAAACTTGCTGCGAACTCGTGGCGGTTTCACTTTGAGCGCCTCGCCGTAAAACCGGAGACCTAGAGGGGGTGGCCGACGCTGCAATTCTCGGGGTAATTGGAGGCTTTGTCGGCTTTTTGGCGTTGCCCAATTGAGGTATTTGTGGCCGACTGGCAGCATTGTTCTGGAGCTTATCGTAAGGCATTTTTCGACGTCAAGTGGCGGTACAAGATGCCCGTTGACAACTAGCAGGGTGGAAACCTGCGGGAAATAACATAACAATGAACACCACCAAAGCCCGCCATGCGAGAGTTGTGGGTGAAGATTTGTTAGCCTGGGAAGAAGAAGAAGGAGGAGGAGGAGTTGGCGGTCAGTGTTTAGCTTGGAGAGTTTAGCAATGTATTGTTATTGCCCTTCAAGGAGACTATTATTGTTGTCTACGGGTTCCCCATGTGCAACGCTAAGCCCACGAGGGGTTTCTGTGATTGTTTGTTCTGTTTGCTTCAACTCTCGGGGAATTTAGTCAGCACCAAGGCAACCTCCCCTCCTAATTTAGATCCCGTGAGCTCGCGTTCATCGGGATCACGCTCAAACGCGTCTCAAGAACTTCATCTCTTGTGAACCGTACGGCTTTGTCTACCCATCTTGCATCCATGGGTGCCTGACACGGCCACGTCTTTGTATTGCTATGTAAATACTTTCTGTCTATTTCTTTTCATTCAGAGAATAATACTCTCTCATGGCCCAGGAGGGATGCATTTTGCAAATACTTCACTTCACTTCACCGTCCGAGTTTCATCCACTATCAGGCCATTCTCGTATCGACCGATAGGCAGCTGTGCCAATCGATATGAGCCCTGAGAACCTAGTAGCCCAGGAAGACAATAATGCGTCTCCTGTGCTTACGGATCAAGAACATGAAACACTCAAATATCATCTCTTGGGTCCCTCCTTGACGAAAGCCGGCCAAGATTCCGTTGATCAACAAAAGGTAAGCTATAATCTATTATTATTGGGTGTGATAAGTTGCTGAGGCGATAATATAGGTCTCGGAGATTATATATAATGCCTCCAAAGGCTCCAAATTTTTCAACAATGAGGAAGTCAAAGACAAGCAATTAAGTCTTAAGATCGATCGGATTCTCGAAAGGAAGAAACAACTTGAGAAACTGGACCTCACTTCAGACCTTCGGCGCGCAGACGAATACATAGCTGAGCTGGAGCTCAACCGAGACCTGTCACAGATTGTCGTTCACATTGACTGTGATGCCTTTTATGCAGCAGTCGAGGAGCTGGATCAGCCGGAACTGAAACATGTTCCCATGGCGGTGGGGAAAGGCGTTCTCACTACCTGCAATTATCACGCTCGGAAATTTGGCTGCAGAAGTGGCATGGCGGGATTTGTTGCCATGAAGCTTTGCCCAAACCTCATTTGTCTTCCTTTGAATTTCGACAAGTACACCGCCAAGGCGAAAGAAGTCCGAGCAATCCTTGAACAGTACGACCCGCGATTCGAAAGTGCAAGTATCGACGAGGCCTATCTCAACATTACAAAATATTGTCATGATCGTCAAATGACTCCCGAGGATGCTGTTGCTCAGTTGCGCCAGGAGGTGGCTTTGAAGACTCAGATCACTGTTTCTGCGGGCATTGCCGTTAATGCCAAAATAGCCAAAATCGCTTCGAATAAGAACAAACCAAACGGCCAATTCAGGGTCCCAAGTGATCGCACAAACATTATTGAATTCATGCGAGATCTACCCACTCGAAAAGTAAACGGTGTGGGAAGAGTCTTTGAGCGCGAACTTGGGGCGATAGGCGTCAAAACCTGCGGCGACATTTACTCCCAGCGCGCCTACCTCCCCAAACTGTTTGGCGATAAGGCTTTCCAATTTCTCATAAACTGTTATCTCGGTTTAGGAAGAACTGAGATAAGACCTGCTGAGGAATACGAGCGCAAAAGTGTCGGTACAGAAAGCACTTTTCACGATCTTCAAGGAAAGGAGGCTCTTCGGGAAAAGCTGCGCTCGACAGCCGAGGAGCTAGAAAAAGACTTGCTTCGCACGCAGGTCAAGGGCCGAACGTTGGTACTGAAAGTAAAATTGCACACCTACGAAGTGTATACAAGACAAGTTGTGCCCCCAAAGGCCATCTTTCAAGCAAATGATCTATACAACTACTCGCTCCCTATGCTCGCCAAGCTCGAGAAGGAATTTCCTGGACTCAAACTAAGACTAATGGGACTTCGCGTCACGCACCTTGTCAGCACGAAAGCAATGAATCTTGACTTTTTTGGAAAATGGGGAAAGAGACCGACTGAATCCAAGGACACGTCAGACACACTGAGAGGAACGGTCAAAGATGCTGATGGGAGTGAGTGGGAGGTATGGCCGGAGGAAGAATTTGAGGCAGCTGCCACCAGGGAACGAGAAGATGCTATGGCTGAAATGGCAATTCTCAGCCAGGAACATCTGGATGAGGAGAATGGAGGAGAAATGAACAGCACAAGAGAATCTGAAACTCCCTTTCAAGAATCTGTGGAAGATTCTTTGAACGAAAAATTCTGGGATTGCCCAATCTGCACACTGCCGCAGAGAGCAGACGACAAAATTTTCAACGAGCACATCGACCACTGTCTATCAAAGCAAACAATTAAGGAGCTGGTGAAAGATGGCGGCACAGCAGAGAACGCAACGCCAGAGTCTTCGTCAAAGCCCAAGGTTGGAATTCGTGACCCAAACCTATCTTCGAATCTAAAGAGGCGACAAGGTCCACAAGTTTCTTCGGGTTCTGGGAAAAGGCGGCGTCCGTTTTTCCAATGCTAAACCATACTAAGGACATCATGCTTCGAAATCATCCCTGCTGAAGTATCCTGTCATGCCATGGGGCCTTTGCAGTTGAGAGCACGTTTCGTATTTACTTGTCTGAGGTGGTTGCAGAATGACGCTGTCATGTTGCGACAGGTGGCCTTATCTCAATTTGATTGTATTTAGGATTTGCCCAGGTTGATCCACACATGGTTTCTTTCCCGTTCTGTTGATACCCTAAATGCAATGTATTTCTTTTATCTCTCTTCTTTCACTTTGATTTCTTTTGCTTAGACCCGATGGGTCATCGTGAGAAGGTGCAGTGCTTTACATGTTGCCAAATCTGAAAGTTGCATAACGTTACGACTTGCTGATTGAAGTGTGGAAATATGGGTATCTGCCCCAGGCCGGTGCTTTTCTGTGGTTAATCTTTACGTTTTGACTTTTGAACTCATGTCGGGCAAAACTGGTAAGTTGCGCTCCAAACACTCCCGAAGTGTCTATTCACTTGGCGTTGCACGCAGCAACAGGCGTTTGTTTAGATTTGTCACGAATACTATGGCGATGAGTCTGTTATTTATTCACTGTCTTGGCAAAACCTTAAATTCAGCCCCACGCCCACACTGTTCATTATCCAGAAGAACTCAGGCAACCTTAGGACAATCAATATTCAATCAGCGTAAGACCTCTTCAGTACTTGTCTTTGCTTGTTCCAACTTGTTGCAATTCACCAAAAATATCTCTTACAAGATTGAAGCTGTGCAACGCTTTCACAATGCCCAAGAAGCGAGCCACTGCAAAGAAAGTACGCAAGATGAAGAAAGTCTCCCAAAATGCTGGAGGCAAGCCTCGTGGGGAGACTTTACTAACTCAGCACGTCACCTTCTCTGATCTACCGCCTGAAATCCATGAGAACATCATTGATCATGTGTTTGGGCATCGTGGTTCGATGTCACGCTCCCATTCTGCAGCTGAAACCCGCTGTGACTGGCGCGGGATAATGAGAAACCCGGGATGGATTCAGCACTCCCAGCTGGCACTGGTTTCACATGTTTGGAGACAATTAGTCCAACAGAGAATTTATCGAAACAGTAAGTTTCCTCTAGGCCCTGAATCTTGCTCTGAGGCTATGCTCACAAAGTCAATAACACAGTACGAGTTCGAGGAACTTTTGACCAAATAACTTACTTCAGAGAGTGGTTCAAGAAGAGGCCTCACCTAAAGCCCTATGTCCGGCATATCGAAATTTGGATGCCTGTCTGGAGTGAGATAATGCCCAACATTATGTTCGACACACCAGAAAAGGCCCAGGAGATACAATCGATGAGTCTTCTCGATCTTCTTAATCATGCAGTGCAGGCGGCGCGGCTCAGGAATCCGGATGCGCGAAGTACCCCTATTTATAGCTCTTTCGCACGCTCGCCTGGTACTTGTAATGTACCGCTCGAGGGGATATTTCAATCCATTCTTGATACGCTCCCGGAAGTCCGCATATTGACCATTGAGGCCGGCCAATACAAAAAGTCGCCAATGCTCCAATATTTCCTTAGGAACAAACGATCAGGAACACTTCCAGTTCTCCCTTCCATTGAGATTTTAGTCATAAAGGATGCTTGGAACTTAATGCACTGCAACCACGACTATAAGGTGCTTGCTGCAAGCCTGCCCAATGTCAAAGAAATCCAGGCGAGCTATGCAGACATTGCCACTCATAACTATCGGAGTAAGAATTGTTCTTTCAATCTTGACAAGGCCCTGCTTTGCATACGAAGATTTAACTAACTGGCAAAAGGCATGACCAAAATTGTGCCGGAGATGATCAGCACCCTCACGCACTTGACCCTGGACCTTGAACCCGTACATTGCGAGGCGGTCCCATGCTCTGAGGTGATTGACAAATTATTACCGCACGTTCATCTGTGCCCTGTGTTGGGAAAGCTTGCCCCTCAATTAAAGACACTCAACTATGCCGGCTGTATTTGCCCGCAATTCTTCAAGCAGGCCCAAGAAGCTGTTATCAATCAGTCAAGCCAATGCTACCTACGTTCAATCGATTTCACAGCCCGAAACTTTTGCCATACCAGAGCCGCTCGCGTGGCGATCCCAGGCCCTCTGCACCTTGGATATGTCCAGGGTTTCGAAAGTACCATTGCCGCATGCATCCGATCCCTTCCCGAACTGAGGCTGGAGTACTTTAGAATGCGGTTCATTAGCATCGGTCAGTGACATAATTCTTTCCCACCCCAGTACTCAGTCTCCAGGCAAAAAGACTAATTGTACTTGCAGGGAACAAATTCAGATTTCTCGATCCTTATTTCGAACTGAGCGAGAACAAATGTAAAGGTTTGTGGAATTACGGACTGAAGGATCTCCTTAAAGAACATCGCCCCGAAGCCTCCTACGTCGCGAAAACCGAGGGCCTCGAGACGGCTAAGGAGCCTCTCAAGGAAGGTGTGCCCTTATCCAGGGCGAATTATCCTACCGAGCGTCCACTTGCTATTCATACTGGGATTTATCTTGATTTGGCGATCCACAATATCAATTTTCCCTCCAACTGATCCTACAGGGACAGGGAACGACTAAGGGTCCTATTACTCTGTATCGACGAGCAGAGATTTCAAGAATGATGCTCGCATATGCTATCGAGCTTCTCATTACAGTCTAGGACCGGTCTTACCACAGTTTATGCTAGCGTTCGTTCTTCATCAACGGTGTCCATGTTCGACGGCTCTAACTTCTGAGGGTATTTTTTTACCACACCCATCGCGAACCGGAAATTTGTTTTGCAATTATTGTCTGCAAATGATTTGTTTTATCACGGCTGTCTCTGATATCCTGTCAAATTGTTACTCATTATCAGATAACCCGTTCAGCCGCTTTTCTTTTCTGTCGGCGACTTCGCCAAAATTGTTTTCACCCCGTCTGCTCTACTTTCCCCCCTTTCCTTGACTAACTTCTCAAAAAAGAAAAAGAAAAAAAAAATTATCTTCCACCTGCCTAGTTCATTTTTTCCTTTATCGTCTTTTTACCACCATATCGTCTTAAAATTTTAATCCTTTCTCCCCTTGACGACCTCTTTTTATCTCATCTTCAACGACCCCTTTTCCCAATCATCGTCCAGATCAATCTGTTTAATTTTTTCTTACCTACCCCTACGCTTGAAGTGTCCTGAGCGTACATTGTAATGCACTATTTAGTTTACTTTCTCCTACAACAATTAATTTTTACTTCCCGCTGTTTGTCACTCTAGTATTTTCGTTTCGTGAACGTTACACATTAATTACCTTCGTAGTTACGCATCGGAATAAATTTCAGTTTCTTTTACAATTTATCTTAAATTTTTTCTAGCAGTATATTTTTCCTTTTCTTTTTTTCTCCCGGTATAGTAAAAGCAATTGACAAATAAGGAACTTGCAATCCCTGGATGTTCATATGTTCATCCGCCGTACATGCTCTAAACCGGCCCTGGCATCATAACGTATCTGATGAGCATCATGAAGAAACTAATGGAACAATTTTCAACAACAATCCGTGATGGTGTAGCGGTAACATCGGTCGCTCTCAAGCGATTACCTCAGGCATAGCCTGATCAAGTGGTGCTCGTAGTCCCGACCAGCCCGGGGTTCGACTCCCCGTCACGGAATTTTTTTCGCTCTCATCCGCCTGGTGCTCGGCGGTTGCGACCTTTTAAACTTTTTTTTGTGGGCCAGCCAAACTGTGTGATTCCACTACCGGAGTAGAACGTCCTGGGCGGGAAATCAGAGTGGTTTAAACTTGGCTGAATTGGATTTAGCGGCTTTTGCTTAATTGCGGCTGCGGTTTAACCAGCCCGGCGACCCGGTGACCTGGAGACAGGTGCGAGCAATGCGTTGATGCTCAAAGGGTCTAGGGATGGCGTCTCGGGCGACGAGGAGTGACACATTTTTACTGTGCAATTGGCAATTGAAAAAATTACGTGAGGCTGCTCGGGAGCTCCTCATGTATGGGTAAAGAGATAAATCAAGGAGTCATGATCCAGTGAATTAACTTTCGTAGTGTTTAGAAATGTATATATATCTTGTAGCGTGGAAAGAGAGATATGTATATGCTAATGCGAAGACAATGCGAAGAGACAAAATAATTCAACCGAAAGAATCTATATTTTGAGCTTGGAGACTTTATTTGCTCCTGTATCTGTCACGATAATACCGAGGATCCAGACATTTACTGCAAAAAAGAATATCCCGGCTATCCAAAGACTTGGCGCATATGTGCTGCGGCCGAGAAATTCGAGCTCATACCCGCGCTGGAGCCAAAGTGCCTGTAGATATGGAATTAGTCATGAAGATACATTACTGGATTAAAAGGGTGGGATTTGAGGTGTTGTAGAAGGGGATATATCTGTGAGGGGAAAAAAGGGCGGGTGTGAGAGGTGGTTGGAACGTACCTGACCTGCTATCCAAAGGACTAATGCAAGAATACCGCGCCGAGGCTTCTGCAGAAGTGACGAGCGTGGTAGATGTAGTGGGAGAAGTACGAGATACCAGAGGAAATACTGCGGAATTGCCATGGTGTGTTAGCGGGGGGTGTTTTAATGGGAAATGATATGGCGGTTGATTGAGCAAAGGATGAAAAAAAGAAAGCAAGAAGGAAAAAAAACATACCTGTGATGTACACACTTTGTTGAACGTGACAAAAGCAAAAGTCTGAGCGAGCATAGTAGACGCGAGATCACGCTTCGCAAGGACAAGCGGAATGAGAACAGTTGAAAGAAGTAACTGCGGAATAAAAGCAAGTCGACTCAAGTCAGGAGCGGCGCTTGGCTGAGATGCGGTGAGGTAGAGCAGCGTGTTGTACGGGCTGAAGTTGTGCCGATGGTCGAGACGGGTTACATGATGCAGGTAAGTCTGGTCGACAAAGGGCCAACCATATCTGTATTAAATATTGAAAACGTCAATACATGTTTCCGTATATGAGACCGGGAAAAATTGTAACGAAGAAATTCGGGGTTTTAAGAAAAAATTGTAAATTGGGAACATACATTTGAAACATGATAACATTCAGAGCCGCAAACGTGGCCAGACTTGTCAATGTAAGGTTGATGCGGTTCTTATTCACAAAGCCAAATACTTTATCGATAGGCGATGGTAGAGCTTTTGATTTCTGAGATTTCCTTGAGCCCAAATGCTCGTCATCAAGCCACCATATAATTGATGGTGCATAGATGAACGGGTAGATTTTGAAATGTACTCCGAACCCGAGAAGAAAGCCTGCAAGAGTGATTCGTCTGTTCACTACAGCCCAGAGTAATGCCATGACCATTACACCCAGAAGGCCCTCTGAGCTGCCTCTCGTGCTAATCGTAGCCACCATGGGATTGAGAAGCCAGATGCTCGCGAAGCGCAAAGCGCGCTCTGTAGACATGCCCGAGGTACTTCGCAGGACTAAAATGATCAGCCAGCCTGTGATGATGTCTCCAATAGCAAACATTGCTTTTCCAAAGGAGAACAAGACTGAATGCCATGCTGTAGGTAACAAAAGCCATGATAATATTGGCGTGTATCGATAAGTGTCCCGTGCATAAGGAGATTCGCCATGCGCAACGAATCGCGCAGCATCAGTAAAGACGTAGTAGTCAATGTCTGTGTATTTCATAGGAGAGTTTGCATCTTGCCATAATCCGTAGAAAAGGAGGATTATGCGAAGAAGAATGGCCGCAGAAAAGATCACGGGTCCCGTGGAGAGAGCTCCTGTGAGTTTGCTTTTCGAGGTAGGCGCCATCGTCAGGAAACTCCGCAATGTGCACAATAAAAAAAGCTAGAAGAGGAATTAAATTAGATCAAGCCATGGTGATTGAAATTTATGAGAAAAGAATTACAACACTGAAGAAAATCGTCGATTGTGTCGACGTTGTCGAATGTCTGTATTTGGGATAGAGCTGTCCAAACACAACCGGGGCGGAGAAACTTTCTAGCGAAGACGATGTTGCGAGGGTCCAACTTTCATGACGGCATTCAGATTCCTTGTCCTTGAAGAATACGTGCCACTGCCACCATTTGACCAATCTATCTTCTATTTACAATATAATCCAGTACAGCTATCTGGTATGATGGGCGGCACAAAGAGAGACCACGATGGGCGAAGCCGCAGTCCCCCGCCAGCCTCTCCCTTCATGCCCATCTTTGAGACTTTCCGCAATGAGCTGGACGAGCACCATGACAGACGAGAACGAATTATAAAAGCTTCGCGCGATGTTACTGCTGCAAGCAAAAAGATGTAAGCTGCATGCAATTTGCTAAATATTCTCCGTTTCCTTTTGCTTACGAGATTCCAGGATCTTTTCTCTTCAGCGGTAAGCACCTGAGGCCACGCTCCAGAACCTACTCTAGGCTCCACTACTAACGCCCAACCCTTATTAGAGTCAAGAAAGTTCGCGGTGAACTACCAGAGAGGATAAATAAGGAAGTGCAAGGGCATTTCAACACTATCGTAACCACCCTTGAATCAATTTCTGGCGACCTGCAGGGCATCAATGCATGGCGCTATCGGCGACAGATAACGGGCGGGTTGCAGGAATTCATTGAGGCTGCGACGTTTAAGCACTACTTGGAAACGCAAACGCTGCTTACCGTCGATGCTGCGGCTGCGGCTGTGCCTGGAGGCGTCCAGCTCACAGAAGACGATTACCTTCTCGGCATTTTTGACCTGGTGGGAGAGATGATGAGGTTTGCTATTACCACAATGGCAACATCGGGAGAACTGCCTGGAAACACTGCAGACTCAGAAGATGGTCGCGAAATATCAGAAAGTAATATCCTCTCGGATCTGCGAGAGTTGCGAACACAATTTGCTGCGCTCGACACCACTACCAGCTCAGGAAATGGACTCGGAAGAGACGTGGAGAAGAAACTCGAAGTCATGAACACTTGTGTAGAAAAGGTAGAGAATGCCGTCTACGGATTGATCATTCGAGGAAGAGAACGACCGAAGGGTTGGATGCCAGATCTTGGAGATGACTCGGGCAGAGGGAGGGAGCCTGTTGAAAGCTACTAGCCAATTCGTGATACTATTTTCTTATTGAAAAGTCTTCCCCCTTTTTTTTTCGAATGGTTTACCCCGGCGATCAGAAACGAATAGTATCATGTATGAAATAAATGATATCCCACATTTCACATACGAAATCATCGGATCTGCAGAGGCCCGTTGACGAGCATGGGCCTAACCCAGACAATTGGTCCTTTGCAAATTATATTCCATTGATAACTTCGCAAATGGCAAATTGCAGAAGACAGTACAGCGCCCAACAATAGCCGCGCGAACCTGCAATGATATCGCTTTTCCAATTTTAATGACCAAGCAAACACATGAAAAGGATAAAAGAATGGGGAAAGATCAATTCCTATTCGCCGAGCAACAAAATTTCAATGCACCTCATAACCCTGAAATAAAAAGAAAAGCAGGAGTCCGAAATCGATCCGGAAAGCAAATCGAGTCAAGACATTTGACATCAGCATTTTGAAAAAAGAGCCGCTGAAATTCGCTAGAATTGCAAACATCGAAGAATGTTTGAAGATACTTGTAGCATCGGGGACTGGCGCATCAAATTAAGCACTCTCCTTTTTGATAAGACCCTCTGCCTCCGTAGCTCGCTGCGCCCATTCACTTCATACGATCAATTAGCACAGTTGTTTGCTACATTTACGGCGGCAAAACTTACGTCCAACTTCCATCATAGATTTTACGTTTTGTTGAATCACCATATCCAGCTTCCTCAAGCGCAGCATCGATGATAACAGCGCTGACACCAGTGCCACAGCTGCTGATAATTGACTTTTCTGGGTCGACTCCTTTGCTCTCAAATATTTTCCTGAGTTCATCCTTCCCCAACAGCGTCTTGTTTTGAGGATCGAGTAGTTCTGGAAAAGGCAGACTGATCGACCCAGGAATATGACCGGAAGACAGTCCTGAGAGAAGCAAAATTAGCCACCAACTCCTTCGAATGCCGGCATTTCTGTTTCTTCGCCCATACCTGGTCTTGGCTCGGGCGCAGTGCCTGCCCATCTTCCGTATGGTCTGGCGTCTAGGATCTGTATTCCCTCGCTACCCTCTTTGTTGTAATCTTGCGCAATCTCCTTGACCTGTTCGAAAGAGACGACTTTTGACGAATCAAACGCTGGGACGGGATATTCGGTTTTCTCCCATGGCTCGATTTCTCCGGAGTCTGTAGGATATCCTTGTTCCACCCACAATTTGAAATTGTTGAGAAGATGGACGTTGGGATGAGAAAATATCTTGAGCATCCATGCTACTCTGGGACCACTGAAGATACCGTCTTCTGAGTCATAGACAACGAGGGCATCGTCCTGGTGTAGACCTAGAGCTCCCATTGCCTCCGCAAACTGTTCCGCCGAGGGCAGCATATGCGGATAGGGCGATTTATCATCTTTGACAGCATCAAGATCAAAGAACCGAGCCCAAGGAACCCGCTTCTCCTTGAAGACCTGCAGACCGGTTCGCTTCTGAGGGTCATTGGGCATAAACCACGAGGCACATAGAGGAATCACACGCGGTGCAGTAGAGATCTTGGTCGGAGCATTCTGCGATAAAGCTTCTGAGAGCTCCTTCGGAGACACCAAGAAAGAAGAAAATGATCTCTGGCTCATTTTGATGGGAGAATGGACAGTTCTGGCGAAGAGCAATCGCGAGGACGTGGAAGTCAGCGGTGTTGCTCTACGGAGAGCCGCAAGGGCCATTGCGACGAGATAAGAATGGAGTAAATACTACGGAGTAGATGATCAGAGTCAGGCACATACAATTGACTAGAGCAGATGATGAAATAGATGGTTTGAATTATGTGAGATTGATAGCAGCGAGGTAAGTACTACGTAAGTAGGTAGGGAGCTATGACAGCTTTCTATTGATAAGAGAGGGGAAATGGATATCCCCACGTGCAATCACACCTATATTGTGTAGGCGGTGTGTCAATAAAGTGTCACTGCACCCTTGTGAACCTTTAAAACGTCGACACTTATCCTTATCGGGTTAAGCGCCGGATAATCATCAAAACATTGGTCTGTGCCAGCCTGATCTTTGGCCTCTGTCGTGCTCAGCCGCATCTCTCTCTCATCATTTGTCCAATATCAAGGGCCAGTATCTTCTTATCTCATTCGGTTTATCTTTATACTTTGGTCCCAGCCTCTCTACTGTCTTCACCATGAAGGTGACCATCAAGCAATGGAACGCCGTGGCCGCATGGCGGTGGGACATGCCAGAGGACGACGTGTGTGGTATCTGTCGGGTACAGTTTGACGGCACGTGTCCGACCTGCAAATATCCTGGAGATGATTGCACCCTTCGTATGCCATATCCCCGCTTTGCATGTTTGCCCCTGAGGTAGTATCAAGCTAACGAAAGGATTAGTGATTGGCAAATGTGGCCATTCTTTCCACATGGTACCTGCTTTGTCCCTGCTCAATATTGTGGATAGTTTGAAACTGACCGAGCATCAAGCATTGCCTTCTTACATGGATTCAACAAGACTCTTCAAAGGGCCTCTGCCCCATGTGCCGTCAAAGTGAGTATCCTACCAAGCATATGTGTGGGTGCTTTACCTAATATTATGTCCAGAATTCGAATGGAAGCAAAGTGGCGAGTAAAGTCTTTTCTGCATTGGTGATTTTGTTGTTTCGGGCGTACACGGGGTCACCGGTGGATACGAGTAAACGGTTAGATTTGGGAAGAAGTATCCTAGCACAAGATTTCTGGCGTTGTTTTGCTTTTAGAGAACATACCTACGTCTTCATGTTCACATGCATTTTCAATCTTTACAGCACGATACCTTTGAATTTCCTGAACATGTTCTTCATTTATATTCCATGGCACGGCAGAGTATTCATTATTTGTTAAATTTATTCAAGAGAACACAGAAATCTACAGCTTAATTCTCTACCATATTTCCATTTTGCCTCCTGTCTTTGCCTCTCTCTACTTCGCCAGCCCCAATACTCTGGAACGGCCAGTCACGTGGTGATAGGCGATAAGCCCAACTCCACGCGCTTTGACCTCCCCAAACTCCGGCACCTCCGTCCCATACAGCTCAGCTTCACCCCATTGAACAATCCAGGCACCCTCCCTTAGATAAACCACGTTTGATATCCATATCCTTCTATATTAATATATACCCCAAATACAAATTACCATTTATACAATCCAAACAATTACATATATACTGCTATCCAAATGCCACCCGTCGATCCAAATACTTCTCAACCTCTTCCTCCACCTGCCGAAGCTATATCCTCCGCATCATCACCACTTGTCGAAAAGCCTCAAGTTCCCCAACAATCCGAACCCAGCCCTCGAAGACCATCAAACCCATCACGCCATTCAGTCGCACAGGATGAGAATCCAACTTCTTCGAATCCGAGTTTAAACCCGCCTTCTCGCTCAAAAATACACACATCTGGTACTTTCGCCCACCGCACTTCAATACTACCAGATCAACCCAGTTCGGACCATTCCAACAACCCACGTAAACGCGATGATGACCCACATGAGCATGATCACCAGGACCAGGACCAGGACCAGGACCAGCATGATGCACCACCTTCCCACCCTTCTCTGATTCCCGACCAAGAACAAGAACCAGAACCAGAACCAGACCAAGATACCCAACCTCCAAGACCCAACTTCACTCCCGTCTTCACAGTCATAACCGACGCGCACACGGGCGAACACTACCATCCACACGTCCACTACATATTTTCCGACGACACGAGCGATCTCATCACTGCTGCATCCCTACGGACGCTATCCTCAGCAAGCCCAATCCGGTCTCCATTAGGCGGTGCAAGTGGAGACGTGGGCGAAGCCGAGGGGGGCGCTCCAACCGATCAAACATATGACGAGGGAATAGAAGGAAATAACCCAGAGAATGTAGAAGAATCGTCTTCTGTCTCGCCATTACCGCCGCGCAATCCGGCCGTTGACGAGCGGTACATTGTACTTGACTTGAATGGGTCAGGCGATGGTGTGTCAAGCGCGCAGAGTTTATCCTCTGCATGGGCAGTCTCGAGTGCAGCGTTGACGCCGGCGCCTACGTGGGATGATCCTCCTGTGGCAGGAGGAAGTGGTGTTGGAGGCGGCAGTGCAGGGGGCGGGGCAGGCGAGCAACAAGGCGCTAGTGGGACGGGAAACAATGGCGGGTTAATGTTGAAGATTGAGGGCACGTCGGGGATCGATGACCAGTCGCTTGATCGTGGAGAGGATGAGCTACAGGATTTAGTCGGTCTGTATGAGCGACGATTAGGCGAACTGAAACGGTTAGTTGAAGCTGGTGGGCCAGGGACAGGCTCAGGGGTAGGGACAGGGACAGCGGGACCGGAACACCGATAGTTGGTGCAGCTGTTGGGAAACCGTAGTGAGGATGGATAGAAGGTGTGAAGGAAAGAGGTAGGTGAAGAGGGAAGGTCACTCGTCAATTGATGTATCACGACATGTTACGTTACACTTGTGCAAAAGGGACACGGGGAGAGAGAGATTATCACTTTGCAAAAGGTTGGTAAACACGTCGTCTTTTTGAAAATAATCTAGCATATGCCCGCGGAAACGGGTCGGAGTTAAAACTGCCATCTATCTTATGTATGTCGGGCATATTTTGTTTTAGTTTGGGCTAGAAGAGAATATCAATACCCATGACTTATCCCTCGAGTATCTTGCGCCCATGCGAAGAAACAGGAATAATAAAAGACAGCTAAAATCACAAACACGTCGGCCTTTAGAAAAAAATAATCACGCAAGTGGGCCAGCGTTCAAAACGCAGCCGCAGCCGTCTTGATCCTTGAAAACTCCCAGGAATAACGACGCCTGATACCAAGGCCAAAAAAGATACAAAGTGAGAAGCAAACAAATTGAGGCAGTCTGGTAAGAACTCCTGACCCAATAAAACCAGAGAGTAAAAAGATACAAACCAAAGAGTAAAAGCGATAATCAATATGTTACAGCGAAAAAGAAGTCAACGTTAGAAAGGGAGCACCCAGTTGCGGATTTCCCAAAAGAATACAATTGATGAAACAAAACAAGGTTCTCCGCTAGGGCAACCCAAAAGAACAAGGTTGAATGCGAGGTAGGTCCAAAGGATTTGTTGGATCCGTCAAGATGCCAAGAGGGAATGATCATCTCTAGGCGGATGAGCGTCTTCGCGTACTGGTTCGGCGTTTGGGTAGGACGGTGGCGGGTCTGCTCTCGGCGCGAGTAGATCCCTTTCTGGACTTTTGAGGCAATTTGCTCTCAAAGGCCCTCTGTCTCTTTACGCGCGGGGTATCCTCATTTTCCTGATTTTCAGTCGGCGCCTGCACTTCCGAGTCCGACACAGGGGACTTGGTTGCAGCATTACCATCGACCTCTGTCAAGCCATCTGCGGGGCTGGCCGAATTTTGGTCAACATCCATCGTTTGGAGTAGCATCACTTCGTCATCAGCATCCGTATAGATCGATGCTTTGCTCGGAGACATGTTTGTGGGATCGTCGTGTGGAGTGGTTGGGATTTGCGTTTCGTTCATTGTGGCGAGGAGGGTCTTGCGATCTTTCGTCTGCGGAAGGATACGCTGGTACTGATATTCGACCTTTTTCGGCGTTTGACCAGTAGGGCGGTATTCCTTCAAAGGCGCACCATTGATGCGGCTGCGAAGGTCGGCAAGCGGTTGACGTACTCCAGTATCCAAAGGAACAAGCGCGTTCGTGAGGTTGTTTCTCTGTACCGACATGTCTTGGTCCAGAGCTTCGACATTGTCCACGGTTCTGCCAAAGTGTTCGCAAACCCGAGAGTTGGATTCCCGAACTCTGGTGGCAACACTGTGCAGGGAACGGACGTGAGATTCGTACTGATCCTCATTTTGGGATCGTGCACGAGTGACAAATTCATCAAGTGCCTTCATTTGATTTGACATGTCGGCCATTTGGGCATCAACAATTCTCACAGTCTCTTCGTGGACTGATTTCGTGGTGACTTGGATAGCCTCATTTTGAGCATCCATAGACTAACATTGATGGTCAATACAAGATCAGAAAAGAGTGTGCTACCAAAATTACTCACCTGCCAGTCTTGGTTCAGCTTAGCCTCAAACAACTTGTAAGCATCAAAAGTTTCCTTGGCGCAAGCTTCACCTCTGAGAGACCACGCGTCCATGGCTTGGTTGTAGCGAGCTTCGGCGTTGCCAAATGTCAGAGTAGAGGCCGAGATATCGGTCTGAATCGAATTGATTTTAGATGCCAGTCTGGCTTCTTGAGCTTCTCCCGTAGCATTTACGAGTGCTGTTATTTGCGTGAGTAGATTCTGACGGTCAGAAGCTGATTGTTGGCGCTCTTCGACGAGCACTGCTTCCAATCTAAAATTGGCAACTTCGTTCGCATCAGCTGCTGCCTTTGCAGCTTGACTGGCCTCCCTCCTCAGATTATCGCATTCTGTCTTTTGAGCTTCGAGGTCCGTAGCGAATTTACTAAAGATGTTTCGTAGATCGGTCTCGATGGAATTATGCGAGCCACGCATCTGCTTAAACTTAGAACAACGAACCATGAAGATGTGGGTGGATTACGTACCGTTTCCTGAAAATCTTCTAATTCCGAAATGACTCCTGCCGAGATACGGGCCGCCGCCGCCGCGAGTCCGTTGAGCCCTTGACCAACTCTTTCCTTCACTTCTTCGCGCAGGACTTTGATTTCCTCAAGAACTTCATTCATGTTTGACCTTGATTCCGATGCCTTGGCATCGTTCTCATCATGCCAATGTTCTAAGGACTCCATGGTCTCTTGAAGATACGTCTGCGTCTCATCCAGTCCACGAAGCTCTTGTCGAACAAATCCCTCCATTCTCGTCGACAATGCGGATACTCCGGCTTTTTGCCGATCCTGAAATTGTCGCAGGCGCATCTCTAGAAGATGAGTGATATCAGTAACCTGGGCTTGAGAGGATTGCCAGTCCGCTCGGAGTAAGTTGTGTAGCTCAGACCGCCGCCGAAGTTTTGCATGGAGACCGTCGTTATCCGTGACAGCTTGCCCAAGGGTGGTAAGCAGTTCGCTGCCAATGGCGCGTAACTGACGTTCCGTCTTCTCATGGGCTGCAGAGACTATAGTCTCATCAGTCAACTCTTGGCGGGTGTTCGCGAGGACAGTCTGCGTTTCCTCCAGAACGGTCTTCGTCTCCCCAAGAATGATTTTCACTTCTTCGTGGTTTTTCTTCAGACTAGACATGGTATTGACAAGCGAAAACAACTCCTGAACCTTATTTCTCAGAGATGCCTCCATGGTCTCAATCTTGGCCTTTTGTTCCTCGCACAAGATCCTCCGGGACTCGCTCTCTACCGTAAGTCCTTCATAATGTTCATTGGTGAGATATACTCCGTTCCGCTGTCTGGTTGCAATCAATTCGCTCTTGAGCTTTTCTATTTCAACAGTGAAATCCCGAAGAAGCGTCTTCTTCGATACTAATTGATTCAACTGCGGTTTATTTCGGATATTTTTTGCACGAAAAGCATAATCTAGCGTTGAAATGGTCTCCTCAAGGTTACTTTTTGCCGGGGAAACAGTGGCGATGATACAGGTTTTGGTATGGCCGCCGAGAGAATCTTGTAGAAGGCGAGTGAGTTTTGATTCCCTAGCAACAATCAGCATCAGAAGGGACGAGCTCGTTTCAGAGTTAATTCACCTGTAAGGAATATGTGAGTTCTTATCGACAAGCGCATTGATGACGCGTCCCAAGGTCAATAAACTCTTGTTAATAAGACCGGCTTCGGCCGCTCTTTTGTTTTCTGCGCCGCTCCTCTGAATATTTTCGCTGCCAGCGAGATCTACCAAATTGAGCTTGCCAGCGCTGACAAAATCATCGCCTGTCTCCGACGGCTGCTTTATGTAAACCGTGACGGTGAACACAGTATGGCTTCGAGAACTGAGATCGTTGCACTTGGTCGCAGCGACCTGGCGCTTGTAACTACCGTTTTGTAGAAGATTGATCCCATCAGCTGCCGTTTTGATATGCGTTTCCTCCATGCCTTGGACAATGGTTGAGCTGTGCCCTTTTTTGTTGTCATCAAAAATCTTCAGCTTCGTGCTCTCATCTGCGGCAAGCAGGTCTCGCAAATCCTCATTATAGAGCTCGATAAATGAGCATTTAACGGAACTTTCAGTCTCCTCGCCTTCCAGCTTCGCAAAGAGTGAATGCAATACGCGGGGGATGATGCCCGCAGAGTCGGACAGAAGGCCAAAACTGTCCGACATGTCGCCAGACATTGTGTATGTTTTTCCGGTGCCGGTTTGACCATACGCAAAAATCGTACAATTATATCCCGCCAGCATCTGCATGATATTTAGTCATTTCTCTTCAGGGGTTGTCCAAAATCAGACTCAACTTACCTCGCTTAGGATTGGGGCAACAACGTCTTCGTAAATCATGGCTTGGTCGGCTGCAGGTGAGAATACTTTATCGAAGTTGTAGGTCTTATTGCTAAGCGCGCTTGGGCCCATGGAGAGCTCAACAAACTTCCCCTTGACGCCCTCTGTGGACAGAACCACTCCGCTGTTCTCTCTGACCTCGCGATCATTTCGACCTCTGCATCTAACAACAACATGGATGTTTGTTTCATCGCTTTCAGGCTCGTAGTCGCGCGTCTTGCGCTTCATACCACTGTGTGCAACTGCGGGGGATCGTGTGACAGGTGTGTCTGCGGGTGTGGTCGTTGCTACCGGAGAGGCTCCTCGACCATATGGGCGAGCGCCGACGGAATTCATTGTTCTTCGAGTTCTTGCGACTGAAGGTCTGGGAGGAATAGGGTTTCGAGTGTTTTGCCTTCTGGCAGGCGCCGCGGAAGGTGCGCGCGCTGCTCCAGCCATCTTGATATAGGGCAGTTTGATGGCACTTTGAAATTCAGAGACTTCAATCGAGACGGATTCCGTTTGTTGTGTTGGGGGGAAAGGAGTAAGAACAGTGGTACTGCCGTAAACGGAGGAAGGTCAGGAGAAAGTATCAGTGAAAGAGTTCAGACGTAGAGGTAAGAGGACAAGGAGATCGATGATGCAACGACATGCAGGTATTGTGGGATGGCGTTGACATGGGGTCAAAGCAGCAATGACAACGCGTGTGTTGATAATTGGGTTGTTTGTGGTAAGCGTCGCTAAGCGGAAGGAGCAGAGCAGTGTAAACAAATGAAACAGCCGAGTTCTACGGAGGTAATCTATCTCCACTAGCGAGGAAGCGGCAGCCTGTACTTACGCACGGACCAGCGCCCCTTCGTTAAAGAGCCCAGCGGAGCTCGACGGAAAAGGAAACCGCGACCAGTTACCAGGCCAAGGCGGCAAATACAACAAGGGTCCCCAGAGGTACACTGCTTACTGTAGAATCTTGCACATGGGACAAGCAGAAAGAAATTGGAACGATGAGGATTAAAAGCTAATTGAACTTGAGAAGAGCTGAGCCTAATATAATTCGATGAAATATTCGATATTAGAGAAATTTGGCTATGATGAATCAAATATGCCCAACGTAACCCGGACAATACATTAGGTCATGATACAACTAGCACATGCCCCCGAAGCGGTCATGCTCCCCCGCAATTGTGCACGGTTGTGTCTCGCATAACTTGTGATACGGCAGAGCATAACACCTGCATCATTGCCTCATACCCAACCTTAGCCATATCATCTGTATCGTTCCTCCCTCCTTACTCTGACGATACGCTCCTGCTTAATCTGCATGGCTCCTCCATTATTCTCCGCCCAGGTTCATCCTAATAGAGGGTTAGGATTCCTCAGTAAGTGCGGCACTTAATCTCCGCCTTGCTTCTTCTCATGAGCTGCTGTGGCTAATGATTCCCGCTCATCACAGCGCTCGGGGCGTCGCTACACGCCATTTTGACGCATTTAAAGGCGCAACCCCGGACTTTTCCTGTAATCGATGTTTCCTATTCATCGTCTCAGCCGATTGCGACCCCGATCCTCCTGACCCTTCCCGCGAACGGTCTCCGCTTACGCTTCGATGGGCCAGACCAGCGACTGCGACTGATAGAGGTGCTGGACTTCACAAAGAGCAAGCTGAGCTACAAAAACAACGAGATATTCAAGCCGCCCTCTGAAGACATAAACCTTGGTCAGCCGAATGGTCCAAATGGGCCAGCTTTTCGGCATGTCTATAATCGGCTCTTTGGCCCTGCGTTTCCGGGAGAATATCTGCCTCCTGTCGATAGTAATGATACAGCTTCTGGCATCTACGTCTTGTCATACCCCGGCATAGCCTTCTCATTCCCCCTGCAGGCATCGGCTTGGTCGGCTGCCGTCGATTTTGTCTCACTTCTATCGTCATCGGCCGCCTCGCCCGCCACTTCTATGGCTATTTTCAACGGTTCTTCGTGGCCGGATGCGCGCACGCATCTCTATTCTCGGGCACCCCAGCATCCACGATCTCTAGCGCTTGGTGGTCGTGGCCGTGAAACGGTGCCCGATGAGGTGGAATTGGTCAAAGTCCATGGCGAAGGCCGCATTGAACTGGTTCGGAGGTCAAGCCCATCATTCTGGATCATCCTGAGCGAGACAACCCCTCAAGATCTAGTTGCTGAGCTAGGCCCTCCCGACGCGATATACAGGAAGAACGATCGGAGGTTGTCGATTCATCGAACTCGCAACATAGAAGATGGTGTGAACCGAAGATTAAGTGGCATGTTGAAAGGTGGTCCAGATGACTCCACCGATACGGACCAGTCGTCCTCACAAACAGGCACTGATGATTCCGACGATGAAAATGATCCTGCTTCAAGCTACAAGGACCGAGAAATTGCGTCAGCCGAGTGCTTCTATAACTATTTTCACCATGGATTCGATATCTTCATTTCTAACCCGACAGCTCCGTCCCTGCCTTCACCCACAGCGACCCGCGATCAAACCTCAACTGACAGTCGCCGCAAGAGCCCAGTGAATGCCTCCTCAGCAACACATCTTACTGCAACTAAGCTTCTCCTGCATGCAAATATTCCAGGATCCTATTCTTTCAATCGACATCGGCGGAGTCGTTGGACGCTTGAGCATGTTCCTACTCCTCATTACAAAGATCCTCTAACGTCTGAGATGAAATTTGAAGATATCTCAGGGCGGCTCAAAGAGGTTTGGAGGAGCACCTACACCAGCGAAGAAGAAGAAAAATCTTTCCAGCGGGGAATGGTTCTTAATCGAGGGTGGGGCGACAGCCCTGGGAGCAGCTGCGAACTTCTCGGCGGCTGGGAAGAAAGCGTAGGTGGAAAGAGACCAGATGCAAACGATTCTGTGGATCAAGACCTTGCTCTTGGGAACACCGAATTATTTGGGTTTCCAGGTCTTGTGTTTGAGGTCCTGAAGAACGGCGCAGTCAGTTGTTTGACGGTCTTTTGAACGCATTCGGCAGTCGGTGCTGTGTTTTCTTCCCTTTGGCGTTGTTCAGCATTGCATTTTCTGTTGTATCCAGTGATATCCCCTTTGGGAGGATTGTTTTCCTCCTTGCAGACGATTTTGCATCCATAACATATAACGACTTTTATGAAAGCATAACATCTCATCATATTTTAGGTTTTCCTGGACAGTCGCTGTGTATTCGATAGTATTTTTATTCTGTAGCTACACTTTATGATCACAAGCATCTGCCGTATAATAATGATAAATATAGAGAAATGTCACAATCAACTCTTTATCAGATCAAGAAACACGTTGTAAGAAGTCCAATTGACACTGGACCAAAGTGTTCTTAAGACAATCTCTTAAGCCGATTCGGCGGGTGCATGCAGCGTGCAAATACCAGATTGTTGTCAATTTGTACTTGGGTTATGCCTGACAAGACACTACTATACTCCCCCACCGTGGAATATCGCGGAGAGGACCCTCGGACGGCCCTGCCGGGCCTGACGGCGGCTTCGCGAAAACATATCCGCTGCGCCCTCGGCCGGAACTTGCCGCCAAGTCTTTCCGCGGTCTGAATAGCTTCAGTATAGAGCAGCAATGTGCATATAACCCGCTCAATTGTGTGGGATTTGATTGTCTTTGAAAGCCTTTTTGTTTGGCCCGCATCCTGACAGAATGCTTCCTTTATAGAATGCCTAGACCAACTCATTCTCTTCTTGCCTCATGGTCGTCGACGCTCAGACTCCCCAAGTCAGCGTTTCCTGCTCGTCCTTCGGCCGCCGAACAGGCCGCGTATGTCCAACGATGTACCGATGACCTCTATGCATGGCAGCGCCGCCATCGACCAGCGGAAAATGAATTTATACTTCATGATGGCCCCCCGTATGCAAATGGAAGTCTACACGTCGGCCATGCGTTGAACAAGATATCCAAAGACCTGATCAACCGATGGGAATTGAGCAAAGGAAAGCGTATACGATATGTGCCTGGCTGGGACTGCCACGGTCTGCCAATCGAGTTGAAGGCACTTCAGCAGCAAGAAGGCTTGGATGGGAAATCAGCCTCCAGCGCGCGACTGGAGCCTTCTTCCGTGAGGAAGGCTGCTCGCGAACTCGCATCAAAGACGGTTGAGGAACAAAAGAATGGCTTCAAAGGCTGGGGGATCATGGGTGACTGGAATGGGGCATATCAGACCATGAATAAGGAGTTTGAAATGAAGCAGTTGGGGATTTTCAGAGAGATGGTGGAAAATGGTATGGGACAAGTTCCCCTGGAAAATTGAAGACAGTGGAGCCTGAGGGTGCTGACAAGTTGTGGTAGGATTGGTATATCGAAGATACAAGCCCGTTTACTGGTCTCCTTCCTCTGGTACTGCGCTTGCGGAAGCAGAATTGGAATATTATGAAGATCACAAATCAACCGCAGCTTACATTAAATTTCCGCTCACGAAGCTCTCTCCTACGCTTCAAGCATGCTCTGGTGTCGACGCTGAGAACCTAAGTGCCGTCATCTGGACGACGACACCATGGACCCTCCCTGCGAACCGCGCTCTCGCTGTTCATGCCGACCTCGAATACTCAATCATCGAAACGTCAAGCTACGGACAGCTTTTAGTCGCTAAAACACGATTAGAGGATGTCTCGAAACAGTGTTTCGAAGATGAACCAAAGATTGTCGTTGACTCGATTCCTGGATCAGAGATAGTTAATTCTACGGAATATATCAATGTACTTCAAGGGCAGGCAGCCAAGCCTCAAAGGCTTCTCCATGCCGATTTTGTCTCTGCAGATTCCGGTTCAGGAATTGTTCACTGCGCGCCTGGTCATGGTATGGAGGATTATGATCTTTGTCGTCGCAACGATATTCCGGCATTTGCGCCCGTGGATGACGACGGGAAATTCACCAAGGAAGCTCTGCCGGATGATCCACAAAGACTGGCGGGGATGGAGGTCTTGAAGGGAGGAAGCAAGGCTGTCCTGGACTATTTGGCCCCCTATGGCAATGTCCTTTGCACTTATTCGTACAGACACAAATATCCTTATGACTGGCGCTCAAAGCTTCCGATCATTCTCAGGGCGACGGAACAGTGGTTTGCCGACGTTGGCGGCATCAAGGATGAAGCGCTTCGTGCCCTTGACTCTGTCAAGTTCATTCCAGAGACCGGTAAGACCAGGCTGGAAAGCTTCGTCAAAGGACGGTCCGAATGGTGCATTTCTCGTCAACGGTCCTGGGGCGTTCCAATCCCTGCCTTGTACCATAGAGAAACTGGGGCTGCGATACTCACAGACGAGACTGTGGGCCATATAATGAAGGTTATCGAGGAACGTGGTATTGATTCCTGGTGGACTGATGCCGAGGATGACCCTGTTTGGCTAGCTCCTTCTTTACGAGAGTCCTCTGGCATCAACATGTACAGGCGAGGGAAAGACACAATGGACGTTTGGTTTGATAGCGGCACAAGCTGGTCTCAAGTTGAGGATCTTGCAAATGCGGGGCAACCGGTCGCAGACGTTTACCTTGAAGGCACAGATCAGCACCGTGGTTGGTTCCAATCGAGTCTGCTGACATTTATTGCCCATCAAAGAGGTAACATAACGCAGCCCGACAGCCTCCCGAGCCCTCCGTTTCGGACGCTTGTCACCCACGGCTTTACCCTCGATCATGCAGGTCGAAAAATGAGCAAGTCTCTTGGTAACGTCATTTCGCCCGAACAAATCACTAGTGGCACACTTCTTCCGCCAAAGAAGAAGAAAAAGGCCAAGGGCGAGGTCGCGAGCGATAGCAAGCCCGTGTATGATGGAATGGGGCCAGACGCGCTACGACTGTGGGCCGCTAGCAACGACTACACTCGTGATGTGGTCATTGGACAGCCTGTTCTCAAGGCTATCAACACGAGCCTGCAAAAGTTTCGAGTCACCATGAAGCTTTTGCTTGGCGCGCTCGAGGACTGGGACCCGCGATTTGCCGTGCCGTATGCGAATCTCACCAAAATCGACAAGATAGCCTTGTTTCAACTATCGGAGGTCACCAAGACCGTATTGGAAGCGTACAACCAGTACGAGTTTTACAGAGGTTTGTTACTTTGGATCGGACAATAGATTTGAAAGTGATGTGCTAACGTATTGTTTCCTCACCGAAGCCATGGTTGCAGTAAACCGATGGGTCAATACAGACTTGTCTGCATTCTACATTGAGACCGTCAAGGACCGACTATACGTCGACCAGCCTGACGGCCTTAGTCGGCGAGCGGCCCAAACTGTCCTCTCCTACATCTTCGAGCATCTCCAGGCGATACTTGCGCCGGTCACGCCACTGCTCGTCGAGGAGTCCTGGGAATTCTCACCCGAGGCTCTCAAAGCGGCCTCCACCCCTCCATTGCAACGCATCTTTCCACAGACACCCGCCGAGTGGAATGACAGCTCATTAGCCGTTGACTACGCTTGGCTTAGCGAAGCCAATGCAGCAATTAAATCCGCACAGGAGCAAGCCAGAACCGCCAAGAAAATTGGCTCTTCGCTCCAATCCTCCATTGTCCTTTCTTTTCCCGACGGCTCATCCGCTGGCCTCGAGCTCTTCAAGAGCTACGAGGACGAGCTCGAGACTTTCTTCGTCGTCTCCTCTGTCTCGTTGGAGTCCTCCTCGGAACCTACCATTGTCAAGGATGCTGAATGGGTCTACTCTGCAGAGTTTAACACCTTGGATGGAGGAAAGGGCACCGCCCATGTCCTTCCTCCTCGGGACGCCAAGTGTTCCCGATGCTGGAAATACGTAGCCCCCGCTCCAGCCAAGGAGGCCGATGACAGCCTCTGCAAGCGGTGTGAGGATGTTGTTGCCAAACTGGAACCGGCCTTGGTGGATAGCAGCCTCAAAGCAGATGCCGCCGGTGCCGCCGCTTCCGCAGCTTAAGTCTCCTAGATCTTTTAGGTCTCTTAGGTCTCTTCGAAATCTTAGGTCTTTGGATACCTTTTGCTTTTATCAATAACACGCCTACAGAGCAAAAAAGCGCTTTCTGAAAAATACCCGTTTTTATATTTTCCTGTATTATGTATTATCTATTAACTAATTGTATCATATATCATAGATTTCTTTCTTTCGGTGGTTAGCCAAGTAGCCGAGTCCTTTTTACAAAAAAAATGGTTGTGGAAATATACTAGGTAGAAGGAAATATCTCTCTCCTTTTTCTCTCTAACTTGAGGTGGAATACCATTCGTCTCATTCGTACATTCGTACATTCGTCCCATTCGCAACATTCGTCGGACCCTCATGTCCGACGACGTTTAACGACACTTTTTCTAATTTCCTCATTCGGATCCAGCCAGGCCCAACCGAAATCCTGGCTACCCTGTAACTGTTAGTTGTTAAATCCATTTCTCGAAATTCTAGAAATCTAGAATTCTATGAGTATACGCGGGGTTGTTTTCTACATCGGTTCCGCTAGACAGGGCTCCACCGAGGGGGCACATACGGAGTACGTAGTACGGAGTACGGAGTATGCGGAGTCTGGACTGCATCAGCGCAGGGGACTCGGGCGGTGAGTCGGGTGAGTCCCAGATCGTTGATCGTTGATCGTTGATCGTAGGGCCCGATACTCTGTACGTTTGCTCTATGTTGTGACCTCCTTCGTACCGGAATTTGTTGTGACCTACTGAAATCTCGAGAGGGGAAGTCTCGAAAAGGGAAGGGAAGGGGGGAAAAGAGACAAAGAGACAAAAAAAAAACATAAGGTATTATAATTTGTCGGACCCTTACTCCGACGACGTTCGACGACGATTTGATTGATTTCCTTTTCTAGCAATGTGCTTTACACATTCGTCCAAGGACCTGTGCGGAATCTGGGACTCTCGGGGCGCCGGCGTGGAATCTAATAGGTTGATACGAAGTTACTTGACGTCGACGTTCGATTATACTACGGTAGGGTGTAGATGGATTGAATGGATTGATGGATGGCGGGGCCACTGGGCCATTTTCACAAAAAGGGTCTTCGCGAATACCAGTAGTTCGTCTTGATGATCGTCGCTTCTTTGTTTTTCTTGGTTTGGTAGGATTTGCGCTGCCTGGCTGCCGTGGACGTGGACGTGGACGTGGACGTGGACCCCGACCCCGTCCCCGACCCCGACTCTGATTCTGATTCTGCCGGCCTTATTCGCCGTCTCCCCGCTGTCTACTCGACATACCTAGGTAAAAGTCATCCATCTAAGGTAGGTATCCAGCCTAACTGTGTGCATTGTCATGTGTACCGTATGTACAAAATACAGCAATTGAAAAACATATGTACTTTGATTCGAATTGTATTGTAGTTGTAGTTATAGCCTCTAAGGTTTTTTTGTACAGATGGTATAGAGATACAGTTGTACGTTGTACAGTTGTATTGTTTCGCATGGTTACAATGGATATGTCGATGTCGCTATGTTGCCATCTCACACGGTACACCTGGCACACTTCGACCGTCCATCTCTAACCGAACCTCTGCCCCTCTGCCCCTCTGCTCTCAACTACGACGACGACGACGACGACGACGACGCCCCGCATACTCCTAGCTACGCGATATGAGGGGTCGAGCTGCAGCTGAAAGTCTACAATCGTAGATTAAACGGACGCGGAGACGGAGGAGGGGCCGTTGTCGTCAGTCCGTCGGCTGTGTTGAATATATCAACCGTACGGAGTATAGTTATTGAATTGGGGACTTGTGGGATCCGGGGATTCGGGGATTCGGGGATTCGGGGATTCGGGGATCTCGCCCGCCTCCGCCAAACCCCACCTCAAATTTCTACATGTACAGAGTAAGTTACTCTGTAACCGACCTCAACGAGGCCAAAGCTGAGTAAGGTAACTAACGGAAAAAAGACAACGGGAGGAAGAGAAGAGAACGAGGGGTAGAGAAGAGACAGACAAAAGAATCTTTGCTTTAATTAGTTACGGTATTTATCTAACCTGGGTAGGTATGAGGGAGCTATTAACGTCCTTGGCTCTACTGTTTGTACTTGTTTTGGCTTGTGATATACACTACTTAGGAATTATTATAATTTTTCATGCGATTGGCAAATCATCAAGGTATTAAAAATAAAAATAAGAATAAAAATATAAACCCGAGGCCGGGCTGCTGATGCCATATCGATTCGTTTTTCGGCAATTGCGGAAAATGTAAAGGTGCGTTATGATACAAATTCGTTGTTCGACAATGGATATCGTGGTCTATGACATGGAAAAGGAAAAGTAGCATACAGTAAAAGTGGAAAAGGATAAGGGAACGATAAGAAAGAGAAGAGAGTTGAGAAGCCTAAAGCACCGAGCACCCAATGCCACATAGCAGTCTAAACTTTTGCCTTGCGGCTGGTAAGAATCAGAGAGCGGAACCATTAAAAGGGAGTTTTACAGGAGAAGAGAAAGTAGCAAAAATAATGCAAAGTCTAAGCTTTTGGAACAACGAGCGGGTGTAAACACAGGATCAGGGCTCCAATTGCTTGGTGTCAATATAATACAGAGAAGATGCGGAAAGAATCACAAGGTTTAATCTAGCAGGGAGAAGCTAAAACACCAAAGCAACGAGACTCGAAAAATTAAAAGGGGCTGAAAAGGGAAAAAGACGTCAATAGGATCATCAAACAAGCATGGGCTCGTGAAGGAGACTAGAGTCTGGAATCGAAATGTAGGCTTGACCATTACGAATGAGCGATTCAAACAGGGAGCGTTGCCGCTCCATTTCAAGCTTCATTTCATGCATGTCCGCTCGTAGCCGTGCGACTTCGGCCTCGAGTTGTGAACAGCAAGTTGGGTGGCGTGCAGAGTCGTACTGGGTCTTTGCAGGAGATTGGATATTAGGAGTCGACTCTGTCAAATGTCCGCGCCGACCGGGCGAAACAGGGGACAAAATTGTCGAGGTGAATTCCTGGTCCTCGTGAATCGAGAAGCTGCTGTGAAATGCTGGCGAGTCAAATGTGACTGTTCGGCGATGCTCGGGTTTTGGTCCAGAGTAGGTCTTTCCTCTTTTCCGCGTTGACCGGGGAGGATGAGCATTCTCACCTTCGGCTTCGGTGAGCCAGATATCAGCAAAATCGCCTGTTTCTGTTCGGCTCGACTCCTCCGGCTTCATCACCGGTTCATGAGACTCTCGGACACCATATGCCGGTACATCAGGTTTAAGCGGCGCCGTACTGTCGTCTTTGACGAGGTTCTTTTGCATATACGGCGCAAAAAGAGACAGGTTGCGATTGTTAGAGTCGGGCCCGTTGTTGCTTACTTTTCGGAGATCTGCTAGTATCTTCGCACCGTCAAGGCTCACACTGTTCTTCTTCTCGTGAGACGCGTGGGTCCTTCGAATAGAGATGCGTCGGGATCTTCGAGATGTGTGTCTAGCGGGGATTACTGGGCGACAAGTCGAATCCTTTCGGCGATGCGATGGCCTGAGACGGGGCTCATCACCGCGGTCTAGTTCCGTCTCGCCAATTTCGAGGCCCTGCAAGTCGGCGGACAAGCCACCTTCGAGCTTCTCGGGATAATCTGTCTCACAAGGCGACGGGCTCTTGCTTATGGTCTCAACTGGCTGAGCCCAGCGTTTTACAGGCGAGAAGAGGCTCATGTAATCCGAAGTAACCGGCTCTGGCCCATCATTCCCAGACCAACCATCAGCGGAATCAACCGTGCCGTCTGACTGACCGCCGATCCCTTGTGTCACTTTGACAGCAGTCATGGGCTCCGACGCACTGTCGCCGCCACTGTCGTTGCCGTCATGCACGTCCACCACTTGTTCCTGCACTTGCCGGCCGGCAGCGAGCAAGGACCCTAAGCTCTTTCTCCTGGACTTGACTTGTCGCCGTGGCGTCGTGTTTTGACCCACACCGGAGCGAGGCCCTGTTGTCAGGCGGGACTGTCCAGTAGCTGGTTGTTTTGGCTTACTGGGTGTCTTGAACGGTGACAGCATTTGTCTCTGGGTTCGTTCTCTGCCTCCTCTTCTTTTCGTCACATCTTCCAAGGCTGGTACCCAATCGACTTCAATGATTCTCCCCCCTCCCGGATTGATGGTCTGCTCAGCCAAGAGCCTTCCCATTGCATTGTACAATAGCACCTTTCCGTCGACCCGCCCAATGGCGACAATACACTGGCGGCGAGCAAAAGGGGTGCTGGGAGTCGACCTTGCGCTGTCCTTAAAAGACGGTGTCTCAGAGCGATAAGCTGAAGATGGTCGCTCATTCATGGGTAGGATGGACATGCTCGTTGCTGGCGCTTGCAGATGCCACGATTTGATGAGTTTGGCCTTCCCTTTTCCGCCCCCCTCAAAATCTACCAAGCAACACTTTCCATCGGCGCCTGCGCTGATGGCACGTGCCCGGTAGCCAGGCACAAAAGAGGCGGCTGTAATACCAAGCGCTTTACTACCGACGCTGACAGTCCCGGTTCCCTGGTCGTATCCGCCCAAGGCTGCGCCATCCAATACGCCATTTGGGTCTGCCGGAGCCGTCGTCATGCCTGCGGCATGCAGGTTTCTGATAACTGAGACTTCCGGACTCTTCCTCCTTCCGGCAGACACACCGCTTTTGGCCTGGTGCTCGTCACCCCGGAACATGGCCGTGGCATCGTACATGGCAAGCGTGCCATCTGCAAATGCAAGAAGAAAGACATTGGCGCGATCCGGATGAAAGGATGCTACCACGACGGCTGATGAAGAACAGTTCGGACGCAAGTTTAGCGGCGGCGTGCCCAAGGTCAGGTTCTTCAAATGGATGGTTGGCGGGTTCACCGATGCCGAGAGCAAGAGCTGAGCTGGCGATGACAGAGCTAAAATGGTTGGTGGGGAGGGGTGGTCTTGGGCTGGCAGCAGCAGCTTGGACTGAGCTAATGAGTAAGTCTGGACGGAATTTTGCAAGGAAGTAGTAAACAGGAGACTTTTCGATTCGTCAGCATAACCCAGCAGCCGAACTTGGCCCTAGATGATTATAGTAATTTGTCAGTCTCTTCGCATACTCATGCAAGACAGGTTCGTGCGTGAGTGTGGATGCGCGCACCTCTGCTCCTTTCAAGCGATAGCTCTCGTCCATTTTTCGACGTGTATCGTGCAGCACCACGACTTGGCTGTCGGCAATGGCCAAAATTCCGCTGCCATCCTTTGCCTTTTTTGCGGCAACAATGCCTTCGGAACCTGAGGTGAAAAGGTGGGTGACACCGTCTGTCGTCCAAGAGTAGACATGTTTAGGAGTGGTTATGACGAGATGATGCGTGTGAGGGAAGATATCGGAGATCGGAGGCAAAGCAGATGGAGAGCCTGGAGCCACAGCGGGGGTTCTGATTGAACCCGAGGAACGCACCGGCCTAGACTGCTGGTCCCGAGAACGAGGATATGGAGAAGGGAGTGCCGGGAGCCTCGAGGATCTCGACATGATCTGATCTAGCTCGGTCCATTCGCATGTATTTGGATTTTCGGCGATGTAAAGGGCCAGCTAAAAGTGAGACCTGGGGGGGTTGCGCAAGGCCCGAGGAATGCGTCGTCGGTGACTGGTTGTCTTTGTTTGCCAGTAATATCCAGGCTGCACGTACAATAAAAAGTAAAAAGAAGACTATCGAAAGCTGATCCTGGAAGGAGACGGGAGATGGACGACTACTGCAAGATGTCTCGTGAGCGAATGGGCAGGGAGTAGCAACAAGGAGCAGAATAATAAGTCAAAAAGACGCAGAGTAGAGCTGCATGTAAACATACACTAACTTACTATAGGTACGTAAAAAGGGTCTTCGCGGGGTCAGGGGGGTTCGTTCCTTTGCGGACACATTAGTTCCCATTTGGAGTGGTTAACTATACCTGTTACAGACTAAGCGAGTGACTGTCTTTCCTTATTAGGGTAACGTGCGTCGATTGGCTTTGGGCTCTCATGAAGTCACAAAAGCCCCTCGTGGTCGGGGCTACACTAGTGTGAGGCCGACTAACCCTTTTCGGGCAGATTATTAGTTATGAAGAGCGGTAAAGCGGGCCGAATAGGGGTAATTCGCACGGTCACAATAATAATGACGCTGACGGTATGGAACCACGGAAGATGATGACAATTACTGTCAGGCCCTGTTGTGGACTTTAATTTGAACAATAATTTAAACATATGATTAATGATATCATGGCCAATTGGTTGATCTGGCAACGAGACAAATTATCAGATGGGAGAGAAAGCCCGATTGGTATACAAGGAGGTAGGGAAGGTGTCTATCTGATGAGAAGAGAGTAGGGCAAGAAAAAAGAGAGGCGAAAAGGCACACAAGAAAGGATTAGACAAAAGACGTACAGAGTTACGGCACAGCAATAAATGATAAAAAGAGACTCGTAGCTCCATACAGTTAGTTATAATGATACCATAAGCGAGACACGCATATGCAAAGGCACGCACATTCAACACACGGACGTGCCCCTGCACCTGCACCTGCACATGCGATGCTTTTCCCTACGCCACCCCAGTGCAGCCATGAGAGCGGCCATTTTCACAACAGATGGTGATACAATGGCTGATTATGTGGCCCAATAACAACTGGAGCGAGCATCATTCCAGCATAACGGCCGGCTTCTAGTCCGCAACACGACATGGGGGAGAGCAAGTGCAGTCGCAGATGCCATGCATAGCGTACCAAACCAAAAGGGATCTCCACTACAACATTTCCACTTACTTGAGCCCAAAAAGAGACCGATGCAATTACCGGGCCCCGTCTTGTTCAAAGAAAACAGTCTCTGGTTGGGCTCTGCTGCTCGCGGCAAGTACCCAAATCGTTCTTCGGGAGAAAGGCTGATCACATCGACCCCTGACCCACGACATCCTACTACGTGCTGGACACTGTGTCATCCTTTTGATTGGACTTCTCTTACAAGGGCCTGCATAAGAAGATCAAAGATTGTCTCCATGGCGGACTACCTTAGGTACTACGATTTGAATTACTCCCTGATCCATGTCGTTCGCTGACTGCACATGGCGCATCGACCTCTCTTTGACCAAAGCCATTTGAATCAACACTCCGCCTTTTTGGCCCTTGTATGTCGGGCGTGGACGACAAAGAAGGGCAAGCGGTAAGTACATTTGACGCGCCTCGGGAATGGACTGACCCGGTCAAAGCAGATCCCTCGAGGGACGACGGCCTGGTCCATTCTACCGGCCTGGTAAGATCATGATGCAGTCATAATGCTCTAGCTTGTCAATGAAATGCAAAATGATTTGAGCTTTGTTCTCCTGGTCTTTGATTTATGTGCTCCCGATGGTTTGATTTGATCTGATGTTTTTGAAATGGCCGGTGCGTCTTGCTCGTTTTGTTCATTATCCCGATCGCAAGCTTTGGCCATTCAATTTGTTTCCAAGTTCGCAAATTGATCGTGGGGGGCGTGCCGCTTCTGGTCATGGTTCCTGCAGCGCTATCGACAACCTGCATCCTGATGCTTCACAACAATGCTCCGAGGTCCGTGGTGCAGCAGCGTCTCTAGTCCTGGCTTGAGCGCTCAAGTCTCTCAGCAAACCCTTGGCGCCTTCAAGCGCAAAACCTTGTCTGGGTTGAAAAGATCAATTTGGGATGATTAGCGGTGAATGACAGCGGCGCCACCTCTTTATGATTACTGCATGTCGAGGTATGCCGTATTGCGACTATTTGAACCACGCTCGTTGCACAACTCTCTTGAGCTGCTGTCATCACAACCATTCCTACCTGACGTCCGTCGCGCCATTCACATATCAACCTCCCTCATCCCCTCACCCCGATTGGATATTTTCTCTACCCATCAACATCGACGTCTGCATCCTGCCTCCCGCATCTCGCCTCAGTTGCCGTGCGCATCTTAACTTCCTCTCATCCAATCATGTATGCAATTCTCCTGCTGCTATCCATACTTTGGTTAAACGATTCTGCCGTGGCCAAAGTATGCACAAACATTACCGTTCCAGTCTCAATCTCAGCCCGCAATGCGGTCTTCAACCTCTCTCCACTGCAGTCAAACCTTGATGCTGCCACCTTTACCAGAAATTATACCAGTATCAAGGCAAACTTTACGGAGACTACCCTCACTGGCTACGATACAATCCATGGTGATTTCAACATCAGCGCCAAATTCTGTCGGCCCGGTGTAACTGGCAGCACCTTCAACTCCAAGAATGGAACTGTTCAGCTTCTCACCCACGGAATTGGCTTTGACAAAACGTATGTTCATCTTTCATTAGTTTTCATCAAACTTGGTCTTCATCTGTTTGCATGCTGTTACTCACAATTGGCCTTTCACAGCTACTGGGACCTTTCATACAACAACTACAACTACAGCTATACTGATGTAGCAGTTGACCAGTACGGCTTCTCTACTCTCAGCCATGACCGTCTCGGCGTCGGTAATTCCTCGCATCCAGAGGACGCTCTCAACATTGTGCAGGCCTCGGCTGAGGTTGAAATACTGCTTGAGCTCACCAAGATGTTGCGAGAAGGAACGCTCCCCGGCATCAACTCCGCTTTCTCCAAAGTTGTTCACATTGGTCACTCTTTCGGCTCTGTCCAATCCTATACCTTGGCCTCCAAGTACCCTGATATGACAAACGGATTGATTTTACAAGGTTTTTCCAACAATGGCTCTTGGTTCCCCGCCACCTTTGCCGCATGGAACTCTAAGCTTGCCCGATTCAACGAGCCGCTTCGATTCGGAAACATTAGCGCTCCAGAGGTGCAAAAGCTGGCTAGCAAGCGGAAGACGGTCCAATTCGTGAATCACACAGAGAAAACTCTGGATGTCAGCCCCTACGAAATTGAGGAGATTATCGAGGGCACCAGCACCGCCAACCTTCTCGCTGGGATTGATTCTCGGCCTGCTATGGTGCCGCAGGATCTTCCTACAGGATACATGACTTGGGCGGACGCGAGTGCAAACCAGTACTCATTCCTTTACCCGGGGTATTTTGATCCTGGGCTTTTGCCTTTTGCTGAGGCGCACAAATTTCCCTACACGACGGGAGAGATTCTTACGATTCTCGGTGGTCCAGCCACGGCGCCTGAGTTTACTGGACCAGTTCAAATCATGACTGGAGGCAAGTCTTTATTTTTCTTTCTCCCTCTCCTTCTTTGTCTTCAAACAGCCACATACAATCTTCGTTCCGAACCTCTCAAACACGCGTTTCTTGTTCCTTTTTTCTTCCCCGGTGCTGGTATGTAGCGGCAATGCACGTCTCACAACTCGCATCAAATCTTTGATTCGATGGAGGTTTGGGGATTTGAGGCTTGATGTTCAATGTCCGAGGACGTCTGAAACATGGCATTTAAGACATTCCACTCAAGCCACATTATTATTCCGAGCGCCACTCCGAAAACATGCAGGATCTACCCGATCATTTCCGCACATTGTCTCTCCTTTTCTCGCGGACGTCTCACACCCTCTCCGTCCCCTCAACCCCTTCAGGCCTTTTCGTGTTTCAAACTTTGGACTTCCTCTCCCAAAACTTCCCGAACCTATCAAAACTGTCACCCAGCAGTGTTATCTTATTCATTTACACTTGGTCTGCGCAGCCTACAGCAATTACTGACTTTCACCTTCTTTTAGAGCAAGACAACATCTTCTGCGGCGGCGACTGCTTTGCTACAGGCCAGCCGGATGTCTCGTCCATTCCCGCCACAGCGGACAGCGCATTCCCCAAAGCCAGCGCATTCGAGGCCTACATCCAGCCTAACACTGGCCATGCGGTTAATGTGCATTACAACTCGACTGCCGCTTTCCGCGTCATGCAAGACTTTTTAGTCAAGCATGGCCTCGGAGGCGCATAAGTATGCTACACAAGCACCGTCGGATCATCTCTCGACAGCTTCCGACTTCTGTAATCCTGCTAACATTTATTGATTTTCGCGGCGTATTTTTTTTCTTATCTCTCGGATCCCTGACAACTGATACCATTCTCGGTCGCTTTGTGTTTTTTTTTGTCTTATTATGTTTGTTCCATTCTAACCTTTGACTTTTCGCCATATTTACCTTTCACCTTTCGACGTTCGATATCCAGGGCGATCTACTTCAACCTCCTGAACATTTTAAAAAATTAAATATGTTGAAAAAGAATCTTGTTACATAGCACTCGATTACATATCTTACGTCACATATTCAAGAAATATTTTAGAGTTGCATTTGCTTTTCCTCTCATTGATAAACGCACACAGCTACTTTTTCTATAAGTATACCGTATTACCGGAACAGTACACAAGCGTGGTAAATATCTTACAATATGGCATTGATAGAGTACAAAATCATTTCGTACAGTACTACTACAAGACATCTCCAGCCAAGAGTAAATGGAAATAAAAACGCCCAATAGACGAGCCTCGACACAAATACATACACAGCTTGTCTTTCATGGCCTGTCTGGCTGGACGTGAACATCTACATCCACTCCGGGCGCGGGATGGTCCGTTGCGGCGACGCTGCCGTCCACTTGTCGCGAGGGATGCGGTCCGTGGTCGCCATCATCATCACGCTCCACACCTGTTGATGACGAATGGGATGCGGAGTCTTCTGGATGACCACCGGCCCCAGCACCGCCACCCCCATGCAGCAAATCATCAGGAATATCATAATTCATGAGTGCCGCCAAGGCGGCGCCCGCGTCGCCCATATTGTCTAATCGGGATTGCCCTTGGAGCGTAGCATAAGCGGTTTGGTCTTCGTCTGCGTCCTCGTCTTCGGGGCCTTCGTAGTATTCTTCGTCGTGCTCGTCGCCGTGGCCGAGCCAGGAAGAAGAAGAAGAAGAAGGAGAAGGAGAAGAGCCAGGGAGAATGACAATGCCGTGGTAAAGCATGTAGACGACAAAGGCCGAAACACCTGCCGCAACGGTAAGTGCCTGCGTAACGACCTCCCAGCGCGCGCGACGCATCATGTTGTTGAAGAATTCGACTTCACTGGGATCAGCTGCCTCTTCGGCCGCAGCGGCGGCGCGGAGGCGGTTTGTCGCGCGGAATTGGCCGACAATGGGGAGGGAGTCGGCAATGTTGCTGAGAAGAAGGCTGCCGATGGAGAGAAGGCCGCCTTGAGAAGGGGCGACGAATGGAAGGGCGGTTGTGGAGGAGGGAGATGTGGGATCGGTAGGGGAGGAGGAAGAGTAAGATGGGGATGTGGTTCTTGATGCTGATGGTGGTGCAGCTTGGGAGTTTGAAGAAGGGACAGGTGAGGCTAATGCATCGGATGGAGATACTGTTCTTGCGCCAAAGAACAGACGGCGTAGATTGTGCGTGTAGGCGGCGAGTCTGCCGAATTTGTTGCGCAGAGCGTCGGCAAGCCATGCGTGTGGAAGTTCAGCGTACAGTGCCAGAGAGAGATACGCGAGCGCGACGCAGTCGAGGCTCGTAGGGCCCTCGGACTCGTTTGTGAGGAGGAATTTCTTCTTCCCGAGAAGCGTTTGGAGTGGCTCGAAGAATGCGGTCGTCAATGCGTCGAGCCGGAATCGGTTGGCGTAGTGGGGTTGTCGGAGCAGTCGTGTGACTGTTTCTTTGGGCTTGCGCAGGAGACTTGTTGGTATCTGCTGCTCAGTTTGGCCTGGGGTGCCCGCGGCGGTGCCAGATGCTTGAGAAGGATTGTTGGTCTCGTCTGCCGCCGTGTCCAGGTCAAGAGAGGAGAGGCCGAGGTGGGCTGTTCGTGCTTTTGCGGCCGCGCGGCGGCGTGGTGGGGTAATGTATTGTGTGGGCCACGGCAGGATGGAGCTGTAGGCTGATCGTGTCACGCCGGTGTAGTTTTCCGTTGAAACGTAGAGAGAGAGATCGACGAGCGGTTGACCGTTCGATTCGATAAAAGATGTGAATCTTTTTTGAGGAAAAGGTTAGTTCTGCCGAAGGGAGAAACGGAGTACGGATGTGGAGGCAAAGACTTACGCTGTGCAGTCCGCCTTTTGTTGCGCATCGAGCTTTCTGTCAAGATACCATTCGCCATTGCATTGTCGGAGGTAGTCGATTATGTTGCGAAAACCGCTGATGCATGTTGGTCCGTCTTTGAGGACGGGAAGTTCTCCTATGGGTAAGTCATTGTTAGTTACCATTTTGTGAGAAGATGGAACCATCTTACTCGTAGGACTTAATGATGGATCACTGCTGGCTACGAGAACCCAATGATCCTTTGGCACAGCTTGTGTAAGGTATGCAATGGCCGCGAGGCATTGCGCATCAATTGATGGCAAGGAAAATGCCGGGCCCCAGATGTGAAGCTCTAAAGTCATTTGGACTGTAGCTGGAGAATGTAGTTCTTTTTAGACAATTGCCATGGCAATCGAATTCAATTGAGAATTTGATAAAGGGAATTCAATGACGACAGGGTTATGTTTGGAGACAGAATGCGATGAAGAAGAAGACTCCTTGGTGTTGACCGAGCCAGAAAGTTTGGCGCTCAAGCTTCGCAGTGCAACAAACGCCGACTCTCCGATCCTCCGACTCCAAACTACGTAAGGCAGCTCTCGAAGCAGATCAACATAGATACAATTACTTCTCTGAACAGCGAACATATCTACAAACTCTGTTGCCAGAGTAAATTAGTATGTTGGATTAAGCACTACTGAAATGGCACCTATCCGGCGGTATCTCCGCATCTCGCAGTACAGTGTCCTCGAATGTCGCATTTATCTCGATAATCCAGCGCTGGCGCATACATGGCTGCTCAACCCACGCGAACCCATGCTACCAAAGGTGATTGAAAGTATACGGCCGTATGTCTTGCCGAAATTAGACGAGGAAAAAGAAATGGCCAAGGGCAGCAAGAAGAAGAGAAAGGGAATCAAAGATGTAGTCGTTCAAGGTATAAGCTTCTCCACTCGTCAATACAAGGAGTATATTGCTAATGAGAGCCTTCCATAGATGAATTCGAAGTTTCCATGTTCCTAAAAGAGACACCGACGCGCCATTCTCTCTTGACAAAGCATAAGACCTTCAAAGAAAATAAGGGCAAGCTTCGAAGCAACTCGAACAAGCTTACCGGGACAACCGATGCACCTATTGAAGTGGCAGACGAGGAGGCTCCAACCTTGAGGCTCGAAGAAGACGATGATGAAGTTGCGATACAGGACATTCCAGATATCGCCGAAGGAAGGGAAGACGGCTCCAGGGGGAGCGGACAGCAAACAGCGTCGGGCACACGCTCTTTGAGAAAGAGACGCCGAGAAGGGACAGACGAAGATCAAGGACTGTTCGTGTCCGACTCTGATGCATCAGAGGGCGATGACGAAGATGCTGAAAGACATACAAGCTCCTCTGCAAAGCGCCAAAAGTCATCAGGTCAGAGCGCATTTGCTGGCGGCCGTGGCGGTGACGACAAGAAGAAGCTCGGGTTTGAGACATCCTACGATGGATTCGCCCTGTACGGGTATATACTGTGTTTGGTCGTGCATCGACGAGGCGACAAGGCTGCCACGGGCAAGGCTACTGTTACAGAGCTGCCTAATTCCGGAAAAGCCTTGATGGAAGGATGGGTGGCTTCCACTCAAGTCGGTCACAATGACGAAGGCGTTTGAATCATTCCACCCTTTGTCCGCCCTCCACACAGTGGGTAGTACTGCTGTCGCATGGCAGGTTACAATCGCAGCAGTCTACTAATTTATGCTCTAACGACACAGTTGAGGCTGATACCTATCCTGTCGGGAGAATATTCCGATACTCCGCAGTCCTACTGCTTCTACCAGTTTGTGCACTTCCACGCCGTTTCCCGCTGCCATTCACATGATCGATGATCGCGAGAAGGCAAATAGCCTACAGGATGCTGGATAGAATCGCACCTCGTCAAGCTCATGCAAATGAGCAAACACGTGCCTTATCACAATTGTATGGCACTCTGTACTCTGTCCGTTTTATCAAACTTATCCCGGACATCCGCTCGACTATGTCGCGTCATCTGAGCCGCTTGCCCCTCGCCGGGGATCGTGTTCCGGGGTTTCCGTTTAGAAATCCAGCAAGCGATGCGCAGGTAGCCGCCAAGGCGGTGAACAATAGTTACTGTGTACCTTACCTACCTACCTACCTGCCTTAGGTAATTACAGTACTACGCAGTATGACCTACACTTGACAGCAAGGCAATCATACTAAACTAGATCTCATACAATTGCTGTCGTGTAATACTTTTTTGTGCAACTGCGTGGCTGGAAAGCAAGGACATGAGCGAAACATGAGCTTGACGCGTGGAGCGTGAAGCAAGCATGGCGTGTTGGAGCCTTGGAGCCTCATGAGCACCGGCCCTGATCCCTGATAGACCCCCTGACGGAGCCTTGTCGGAGCATTCAATGTCATGTAGCTACAGGACGCAGTTGGGTTAGAAATGCTTCTTTGTACTACTACGCCATACTGTTATCTGTCCCAGTCTCACTCCCTTATGGAATACAATCTCGTCAACAGGCACAGGTGCGTACTACGTACATACCTTAAGTAAGATACCTACCTGAGGCATTTGAGACACATTACTGTCTATCGATCCACCTGCATAAACAACGCATAAGACCAGGTCACCAGCATATTCTCCTGCATTTACATTACTATTGGAGTATGCACTGTGCTATGTGCTATATGTGACTGCATGATATTAATTTGTCTGCCTGTTCGATTGTGTGGTCACTGTTCTGTAGGTCTGCCTGTCTGCCTGTTCGATTGTGTGGTCACTGGTCTGTATGTCTGCCTGTCTGCCTGTCCGTTTATCTGGTCACCGTTCTGTATCCGCTCCCGCTCTCGCCGCTCCTTCCGCCGTATCCGCGAGTCCACCTTTTTTCGTCCCTTGCTGATCTGTCGTTGTACTATTAGTTATAGGTCAGCTATTATCATATTATACTTCAGAATTGTCATATTGTCATATCATAGATGAGCCAGTGTCATATTATAGTTCAGAGTTGTCATATTACAGGCTGGTCAACAGTGTACTATTATCCCACTACGATAAGCGTGCTGTGCCGCTGTAGTGCTGTGCCGCTATGTTGTTGATATGCGTCCCTTGCATTAGTCTGTTTGTTGCGCAGTTGCAGTTGCAGTTGTCATGAAGCAATACTGTACCTTGATTTGCTACGTCGTGGGCACCTAAGGTCAGATGTAGTTTCAGGATACTGTACAGAGTACGATGCGAGCGTGAGGCTGGCTGAATTCCATGTACGTCTCGCGCGTAGAGTGCTCCACCTGTAGCAGGTAGTAAGCAGGTAAGGTACTTTGCAGAGAGAAACAAAAAATGCAAATAAAATTGAAAAATAAAAAATAAAATTAGTAAAAATAATAAATTAAAAGACCTACCTACAGAGTACAGAGTACGAAGTGCACGTAAAACACCGGCAGAAAAGGCCGGCTGAGCAGTCGTACTCCGGTAGTACAGTTCACTTCTAGCATAGTACAGTACTTTGTACAGTACCTGGCATTGTGGCGCAGCGAGAACTGGCGAACTGGCGAACATGGGGTCTATGGGTCTACGGGTCTACGGGTCTATGGATCTATGAGTCAATGTTCTACGTACTGTAGTATGGCCCTGGTCAAGCTGAGAGCGTGGGGCGCGTCATAAGTAAATTAGACATGGCGGTGCTAGCCCGGTGTTTGGCGCGCTGGCGGACCTGGACCTGGACCTGGACCTGGACCTGGCATAGGGGGTTTCTGGGTATATACAGAGTAATTTACGCTGTACAGAGGGACACTTTCGATAGAAAAGGAACAATCTAATTCAAACGAAGTGCAAGCCGAGCTGAACTACAGTATTTTTAAGCGGTTTCGGGCGTGTGTCAACATGTCAGCTGCTCTTCCTTCTCTTTACCCTTCCCCTACCCCCAAATACTCCCCACCCATCCACCCACCCCAAACCCCCAAGTCGTCGCCCCCACAGTCTCCAGTCCGGTCCAGTTCCTGACCACGTGGGAAGAAACAATTACAGCAATTAACGTCGTACCTGAACTACCCAAAGTATAATACATACTATAAGGTAGTTACCCAGAACTCATCCAAACCAACTAGTTTTCCGTCGCTTAAACACAGTGATCAAGAAGAAACTACCTAGGGACACGCTAGGGTGTGATTGAGGGGACCTACTGTACAATGTAAGATGAGCGCACTGCGGTGTATTGATTGCCGGTGGTGGAAGTAATGTCCTGGCACATGACCTCTCGCATAGCTGTCTGTATAGCAGAGATTATATTACCACGAACTACGACGGGTGGTGTCAAAGCACAAATACCGGAGTATTACAAGTCTTGTTGATCAAATGTTGATCAATCCACCTTGGGTAATCTCCACATATCGTAGCAAACAAGGAAGACTACCATCGCGGGGTACCTAAGTTCGTAAAACTGTTACTTTGTACAGGTTTACTCTAACCTGCTAGTCTCTCAACCATGACCCCACGGTTTCCCCATTCCCAGACCTGTTTGGAATACTCTATGCCAAGATACACTGCAAGGCCTGCGTAACTTACCAAGCTATGAGTATTTCCCCCTCTTCTCAACGGCCACGGCTGCGATGTGCGAGCCAATAATCGTGAGCACTTCGCGACTTATCACGATAACAAGAACGACAAGCGGGCAAAAAACTTGGCCATGGGGGGATCAGCACTTGGTATCTGTAGCATCGTATTAGTGTCATCCTTTGCCTCGTACGGTATCAGATAAGTATCATCTTGATAATATAGTATACAGAGCCAAGGTTCGTCATGAGCAGTAATCTGCAGTAGAGTCAAGCTATACTCGTACTTGTCTGTAGTAAACAAAAATAGAATACACTTCTAGGTACCTGTTTGATGATGACAAGACGATGATGATCGTACATCGGCTGGACCTCTGCATCCTATGATCAACCTTGACGCCTTGGCGCCCTGGCGCATGCCACATCGGCGATTTAACATCTTCAGGGCAAAGGAGTCCCAGTCGAGAGTATAGCACCGTAGCGCTATCGACACGATTCAGCCCGCGTCGGATCGGTTAAATCAGTGGTGATCCTGGGAACGAGCACGGCTGTCCCTGAATTAATCCTTGGCCTCCCGTTTTACTTCAGACAGACCCTGGGTCAGCTGACAGTTGACAGACCCGCCGGGGAAGAAAACGATCCACTTCCGAATCCTCCGAAGAGTCAACGCGAGCTGAGCGCACACGCGATGGAGACCAGTTAGTCTCAACTGTAGTCTTGTTTGACTTTCTACGGATTACGGAATTTTCTTCGCATTGCCGCTTTCAGGAAAAATGTTCCGTCCGGGCTTGCTTCTACAGCGTACTTTGTCGTTCTGCAAACATGAGGGCTTACGCGGAATGGTACCATCTTATCATGCATCATGTCCCGTCCCGGTCGATCGGCCAAGGGAACCTGGCCTACCTGGCTTGCTTGGTAGCTGTAGAACGAATCGTCGCTGAGCGGGGCTCCACGATCACGCATCTCTGGCTGAGTAGTGTAGACATACGATTGGGACGAGACAACGTTGCCCGTTGTTCTTTCTGTCTGATAGGACAGGAACAAGCAAAAGTTGTGCGTAGGCAGCATCATCATCGCCTTACGTATGCGCCAAACGTACTCTGTCCCTGTCAGGCTGTCTGGTGATGACTGGCAAATTAGAGTAGCTCGGGGAGCCGGGGGGGGGCACCCTTGGCAGGGCAGCGCGTAGACGTCGTCATGATCATCAGTCGGAGACGTGTTTCCAAGTTGCGAAACACAGGAGATCAGTAAGATCTGACAGAAACAAGTCTGTACGGAGTAAGTGCGAACTGACGAAAGCAACAAGGAGAACTCCGAGACTGCAACATTTTCTTGTTTCAGAATTGCAGATCATCTCAGTGGACTGCTAAAAGGAGAAAAAGACTTTTTTGATAACGAAAATTTTTCTTCATTTTTCACTCCTTTTCGTTAAGGTCGCTGCCATCCCTAGACTCGGTCTCCTACCAATAGTACTGGAACTATTTTGCTAAAAGTTATTGTCAGAAAATTAAGAGCGAAATAACAGGACAGCGGCCGTTTCAAGAGCAGAACGGGGAGAAGAAAGGAGACATGCTCCGTAACGGGGGACCCACCCCCAGAGACGAACCCCGAGGCCCGATGCAATGGAAAGTTTTGTCGGGAAGAACTAGACTACTCTGACGCTACAGTATCACTAAACTGGGCGCGTGTGACTGTGCCAAATAAGGATGATATCGGCCGATGAATGAGAGGAGAGAGAGTGAGGCTTGGCCCGTGAGATCCACCCAGTTCTCGGGCGAGAGAATACGTGGGAGGAAGAAAAAACGAGGATCAAGGTGCTCCACCTAGGATGTACAACCAATTGCATGTGACCGATTAAAACGAGGACAGTTACAGTCATGGCACCAAGTAAGCCCACGTTTAATGGTGACGACACGGAAGAAGATGGTCGTCATGAGGGATTATCATTTCCGTGGCCAGTCCCAATGCAGAACTGGAGGGGAGGAATGCATATCATTAGACATGTGCGTAAGGAGAGCGGGATATATCGACCATCGCGATCGATGATAAGCACCAAGTTTAGATATGTGTGTGTACTCTGCACAGAAAGTGTAAATCCGCATCTAGAAGGCACGATCGGTACAGGCTCATTGATTTCAGGGAATTCCAGCCCTGCCACGAGGAAAAAAGAAATTTGTTGAAAAGGGGACAAGAGTGGGGAAGAGGAGCGACCGTGCTCAGTTCGGGTGGCAGTGGTATGGCAGCGTAGAAGGAGACAGATGGGCTGAACTTGTAGCGGTCAGTTAAGGTAGGTTTTAGTCCTTGCTGAATTACTATAGGTAAGGTAAAGTAGGTAAGGTATTGGCAACGTGGGTAGCACGAAATCTTCTCATGCTACGGTATACACACAGAGTTCTGTCTGTCAACCACATGTCCGCTTCGTGTACCTGATCAACACTAAACTATAACTAAAACTGTCCGATTATTTCGCTCGCCCCCCCTCCTTTACCCTGTCGAGTTAAAGGTGCAATGGAAGATTGACCGCTATGACGCTGTGAGCCGTCCCCTTGGCCTCCCTGATCGTCTGGTACCGAACAGGAACGCCCGTTGGAGCATTCCCCAATTTCCCGCTCTTTTTGTCCCTTTTGTAAACTCTCTCACCCTTTTACTCGTACGCTTCTGCCTCGTAAAATTTTGGGGCCCATCCATGCTAAACGTCCCCTGGCGTAACGCTATCATTTCCCGCGTCGCGCGAGCTGCAGGCCCAGCCTTGCAGAGAAGAAACTGCCCACTACAGCTCACCACAGCTCACTGTATACGCTGTACTCTGTACGGTGTCTTACTCAACCCCCTTCCCCTTTCCCTCCCCCATTCCCAGCTCCTTGGTTCTCCTTTCGTCCCGCCCACCGCCTTTGCCGCGCATGACTGAATTGGATGAGTGATTACCTTAGTTACTACCTACGTATCTAGCCCTGCCAAGGATTGTCTACTCCCTCAGCCAAGCAGAAGACGGAAAACACACACAAGCAGCTGGACAGGGGTCTATCGGAACCTAGGACAGCTGAAGCCCAAAAAATTAACAACTGGTAAGAATCAAGATTAATGACGAATGGTTTGGTTTCTCCCATGCGGCCGCTCCGGTCTATCCGCCATGCCTCAATCTCTCCCCCTTCCCACCCCAATGTCCCACCGCCCAAACTACTATGCCCTACTGGATTTTAGCACCTCTCGGACCTCCCGTATGACACAGCCTGGCTCGTTACCATCCTGATCCGTCTGTTACGGGGGATCGGCCACGTTTTGGGTTTGCTCTCCATGTTTTTCTGCGTGGTAGCCTACCGTACTGTAATTTCAGAGCTCTCCCTTTTTCTTTTCTTGCAAAGCATAAATATGTCTCATCCACCCCGCATTGTATCAGGTTTTTTTTTTTTCTTTCTCCATCAAACTACAAATTCTACTACCTGACTACGCATTTGACGACTTCTACGCTCTAACTACACACTCGATTGATACGAAGCTTTTTCTTCTCACTTCTCTTCTGTCTCCAACAACAAATTCACCTCACGTGGATCAATCAATTAATCAATCAATCATGCCTGCCTCGACTCACGCCGCTTTCCCTCCTTGCCCCGGCCCTCCACCAAACCGGCCTCTTCCTCCTGTCCCCAAATAAACAAAAAAAGTCAAAACATCAATGCGCTAGGCGCAGATGATGTGCCATTCTGCAATGGCACAGATATTTGGGGACTTTGCAAAACACACCGACGTCATTCAACTTGGACGAATAGACAATGCTCCTGTCAAAACGGAAATCGTTCCGAGTTCCCTCCGTGCGCAGACTGCGGCAACGGCTCAATACGAACCCTGAGGACGGGGACGAAGCGGGACGGGTACAGTGATCAGTGACTGCTACACTGTCAATAATGAGCTGTTTCCATGTCCGCCTGGTTCTGCGTCCAATCACGTCCATTATTCTACGGCAACGAGGGACTTTTTAAACCTTGACATCATCATCGTCATCATCATCATCTACAATAAATGGCCATGTTTGAGGTGGTGGAATGGATCAAGCACGCTATGGTTCTGCGTGTTTGCGATCCTGCAGGCCAGACACATACCTCGGCAAATCAAAAGTCGTTCAATCGGGGTTTTCTCCCAGCAAGCTACTGCTACCTTTAGCTCTGCACAGTCTCGCCTTTGGTCACCTTATTTCTCTCAGCTTTTTCAGCTACGCGCGCGCGCGCGTGCCCAACAATATTTTCCAACGGCCCTACGTATCGTTTTAGGCATGCGCGCATAAAGTTTTTCCCTTGATCGTTCGATATGCAACGGCTGCCTAAAATCCGCGGTATGACATGCAGCTACCTGCCTACCTATGCAATACTCCGTACACCGCTTTGGGAATTGGCGATACGAGAGCAACAGGTTATGCGACGCGAACGAAAGCGGCATGACCCCGCCAAGCGACCTGCAATCTTACTACTGCGAGCCAAGTCAAACATCACATTGCCATTTCATTTATCCATGTGGAGAATTTTTTGCGCCCTTTAGCAAACTCGCCAAATGAAGCTCGTCCTGCGCCAATTAGTCTTACGCTGGTTTTGTCACTCAACCAATCCATCTCTTTTCTCTTGTGTCTTGTGTCTTTGAAATTACAATACTTTAATTTGGCGAATGGGAGCGAGGAGTCGGACCTATACCCACCAATCATGATCTGGATATCACTTGCATTTTGCATCTTTCCTTTGCATGATTAATATACTGTTATTATCAGTATTTGATAGCTATCTATTTATCTTAATCCACATTACATTCCACCATTGCATTCCACCATTACATTTACTCGTACATTCTCAAGGTCTGTTCTATTTTGTGACTTGATTGGATCCATGTTCACTCATCCTGGTCCGGCACCGGCATGGCATGCCCCTCGTCACTCGGCATCTCCATTGCCATTGACACTGAGTGATACGGACGATACGGACCGTCTTCCTATCCACTTTGCTTGACCTTCCTCTTCCTTCCCTCTTTTTGTCTTTCTCTTTCTCTCGCTTTTTTCTCTTACGTCTTTTTCCGCCCGTTCTTCTAGTCCGCCGATCCTCTACGGAGTAACTTGACAACCAACCCACCAGACTACTCGGCACTTGTCAATCTAACCAGTCCACTCCACTAAATCTTGGAACCGCCAACTGCCAACAGTGAACGGTGAACGGCCAATGTTGAATACGGTAGTTGTCCCGCCATTACAGAGTAGAGTACCGTCAGAGTACCGTCCTCGGCCCACTCGGCTTTGCAACTCGCCCTGCTCGCCTGTTTTTGCACTTCGCACGTCTACCGGAGTCGGAGTAGTCTGAGTACCCGAACCACAGTAGTGCGTTTCAGCCTTACCCTTGTTTTTCTTTCGTCTGGTTCTTTCGAGTTCCAAGGTTCGTTGTTCGTTGTTCGCTGTGCGCTGTTCGCTGGTTCGACGGTCGGTACTTGACACCCCTTGACCGTCGACACAGCCACCCTGCCAGGCTGCAGGCTGCAGGCTGCCACAACGCCCGAGGCCCTGACGATTTGGTTCCTCTGTTCCGGTCCCACTTTGTTCCACTTTATTCCATTTCATTTCTTAGTCGTCTTTATTCCTCTTAGTTGTCTCTACTAGTATTACAAATGTAGCTGTCAGGACTGTCCGTTTTAGCTGTCTACAGGTACAGAGTACAGAGTATGACAGCACATTTCCTCCGAGCCGTCGTACTGTCCCACCGTGCTAAGGAGAAAGAGAGTACTCCGTAAGATAGTGTCCGTATAGCACCTCGCACGTTATGACGCACTTTTTACCTTTTTTTTCCTTCTTTGGTTCCTTTGAAACCTTCCCTGTTCTTTTCCCGGTTCCTTTCCCGGAATGGTTTTTTCTGTGTGCGTGTTTGTCATTTTCACTCCTTTCGTCATTGACATTACCTTTTCCGGCGGCTTGGGCCGAGCGGCCTGTTGGCTTGGTGGTTTAGCTGCTACTACGTACTGCGTAGTTTTTTCAGCTTTTGGTCTTTTCAGCTGCTCGCTGTAGAACAGAGTAGCGTACGAGTTACAAAATACTGGAGTACAGAATATTCGGCATTCCGAGGGCACAGTACGGTGTACAGATACGCGAGATGCTATGCTTGGTGATTTACGTGCGTACCTTACGGACTACTCTGTAATTACCGGTGTTTTTCCGACTGACTGCCGAATGCCACTCCTCGTTCCTCAATGGCAGCACCGAGACGATTAATCGGATTAGTCGGACGAGTATCGAGTACTCTGTACCAGTGGTAAACTGGTCGATTTGTCATTACTTTAGTCACGGTCAACAGTCAACAGTCAAGGGTAAACAGTCAGACAAATAGGTAGGTTAGGTTTAGTCAACTACTGCTGTACGAAGATACGGTAGAGCGCAGCAACGCAGCCTGGCAGACAAATATTCAAATATTGATATGATGTCATTGGCAATATTTCTTACTATCTACCGAGCCTAGTAACTTACTACGGTACGCTTTAACAGACCAGGGTCCGAGGTTCCTCGCGAATAATAGACAGCCAAGCCACAATGGCAGGCGGCAATACGGAGATACAGTACAAATTTATCCGCGGAATCTTTGATTATTTATCGTAGTGTACTCCGTACCTCAGTAGTTATCCCGACCCCTCTGAGCCTGTAGACTCGTGCGTGGTTAGATTAGGTAAGTTACGGTACCTGAGAATAATGATACAATACAGAGGTACAAAAGTACCCAAAGCGGATGGAAAAATGGACGAAAAAGTGGATGAATGGCGTATGCTGTGCCGGTCCCAACTACGGAGTACTGCTACAGCGGGCCGATGCTGCGACAACCGGAGTACCGGGCCCGGGTCGAATTGGATTGAGGCGCAGCACAGATCGGACGAGGGGACAAAGTAGCCACGGGTGCGCCGGCAGGCCCGGGTGGAAACCTTCCGAAAGAGGTTCGAACGGCTTGGCGATAACGCGACAGGACAGGGATGCTGGTGAGCTTACTCTATACTCCGGTACGAACAGGGGGAAAAAAACAAGAAACGGTAACAAGTACATCGTACGGAGTACAAGGTGGGAGAACTTGCTCTCGGATAGCGGGATATAAATCTCCGGACCTGAAACAAGATTCAATACGTGCAAGGGATAGAGAGAGGGGAGACGTGTCTAAGAATCATGAAAATCATGAGAATCATGTGAGCTTGGAGGTATTTTTGATGATTTGATAATTTGAGATGGTGGAAAGCTGAAATGGTGAAATTGCATGATACCTTGTATTTTAAACGATACGAGTGAATGACAAATGTAAGATACAGTGTGGGTACAAAGAATACAAAGTAAGTGAGCATTGGCAGATACAACATGAATATTGGATAAGAATGCAAAGTAAGCATGAAACTATTAGTGCTGCCGCTGAGAGCATAAGATGTGGTAACAGAGGGACAGAAACGGATACCGGGGCCACGCTATTGCTACGCTCAGGGCAACAGTTCGATTGTAAATAATGACAAGGATCAGGTGTTGCAAGAGCAATCGTAGTCTAGAGATACGGATGCTGATAAGAATATAAGGCTGAGGGACGAATGGAAAGAAGAAGAAGAAAATGACAAAAACCAGAGACGGTTACGCCGTGTATGCAAGTCATGCGGTTCGTCGTAATACAATGGCTATCCCCACTTCCCGAGCAATGCCATGATACCTTGATCAATCAGTTAGCATTCATTCAATGTCCGCGCGCATGCTACTGTACGGAGTACACTCACCTGCTCCTAGTGCCATGAGACCGACGGCGCACAGGACAACTTCCATTCGAGCCTTCCTCATAGACTCGCTAAACATGAATTCATGCGCCATGAGCTCGACAAGCGCTGTGTAAATGAGAATCCCAGCACTGATGGAGTCAAACACGCCATTAATAATCAGCATACTGGCCGAACCAGGAGGATACGATTCCCGAATCGCCAGACCAACGCCAATCGCAATGGGCGTTGTCACTCCGAAGCCCAGCGCTAAAAGGTACGGTGTCCAACGCTTCGATCTGGGCCACGGCACGGATGCGAGTCGCGAACCTAATCCGAGTCCTTCAAACGTCTGATGAAAGACCAAGACAAGGTACAGAGTGTTGAAATTACTTCCCGTGACTGCCAGTGTCAATCCTACGAATATGGAGTGGAAAACAACGCCAAACTCGAGAATGAAAATGGCAGTCATTTGAGCTGCAAAAGATACAGCAGGGCAGTTGTCGTCCATGTCATCGACATCACTCCCGTCGGCGCTGCCTTCAGGATCGATATGCTCTCTGCTGTGTCCGAGATGGTCCTCTCCTGGGGCGTGACTGCTTCCTGTTTCGCCTGTTCTTAATCGTGCATACTGTTCTTGGTGCTTTTGGCGCTCAATTTCGGTTTCGTCGTCGGCAAATGTGGCATATCGCATGGCCAGTAATTCCACCACAAACAAAGCAAAAATTGTCATGAGGCATATCCCTTCTACCCACTCGTATTCGGTGATGGGCCCGGTCAAGCAAGGGTTCGTCAGTGCATGACGAGCTGGTGCTAGAAGCTAGGTGCTGTCAGTCCACTGTTCATGAAAATCTTCGAGGTGCTTGGACGATTAAGACAAGGGGTTTTTAATATCATGGATTGTTGAACAAGAAGAGGACCTGTCTTATGATATCAAATGAAACACTCAACGGCCACTTACATGAACAAATGCTGTTGCCAGAATTACGCCCGAACCAAAGTACTTTGCGAAAAAGAATGACCATTCTGGAAGTCCGACACTTCGGTGACGGCTCGCAAAGACTGGAAATGCCGCACCTGATACAACGATTAGCAATGATTGACATGATGTTTCTACAAAATTCTCACCAAATAATGATCCGATGAGAATGACAAATATGGAAGATATCCTTATTCCCATTCTTCCGTCATAGTCATTTCCCGTTCGGCATGGCGGATGATAACCGCCGTTGACGTTGATCAGTCCCAAAGCATTTGTACTCGACTCAAATGTCGCGGCATGGAGCAGTTGCTGAGTATAGTCCGCCATGATGAAGCAGCATCGGCAGCGAAAGACTGGTAGTAAATCCCGAGAATCTCACTCCTATGCTGTAACCACACTTTCTCCACTTCAGGACTGGGGAAAGCAGCGCGAAAACACAGAGAGAAAAGTCATCAAGCCGAAAAAACAATTAGAACGAAGGAACAATGATCTCTCGATGGTCGAGTTGAGATCATGGCAGAACAAAGCGAGAGTTCCGTGAAATGCAATTTTTATATCGCGAGTGAATCACGGATATCGGTGCGCTGCTTGCGGGGGTTCTCCGATATGAGGACCTTGGTGGTTAGGGACTTATCATGTGTGGCATTGGTGTCACCGACATTCAGTCAACTCGGAATTGCTCCCTGTTGCTATTGCTAATGGCAATGAACATTCATGGCCTATGATCCTCCTGCTGCCCTTCAGCTGCCATATATCTGAGCGGTTAATGCCTTGAGTAAAGCATGCTAGACAGGCACCAGGGTCTTCGGCCCGCTCGAGATATACTTCCCGCTCTGCTTTGTCCCCACAGATCGCTGATACCATTTTCGGTCTCCCCACTTCAGCCTCAGCCTGCACTTGGAAAATCATAACCTGTTCGCTCGAATCTAACCAGTAGATGTCCTCAGATGCAGTCCGATCCCATATGAGGAGGGATTGTGGTTGCTTACGCAGCTTTTTGTTTTGGTCGAGACCGGCACTCCATCTAATTGTGCTCGCTAATTTACTGACCACATGGATTCTGGTTCCAGGGTTCCCTGATGGCAACAACGCTGCGGAATGCATCACTTATGTACCAAGTATACCGATTCCAAAGAGCATATTTGAGAGTTATGAAAGCGAAAATAACATGTAAATAAATTTTCTATGGATTTTATATTCTGGATACTTTTTTGACGAGCTGAACCGAATTTGTATATAATAATATAGTGATGAAAAAAACAAAATAAAATAAAATTACACAGAATACAGCACGGGCGAATGGACAAAATATCTGGGTTTCAACTCCAAAATTTGCAAGTTGGGACGACGACGAAAATAAATCACCCGCAAATATGTAGTCGCACCTTGGTGTTCTGTGTTGCGGTGGCGTTGTATGGAGGCATGGACATGGATTGGCATGACTTAGCGGCTCGCCACTTGGTGCTAAAAAGGACCCTTAACTCTGGGGTTGCCGGAGATAGTCGATATCAATCGACTGTCGATCGAACGTGCCTCCTGAGCGATCCAATGATTTGAGAATTGATTATATATGAAGCGATGACAATGACCTTGTGTTAATCCCTACTTTGCTCGACATCATTGCAAGTAATATACTGTCATTGTGATCCGAGGGATAGTTTCCTTGATATGAGCTTTAAGCGGGGAAGGTGCGGTCATGCGTGTTACCAAATTGCCTAAACAGCTCTTAGCTTCTTCGCTCCTCGATCGTTCCTACCTTATTCCCCCCTACAACCATCCTTACACTAAACCTTCATTGTATACGTCACCCGACCTGACCTGACGACAACAAAATCACCCATGTGGTTGCCTAAATTGGGAAATATGATGACGATGGAGCCCATGGAAATGGTTAGACTGGAACGCAGGAAATTGTCCATTTGAACCCCGCTCCATTGACAATACCATCATTCTTCACATTTGCAACACCATTTCAGACCTTTTCTCCGACAAGCCTCGAAGCACTTGTCAATCCACTGTTCACTATCCATTCTGCATCTTCTTCAAGATGACTGAAATCCTACAGGTCCTGCCAACGAGCAGCCTGCTTGTGCCAACATACTCGCCCTCTCCCAGCGTTGGGCCGCTTCCAACCGTTGTTCCAAGCCCGGTTCAGCGCCAAGAGCCTCACGACCTTGGGCGAGTCACCCTCTGGTAAGAAATCTCTTTGAAAGAGCTCTTTGTGATGTGCCTCCATGGTCTCTGATGTCTTCCAGGGTGGTCTTTGCACTCATGCTCATTTCCACGGTCGTCTTTGCAGCCCTAGCATACCGTGTACCCGTAGTAAGTTATTGCTTCTCTTCAATATCAAAAGGCTCCTATAATGACCCTCATCACAGCAAAAACGTCTCTTCCATGTTCTTACTACTTTTATTGTCGCGATTGCAACTATTTCCTACTTCTCAATGGCAAATGGAGATGCCAAAAGCTGGCACTTCATCCTCCACAAGCAAGACCACAAACATGGCATCCCGCCTACCTGGGTGGATGTCTATCGTTTGGTTTTCTGGGGTCGGTACGTTGACTGGGCTCTGACCACGCCATTGCTTCTTTTGGATCTCGGCTTCTTGGCTGGGCTGAATGGTGCAAACATTATCGTGGCCGTCGTCGCCGATATAGTCATGGTTTTGACCGGACTATTTGCGGCTTTTGGACATGGCCAGCACAAGTGGGGATACTTCACTTTTGCAATCATTGCATACTTGGTTGTCATCTACCAATTGGCCTACAATGGACGGAAGAAGGCCATAGCCAAGGATACTCGAGTCGGAAATTTCTATACGGCCATTGCCGGCTTCTCTCTGATTCTCTGGACCATTTACCCTATGTGAGTCTCCGAGTTCTTTCTCATTCTTTTTGGCGTCTTCTAATACCTCTTCAAGTATCTGGGGCTTGGGTGAGGGCTCGCACAGATTATCTGTCGACCACGAAATCTTGGCGTACGCAATCCTGGACTTCCTGGCCAAGCCGGTGTTCGGCATTTGGCTCCTGTTGGGCCACGCGCGGATCGCTTCCACGTATGTATATCTCGTTCTGATATGTTGAAAACCCCTTTGATTGACGAGGAATAGGAACATTGCCCTCGACGGCTTCTGGACCAATGGACTTGGAGCCTCTGAGGGTTTGCTTCGCCTCGGAGATGACGACGAGGGCGCTTGAGGAGCTGATGTGATCCCAAGAGCCTCAGGTGTGGTTGAGTAGGGCTGAGGCGGTTCAAGGGATTACGCATGTTTGCGTCGGAGATAATGCTAGTCTGGAGTGACTGTTTAGCACACCGGAAGCCTTTTGTTGCGGCTCAAGAGAGAAGGCTATCAAAATGTCGAAAATTGCATTGCTTATCCAAAAGGGGACCCATGTCTTTTAATATCGCATAATAGCCATTTTTGCTGGAAAAGCGCTTTCATTCGTTTCTATTTTGCACTGCCATAGTCGCTATCGCATAGTCAGCTGAAAAATTAGTTATATGAAGCCTTGTTGACGTCTTCTGGTGTTCTTTTGTACGACAATGAACATTCAGCCCTGATACGAGTGATGACGAGAGGATCTAGAAATTGGAGAAGGCTGATCGTGCTGGACCCGTAAGCCGGAATCAATATTGCTGTCATCAACGGTCAGCACTATGACAGAAAAACGTCTCAGCAAGAGATTTGTCACAGAACAGATGTTCTAAAGCTTTTGTCCAGCAGCCAGGCAATTTTGCGTCATGAATCTGAGGCCTCGGCTGTCTAATGACGGTCAATGCGAATTCAGAGAAGTCACTTGCTCTCGTACGTGACCACCTCGAAGCTGGAAAATGTCAGTGCGGAGGTGGGTGCAATTGTGAGGTAGTCTAGCGAATTCACACCAATCTCCTCGCTCAACTCCACCCCGCCTTTTAGGCCATTTGAGCTGATGACCGTATCCCGACACCGCCTATCGTTTCCCTGGAAGTTTCCTGGGGAAAATAATCCGTCTCGAATATACTACGGACATGTTCAGATTTCCATGAATGAGGACTCAGCATGATCAAGTATTTAAATGATCGGTTGATGGAGAAATGGCGAATTCGAGACTACCTCCGGGAGTTCTTTACAGCTTGCATCTCTAGAGCTAAGCTTTTTAGCTTTTTCATGAATTGCGCAGCTCCGCCTTCCGGTGGCTTGGTCTAGAAATATTTAACATGACTAACATTAAGGTCCCTTACCGACTGTCTCACTCAATCCTCCTCACCTCCTCACCTTGGTGCAACAAAGGCGTGCAAGCGGGGCCGAAGTTGGAATTCCGTGTACCAACATTTGTCTCATACTCGGATGACTTTACAGAAGCCGCCAGCTTCCTCTCAGGCCAATAGAGTTGAACATTGCTGGAATATCTTCCTTGATGACAGGGCACGTGCTGGAATCTAATTGCTTTCACCCTGCATTCTGGATCGTCTATGCGCGGTCTCGATTAACGCAAAACAGAAAATTAAAGAAAGCCCCGCTGAAACCCTCCCTTGGCTTCCGTCGAATGAAGTTACGGGATAGGACTCAGCAGAAGAAACTGCCCGTTACTCTGTGTCGGCTTTGGCATGAAGGAACCCGTTAGGTCTGTCCATTACGAAGCACTAAATGGTTGCATCCCTGCTTCTGCTCAGCAGCCTTCTGGCTTTTCTTTTCCCTTCTTTTCTTTTGATTTTCTTCTTATTTTTTTTTTTTTAGATGATGACCTTTAAAGCTGCTTACGTTTTGTAGCAAGTTAGGATGACTTATTGTGGCGAAATGAAGTGCACTACACCTGAGACATAAGCCGTTGGGAGCTTACGGAGATGCGGAATAATGGCGAAGCTTCCTGTCATCAAGATTACATGAATGAAGAGAGCTATTTGTGATGAGAAGAATGTTATAAATGCTGCTGGATCCCACATCTGGCCAATTTCTCTTGCGACCAAAAAAAGGACCTACACATCTCATTATCTGCCTGGTTCGGTACTGAGTTTACATTGAGCTGCAGAACTCGAGGAATTCTTCACAAACATAAAATATCCCAACTACAACCACGCTCTGTCAACTAGCAAACCGAGCTGCAAGTCGCAACGATGAAGGTTATCGGTGCTTTGGTTTCTCTCGTGACGGGGCTTTCCCTCGTTGCAGGGTAGGTTTGCTATACACTATTATTCCTCTTAAGATCAAGAATCAAAGTACAAGATGTTGATATTTTCAGTGCAACCGCCGACACGACTCTCTCATACAACCCCGGAGGTCCAATCCAATTTTGCACCTCAACCCTCACCCGGCTTGGAACCTTCACGCACGGGCCCACCTCTACAACCTATAAGCACACTTCCACGTCTGCCAGCTCCCTGGACTGCAATGGTTGCTCATACCTCTCAGTGACAACGAAAGACCTTGGAGTTGGGCCGGTACGCTCTTCCCTTATTGAAGATCTCCCCTTTATTTCATGCATACGTGGAATATACATTCTCCTCATGATCTATAAAAGAAAAATATGAACTGCACACTATTACCGGCAGTCCACTGATGATATATTATTTATCTAGCCTGTCAAATACACTACGACTGTGACAAAGCCAGTCACGACCACAACGGAATTTGTCTGCGCCACTTCAACGTCTTAATCCACCGAAGCAAATACATCCCTCTCCGATTGAGGCAACTGCTCAACAAGACACTGGTATACTGCGGGTTGTATCGTGTATGATGTTTTGCAATGGATGTTAAGGAGGTGCGCGTCAGTTGGAGAAGGAGTCGCAGGGTTGCCTTGAGAATTGTTGAAGAACAGAAACTAGCGCTGGATAACTCCGATGTTGTGCCTTAAAACGAAGGTTATTGTTCATTCCTTCTCATTTGTTTCTGATTCGAAAACAACCACGCTCCTTATAAATATAGTTATAGTTCAATATGAATGCTCGTCCAGACGTTGAATTAAGATTATCAAATGTTTTTAGTGACTCCAGGTTGAATGGTTTCAAGCTTCTCAGACAGCTCCTTCCAGAATCGTTTCTGGATCTCGGCACCCTCTTCGCTCGTGACAAGCTTGGATGGACTAGAGACAGTGTTAGTAACCCACTTCGAGAAGGATTAACATGATGCTAAACTTACCAAACAACCTTGCAGGTGTCCAAGAATTCGCCATGCGTCTCCTTACCAGCATTTGGACTAGCTGCGTATACCAAAGTTCGACTACCAGCCTCAGTAGTCCTCGCAAGGAAGAACTTCAGTACTTCTACAGACAAGGCGCCTTCCCGTGTAAGCTCGGATTGGCAAAGACCAGGGTCTGTTAAGTTGAAGACGACGCTTGGCTTTCCACTCTTATCCATGCGCTCCGCTAGTTCCCGACCCGCGAAAACCTCGAGGAGTTTTGAGAGGGGATATCTGTCATTGAGAGGCTCGTTAGCTTCGCTCAAGTATCAACGAGAGAGATTCTAAAAAGTTGTATAGGATAATGGAATTGTACGCTCTAGACAAATGCATGACAGATACCGTACCTATCCGGCATATTTGATGTCTTCTCGTCATTCAGAGCGTCAAACAAGATAGGAGCCGTCCGTTCCTTGAACTGAGCCTGGTAATGGATCCCGGAAGAAACCACAGCTAAACGGGGCACAGTGCCGAATTTGGCCGCAGTCTCTCGTAGCTTTGGGAGCATTAGGAGCGCCAAGAGGAATGTGCTCACGACATTAATGGTAATGGTTCTCTCATTGCCTTCAAGCATTGAGAAATTATACGTGGCGATTCCGGCATTTTCGAGAAGAACATCCAGGCGTTTCAGTCCTTCGGCACGTTTGGCGAATGCCTTGACAGAGGCATAGTTTCCCAGATCCAGCTCCCATACTTCAATTACGCCGTGACGATGGGTGGTCTCCTCAATTGACTTTCGAGCATCTTCTCCACGTTCCACGCTTCGAACGGCTAGAATGACCTTCTCGGCACCAAGTCGGACGATATGCCGAGCGGCCTCTTTTCCAAGGCCCGTATTGGAACCAGTTACGATGACGGTTTGTCCAGAAAAGTCATATTCTGGATAAGGAGGAGTTGAAAAGAGCTGCGTGTAAAAAAAATGGGCAACAGACATGGTTGCGAGGCACGAATCTTCTTTTTTGGGCTTATCAAAAAAAGGTAAAGTGTTTGGTTATATGCTTGGGATGAAATGGAGATACAGGGCAATGGCCGCTAAGGGAAGGAACCTCGTCGCATGGTGGAAGAAGATTGCTAATTTATAGAGGGAAATTCGTCTTTACTATACCCCCTTATCCCCGTCATCGACTGGAGAGGATTCAGGGTTGTGACGTCCATGTTATGACAGACTGCTCCACAACCCCGCCGCTCTGGTTTGCACCATCCCTCGAAGCAAGGAGCCGATGTCTTATGCAGCGGGGTGCAATTATGAAGCAATCAGACCGGCTCGCGCTCGACATGGCTTAAGTGGCTATCGTAATCCACACTGGACACGGAAATCAGAGGCGCCTGATCCATGCATCGCAACCAGACTCCATCGCAGGCAGAAGCTTGACGAAACTTTCCCAGTATGTGTATTGCGCGTGTCATGACTTACTAGGCTAGCAAAGCGGCAACACTAAAAAGTTACATTTTAGCACCATGCCCAGATCCGTCGGGGAGACTTTGATCCACCCTTTGCGTCAATGAGTTACCTTAATAATGCTCTATCTGGTATCGGAGTACATGTGAAGTCGGACGTTGAATTCCACCGACTCCAGTTTAGGAATAGCTCAGCCACGGAGCTAAAGCTTCATTGAACCTGCAAAATCCGGGGCACAATGGATATGTAAATTCCATGGAGTGTTTCTCTGAATATCAATGAAATGAAATTAGTACCTAACTAGAATAGCGACGACAAATGAAACGATCCCATTCAATACTGATGTTTGTAGAATGACATTCATGTGAGAGAAGTCATTGACCACGTGACTCGCGACATATCATCTGTTTCAACCTCCGCTAAGTACAAAAGCTATAAGCCCTGCTTTCAATTATCTAACTTCCTCGAGTCACAGATGAGTCTTGGGGAAAGTCTTTTGAATGATTTCAGGAACTATTCTCTTTGTTATTTCATCTCATATTCATCTCGCTCTTTGAGTGTGTCCTTGCTCCCTTCTTCAAGTTCTCATCTGCTCCTTCCTCATTTCTTGTCGCCTCAATCCTTCTTGATGAGCACCGTTTTGTTGCTTGCTCACTTTACTTGCGAGGGGAGTCGCGCTCAGCTGCCTCACTTGCTTCTTTGACGGGAGATAGCGGTGTCCCTCCCCTGCTCGAGATGCGCCGACTATGAGGCTGGGGTGAAAAGTCCTGATCTGATCCTCTGCGGGCGAGCGTGCTGAATTGAGAGTCACCGCGCCTTGCCGCTTGAAAGATATGTGAAGATGGCGGAAGGGGACGTCGCGGAATTGTGAATTCTGTCTGACTCTGTACAGGAAAATTTCCTGGAGTTTCACTGATGTTGTGACCGCGGTAGGCACTATCTGCTCTGGCACACCTCGCGTTGAACTCTTGACTTTGGCGCATCGGGTCACCACCTGCATTTCCCATCTGAAATGGGTCACTTATGAAGCTATTCTCAGAGCTTTCCGCCGACTGGCTGCCGCTTCTCAAGGGCTCACTGAGAGGAAGATTCAATTGGGATTGAGACCATGCTCGGTTTCTCAGTCCATTTGGATCAGTGAATGAAATAGGGTTCTCGCGAGGAGGAAGACCAAGTCTCAAATCGGTGGGGTCAACCATGGCGTGGGTCATCTCATCCCAGCCAGAAGCAGAGTTCTCGCCTTGAGAACTGAAATGGGGAGTTTGCTGCGGCCTTGCAGATTGTTCGCTTTTAGCAGTCACTTTACTCTCCGATTGAGAGTATTTTGATTTTTCAGAGGATCTGGGCATGTTGGCGACAGTTTCATAGCTGGAGGATGGGGTTTCATTCTGAGAAACATCTGAGTCGTTGCGCCGCAAAAAGGCCTGCGAAAACCGATGCCTGAGCCTGCGCAGAGGAGGAGGAGGAGGAGGAGGAGGAGGAGGAGGAGAAGTCGAATTGCGACTTTCAAGACTTGGATTCAAATCTGGCACTGCGACCAGATTGTTGTCTCCAACTAGGTGCGGAACTGAAACGCTTCTCTGTATGAACAAATCTCCGGGAATCTCTCCAGCGTCGCTGCTCAGGGACGTTCTATTGGAGATATTTTCATATCTTTCTCTTCTGGAAAAGAATCGTGACGCTTTTTTAATCAGTCGCAGCTTTCTATTTTCATTGCTGGCCATCTCAGGGCGGTGAGGAATGCTGTCTTCATTGCTGTCGAGGGATTGGCTGTCGGCCTCTTCTGGGTTGGGGTTGGGGGCTGGTCCGGAGTGAGCGGAAATGGGAGCACCTTCGGGGTCTTGGCCAGGAGACGCTGATGCAAGAGTAGGAAGAGGAAGGTGACCTGGTAAAGCTGAAATCAAAGCCTCGGGATTACCAGTCTCAAAAAGACCCGGTGTCAGATCCGGCCTTGAGGACCCAACCAGGACTGGGTCTCCAATGTTCATTTGAGGCCTGCCACCCTGGTTTCGAATTTGTCAGTGTTACGGCTGGCGAGGGCCGATTGACGATACTTACAGCATCATCCTCGCGGCCGCGTCTCTTAAAGAACTTCTGCAGTTTACTCATTTTGATGAAGTGGATGTATGGAAGGTTCAGTGCTTGGTATTGTGGGAAGGAGGTTCAGATCGATGAGATGAGTTTCAAGTTCGGATGGGACCTATTTCATCCCTCTCATTTTTCAACAATTCATTGTGGGTGTCTCGGCGGTCTAACTGGGTTTGGGCGTCACGCTTCGGCTGAGGAAAACTTCACGATGTTGGACCGTGGTGTTGCGGCTCTGCTCCTATGCGTGCTTCGTGTGATTGCTAACCTCATGCTAAAACTTATATGACAGCATTGATGCTACACCAATCAGGAATCCCGGCCTCTTGAATTGCCATTTTGCCATCCATGGATAGCAAAATGGTAATTTATTATCTCGATCAGCTTGGAAGCTGAAGCTTCCTAGAGCCATTTCACCTATTCGACGCTTTGCAGGTATTTTCGAGTGGAGCGCGAATTATTTTGCTGCGATCTTTCAAGTCGATATATTTGCTTTGCAATAGATGATATACTTCATCTATTTGATTCATTATCTACGAAATAGCTTGTCTATTTCATTGCTTTGATTTCTAAGCATGGCTAGAATTAAAAAGTCTGCGTTTCACTGTTTAAGTTTTTTTTATTTCCTTGTTAAGATATGAAGAAAACGGTGTCTATCATCCAATTTTACCACACCTTGCATGACAAACAAGCCAGCGAAAAACGCCGCCTTATATTGGGTGGATTTAACTCAATGATGTCGCAACAATAATGTGCCGATAACTCAGCTCTATTTCGAATTTAACATTCTGAGATGCTTAACACAAATGAGTCTACGACTGCGATAAATATGCCATTCAGGTTGAAGCATTGGTCTTGGGCCTTTCCCCCTCGTCTAACGTCGGAACAAAGAAAGTTGAATTGAATAGTTGCACCATTCGCTCTCGGCAGCGAACAAAGAAATAAACCAACAACACTTGCAAACTTACTGGTTGGCGCATCATGCACTCTTCTTTATTCGCAGTCGGTAATATGAAGATCGCATTTGCCAGATCTCGGTCGTTTCGTTACTTTGAAAACATCCACCAAATTCTTGCACATATCACCAACGCCGGAGCCAAATTGAGAACATGGACAATGGCGGGATTTTTAATTTTTTCCGGATGCCGGGCTCTAGAAGAAACTCTAGCAACAACACACCGACGACCGGCAGAAATGCGCAAAGCACTCCCCAAGGGCCGGCGGTAGAAGGCACACCAGGCGCAGCGTCAGCAACGAATCAAGGGTTAGGACAAGAGTACGTAGGAACTCCTGTTATCTTGAAAATGTCCAAAGCCGTGTTTAATCATACATGCCAACTCACTATTCGGCAGATCTGCTGCTGCGGATATTTCTGGAGTACCGTATCCGGTGTTGTCAACTCCTCCGGAAGGAACAGCACCAAATGAGGAAGAAAAGCCATATAATATTTGGTCGCCGCCAACACCAAAAGGGCCGAAAAGAGATAAAGGAAAGGGCGTAGATCGCGATCCTCCTGACCCTGATCCATCGAATCCTCAACCCTTGGCGGCCGATACAGATCCGGCAACTGGAGTTCCTGGTCAGCTTACTGCCCGTAATCTGTCGCATTTAAATGCACAAAATGCAGGAGGCGCAGTTGAAAAAGCAGCTGCAGGCCCAGACCCAAATGATGCTCTCAAATATGCTCGAAAATTTCTCTCGAGCGAAGATTTTCGCACCCATGCCGGATTCGACAACGAGCTCGAAAAAATTGACACCTATCTCCGTCAATTGAGTGACTGGGGAACGACCTGCGACCTCTCGCTCTACGCGCAAGTTCAAAGCATGGTGCGCGTTCATAGAGAGCGCACGGCAAATCCTGAAGAAGCCTTCACTCAATCGCCCGTGGACTTTTCTAGATTTTCAAGATTCAGTCAAAGGCTACCCACTTCTCATGGGATCTTCAGTCTTGACGATGTCTATGGCCATCTGAGGGACGATCATCCGCCCTTCAGCCTTGATGCAAGTGCTGCCCAAAAGCAGTTCATCTCAGATTTTCAATCCGCTGGCGAGGATGGATTTCACTACCGCCAAATCGAGAGAACTGCTTATAGTCGAGCCATTCAGCAGCCCGACTCGCCCGCGAGCCCGACTCTGCAAGACGACAATGACGACAGTCGTGCAATGGTTCGAGGTCGACGTCGGGCATTCATTCAAATCGGCCTGAACGCAATGGCGACTGGCGAAGAGCAACATTATGCTGGTGGTTGGCAGTATCGAGTTGTCGCACTACCGCGTGCTCCTTTGCCGTTGCCGCTTGAACCGCAGATGTTCCTCTCCGCTCATCCAGAGAGCCAACAAATGCCGAGTTCAGACCCGTTCCAGTACACAAACAAGTATATACAATTCCAAAAGGACAAGAGGTTCTGGCAGTTCCACATCAATGACGAACGGCGCATGCTTCGAAAGGGCTTAGAGCAATCCGGCGCACGAGTCGATGAATCGACTGAGCCCCTTGTGTTTGAAAATCCCACCCATAAGCAAGAGATTCTAAGGGCCAGAAACCGACTTCGCCTGGAGCGCCTGACGAACTTGTATTTTGAGCTCATTATGGAATTTTCGATCGAAGATTTTGCAATCGGATCTGTATGTGCTCTTTTTCTTTTCCTCCTCCCTTTCCTCTCTCTGTGTTTCTTCTTCACGCATCACTCCCTTTCCCTAAAATTTCCACTACGTCGCAGTATCGACAATCAAATCGACTGTATCCAGCTAACAGCGGTATCGTACTCCAGGCATCAAGCGAAGTCCTCAATAACGAAGAAACAAGCTCCAAGGAAAAGCTCGTTACCATCCAAAATTTTGCCTCCCTGGACGAAGGAGCCGCCGTGCGTGAAGGTCTGCGTCACGGCTTCGGGGGCGCTCCTCTCTCCGTCAATGAAATCACTCGTCTCCGCCAAGCCCTCAAAGACAAACAAACTTCCAACATAACCTACGCTGATACGGACGACCTCGTTGCTCGTCTCGGCCGCGAACTCGGTGCTATGATCCGACAATTACATCGTGAAGATGAATCGTATGCCAGTCTGCGTCGAAAGCTTCAGAAATCTGCGCGCGAAATTGCAAGTATCCGCAACCTGTCGAAAACGCCCTTACTTGCAAGTTCTCCGCAATTCTCGAGCATTCTGGATATTGCCCAGCCGCTTGCCCTTGCCGATGGCAATCCCGGCTATCAGTTGAACTTGACATACAAGCAAGCTTGTCGTCTTCTGCAAGATAAGATTGTCCAAGAAAACCACCGCCTTGGACAAGGAAATAAGTTGGACTTTGCGCATATTTGGTCCTTTGTCCATGACATTCCTCCCAGTAGGAAACGGAAACGATTCTTCTCGCTGGATAAGTGGCCTACTCGGGCCTCTGAGAATGCTCCTTTTATTTTCGGCCGTTCTGGAAATACCACCGCTGGTGCTGGTGCTGGTGCATTGTTTCCAGAAACACCTGGTCGCGGTAGAGGTAGCACTGCCCGTGTTGGTACTGGCCCTCGTCCTCGTCCCGGTACCGCCGCAGCCGCCTCGTCGCCATTCAAACGCCCGAAAGTATCTGCCCAAGCAGCCCACGTATCCCGTTCGCAGCAGCCTCCCCCACCACACGCACCCCAGGAATTCCAAATTGGGAAAGGCACATTCATGCCCCAGGAAATGAAAGACTTTGAATTCAATAAACATCGCCATGTCTTGTACAACCCGCCTGATCTCAGAGAACGCCATATCAAAGGCCTTCCGGTGTTTCCCTTTGGTGAGACGCGATATCATGAACGGCTGGAACACCGCCTGATAGAGGAGGATTTGGCAAAGCGTATGATCATTTTCCTATTTTATCATCCTTTTTCTTACTCCTCTCCCTCTCTTGTCTTTTGCCCCCGTCCCTTCTTCCCGGCTCTGTCCTGTAATTTTTTTCCCCTCTTCTTTTCTTTTTCTTTCGCTTTGGAAATGTCTTGCCTCTGTCCGCCTCACAGTCTCACAGCCTCAGTCTTTCCACTTCGACAATCCCTATTGGTCGAACCCTGTACTTCAGGCTTTGGCTGGGATATCATTCGAGGAATTACTCCTGTTTCACGTTAATCTCACATCTCAATGTTCTCAATGTTCTCAAATGAGGCTAACTCTGCACAAACAGGCTCAATATCATCCACGAAAGATCAAACCCCCCAGACGCGCCGCAAAGACCAGGACCTGATGGAGCGCAACAAGTTCCAACTTCCCGATGTTACTCCCGATTTGGACGTCAACGCGCTCAAGACCGCGGGGGTGTTCATTCCGGGGTTCATGTCGTATGTGTATGATCAGGAGCAGGAGCAGGAGCAGGACTAGGACTAGGATTAGATCTTAGTGTTTTTTCTTTCCTTTTATTTTATTTTCTTTCTATTTTTTTTTTTTTTTTTTTAAATAGTTTTCCGATGAGCTTTTACTTCTTTTAGCTTGTCCCTCTTGTTCTTGGGGATCTAACTGTCTTCTGCGTTTGGTTTGTCATTTTTATGTATTGGATGATAATCTTTGTCGGGCTGAACAGAAGAGAAGAGGGGGGAAATATTATGGCATTTCAAGAGGATCCAGATCCCGCCTGCTGATGGTGTTTAGATATGGCTGTCTGGCTGACGGGTCGTCAACCTCGCTGGTTGGGAGAAATGATCCAATAGGTACTTGCTGTAACGGACTCGAATAGTTGTTTACTGGGGTCAATTTCATGAGCCTTTGTTTTTTCTGGGTTTCTGGGTTGGTTTGGCGAGGGTGGGGACCTATGAGTGCGGGGGTGTTTTGACAATAGGTCCGGAAGGATGGCGTAGGCTGTAGTACTGTATGGCGTTTCGTAAGTAGATGGATCTGCTGCTGTTGGGACTGTGATTGATCGATTCGTGTTGCTAGACATTGATTTTCGCAATGGGACCACCGAGGAGCAAATAAACACAACAAAAAAACAGAATAATGGACCAATGATTTTGAAATTTTTATGCGTGTAGCTGTCAATTAGCGGTATCCCTATGCTATGTACAGCCCTACGCATAACACATGAGAACAAATCTCTTTAGAAAAGCAACCCAAACACACTAAACGCGCGAGCTCTCCATTTAGTAACGCTTGCCCTCGCGGAGGACATCGCTGTACTCCTCCAGAGGGTTCCGGATGAGCTTGGTCTCCTTCCACAGGTTGGGGGTCAAGAAACCGTAAGTGTTGGAGACGGCGGTGAAGGTAGCCTTGAGGGTGTTCTCAAGAGTCTTGGTCGAACCAGACGAGGCGGTGTAAGCGTCGTGGACACCAGCAAGCTGCAAGAGACGCTTGACGGCGGGGGAGGCAACAAGGCCGGTACCGCGGGGAGCAGGGATAAGCTGTTTAAAAGAGAAGATTACATCAGCAAACATGTTTCTTCCCATTTTCGAATCCAGCCCTTTTCCATTTCTCCTTTCGTGTGGCTTGCTCTTTCTTTGAAGGCCACTCTATTCGTTGTGGGGGTTTGAAGATTTCGGGGTAAACGTACTCTGACAGTAACACTGCCGCACTTGCCGGACTCCTTGACGGGGAGAGAGTGAGGCTCTCCCAAAGAGGTACCCCAGTAACCTCTCCGGACGGGGACGACGGAAAGCTTAGCGATGATGATGGCGGCACGGATGGCGGTGGCGACTTCCTTGGAGGTCTTGATACCGAGACCGACGTGGCCCTCAGAGTCACCGATGACAACGACGGCCTTGAAACGGGTACGCTGACCGGCACGGGTCTGCTTCTGGACGGGCTTGATCTGTAGTGATAGAAAAAACAAACGTCAACTATCGGTATCCTTTCAAATTTCTCCAATTGTTTCCTGTTGCTCTTCCTCCTCTTCTTTTCTCAAAATACCCAAACCCTCCAACCAAATGCGCCGTTTGCGCAATCTTCTTCTATCCGCACGGGAAATGTTCGGGAAACCGCCCATACCTTCATAACCTCATCCTTGAGCTTGGGAAGGAAGAAGTCGACAATCTGGTACTCCTTGACGGGCAGAGAGTGCAGGTAGATCTCCTCCATGCTCTTTATCTTGCCGGCCTTGACAAGTCTGCCGAGCTTGGTGACGGGCTGCCATTCCTTCTCCTCACTTCTGCCGGCGCCACGGCGGCCACGGCCACGGCCACGGCCCCGTCCACGGTCACCACCTCTGTCGCCGCGAGTGCCGAAGCCTCCTCTCTTGGGTGCGTCAGCCATGTTGTGCTGAATTGACGACTGTCTGGGGACGTTAGTTGAGGCGGTCGAGTTGCGGAAGTTCGTCGTCGTCGTCCTCGTCGGGCAAGTCGTTAATTCGAGTGTCTTTCGCGAGAATTAGTGGGGAGCGAGCAATGTGTGTGAACTATACCATTCATGGAGTGTTAAGCGAGGGCAAGCCTTCCGAAAACCCTCTCTGCCTTATCCCCCATCGTGTGATCCCGACATATACAACCATTCGGTGTCCTTTCTATGTAGACAATGCTCAGATAATGGAAAGTTTTAAATATATCTTCACTGTGACTGAGAATACATCCTCCTTGATATCTGAGTGCAGTGTGAACACTTTGATACCACGGCAATCAAATCACTTAGGTACGTTTAAGGGCAGCCGTGGTCAGGTTCTTCCCTCGTTTCTGCTACCGCTCCAATCTACGCGAGGGACAGAGCTACAAAGGTACTTAGAGCCACATGGGTCCGAGGGGTGCGAGGGACCTCCGCTATCAGACTCAAGATTGTCTTTTTAGAAAACTCAAAGATAATTTGATGTCATTTGAATAAAGATGCATTCGCCAGGAATTACATGATAGCTCTGGCAATTTATCTTGCGCTCAATATTTGGGTATCAGTTGAAATGTGATTCGGTCGCCCGAGTGGTGCGCTCTAATGTCTGTCCATCAGACTCCGCGCCGTGCTTTCTTCCCAGATATGTCTTGATCAAGTAAGGCTTGTAGGTCGGGTCAAGACGATCGTTCAAATCATAAGTCTTATGAGACATTGCCCTACAGCTTATGTTTTCATCGTATGTCTTCATGCGCCGCGCTCCCTCTCTAATTGCTTTTGTTCTTCTTCGGGAGTTCGCGTCCGTAGTTGCAAGGCGTGGATGCCTCCGTCACGGGACATTTCATCTTGCAGGAGAGCATATACCATCCGGTGTCGCGCAGGTTGAGGCTTGCCTTTGAACGCCTCTGAAGTGATCATGACCCTAAAAGAACGACATGTTCAGCCGTGGTACGGTGATGAGCTGCTAAAACGCCGCGAATCGTCTCACCTGAAGTGAGTCTCTTTTGAAGTACTCCCTTGCATTGCCTTATGGTGGGAATGAAGATGAGAGTCATTGAAAATTTCAAGAGAAGTCGGACTGAAGGCTGATGATACCTGTTTCCAGAAGCCTTAATCAGTTCCCATTTCTTTATCGTCTTTATTGAATGATGCTCACCCGAGACTTGATGATGTCTTCGACCGGTGTCAAAGATGAAGTCATTGTTGACATGGGTCGCTTGATAGCTGCGACCAAAAGTCTTTGAAGCATTGGTTTTCTGTACACCCTTCGACGGCGTCCTGTGACGGCGATCAACAGTGATTCTTGTCCGATGACCGCAGAAGTAGTTGTACCCCTGCTCTCCGAAACTGAGCGCTTTACGGCATCGGGAAATCCCCAAATGCGTCGGCCCGAGATAGCGAGGCGGAAACTCGGGGCAGAAATGTTGACGTCCCCAAGGCTTCCAGTAACTGTACATACCTCCGCTCTCTGCTTGCTGTGACATCCATCGGACTTGCATGGTTCAAGGGGGTCTGAGTACATCGTTCCCCATTATTCAGCCTCATTCCAGCCTGTATACTTCCGTACATATTATCTACCTGCATGGTATCCTCCGGGTGAAGTAATTGCCCGCCATGATCGCCCTTAAATTCTCGCGGGTCTCTCCCCTCTCCGCCTTTATCCCTCGAAGAGCTTCCTCACTATATTATAATATCCGAATGGCCTCCACTTTGCCGCGCCTGCCCATTTTGGAGGCAATTGCAAATCATGACCCGAAAAGCACCGCCGTGATACATTCGTTATCGGGGCGCACATTTACCTACGGCAGCTTGTTGAATGATATTGCGGAAGCCAAAGATCGGTTGCTCCAAGCATCAAACCGCAATTCGATCGAGGGAGAAAGAGTAGCATTTCTTGTCGAGAACGGATATGATTATATAGGTACGCTTTCTCCCTAAATGAGCTCTGCGAGAATGGCATTCCTAAATAAGCGCTCAGTAACTCTATTATCTATAATGGCCAGCCGCTCCATTGCGGTCCCAATGTCGGCTGGCTTCCCTGCTAGCGAACTGCAATATATAATTGATAACAGTGACGCAATGATGCTTCTGTCGTCTGGTAAATTCCAAGGCAAGGCTGAAGAGGTAATGAAAGGTGAAATGAATAGGGAGCCTATTTTCCATCTCGTGGAAAAGAAGCTAGGAGCCAGCGTTGAGGATAAAAACCTAAAATTTGAATCCGCGGATGCCGAGGCAGGCACGGGCGGAATGATGCTTTACACATCAGGAACTACGAATCGACCGGTGAGTAATTATTTTTCTTCTCCAAGATGGGCTCGTCATTTTCATTTGTTGAGACGTGATCACGCAGAAAGGAGTTCTTTTAACACAGTCAACTCTCTCGGCGCAAACATCTTCCTTACTCGAAGCGTGGAGGTATAGTCCTAACGATCATCTGCTGCACGTTCTGCCGCTGCATCACATTCATGGAACGGTCAATGCGATATTGACGCCCTTGCTCGCTGGCTCTACTATTGAATTCATGTTCCCATTTAATGCCAGGGCTGTATGGGAGCGCTTAGCAGCTCCCTTCTTGCCACTGGAACAGCGCACAACTAGATCATCTGAAAAGATAACTTTCCTCACTGCTGTGCCGACAATTTATAACCGACTTCTTTCGTCGCACAAGGATTTGCCTCCTGAAATTGAAAAGGCAGGGCGAGAAGCCGTCTCGCCGCAGAATATGCGGCTGAATATTTCCGGATCAGCTGCGCTACCGACGCCGACCAAGGCTGCGTGGTCAGACTTGAGCGGAGGGAATGTGCTGCTCGAACGTTACGGAATGACGGAGGTTGGCATGGCCCTGAGCTGTGGGCTTGATTTCGGCGATCGCGTGGACGGAAGTGTTGGCTGGCCATTGCCACAGGTCCAAGTCAAACTGGTCGACACAGAAACGAAGGAGGTGATCAAGGAGTCTGAGGAAATCGATGAATCTGGAAAAGAACGGGAGGGAGAGATACAATTAAGAGGGCCAACAATATTTACAGAATATTGGAATAACCCAAAGGCCACATCGGAAGAGTTTGTTGAAGGCGACGACGGCAAAGGCAAGTGGTTTAAGACGGGAGATGTTGCAATCAGACGGATAGTAAACGGGGCAGGAAAGTCGGATCAGCCGTGGGCAAAAGGACCGATGTATTTCATTCAAGGAAGGAAAAGCGTGGATATCATAAAGACAGGTGGCGAGAAAGTCAGTGCCCTGGAGGTGGAGCGTGAGTTATTATCGCTGTAAGTTTTTTTAACACCTCACACCACGGTTCAGGCTCCTCAATACTGATTTTTGCAGGCCTCAAATTGCTGAAGCCGCCGTTGTCGGACTTCCATCCGATGTTTGGGGTCAGAAGGTTGCTGCTGTAGTTGTACTCAACCCTGAAGCAGCTGACAGTGGACGAGGAGGTAAAAAGTGGGGCCCAATGGATATGCGGAGAGCCTTGAAAGACAAACTTGCAAATTACAAAATTCCTCAAGAGCTCAAAGTCATCGAAGGAGGTTTGCCTCGGAATGCCATGGGTAAAAGTAAGGATTCCGCCTTGTATTCGCATTTCCGGCTTCCGCTAATTTATATTCCAGTCAACAAAAAGGGTTTGATAAAAGAGATTTTCCCAGAACAAATTCCAAATTAGATTTGTTTTGCGATGCCCTCTATAGACTACTTTTGATCAGCATTATATGGAATCATTAATTGCCAGCATGTGGCTTTTGACAATGGTGATTAAATGGTGAACGGTATTGTCTAAACCCAACCCGTTGCGAATGTACTACAAGAACTGCGTATGAGAGGCCTTCTAGACAGAATTTGCGACCAAGAAATCCGATTGCAATGTTTCTATCAAATGATGCTTACGGAGGATGTCGGATGACGTCTCTCTGGTCCGTTGTGTACGATTCGCTTAGGTATATAGGAAGGTGGCCGATAAAGAAAGTGCTTATGACTCCACTAATAAACCACTCCATTGTTATTTCGTTTCTCCTCATAAGCAGCCTGTATCAAATCCTCTGCCGGAGGCTTTAATATATATTGTGCCCTCTGGACTACTCCCTTGCCCAAGCCATGAGCTTAGAGAACCCAACCGCCGGTTCGCCGGCACTTCCGGAAGGAGTCTCGTCGCTTTTAGATACTGATCTCTATAAGCTGACAATGCAATGCGCCGTTCTTAAATATTTCCCAGAAACAGGTAAGAGTGTGCCAATAGTCTCCCCAAAGATATGAAGTTTCAACTTACATGCCATAATCAGAGGTTACGTACGCGTTTACCAATCGCACCGCAGACATGCGATTGACGAGAGGTGCCTATCACTGGCTCCAGAAACAAGTCGACAGTAAGAAAGCTATACACTTTGAGGCAGTAAGAATTAAGATCAAACTAACGGCTTTTTAGAGCTTGAAAATATTGCGCTGTCAGACGAAGAGCTCGGCTTTCTCCGAACCCATTGTTCCTACTTGAACGAAGCATACCTTTCTTTTCTCAAAGACTTTCGATTGCGGCCTACTGAACAACTGAAGCTCGCCTTCCGACCATTCAAGGACACCGGAAGCGACCAGGACCGGGGTAATGTGGAGATTGACATCAGGGGGCGATGGGTCGATACCATACTCTACGAGATTCCATTGCTGGCTTTAGTCAGTGAAGCTTACTTCAAGTTCTGCGATACAGACTGGAATCATGAAGGGCAGGAAGATAAAGCATATCATAAGGGCCTCACTCTGCTTGAATATGGGTGCGTTTTGTCTGAATTCGGAAGCAGAAGAAGACGAGATTATTATACCCAAGAGCTGGTCTTGCGGGGCTTGTGTAGGGCTGCTGCTGTGGGAGCGCAAAAGGGCTGGAAGGGCAAGTTGAGTGGTACGAGCAATGTTCACTTTGCCATGAAGCATGGGCTCACACCCGTCGGAACCGTTGCTCACGAGTGGTTCATGGGCGTGGCGGCAATCACCAATAACTATGAGCAAGCAAACGAAATTTCGTTGCGGTACTGGGTTGGTACTTTTGGAGAAGGGGTGCTTGGGATCGCATTGACCGACACCTTTGGCACCCCCACATTCTTGAAAGCCTTCAAGCAGCCTATTCCATCATTCTCTTCAGCAGGAATTGGAGGTGCGCCGACCTTGGCCTCTACCGGCGACTCCACCACACTGGACACTCTTACCAGCCTCGGTGAGACCAATCCTCCGCCGATCCATGCTCCAGTAGTGGGCGGAGAGACCGAAGCACAGGCAAAGCGTACATTCGCCCAGGTGTTTACTGGTGTTCGACAGGATTCTGGCGATCCTGCTGGCTTCATCAAGCTGATGCGGGAGTTCTACGATGAACAAGGAATCAAGGATAAGAAGATAATTGTGTTTTCTGATTCGTTGAATGTGGAACGCTGCCTCGAGTATATGCAGGAGGCACAAGATGCTGGGTTTCAACCGACATTCGGTGTCGGCACTTTCTTAACGAGTAAGTCATTTTTCGTGCTATTTTGCCATTAGAGATAGCATGCAAAACTCATTTGTATATTCCGAAAATGGGCTCGCTAACTCTGATATCTGGTAGATGATTTCACGAACACATCGAACGGCCTCAAGTCTGTGCCGCTGAATATTGTGATCAAACTTGCTTCTGCGGGTGGTCGCCCCGCTGTCAAGATTAGTGACAATATTGGAAAGAATACCGGCGATAAAAGTACTGTCGAACGCGTAAAGCGTCAGTTAGGTTATGTTGAACGAGATTGGGAAGGCGGTGATGAGACAAGTCGTTGGGGCACTCCTGAGAGCGGCGTGGAACGTCCGACCAGCGTTACAAATTAAGTCAAGCCTCGCTCTGGTAGTGGAGAACGCGGTTCATTCAGTACGGAAGATCGGACTATGGTAGTTTTAGACCAGTTCATCGGCGTCAAATATAGAGGGTGGAGCGAATACTCGAAGCTGAATAGCTGCGGATATTTGTTCGGGCTATTGAATGATTTTAATCTTTTTTTTTTTTTTATATAAATTTATGGTTAGCTATTTTTTTTTTTTTTTCTGAGTGGATATTGGGCTGAGTATCCCTACTGTCCAATGGACATGAATCTTTGGACGCATTTTTCTCTGGCGCTATTTTGATTATTGCAGCATATTTTAGATATTACAAGGGAAGGAGATAGATCCCACGAATGCCAGAGCTTTCCGGTTGTCGAGATTTCAGCCGGTAAAACGAACAGAAAGAAAATTAACTGGGGCGTATAATGACGGCACCAGAGATTGACGAGAAGAGAAGTATAAGCAGCGTCTTCACCCATTGCCGAAGACTCCATGTCAAGGGTTAGGTAAGGCTTTAATGTCCAAGAAAATATATACAGTCTTGTTTACTGAAGATGGAGACCTCGCTCAATAGCGCGACTTAGCATTAGCCTTGGATTATGTTTGCCACCTTTCAATTTTTGCCCTGCTTCGGTATGTTTTCGCCTGATTCCTACCTCACTCTTCCTTCCCCACACACGCTGCAGGATCCGATCCAAGGGTTTTCGGAACGGCGCTGACGCTCTGAAAGTGGTGCGGCTATGGAAGAATAATGAGCAGCAGTGTAACGAATCTTACACTTGAAAATAGTGCACCGTCTGCTTTCAATTGATGACATCTTGGTCCAATCGCCAGGGCATGTCTGAGCCTCGGACGCAGCGCGGATCGAGATCAGGTGGCAGCCTCTTCGGGCCATATGAGAAGCATCTTGCGCCTCTCTTTTTCTCAAGTCCGGTAGAAGAACTCGTACCTCTTCAGCTCTTTGGCTCGAATATGCTTTCCCAGTAAAATTTGACACGCTCACAGACTCTAGTTTTTCCAGTCCATGTGCGGAAGCTGGACTCTAATTCGCAGGCAGTCCACTTGATCTCTTCCCAGAAGCTCTTCTCAACGTCATAGCCGAATGAATCGATGATGTCCTCCGGGAGAAGCCATGCGCGGGAAAATTCACCATTAGGACCACGAGTGGGGTCGACTTCGCTGGGATCGAAAATGGTCGCTGGGTTGAACTTCGGATAGTGGGCATGTATAAAGAACGGACGCGGCATTGGAGCTACTTTCTCATCTTTGACCCGCCACAGACCCTTGCTCGTGAGATTATAGTCCTGCATTGGGTCGAACTGCACCATGGCCGAGCCTCCGAGACCGCCGTCAGCCTTGCGATGGCCGATGGGCTTCACACGTTCACTCGTTTGATAAAACGGCTCGCCAAGTGCACTGGCAGCTGCAATGAACGTATCTTTGTCGCCTTCTCCAGGACTGCCTTGGCCAAGAAGGGGGTAATAGTGGCTGGGGCCATAATAATTATAGTAAGTCGCCAACATGAGCGAAAAGTGATGCTGCGATTTGGACACGAGCAATTCTCCGGTCTCCGAGGACTGGCGCAGCGTGACCGGCGGCGCCACCTGCGCGGAGATGTTGTAGTACAGCGGAGAGGCAGTCGAGACCCAATAATCCGGCCAGAGAACGTAACCAGTTTTTGTGAAGGGTTCCGAGGTAAGTAGGAGTTCCGGGTCGTACAAGGGGAAGGCGTCCGCGTCGAGGAAGACAACTTCCTCAAAGGAGGAAAAGATCAATGCGAAAATCTTAAACTGATAGTGCTTGATCTCCTGCGCATTAGGTGCTTTGTCGAGTATTTCGGATAAAACGATACAGCGAGCATTGAGCTTAGGAAGCACATTATCACATATATGCGGCTCGTACTCGTCCGGCGATGCGAGAAAGACTTCCATTGGCAGGTCCGACCCAGACCGCCTGAGCATGCGCAAAGAAATAACCAACACTGGCAGATAGAAACCGCCGGCGGTGGAGACCAATCCCCGCGTGCCCGGCACATAGCACCCCTGAGGGATCTTCGTCTTGGCTGCATGGATGAAGCTCGAATGGGCTTGGCGCATCTTAGCGATGTCATCTTCAGACATCGCCAACAGATCCACCCGTTCCATTTCGCCCTTTGAAGGCTCGAAACCTATTGCGCCTGAGCTTCCAAGTCGCTCGGGTGACGGACAGTCTGGGGAAAACGCATCCAAGAGTGGTTGTAATTGTTTCCATAGCTGCACGGGGACAACGGGCTCTGATGAGGACGGTGCCGGATGATGCGGTCGTGGCAGGGAATGGGACGGCAGTGGCGACGGCGATTGTTTCACGTCCGTCGCGTAGTCGCCATGGCCTTCGAATCCAACGTCATGCTGTCTCGACGGGCTTCCTGGGGTAATGACATTCGGCGGAAGATCGAACGAGGCAGGAGGAGCGGCTGCGGCGGGAGATTGCCGCACATTTGGAAGAGACAGCCATTGGAATGTGAAGAAGAAAAGGGAGACCAAGCCGAGCGATGCCAGCGCGGCTTTCGCACGCGACGATCGTCGCAGATAGCCGACAACCATGATCGATTGATCGCGATCCTTCTCCAAGGACGAGCTTCCCGATGATATTGGGCAGGGATAGTTATCCTATCTGTCTAATTGATGATCGGTCGGACTATAGCAAAGGAAGGTTGACGGATGGGATAGGGGACGGAATCAAAGACGGAGGCGAGTAACAGAATGGTGTCCTTTTTGAGATTTAATCAGACCCTGAGGGTAGCAGGGCACCATTAAACTACGAGAGCACTCCCTCACTCACTGCTGCCGCGAAGCCCCCTCAGTCACGCTACGAGGAAATTGATATGGGGGGGCACTGCTCGCTGGATGAAGTTAAAACGTGGAGCCAAAACCGCCGCGAAGGGAGCTCACCGTCCCGTTCCGGTCACAGTAGCTCAATCTTTCCTCGACCCAAATGAGATAAGCTGACATCCCGCGCAGTTACGGCGAATAAACTAGGTAGCGCTGTTGCACCCAATTTTAGGAAGGGGTGGAATTTGCTTATTTTGGTAAGGTCCGAAGCTTAGCGAGCAGGCATACGAAGTATATTCCGAGAACACGCATCGGATCATCCTAGCTTCTGTCCATAGCACTACTACTAAGAATCAATCATTTTTCTGCCGTCAATAAATCCTTGTGTTATATTTTGGTGACCTAACCAGGGGTCGAATCTGGAACCTCTTGATTCGCAGTCAAGAGATGGCTCAATCAAATCATGCAGCAGAGAAGACCGAGATCAAAAAGAAGCTGTTACAATAGGTGCTACTGCATCCTCTGATGCTCTCATTTCTGCCGTCCTCACCCCGTAGTTCTTCAACACACTGCACGAGGCCAACTATACTCATCTTCTTGTTCAATATGGCAAAGAAGGGCAGCTCATTTTCAATAATAATTACATGTCACAGTGGGCAGAGCAATTGAGTGCACGAAATAATATTGAGATACAAGGCTTTGGGTTCAACAAGAACGGTCTTGCACAGGAGATGCACTCTGCCAAGGGCAATAATGGCAACGCAGAAGGCGTGGTCATAAGCCATGCAGGCTCTGGCTCTATTCTAGATGGGTTACGGATCGCTGTTCCTCTCATTGTTGTCCCCAACCCTTCACTATTGAATAATCATCAGATCGCGCTTGCGGAGGAGTTGGCATCGATGGGCTATGTGGTACATGGAAAATTGGCATAGAGTAACCCCGTCAATAAATCCTTGCGTTATACTCTAGCGCGGTTAGCGGGGTGTGGGCGACCCAAGTGCGGCTTTCGATTGCGGCAAGTTACGAGTGCAAGGGAGCAGCCCTTGCTATATTTAAACAAGCTCACTTAGCTCTAGCTGGCTAAGGCAGCCTACTCTACCGTAGATACGAGAAGCCTCAGTGAAGGGAACGAGGAACAGGTCAGGCTACCATCAAAAAGCGAAGAGGGCTCTTGACAGCTGTCACCAGATTGTAGGGTAAGACTGTTCAGAAATGTGGCAGATGAATGTAAATCTAAACGGGCTTTTGAATCAGTCATCCTTTGGATCATGTAGGCAGATTTGGCACAACGTCGATGCAGCTTGTCAAACCAACTTGTCATGCATCCTGCATTCTGCCTCCCCACGCCTCACTGGCCGCCTCTGCCCCTTATGGAATTTTCGCTTGTCATGCCGTTTCCGGAATCGAAAAGCGGTTCAGTGCAGCTCTGGGTTGATCTGATTGGATTTTTGTCCCTCGCTAACTCTAGCGAAGCTTTTTGCCTGTTTTCCTCCTAAAACGTTCCGTCTCGGCTTCCCTTGGCCCTTGGGGCTTCGGTGGGTTGGCGGTCCCTGAGTTTCGTGTCTGGGGCAAATCGCTAACAGTATGCATACCAAGCAAACTGCCCCAGACTAAGAAGTTGTTCGCGGGACACGAGGAAATACGTACACAAAGTGAACATTCCTACAATCTCACGTCTCACGCTCAGCCTCTTCCACGCCTCATTTTTCTTCAGACACTTTTTGGACCCCCGCCCTTTCACACTCGACGGTTGGGCAGGTCAATGAGATTGAGCGTTGCTTTTAGGAGCCAGTGTTCCCACGCCGAGAGAGATTACTCCAGGGAAACCCCTTTTCTTGTCCTGTGTTTAGACTGCTCAGGGGCGGATGATCGTGGCCGCACGTCTAAACAAACACTATGAGTGTGAGCGCCCTTGTAGAATGACGACGACAACAACAACAACAAGAAGAGCAAAATGAGTTCAATTTGTTATTGCTCTTTTTCCCACTCTGTCTCAAGACAAGATCATTGTTTATTTACTGTAGCTAATCTGGACATGTGATTCTCTTTTTAGTACGGAGGATATTCCCAGGCCCCGCCATACGGCCGCCAACCCGCGAATCTCAACGCATCAGACCCGAGAAGCAACCCATATGGGCCTCGTGGGGTTTCGCCCGGCGGGAACTCGGTGAGCAGGGATCCGAGTCCTTACTCGAATCCTTTTGAGGATGGTATTGCTTCCGTCAGACTCTACAGGGACTTCCAAAAAAAGATTTGGAGACTAATTGCGAAATTTAACCAGGCGCCAACGTGGAAATGCAGCCTCTAAACGACGGTCACAATGGCGCAAGCAATAGCCCGATGGCTATCCTTGACCAATGCAGGTTCATTGATCAAGGTATCGACGAAATTGACCAGAATCTCGCATCGCTATCCAACTTGCAGCGAGCTACCGTCTACGATCCCAACTGGAGTCCCAGCCCAACGTCGGAATCAAACCGCAGACTGGAAGCATTGAACAAGAAGACCATGGACCTTTACCGCCTCCTCGTCAGCCGGGTCCGGAAAATAAAGTCACAACCTGCCTCGCAAGAACCTCGCAACTCGGCCCAAGTAGGCAGGGTTGAGCGTCGCCTGAAGAAGGCTATTGAACAGTATCGGGTGATTGAGAGCGACTTCCGAAAGGAGATGCAGCAGCAGATGGAGCGACAGTATCGCATTGTCGCGCCGGAAGCCACGGACGCGGAAGTGCGAGAGGCTGTCCAAGACTCAAATCAACAAGTCTTTATGCAAGCAGTATGTTCATCCCTTGCTCCCGCGATGAACGACAAAGAAATTTTAACATGCTGTTCGTTTAGCTCTATGCGAGTGGCCGCCGTGGTCAGGCTCAATCGGTCCTCAGCGAAGTAAAGCATCGGCACGCAGCCATTCAGCAGATTGAGCAACAAGTCATCGAACTTGCTCAGCTGTTCAAAGAGTTGGACGAGATTGTTATGTTGCAAGATGCCTCAATTCAACGTATCGACGAACAAGGCGAGATGGTCCGCGAAGATGTGCAAAAGGCGACCGAGGAATTGGGAGGTGCAGTGGAGAAGGCTCGAAGCGCGAGGCGAAAGAAATGGTGGACATTGTTGGTTGTCCGTACGTTTGACCCCACTTCATGTGAGAATCAAGACGAATACTTGCTAATGCTTTCTCTCAGTGCTCATTCTCATTGTTATTGCCATCATTGTGGCCATCGTCGTCAAGACAATGACGCATTAATCATAATTCGCGACAGAAGTCTTCCGTTCCCCTAGGATGCCTTTGGTGGGCAATGGGTTTCGGTTTGGAAATTCGTACTGCATATTTGGGCGACTATTCTTTTTCTTTTCTTTCCACGCGCTGTTTCCCGTACACTTTGGAGGCGTTGACGGAATATTTGGTAGTTTCCTTAGATTGATTGTCAGTCTTTGGACTTGCATGAGGCACTTGTTTTCCGTTTTGCCTGCGTTGCGCATATAATACCAGTCTGCATAATCCTTTCGCTGTTTATCAAGAGTTTTACTCTTTTCCATGTCACTTTTCATATAAATTGAGTAAAATATGGTTAAACCAATCAATAGCGGCAATGCTGTGTCATACTCTTATCTATTCATGGGAGAAAAAATGCGGCCATCATGTTTTTATTTGAGGGAGACTATTAGGGCTAAAATAAATGGATATCAATTCATGGTTAAGCATATCAGCCTCGATGCTGTTCGACCCCCTGGCGGGGACAGCTGAAGTCAGAGGCGACCTCGGGGGAGGGTCGCTAAGTTGCCTTGATTAAGGTTAAAAGTGGCTGAGAGTGACAGCGACATGGGGGGCCCAAGCAACACCAAAAAGGTTGTCGGCTTTTCCCAATCGGGATTTCTCGACACCGCCGGGCCCACAAATCCAGCCAAAAGCTACCCCGATGACATCGTTCAAATCTACGTCTTACAGACATAATCTTCGCTCTGGGCTGCCTTCCACATCCACATCCTCCTCCTGATCCCTTTCCCTTCTTTACCCATTGTCTTTTACCATCCAATTTGAATATTACATAGTTCAATTTCACTCATTATGCTCGGATGGTAAGTGTTTCCTCCTGTTATGAGACTGTTGTTGGCCTAAGGGCCTTGTTCTTCCAGCCACACGCTGTCTTTTGGGCACAATGCATGTCTTGGGCTTCTGTCACTTCTTTGATTCTACCATTAATCTTGATCGCCTTTCCCCCCAAGACTTTGTATAGCAATCATTCTTGGGGCATCGTAGACTGACAATTCAATCTTTGTCTCCAGGTACCAGGCCAAGCTCGCAGCGCGCCCGCTGCTGACGCAGAGCATCACCACTGCTGTGAGTGTCATAGTCTCCTTCCTTGCCATCTACCTGGCTCTCTCCACCCGAGACGTCTCCTTTTGGACAGCTGCCATGCTGGGATCGCCCATTGCGCTGTTTGTGGGATTTCACACTTGGATCTATACATGGGGTGAGGTCTAGTCCTGGTCTCGTCCTCGTCCCTCTGGCGGCGTATCTCATCTGTTCCTTTTTGGAACAAGTGTTGTTCTGACCCATTTTTTTTTTTTTTTTGCCACCCTGGAACACTCAAACATATCTGGAGCGCCGCGGACTGGGGCTGCCATCATGACGGGTTGCTAATGATCGATTTATTTTTGCAATAGGTCCTCTTCGGGACGGGGGACGCTCTAGCCCAACAAGCAGTTGAAAAGGTCGGTGTGGATAAGCACAACTTTGCGCGAACGGGACGAATGGCGTTGTACGGTGGTGGTAAGTACTCCCAAGGCTTCTTTGGGAGACGTCTTATGAGTGGATTCGGATTGCTTATATTTATTCGCAGCTGTGTTCGGTCCTGCTGCCACGACTTGGTTTAAGTTCCTTCAGAACAAGGTTGTCCTTCAGAATAAGACTGCTCAAGTAGCTGCCCGTGTCGGTCTCGACCAGCTCGCTTTCACCCCTCTCAACTTGGGATTCTTCTTGACCAGCATGTCTCTTATGGAGGGCACCGATCCGAAGAAGAAGATTAATGACACTTACACGAAAGCGCTTACGACCAACTGGATGGTGTGGCCGTGGGTGCAAATGGCCAACTTTACTGTCGTGCCTCTTGAACATCGTGTCTTGGTCGTCAACATTGTTGCTCTCGGTATGTTTCTGTCCTCTGTTACAGATTGAAGCTCCATCAGAGCACTAACGAGGTGAACTGTCAACAGGCTGGAATTGCTATCTCAGCTATATCAACAGCTCTGGCGGCAAATAGATCGTTCGCTTTCGTGATAGACTTTTTACTGGTTTATCTTCGTGGTTGCCGTTCTTTGCTGGTCACGAAATACTGTCTTTTGAACCTTGTTTCAGCGAGCGTTTTATCCTCGTCGGCATTTGAGCGTTGAGCTATGTTGCTATGGAGGTTTTTGCTGGAATGATTGTGGTTCAAGTCATGATGCATTACGATATGAATTCGGCGTTTGGTGCTGTATTCTGCAACGTCGACGGTACATAGATGATGCCTCAGCGTTTACATTGCGGGATTTTTACAATTTATTTCTGCTCTTAGAAAAGACATTAGAGCGACTGGCACCAGATTTTCGTCATACGGATAATTCTCGGGAGAATATGATCTGGCGAGAATCAAATCCTTTGTAAATGTACTCGGTACTTTCTGAAAGGTCCGATTGGCATGTGAATTTAAGTACCTATCTGGCGGAAGTGACCTTGAACCCTTCCTATGAGCGATCTGCTGCTGATTTGGCCCTGGTTGCTTCCTTATCGGGCTAGCTTGATATCCCAAGCGGACAAAATATATCGCGAGGCTTGGCGGCGAAACAGAGAGCAGTTGTGTTGGTCCAAGTGTAAAAGTGGGAAGTCAAAACTAATATCGATACTCCACTTTGACTTATCCTTAGCTACCTGCTTACCTTTTACCTACTCCTTTGAATTCGTTAGAAAGGTGAGCCTTCCTAAAAGCACTCTAAACTTCACTTGTCGAAGTAAAACTTCGTCACTGACAATATCATCTTGTGCCGCTACAGGACCCAAATTCTTCCCGATCATACTTGGATTGCCATTTCATTGCAAGACAATTCTTGTGTCTGTCGAAATACACTCGCGGCGGACAATCTTTGATTTGTTGCTCATTGGGAATTGATATATATTCCCCTGTTTGACCGACAATCGAATACCGATCGAAAACTTTTAAAGCTACACCAAGATGGCCACTCCTGAAGTCCAACAGCCCTTCGCCAACGGCGCCCCCGTCGAAAATGCTCCCGTTGTAAACGACGAGAACAAGGCTCCTACTGTCGAGAGCACCGAAAAGACCGAGAAGCCTGCCGAAACGGCCGAGGCAGAGAAGCCTGCAAAGAAGGAATACAAGGACACCGACAACATTACTGTTTTCCATGACCCTGAAAACTTCAACGTCAAGCACCCGCTCATGCACGAGTGGACCCTGTGGTTCACGAAGCCTCCAAGTGGAAAGGTATGTTTGAGTTCTGGTTTGAGTTTGGATTTTGGAGCGAATTGCGGGAGAGAGATAGAGGAGAGATATACGTCGCGCGGTGGGCTGGGGATGGCGTGGAGTGGTGATAAGCTGGATCCTTCGTTGCTCTTTCTGTGGCGCATCTCTGTTGGTCTCTATGGTGGAGATCATAATTGGCAGCCACGTAGATTCTCCATGCTGCAAGGCCTGTGTTCCGGGCTTGCATGCCAAGGAATGATGTCGCAGAAGAGTAATGCGGTTCAGGTCTTGCACACCACTAGCGCGCGTCATCATTCGGAGCACTCCATCAATGCGCTTTGCAGATTATATGCTAACGAACTTCACTTTTAGGGCGACAACTGGAATGAGCTACTCAAAGAAGTCGTAACCTTTGACTCTGTCGAGGAATTCTGGGGTGTCTACGTAAGTCTCTTTTCTGAGCATAAAAATTTCTCGACCTTCCCTCTCTTCTACCTCTCCTCCGCCCTTTATAACTCATCACAAATTCCTTATACTAACTTGGCACTACAGAACAACATTACCCCTACTTCCGAACTTGCCATCAAGTCCGACTACCATCTCTTCAAGAAGGGCGTTCGTCCCGAATGGGAGGACCCCCAGAACAAGCACGGTGGCAAATGGGCCTACCAATTCAAGGAGAAGCGCACCGTCCCCATTGACGATCTCTGGCTGCACGTCCTGCTGTCTGCTATTGGCGAAACACTTGAGAACGAGGGCGACGGCGAGGTCATGGGCGTCGTTGTCAATGTCCGCAAGGGCTTCTACCGTCTTGGTGTCTGGACCCGCACTGTTGGCAAAAGCGTCCCTGGCGGTGGCGATGGCGATGTTGCCGGTGGCAAGGGCCGTACCCAGGAGAAGGGCAAGGATGTCCTCTTGGGCATTGGCCGTCGCTTCCGTGATGTCCTCAAGCTCCGCGACGGTGAGCAGGTCGAATTCTCGGGCCACACCGATAGCGCGCACAGCGGCAGCACGAGAGCCAAGGCCAAGTTTGTTGCTTAATTTGTCTTTCTTCCAATCTCGTCTCCTCACCAGTCCTATTTTCTCTCGCGGACTCTACACTTAATCCCTTTTATTGATTTCTTGTTTGTCTGTCTCTCATGAGGCGTCATCTATGAGTTCATATTGAGGATGGAGAGAGAAAGACAGAGAGAGACAGATGATGAAGGGCGAGTGCATTGTGATGCGAATGTGGTAGCAAGGGATGGCATTCCCACCTTCCATCTTGCTTCTTGCACGATTGGGGTTTCAACTGTTTTAATATAGCATGCTGCATGGTTTATTTGAAGCGGCGCGGCATCAATTATCTACATAAAAAAGGGGACGACAATGGTTTGATGCCGCTGCCGCAAAAAAGTGGGAGGTTGAACAAGTGGCCCTCCCCTTTTCATGATCTTTTCCCTTTTTTCTCCTTTTCCTTTCTTTCCCTTTTCTACGTCTCTTTTTTCTTACCATGAGTTTACGGTCAACCACCTTTCGAGTATTGACATCTTTGGGGTCTGCTACGGGAAATTCGAAAAATCTCTTTTTTTCTCGGGGCTTTTTTTCTCCGCGTTCGGCGCTTCCTGATTGATTGAATGATTGATTAACCGGGGCATCTTCTATCACCTTGTGTAACTTGTAGAAATACCATTACTCAATGATTATATGCTTATACGCATAAGATTATGGAAGTGGATACTGATCCAGTGTATGTTTTTTTGATGAGGGGTTAGCATGGAGGAACGATTTCAACTTAAGAATAAAGCACCTAAGATAGAACAGCATAAGGAGATACCGGAGGAAAACCTAGATTCGCTAGAAATGTATCATGTAGAATATAAGGCATAAAACATCATAATAGTAACAGCGCCTGGTAGCGTGGTAGCGCAAGAGGTATAAGGAGCCAAAGCAGGCATACATTGTAGAAGTAAAGGGGGAAAATGGGGAAGAGGGAAGCAAACACGGAGAATAAGGGCCCAAGGGGTTGACTTGGAAGCACGAATATAGTAAATGAAGAAAGGAAAACAAAAGTCTATGCGGGTACAAGATGACAGCCGAGTAGACCGCGTCCACCCCAGCCAGAGCGTGGCGTGAGATGTAAGAGTAGTTCCTGGTCGGCTTGGGTCATGGGATTTTTGCGAACGATTTTGACTTGTATTGGGCGCTGTGATAGCCACAAGGGGCATACGTTAGCCTTTTGAAGCGTAGAAATTGCGAAGAGTTGTCAGACATGTCAAATATATCGGAATATACTTACACCTTCGTTTTGCCGCACCACCTCAGCAACCTTTGTCAACTTCTCGTGATTCAGCCACGTCGCTGTGCCGAACCGTCGCACTCTGTCCCCGGCCTTGAGACCAGCTTCATCGGCCGGACTACCTTCCACTACGCTATTGACTTTGGCAAATGGTGTCTCGATAAGTCCGGACGCGCTCGCCGCGTTGACGGATCCTGGCACGCTACTCGCTGTGGAAGCGCCGCCTACTGTTGGACCTTCGTGATGAGTTGCAGGTGGTTGTGATGTTGCGGCGGCGGCGGCGGCGGCAGCTGCAGAATAGTGCGAGTGAAGGCCTGTTTCGATCTTGGACATGAGGTTTTTGAAGTCGTTGCGGAGGCGGATGATTCGAGCTCTAGTCGTGCGAACTGTTCGATGAAAGTCCATGCGTAAGTAAGGGCTTGTTGTAAAAGACAAGAGCATTTGGCATGATAGATAGCTTTGCCAGGTGGAAGGGAGAAAGGAGCAGTACATACTCTGCGCGACGTCGATATCTGCTCGGGGGTATCCGTCGAATGTGGTCAGAGAGGTATTCATGTTGACATTATGCTATATCAAGTCAAACATGGAAACGTTAGCTAGATGTCTTGGGTGAAATTAAATGCAAAATATAATGACCAACAGAGTCAAGTACGCTCCCAAGGGCTTTTAATTCTTCCTCCACCTTGTCCTTTTCAGCAATGAGCTCCATTAAGGAGAGGTGCTCCAGGTTGCTGCCATTGGCAACCCCGCTGCCGGATGTCGTTGGCCCGGAGGTAACTGTTGGTGCGTGGATGTCGTCCATGGGTAGACCCATCTGACTGAAACAAAATCAAATACAAGGTCTTTTGTTTCAAACCGATTAATGTCAGATATCCTTGATGAGATGTTGTATCTGGCGTAAGCTCTGCCTTTTTTATTTTGACAGAGTGCACATTGAATGAATTGGTTAAAGTGCAGATTGGGCGGGGCATCTTGTTCCGATCCGGGGCGGGACCCTGGGGAATTTTTCCGGATCCCCGAGAGGCGGCGATCCCACAGCGTCACCACCACTGCTTTGTTTACAACGTCTTCAACAGAAAGAGATCACCTGAACTCGAATCGCAGTGAACGCTTTCACCATTGAGTGAACTGATCTTTCGCAACTGGCTAACCTTCAGATCGCGTTGACCTTTTTTTATACCATAGAATTTCATAATGTCATGTCCTAAGATTTCGATCTACCTCGCTCGATGCGCTCAAAACGCTCGAAGCAGCTTCTCTCTGGTCGTTCCTTCCTTATTGTCTATTGATATTGCTCTTTCCTCGTCAATATCCGATTTTTTGCTTTTTCCTGAAAATTGTAGAGCGTTGTTTACAATGGCTGTTGATACTCAAATAGTTTTGAACCAATGTTTTCATTCATCACCTGTCTCTTTGCTTTGGCCCATGGATTGATTCGTTCCCTCAGCAGCATCCCAGTCTGCAAGGACTACAGTCACTCACTTCGGAGTCCACATTGCGTCTTGCAACAAGTGATATCGCTATAATGGCTCTTCTACCACATGGTCGTTTCGATTCTTCTTTGCTTAGTGTCGCACATTCGTGGTCAGGCACCCCGCCTCCCCTTCAAGAGTCTCAAAATACTCCAGGCACCTTACGGCATCATGATATCCGGAGCCCTTCATCGGGATCTTTCATCTCAACGCCATCTAGACCCGGCTCGTTGAAAACAAGGAATGAGAATGAACCGCCTGGAGCGGTTTCGGGATCATCGCTCCACCTTTCAGGTCTGCTGACGCCTTCAGATGTCTCGCGCAAGTCATCTGGTCGTTTCTCTCAAAAGTCTCAAAAGTCCCAGAAGTCCCAAAAGTCTGGAAATTCAAACCGGATTCCAGAGCCTCCACAACCGGAGATCCCAACGAAGCATAACGTTGCTGTCGAATCTGGGGATCTTGAGGAGATCGATCTCGGCCCTCCCCCACCCACTTTGCGTGTTCGGAATAATCCTAGCTCAACGCCTTTATTTGGACCTAGAAACTTTCTTGATGTGCCTAAAAGGGATGCGACGATAGAAGGTACGCCGAGTACACTAACAAGTGCAACGCCGAGTTTTCAAGAGACTACAGCTCAAGCCAAAAAACCGGAGCATTCGGCCAAGTGGATTCATAAGTGGATGGGGTCACTCAAGAAGAAAAGTTTAAAACGGCAGCAGGCTGTTGTTTCCCGTCTTGAAAGGCAGCCAATGGATGATTTTGATGATGATGTCTGCTATCCGCTTCCTGATATTCTGGATACTAATGATGAAGCCACCAATAGCAGAAAAGCCCCTTCATTCAGTTCCACCGCTTTTGTGACTGCAGTCAAAACGGCAAGTCTCAGCCTAGCAAGCCTTGGTGCTCCAGCGCATCGAAAAAGCGCCAGATCCTCTCGTCGCAGGAACACCAACAGGAGCAGTCGTCTTTCCTTTAGAGATGGAAGGAGATCAACTGATAGCCGTCCAGAGAAACCACTGATTGATGCAGAAATTTGGGATCGCTCAGTGAAACGTCGGAAAGCCATCGAAGAGCTTATCAGTACAGAAGAAAGTTATATCGCCGATTTGAAACTTCTTAGTAATGTGCGCGGAACGTCAACAGATAGAACAGACCTATGCTTACTTTGATTTGCTAGGTGTATATTTCTCTGCTCGCAGAAGTCCCTGAAGTTTCTCCGCAAACTCGTGCATCAGTTCACCACTCCCTTAATGAGATTCTTCAATTACACGAGGATCTTCTTGGCGAGCTATTTCGTGTCGTTCCTTATTCAGAATACAGCCAGAAACAATATCGACAACTGCCGACGGCTGATTTTCGCAAGCACACTCGCTGGCATAGCGCGGATGGAGCGCGCTCAGACGTAGGCTTGAAAGGTGCAAGCGAAGCCAACGGAAAGCGAAAGGCACGGCTTTCTCTTGATGCAGCTGTCCTAAATAGCGTGGAGACCCGTGTCCTTTGGGCCGAACCCAAAACAGCTGGTGACGTTGCTAGAGTATTTGACAAATTGGTATGTGCTTCTTATGTGAGTTCGAGGGCTTTATTAACCTCTGACTCCTCTTTATTCCTTTTAGATGATACGGTTTCTCTCCTATGAAGACTATGTTGCAAAGCAAGAACACCTGCTGAGTGGGATCTCTTCATTTTGTTCAGCAATTCCAGAGTGGCATACCTATGAAAGGGGAGTAGAAGTCTTGGCAACTTCTTTAACATCAATCAGTAGCCGAGAGGATTTGAGCAAAAAGTCATTGCAAATAAACGATATCATTAATAAGGTAAGTCAGAGATGTACGCTGGATATGAACAGGTAACTAAATTAAGCATTGTAGCCTGCGCAAAGAGTTCTCAAATATAAGCTTCTGATGGAAGAACTCAAAAGAGATACGCAAGTCCACGACTGTCCGGACTCTTATGCTGAGTTAGAAAAGGTTATTTATCGCCTTGCACAAACGACCAAAGCAATTGATAATGCTACGGACGATCCAGTCATCCGGGAACGAATCGAAAAGACCTGGTTGCTCCAAGACCGGCTAATCTTCCCCCAAGAGGTAGCTCTGAAGAAGTCGTACGATGCAAAAGGAGCCTGGACTAACATTTCGCCTATAGCATCAATTTGCGCGTTTCAATACCCTCCGTCATCTTGGACAGGTGTCACTTTGCGGGGCTCTTTACGTCGCCTTTGAGACCGAAGTAGGAGTCCATGGAGCTTATATGGCATGTGTTTTGTTCAATCACCATCTTCTTCTTGCCACCGCAAACCGAGGAGACGGAGCTTTCACTGTTGCTGTCTTGATATCGCTGGAGGACCTCCAAATCCTATCACCGCAAGAAGGGAAAGGTGAGGTCAGCCCTGCATAGCACCAAGTACTTTGAACTGAACAGCTGCAGGTATTTGGTGCCGAACCGTGCCTTTTGCCTGGAAAATTGCTTTTAAATGTGATCAGATGCTCCATGAAATTCTTCTATGCGCTTGCTCTGCTAAAGAGGAAGAGGCGTGGAGAGGTCTCATATCAGAACGGAGGAAGAGTGATAATCTCGCACATGACTCTCCTGAGATATTCACGCTACTAACGCTGGACATAAAACCCACCGGTTATATGTTTGGCCTTGCTAGTATTCTTGCGCGTCAATCGTCAACCTCTGAAGCCGAAGTCTCTACAAAAGACCTAGAAGGACCGGAGGTCAATATCAAAAATACCTTTCTCGCAAAAGAAGGCGTTGAATTTCCGCAGAGTTCATCGAGTCAACAACACCGACCTGCTGTGGACGTCTCTTCGAAACGTACAACAACGCTTACTCCAAAGCGCATCGAGAGAGGGCGCATTGAGAATGCTTTATCCGATGTTTGGACTAAAGAAATTTTGCCGTTTCCTTGTATGGCGATGAAGCGGGGCGAAAACGTGGTCCGGGTTTCAGCCAGTTCAATGATGCGCAAGCTCAGTATTGCCAGCATCGCAACCACATTCACAAAGCGATCTACAAGCTATACGCTTCCAAGTCGGCCAAAAACGGCTGAAGGTCAACGGCCAGCAGATACTATTCACGAATTGACGGGGACAGCCGAAAAGGCCGGCATAGAACCTGCCAGAAATCTCAGAGGTAGCCAAGGAAAATCGTCCACATGCAGCGAGAAACGGCAAGATCTTGGTCCAGCGCAATCCCGAAAGAGCTCTTTCAGCGATAAGGTGAAGCGGTCGCTCAGTGGGAAGCGTGCAGCTGACCTTGAAGCTGACAAGGCTGGAGCCTTGGAGACCGACGATGAAAAGAAAACGGAAGATGAAACCAAAGCCGAGAAAGAAAATAAGAGGATTCGAAAGAGAGAAAGCTTTGGTAACCACCTGAGGGGACTGGGTGCTTCTAAACTCAAAAGAATCTTTGTTTCCCAGTCATGAATTTGGGGGAACATTTCGAAATTTTTTTTGTATCTTTCCGAATACGTCGCCGCTCGTGAGATATGACCACCAAACCATGATTGGATCATCGCACCATCAGTACCAACAACAAAACATTGCAGGGCTGTATTAAACGTTGCATACTTAATTGGTTTTGAGGGACAGAAGTCGCTGTCTGCCATACTGGTGGAAATTATGACGGGTCAGAGGGCAATGGATTGGATTTGTTGAACAGGCACGATCCGGCGAGGATGAGGTTTATGATGTTTATGATGATGCTTTGATGGTATTAATTTGAGGGGGCTTTTTCGCGCCTCGGACCAAATTGTTTGATGACTCTATATTGATAATACCAGAACAAAGTGTAAAGTAACGTTGTACTCGTACAACTCACACGACAATTTACTAGATTGGGACAAGGGTTGCAGGATGTGAAGCTTGGTTCTTTTGTTTGAGCGGGCTCTGGTATATTTGCCAGGGTGATGCATTGATTGATGCATCGTCATTGCCAATAACGTTGTATTACTATGGGGTTCGACCGACTTCCATGATCGTGTTGACGTTAAGTGTTCTCGAAATGACCCCTTTGTGGGGCTTCTGGGGTAATATTAGTTAGTGTTGATTTGTCGACTCTTTAACTGAGTTTAGCGTGGGATGGATCTGTCGTGGCAGCCAAGGTGAAGGGGGCAGATGACGATGACGTTATGACGTATGTTGCTTTCGTTTCTCCCTCGGCATTCCCAGGTAACGCAAACCCAAAACCCCACTGAGCTGCGGGCCCCTCCACGTCAGGTACAAGTGCCGCATTTGCCCTACTGCTGCAACAAGTACTTATTGCTCCTTCAATCTCTTTCTTCAGCTTCTTCCCTTCTATATTCTTCATCTTCTAACCTTCACAACTCTCACTTTCACGCATCACTCCACAAACAAAAGCTCCCTTTCCTCCACAAACTCTCAAAAACCTTTTACCCTTTTCTTTCAAAAGATTAACCACCAAGATGCCTAAGGGAAACGCTCCTCAGACCAAGGTCCACTACAAGGGCCAGAACGAGGACTTTATCGTCTTCGTTGACGACCGCGAGGCGGTCCTCAACTGGAGAAAGGACAAGTCTATCCCTCTCGCCCAGGTCGTTAGCGGCTGGAAGTTCTTCAAGACGCACAAGTAAGCTTATGCCCCATATTCAGCTTCTTCCAGAGCTCTTTTCTAACATCTTCTTTCTTCAAAAAAAGGCACGGTACCCAGGGTGTTCTTGACGGTGCCTCCAAGGGCGACCTGCAAAACGAGTTCGGCTCCGATGACGATGACACCGTCATGAAGGCGATCCTTGAGAAGGGTGACATCTTGCATTCAGAGGTTCGTATTCACCTTGCTTTTTACCTCTTTGATTTATATACGCCTGCCCAAAATTTGGTGATACGGAAATAAACGGATCCTAACATGATGATTCGTCTACAGGCTGCTGAACGCCAGGGTCCTAAGAACGACAGCAAGGGTCCCATGATTTCTCACTAGACTACGACGATCACGACTCTTTGACGACTCGTTTCGGAATTTTTCTTTGCTCTTAATATCCTCAAAAAAATATCAATGGTTCGATGCGGTCGGCGTTTTGAGCGGCACCTCTCAAAGAGATTTGAGTTGCATATATAGTCTTTGATCATATGTAGCCGCCAATCCCGCCAGGATGCGTTCATCCAACCGCCTGCCATTCCTGCCATCATAGCTATCGGCATCTCCATTTTTTTTATTACGAGATATCACGGATGGGGTCTGAATCAGCATTAGGTGTTAGAGAAGCGGGATACACGCTGGCTTAGTTGGCTGCATTATCCTCGTATTTGAAATAACCAAATACCAAATAAGATATCCAAACAAGTAAAACCATTTTCGTTCCTCTGTGAATGCATGCGAGTTGTGCCAATCTACTTAATTCATGCGAATACGACACTTGAGTTAAGTTTCAGAGTTGAGACTTGATGTGATCTCACACGGATGACCCCGTCCGCTTCCGCGGGGGAAACCAAGAAGGCGCAGAGCTTTGCGAGCGAGGGAGCTACATAGCTTCGGTTCGGAGCTCTCTAGCTACCCCAAGGGCCATCTTGCCCAGTACAAATATTCGTAGAAACCGCAAATCTTTTGTATTTACTTTTGAAGCTCCTTTTATAGCTGCGACTATTTGCAAGCTTACGAATTTGATGTAAGACTTCCTTTATAGTATCAATCTGAGACCTCAAACTTCCTGTTCTCCATCATCAGCAGCCCAACGAGACAATAGGAGGGCAGCGGTGTGACACATGTGATCTCTCTGCGGGCTTATCTTATCTGATGCATCTCATTTCCCCAACGCTTGGGTGTAGGAGAGCAGCGGTCTGGAGCCACTGAAGATATGACTTAATTACAGGAAAGGACGACGGGGAGTCGAGGGCCAATTGATATGAAAATCAAAAGAATATATAAATCTCAAAGGGGGTATATATGCAAAAAGTATTTCGCCATGATAAGGAGTTCCGCAATGCTGAGATCGAAAATGGCCCAGTGAAGGGGGGAAAGACACTGGCAATAAAATGAACAGAAAATACCCGTGACTCAATTATCCACCCACTCATTCCTCTCTTTGCGTCTCTTGATTGCCCATTCGCCCAGAGGTTTCCAAATAGCTTCCTTCTCATGGGGTCTCAACGATGCTGCGAGACCACTCGTGCTCGTCGCTACAAACACCTTTGCGCCATTCCAATCCGGATCCCGCTTCACATGGTGTATTATCTGCGCATGATCTTCTCTCATGGTTTCCGAGCCACCGAGAATGTCACTTCCATCACCATGTCCCGTGCCCATGTTTTCTTCTTCGTCTTGCCATCCAAAACGGAACTCGTTCTTTGTGATCCCTCTCCCGTGCTTCACGCGCCATATGCTTTCCCAGATGCCCTTTCCGACAATACACACTGCTTCAGGCCGCCATCGTCGTATTTTTGCCTCGAGAATGCTCACCCCCGCGTCCATTTCGGCTTTGCTTAGTTCGCTCTGGTTCGCGGACGGGCGGGCAACAATGTTTGTGTTTCCTAGCCCATAGAGACGTGGTAAGTCGACGTCTTCGCGAGCTTCGCAGCGCCGCGATGTAAGCCCCGATGAGTGGAGAAGTTTCCAGAATAAATTGGAAGGGTGCGAGTATGCGTGCCCCGTCTGAGCGGTCCGCACGCCGGGGTTCACGCCGATGAAGACGCAGATGAGGTTAGGCGCGAACACGTCCGGCAACGGAGGTAAGTGGGCGTAGCGTGAGGGAGGGGCATAGCCTGCGGGTGAGCGCCGGGCTTTCTTTCGTGGCGATGGGGTCCGTGATGTAGATAGTGAGGCGGCGTCTGAGGAATCGGTGATGCGTCGTTTGGAAGGGGAAGAGAGAAGGGCGTTAGCGGGAACGGGTGAGAGAGCGGAGGCGGTGGTAGCAGATGAGGCGGCTCTTGTGCTGGTGCGGGTCTTGGGAGAGGTGATGGCTGATAATGATGATGAGGATGGCGATGCGGGTGCAGAGGTTGATGTGGATGTGCTCTGCATAGACCTCGTTGTTGGTCGCCGCACATAGGCAAATTGGTCGAGTCGGCCGTTAAATGAAGGCGGTGGGCGAAATGCTGATTCTTCTTCAAGAGTCCCTTCTTCGGCATGTGCTTCCGCGTTTTCTATTGCTTCTAAAGTTTGAGGAATGGTACCGTTGGGTGCGTCTGTTGATACAAGAGAGGCAGGTTGCGTATCTTCAGCAACTGGGCCTTTTGAGGTGGGAGTGATTGCTGCATCATTGGCAGACTGTGGTCGTCGTGGCATATTTAATTTCTATAATTTTTATGAAATAATTGGTTTGTTTTGACGTCTGACAGCTGTGTTTAAAAGAGCAAGAGCTATGGATGGTTGCACCTTCCTCATCTAGTGATGGTCTCTCGCGTACGTCATTGGATTGGGCTTGACACGGGAGCCAATAATGCTTCCTATTTTGGACATGTAATTGCTCTGCCGTGTGCCATGTTGACAAGTTAAGTCGGCGACTCAGGATATGTTACATTGTACGGAGTATTTGGATATATGTTCATTTTAAATTATGATTTTGTACAATACAAAAAAGAAAACTAGAAATGTTCTAGCTATAGAAAGGTCTTCGTAAGGGTATCATCGTCCCTGGTATCCGTTCTGGTCATGACAACGGATCCAGCTCATCAGTGGTGGTATAAAGCATTCATAAAACCTCCAAACTCCACTGCCAAGATTTTTTGTATAAAACGCCGACCCTTCGAGGGTGAGATTCTGACATAACGCCAATTTGTACGCCCGCTCCGGAAAGAAATCACAATCGTATAGAGAAACATATCATGCGGCTGTCCTGGGTCGCCGCCTCTTGGGCAGGCTCCATGGTCTGGGACACACGATCTGTGGAAATTGTCAGATTTTTGAGACAAAAGGTAAAAGTATTCGGAGCAGATGGAGTTTACCTCGCCTTCAGTGTAGGCCCAAAAGTAGACGACGATTCCAATCAGGTAGTATAGGGCCGCATTTGTGCCTTGGTAGAGTAGCACGGCCGTCATGACGTTGAGCGGATACATCATGATCCTCCATTCTATCGACTTGTGAAGTGAGAGACGTGAGAGTCTCTTCAAAGGCCATTCCCATGCCAATGTGACGAGACCCAACACCAGATTGATGATTTGTAGTATGGGTATAGGCTTAACGAATCCGTCGAGATTTTTGGTGAGAAAGTCCCAGAAAAACTTTGGCCAGAAGAAGCCTTCGATTGCGGCTGCAACTTGGTCTACCGTCTTATTAGCCTCGTAGAGCAAGACTGAAATAACAAGGTCGTTCAGCATAAACTTACATAAGGCAGCCGTGAGGACAATCAATCTTGCCCAGTGGTTCTTGATGAGGATTCCCATGCCGCAGAGTGGTTTTGAGTGACTCCGGAAACCAGCCGGAGATCAATCATCCAGTTCTTGTCACCAGCAGTACAGACTGATCGGATGTGAAATATTGAATCGCCAGTCTTCATTGAGTGCCATGCATGCGAGTCGAAAGTAAAAGAAACGATGATATCAATGACAGACGATGCATGGATGAGGACGGGAGAAATGGAAGGATTCAAATTACCGGGGACGTGGAACAAGGCAGCCTCATAATGGAGTGATCAGATGCGAGCGGAAAAGGTAGGGAAAGAAAAGATGGGGCTAGAAAGGGAGATATGACTGATGGGGAGGCTAAGGACTGATAGCACTATGAAGCAATCGATGAACGAAAGAGCTGGCTGGACTCTGAATGATTACAAGAGAATATCACAACGACACAAGAGACTAACAATATGACTTGGGCGCTGGTGTTCTGCTCAATGCCAACCGTCTCGGCGCCACTGCTTGGAGCCACAGCGCAAATAGCCCCGCTCGGATTGGCATCGAATCCAACACCGGAGCGCCTGCTGGGGAAGGAACAAGAACAATGACGGCCACTACAATTCGACGAAATAGCGAGTTGGAAATATGCATCCAGAACCACATTTAGGATCCACGTCGTCTTAGACGCTCATGGGTTCCTCATCCCTGGTTGGCTCATGCCTCATCTTCGAGCTATTCTTGGGCTTTGACCCTTTTTTCTTTCTCGACATCAAGTCTGCAGTCCTGTCGACGCTACTCGGGACGATGCGTGATTGAAAGGAAGAGGCTGCACCCTAAGCCGGATCCCAACACCTGGGTCTTGCCCTGGTTGCGAGGTTGGCCCCTGACTGGTGCAATCAGAGTATTTGTGATGGCTGACGAAGGCGCGCTACTGCAAATTGTACTAGAAAGTACACCTTTTGGGAGTCTTGCACCGAAGAAGATCATCTCAAGTCATTCTTGTCACGTTGAGGTCCATGTGCTACCTCCTCGAGCCCGGCTGGCGTACAGAGAATCTGCATCATTTTCATCGATTGGACACGTTCCGTCAAAACCAGACAAGCAGTTGTTAGAGCTTCGTTTACAGTAGTAGCTCTCACCGCCCATATCACAATCCAAGAGCTCATCACACCCGGTCTTTTCCGCCTCACACCACACACGGTGACAGATGTTCTGCGATTCTCCACGAGCCAAACAGTGGAGTGATTCGCACCCAAGCCAGCCATTTTTCAGAAGAGACTGAAGCTTACGGATCATCTTATATCTGGCCCCATTTCCTCGCAAATCCTCATGGACCTACCAATACACCAGAGGTACAGGAACATCAAACAGCAATGGTCGGACTTGAGGAGACTTATGCCAGGTAGCTATCATCTCATAGGTGGAGATCACCGTGTACTCCCGGAAGGTGGCATTTAGGGACTGCCGAACATGGGGCCCCTGAACTTAGTACCTAACCGCCTCGCCAGGAACGGAGCCAATCAATATGTCACTACACGTGGAAGAGCCAGTTCTGTGCTGGAAAATAAAAGGCAGGAAGGATGACAGTTGCGCAAAATGGCTGCGCACGGAGCACATCTGCAGCCCCTCAATTATTGATCACGTCTGGGGTTCCTTCATAGCGCGAAGATGGGCGCGTCGAGGGCAGTGATCATTGGCTCTTTGCTGAAAACCTGCCAAGCGAGCCAACCTCGACCTTGAAGGCAACGAAAGGGACAAGGGACCCCCCAACGACAAGTTGGCGCAACCGTATGGATCATTGAGACACTGACAATCCAATCGTTCAGGTTCTGACTCAAGCAGTCATGGGAAAGAGTGTGGTACTGATCGCCACGATGTCGAGGGTAACCTTCCCTCACTCCCGTCAACGCGGCACAGGTGCCGCAAATATATCTATTTCAAGGCGCAAGAAATTACATATTTGATCAAAGTTCTTTGATTTTGACCTGCCGAGTTTACATTACGCTGTCTGTGCCACTTCCCCACATTCTAGATGTCAGAGCGTCCTCCCGATAGCCGCGCTTGGGTCGCCTTGAAAAGCCATTCATCCTTGTGAGGCGACTACAGCCTGGGATACCAATCTTATTTACCAGGGCTCACCAGTTTTCTGGAATCTCAGAGTGGTTGTTCAACGCGGCGAGGGTGTGTTCTTACGCAGATCAATGTTTTGAAGATCCTAGCCAGCGGTAGCATTCACCCCAGCCTCTGACCGTTATACCTGCCTAAAAAATACGCTTGCTGTGCCGGATCTTTTATGAGACCTGGTAGTGCCGCATTCTGTGTGGCTTGATTGTCACGTTATCAAAATCCAACGCGCGCTTTGAAGGATCCTAAGAGATTACCGCATCAATTGACGTCCTTGTGGGGAGAGTAGGCAAGGTAAAGAAACCACTAGCAAAAAACTCTTGATGCACGGTGACGAGACTATAGATCTAGTCCAGCTTTGCCGCTTATCTCATTTCTATTTCCAAGCTCTTGGCCTTTTCGTGGTCCCCTAGAGCTAGTGCCTGGATTCTTGAAAGACTTAATTTCAGCAGCCCTGGCTACGGATAATAATTGCTTCTGCGGGACCTACCTAGGTCGAAATCACTTCAAACATAGAGTGATCCTGCTTCCAGAGAGCGAGCGGGACGGCACGCCAAGCTTCCCAATCCTTTACAATCAACCTTGGCAGCGTACTGGGAGAAACTCTGCGCCCATAGCCAAGGGTTAGCAAACAGCGCGGGCCGCTCTCCTTGAGAGAAGTCCTTTTTTGGGCTTCTCAGGTCTCTAAATTTGTTCTCTCCTATTTTGGTCTTCGAACCGGTGCAGGTCACTGTTTGTTCAAAGCATCAGACCACTATCGTCTGGTACCCAATCCGCAAAGAACCTTGGCCACGGGGAAACCAAAGCGTTCTGCATTGGGAAAGGATCAATTCAATTTTTGTTTTGACGTTGCATGAATCCTGTATTTCACAGTTAGCAAACATTTTCGGCATTCAAGAAGATGAGACAGCAAAAGTCTTGGTGGCGTCGCGAGTTGACTGGGGTTCGACTCCTCTTTAATATTCTATTCCATGGCGGTCACATCGCTATATTCATAGGAGGATGGTAGGATCACTCTCTCCTCACTTCTCTTTAATGTATTCTAATTGTATTTCAGGGTCAACCAAGTCCGAGATAAGCGTCTCTCTGCGCTCAATAAACTTACATTTTCTGTATGGATGTCAAGAGGAGCTGGCCTCGTGCTCGCCATCGATGGGGCATTGATCCTGCTGCCCATGTGCAGAAATCTTCTAAAATGGATTCGCCCCAAGTTGAGATTTCTTCCTCTTGATGAATCGGTTTGGTTCCATCGTCAAGTAGCATACTCCATGCTAGTTTGGACAATCGTTCATACTGCGAGCCATTATGTCAAGTACGCTGCTAGCTGTCTCCTGATTTCGTAAAGGGTTTGACGCTGATATTAAACAGTTTCTTCAATATTGAACGGACTCAGGTTCGGCCGCTTGCAGCTGTTCAGGTCCACTATACGGAAGCTGCGGGCATAACTGGCCACGTTATGCTCTTATGCATGTTGCTTATATATACCACGGCGCACAGAAGAATTCGCCAGCAATCGTTCGAGACGTTTTGGTATACCCATCATCTTTTCGTTCCGTTCATGCTGGCCCTTTATACGCACGCAACGGGCTGCTTTGTCCGTGACATTCCGGAGCCCATTTCACCACTCGCGGGCAAGAGATTTTGGCAACATTGTATTGGCTATCAAGGTTGGAGGTGGGAATTAATTGGCGGAGCCTTCTACTTTGCTGAAAGAGTCTACCGGGAAATTCGCATAAGGAGGCCTACGGAAATTACCAAAATAATCAAGCATCCGTACGGTATGTTCTACATTCAGAAATTCTTCCACCATTTTTATTAGATCTGTCTACTCACGTGCTTTTCTCTCTTCCTTTCTCCACTTCCTCCGTTTTATAATTCTTTTTCTATGATAAACTAACAAGTCCAAGACGCATTCGAAATCCAGTTCCGAATGCCCTCGATGAAATACAAAGCCGGCCAGTGGCTCTTTATCAACGTGCCTGCGGTATCTCGAGGCCAATGGCATCCCTACACCATCACCTCCTGCCCCTTTGATCCCTATATCTCCGTTCACGTCCGACAAGTCGGCGATTGGACGTGCGAGCTTGCTGATGCACTGGGAGCTGGTTCCTCTCAGGCAAAAGTTTACGAAGAGCTCGATCCTCACGGCATGTACGAAGTTGCTATTCAGAATGGCCAATTGATGCCCAAGATTCGAATTGATGGACCATATGGAGCTCCAGCGGAGGACGTATGTACATTTTATCCTCTCCCCTTTTCCTCTTACTAAGTGAAGCATCTGAAATTACTGTACAACACTAAAATACTGCCATACAGGTCTTTGACCACGAAGTCGCCATCCTCGTAGGCACCGGTATTGGTGTTACCCCATGGGCGTCCATTCTCAAAAATATCTGGCATTTACGCTCATCGCCCAACCCGCCGCGCCGTCTACGCCGCGTCGAGTTTTACTGGATCTGCAGAGACACGTCCTCATTTGAGTGGTTCCAGGCCCTGCTTTCTTCTCTTGAATATCAGGACAACCTTGACTTTTTACGTATTCACACATATTTAACGCAGCGTCTCGACGCGGACACTGCACAGAACATTGTGCTTAATAGTGTTGGCATGGCCAAAGATCCCCTGACTGAATTGCGATCTCGCACGTGCTTTGGACGTCCGGATTTTGTTAGGCTCTTTGCGGCGCTGCGCACAGCTATTTTGGACGAGAGCTATATCGGTCCTTTAGATCGAGATGTAAGTGCCGAAGGCGGTGATGATGCAGATGCATCAAAAGGGAAAAAGGTCAAGAGGGCAGACGTAGGTGTTTATTTTTGCGGACCGAATCCTGCTGCAAGAGAGGTCCGGAAGGCATGTAGATTGGCGAATAGTGATGAGGTTAGATTTCGGTTCTGGAAGGAGCATTTCTAACTCTTCCTGATAGGCTTTGAGGAGGGAAGGGGCGGTGCATATATAGCCTTCTTTCCATGTAACTTTCGTTTCTTTTTCCTTCCAATTCCGTGCTTCCCCCTCTTCACTTTTGATATCCCCTTTTGTCCATCCCAATTGTATACAAAAGCAATAACATCGTCATTTAAATGACGATACGAAATGTAAGCCAAGGAAAATTCCAATATAGGGTGGATGCGTAACTAGTGAGACGAAATGCCAAACGCAAAGGTCTTGGAGCCGAAAAGGTAAAAGGACACAACCACACTATAAAGTATAATCGAAACTGCGACTGCGTAGCACAAAAATTGTATCAACTTCTCAATTCTTATTTGCAAGTTTCTTTTGTCATGGATATTGTATATTAATAGTATTCAGGTCACATGACATCCACGTTATACCTTATATACCTACCTTACCTAGCATACGTGAAGTTCGAACCTCATCTCTCCTCCCAGATCTTCTTGCAATTTGCCAAGACATTTCTACAACAAAAGAACCCCACAAGAAGAATGAAAGCAGGAAATGTCTACGTTAAAACACAGATATGATAGTATCCATTGACAAACTGAGCGAATCGACATATATCTATCAGAATCTTCCCGATCACACCTTGGATAAAATCAGCACCCTTTGTCCTCTAGACAATGGACGACACCACACATCTGCCTCCTCGAGCAAGGCCAATACCAATACGCTTGGGACTCTGGACCAACTTCCTCTGGAGCTCCTTCATATGACACTCGCTCAGCTCGAAATCCAATCACTCACTGACTTCCGACGCGTCAATCGACGCGCCATGCTCATTGTTGATTCTATTCCCGAATACGCACAAATTATCGCACACGTGCCCATATCGATCCGAGCGATCCTCAGTATCGGCAGTGGAAGCTGGATCTCATGTCAAGACTTATACCAGAAGCTCTGCACCGCTGAATGCGACATCTGCGGTGACTTTGGAGGATATCTCTACCTGATTACGTGCCGCCGCGTTTGCTATCTCTGCTTCGCTTGGGAGCGGGACTATCTCCCACTCTTACGTACGGATGTGCTCCGCAAATTTGGACTCCGGAACGAGCATCTCGCAGGATTGCCGTCCATGAGGAGTCTTCCAGGGGTATACTCACCCCGCGAGATCAAGTCCCGCGCGCGTATCACGTTGATTGATCACAGCACCGCGCGACAGGCAGGCATAGCGCTTCACGGCACGGAGAGTGCAATGGAGCAGTATGCTTCGAACATGGCGTCAAAAAGGCTGGAAAAATACCAGTCGCGAAAATCGCTGCATGAGTTGGCAGGACGAGTTGCAGGGCCAACTCCGCGCCGACCGAGGTCTGAAGATGCGTTCGATGGGGTAGATTCTAATCCGAAGCGCTTCATGGCTATCATCTGTGCGCCATTCTTAGATCGCCGGAGACATGGACCATCTACGTGTATTGAGTGGGGTTTCCAGTGTTTGGCTTGCAAACCGCTTCATTATCATAAACCGTTCCATTGGCGTCGCAAGTTCACAGAAGAGAGTTTCCAAACCCATCTCAGAGAGTGCGGTGAGATTATGGACGGAAAGCATAAGCAAGGAGTAAATTGACTAGATTGAAACATTGGAAATATCACACAGGTGACTGCTAGCTCGCATACAACAAGACAATATTGAAACTGGTGATAGTGTTATAAGGAAGACTGGTTCCATTCTTCACTCATCTCCTGGCAATCCGTCAATAAAGTATATTCGCTATGACTTCCAGAAGATTCAACCTACCTGCGCATCTCGTCTGTGCCAGGTTTCACCATATGTTTTGTGCACATATGGAGAGAGTTGCCCATTGGCATCCAATCCATAGGGGAACATTTGACGTTCGTTCCAAATCGTGCAGCACATTGACTAAACTCCTCGGGCTTTTTACAGCCACAGGTGTACATTCGATAATATTGAATGCACATCTTGACTATGTCAGTCTCGAGTTGTATGTAATAGCAGTTGAGCGATTCGAGGTCAATTCCACCTACCTTTGCAGCGGCAGGACGACAATCGTTCGAATGTCTGACGGATTATTTCGATTACCTAGAATTTCCGGCATCAGAACACTGTGAATGAAGAATGGATTCCGTTTCACTTACCTTCGCGCAGATCTGCAAGTATAACTGCTAACGCGAATTCGGTCTTGACTGGATGTCTTGCTACTAAAAAACATGATGCTGCTGTTTGAGACTAAGTGATCTTTTATACCTTTTTCTTCAAGAGCAAGAAGTACATATGACATACGGCCGCGAATAGCAAACACCATGCGGCGCATATTGCGCCTCAGGGGAAGCGCTCAAAAAGTAGACGACGGACAAATGGGCTTGCAATGGTAACGCTGCCACTTGACTAGCGATGGCTTCCTGATCATTTGCAACCAATCCAGTCTTCAGAATAAGCGCTTGTTTCGTCGTGACGGAGGATACGGTGCTGCTTCAGCGCTATATTTTTAATGCTGGCAGTAAAAAGAAATTCTGACATCGCAAGCGCTTAGGATTACTAGGTGCCTGTTCCGTACTTCATCCCCGATACGCCGTCGCTGAAGTTCATTGGCATTATCACATTATTGGAAACATTCATGTGACGACTTATTTTCGGAGCAATTGCTGTTCTGACCAGGGTCCCTGTTTACTTGACCAGGGTCCCATTCACGCGGAAGGCGTCAACACTAATAGCGCGAGCCGCTCCACCAGTGATATTCCACCTCCTTTCTTCTGGCCAAACCAGGGCTTAAACAATGAATTTTTAGGGATTTCTGCCGTGAAGATAGGTATTATTTCGCTGCCTGAAGAAATATAAATCATCGAAGGTTGTCCAAAACATAAACAGCTTCAAAAAAGATTTATTCCGAATCTTACAGCATATGTGCACGGTCATCTTTCTCAACTTTTGGCCATCCTTGAACACACGATATCCAGCTCGCATTGGTAGTAGTACGACGCTACCAGTGCCCAGTGACCATGTCTAGCCAGCCAAAAATCGAACTCCTTCAATGTGAGGTCGACATGGACGACGACGTCAGTTATTTCCGATTGCTTGTCGAGTCCGAGTCCGAGTCCAAGGTTTCAAAAACTACAGAATCAACCAAATGCATCAAATACCTCACCATCGACCCGGGCCTATTCAGTATCGAAGACATGTGTTTCGGTCCGTCCTTGGTCTCTCTACTTCCTCCCTTTCCGCCAGGAAACTGGAACGACGGGACCATATCCCGGGATGCTACTACCGGCCTCCCACAAATTCACACGCAAGAGGTTGCGCTTCCTGGGGTCCAGAATATCTGGCATCCTCTATTGATCGACTACTTGGATCTTACCATTGGAAAAAAGCTACGGACGGGCATATATGAAGTGTCGTTTGACTCTCCCACGGATTCGAGACTGGGAGCTATCAAGATGCCGGTGGTAGCCAAGTTTGCGCGGTTCTCTTGGGAGATTGGATATCTTGAGAACGAAACGACGGCGTTTGAATGGATACAGTCGGAACCACACGGACAACCAAACGGACAACAGCAACACGGGCAAAAAGAAGATATAGATCAGGGAGAGCAAACAGCTACCAAAAGCCAAAATAATACCGAAAGCATCGGAGGCAACGAAAACGTCGGACCCCGCTTCCTCGCCCATCTGACTGAACATGGACGTGTCATCGGATTCATCATGGAACGTATCACCAACGCGCGACACGCAGAGCCCGAGGACCTCGCGGCGTGTCAAGCGACGCTGAGCCGACTGCACAGCCTGGGGATCAAGCACGGGGACATCAACCGGTTCAATTTCCTGATCATACGAGAGTCACCCCCCTCCTCCTCCACGGCCATTCTGATAGATTACGATACTGCGCGGAAATGCGATGACAAGGAGGAACTGCGTCGAGAGTACGACGATTTGGCGAGGTCTTTGCAGGATCCGTCGGGTAGAGGCGGTGGGGGCGTGTTGTGTAGTGGGGACTGTGACGGCGGTGTAGACTAAGGAGTATATACCTTAGAGTAAGGAGGACGTTCGTAACTTAATGTGAGAAAAATGAGAAAAATGAGGATAGAACGTTTATTGCAGTCATTGCCCACAGATCATGACGCGTGCGTATATGAAAACAAAAGTCACTCGGACAGAAATGTGTGCGATGTCGTGAGGGATGTTAGGAAAAAAAGAATTAGAGAAGAGAAAGAATCATTGCAAGGACAAGCACCCTAAATGCATGAACAAGATTCGCAGTCGTGGGACACCCGAGATTCCACTAGCGCCAGGGCGAGCTATTGCAAGGGAAAAAGAAGCACATTCCGTCAAAAAGAAATTGAAGCTAATTGATGACATTTTGCTTTACTTGTTTTGGCTATTGGCGGTATTATGAGAAGCAAAGAAGAGGAGAAAGAAAAAAAAGGCCGAGGCAGGTGGGAGAATGGAAAAGGAGTCATATAAACATCTTCGGATAAGTGTCAAATAATCCCATGAACAGCAAAAACAACACAGTCGCTCGTCATTCATCGTCATCATCTTCTCTAATGCGTCAACAAGTACTCTACTGCCCCTTGCACACTTCCGCCTGCCCTGCGTAATGCTTCCACGTTGCGCTCAAACTCGTAAAATCCCATCTCGTTGAGCTGGCGCAGTTGCTCTGCGTACCGTTCCTCTGGCGGCCGGGTATCTGGGGGGTTGCTGGGGGTGTCGCCCATGGCGCCGAATGGATTGAATGGGTTCGCTCCGCCTGCACCAGCGCCGCCGCCAAATGCTTGCATCATTTGTTGCATAGCTTGTGGATTTTGCATCAGAGAGTTGATAAAGGGGTTGTTGAAGGGATTAGACTGTTGTTGATCGGATGATGTCGTCGATCCGGCGCCCTGGTTGGTGGGCGGCTGGCCGCCGAACATTGCGGGGTTGAAGAGTGCAGCGAATGGGTTTGGTGGCGGCTGGCCTTCCTGTGGAGCAGGTGTGCCTTGACCAGCAGATGCAGCTGGAGGTGGCGTGCCAGCTGGTGTTGTGCCGGCAAACATGGGGTTCAGCAGAGGATTGTTAGGGTTAAGGAGAGCAGCGAACGGGTTCGCCGGTGCTCCGGCATTGCCTGTGTCGCCCAAATTGCCAAACAAGGAGGCGAACGGGTTCTGTTGTGCTTGTGTGTTGCCCGTTGTGTCAGTCTGGCTGGGAGTCGCGGTGCTACCGGCGCCAGTAGCAGCGCCGTCACGGGGAGCCTCTGTCGTGTTTGTTACGCCAGGCATAGGAAAGCTGCTGTCACCGCTGGGCCCGCCCATGCCCCCGAGTCCGCCCATGCCCAAGTCGCGTCGTAGTTGTGTCATTCGGCGAATTGTGTCCGGGTCAGTCATCATTCGGCGGAATTCCGGAGATTGCATCATTTGCCGTACGTTGGGGGCCATGTTCCGTAGCATTGGATTTTGCTGAATCATCATATCAATGACTTGCGGGTTCTGCAGGGCCTCATTCATCATAGAAGCAAATTGTGGGTTTTCGAGCATTGAAAGCATCTGTTCTGGGTCGGGCGGAGGTCCCATCTACATCAATCACGAGTAAGCATAAGTTCCTTGCACACCGGGACTATGGAATACGTTATTTGACTTACACCTCCATCTGGACCAAACATATCTGCTCCAGGCAGTTGAATGTGTCCGGCATATCGTGCGCCCGTAAGGCCCGCTAAAGGATTGTTTCCTGTACCAGCCGCCAGGTTTGTGGGGACACCCGCAGCGGCTGAGCTACCAGGCGCCGTGGAGCTTGCAGTGCCGCCCTGGTTGGCAGGGTTCTGTCGTTGGTTGCTAGCCGCACCTTTAACCAAGTGGATCGTGTTTCCTTCTTTGACCTTGTAGCTTCCAAGTGTGTCGGGGTCTTTCAGCACACGGCCTGAGTAGATGAGCCGTTGTCGTTCGACGGGTAGGTCGGCATAGTTGGGACCGGAGAGGCGTTCCTTCAGTTCGCGAACGGTTGTGGAGAGGGTCAGGGTTATGGTATATTTGGCATCATTGGAAGCCTTGACGGTGAAGGTGACAGGACTGTCGTCGGAGAAGGAAGGCTCTCTGGCTCGAGGTGGGGCAGCTTGGTCCGCCATAGCGGTAAGGGACACAGCTACGATGCAGCAGCTGTTTTAGAGATTTTTTAGTGAAGTGACAAGTTTAGCCTCTTTAAAGATGCTTGAAAGAGGTTGCTATAAACCAGAGAGAGCAAGAGGAGGCTGAAGTGTGGAGGTAAACGGTGTTGTAGGAGGCTGAAGTTGATTCAGAGGAGTAGCCAGTGGTTGGTGAGGTGCGTGATGATTGATGATGGAATCGCCAGGAAGCCCGCAGAGCTAGACAGCGGTACCTTTCTGCTCACCAATCACATACGGGAAGATAAGTACTGATACCTTATCAGTCCACACCATTAAGGTATTCTCCCCACATGGGTCATATCAAGCTCCTCCAACATCATCATTAAGAATATGCTCACATCAGAAATTATAAGAGCTTGTTCAACTATTCAAAATATATGACATGTAAGTAGATAATGAGTCTTATATGCGAAGTTTTTAAATTGCAATACTGCGAGAGTGTACAAAGGCTTTTACCAGAGCTTTGACCGAATCTACCATATCCGATTATCAGCTAATAAATGTCAGAAACAAAGAAAAACAAAGAAAAACAAAGAAAAATAACAAAAATCAATACTGCTCTTCAAGTACGAAATCCTTATAGAGATCCAATGGGAAAAAAGCCCGCTGCACGAAGATCAGAAATAACAACTCTCCGATTCCAAAAATGTATGGCCGGCTCCAGGTAAACAAATGATTGCCCCCTCTTTTCGACTCCGCCAGGTTCCGCTTCATGACGACAGTCTCAGTTATGCAACTAGAAAAGGAAGACGTTGTGCAGTTCCAACATTCCACTACAGAGCCTCATAATGTACATGAAGCGTGACTGTCTATTTTCCGTCTGCATCGGATCTAATCTGCCCGGTATGACTTGGCTCCAAGTGTTGTAGATATGGCCGAGGACCTCGGCTCCCCCGCGAGACACTCCCCCACAAGTTTTAACTGTTTTCAGGGTCTTGAGCTACTCCAGTGCACTGAATATAAGAAATCATCATCCACCGCATCATGTAGACTCTGCATAGCGTGACCTTCTTTCCCAACTGCTTCAGGCTTCAAGCCTCTTATAAACTCTTCCTTGGATATTATCTTACAACCAAAATGCGAGCTATCCAAGTGAAGCAGTACGTCAAGGTAGTAATCTCCACGTGCCTTTTTTTACCCTATATCTCTCTCTTTCATGCTAAACATGAAACCATCAAACAAATAAACGAAACTGACACACTCCAGGGTCCCTCTGAGCTCACCGTCTCTGAGCTCCCTGACCCTATCCCCGCTGCAGACGAATACCTAGTCGCCATCCACGCATCCGCGACCAACTTCTTCGACCTCTTGCAGATCCAAGGCAAATACCAGCTCCAACCGCCGCTGCCATGGGTCGCGGGATTCGAATTCGCCGGAACCATCCTCCAAACCCCTCAAGCTACAAAGTCCCGCTCGCCTAGGTTTGCTGTCGGCGATAGAGTCTTTGGTGCAGGCCAGGGCGGATATGCCACTAAGACGACAGCCAAGGAGGGATTCTTAAGACCGATTCCACAGGGTTGGGACTTTGTCGATGCAGCGGGGTTATTTGTCACAGCGCCAACGAGTTATGCCGCCTTGGTTACCAGGGCGGACATTAAAAGAGGTGAGTTGTACAAAGCAGTCCAATTAGTCCCCTCGTCTCTTGTCTCCAGTACATTGAGTATCTACGCGCCAATATAATATCATAAACACCCAGACCACAATGAACCAACGCAAATGAAAAGGAATAAACTGCTTAACAAATAACAAAATAAACAGGAGACTACGTCCTCGTCCACGCTGCTGCCGGCGGGGTCGGTCTAGCCGCCGTGCAAATCGCCAAAGCCCTCGGCGCCGTCGTGATAGCCACCGCCAGCACGCCAGCGAAGCTCGACATCGCGAAATCATACGGCGCAGACCACGTCGTATGCTATCATAGCTCTCAGAACCATCGAAAAGCCGGCTCTCCCCCTTCTCCATCAACCCCATCCCAGCCCAAATCCTCGGCCTTGTCAACCACGAGCAGTAAAAAGCCCAGCAAGCCAAAACGCAACGAACCGTCATGGCCCGATGAGGTCCTCTCACTGACCCCATCGCGTCGCGGCGTCGACATTGTCTTTGACCCTGTCGGATTAATTACTCCTTCACTCAAATGTACCGCATGGAACGGCCGACTTGTCGTCGTCGGCTTCGCAGCAGGGGCTATTGAAAAAGTCGCGATGAATCGGGTCTTACTCAAGAACGTCAGCGTGACGGGACTGCACTGGGGACAGTATGCGCGACATGAGCCGCAGACGGTGGAAACGGTCTGGCGGGAACTGTTCAAGTTGATGGAGAGCGGGAAATTTAAGGGCACGGCGTTCAAACCTGGCATCGTGAGCGAGGGCAAGGGCAAGGGCGAGGGCGAGGGAGACAAGGCCTCCTCCACCCCCTCACCGTCATCAATTTCAAAGAAGAACGACGATGGGAAAGAAGAGGTCCCGTATGTCGGTCTAAATTCAATCCCTGAAGCTCTTAGGGCACTTGGAGCGCGCGAAACGTGGGGGAAAGTCGTAGTGCGAGTTCCGCAGGATGACGATGCTCAGACGCCGCAGGGGGTGAAGAGTAAATTGTAAATTGCAACACTGGATGTAGAAATCCAGTGGATTGGATCCAATATATCAATGCAAATTCCTTCATCTACTCGCGCGCATAATGGCGGCTCTTGGAAACAAGAAAAAGGAGAGGCTGATCTGTCTGTATACATGAATAGAATAAGAAGTATAAATCTCTTGATGAAGATAAAAGATGATCTCGAGAAGTGAAGGTATTAAGCAAGTATTAATACAAAGGAATAAAGAGCTTCAAATGCAACATAAATGCTTTTGACGGCTATCTAAAAACACCTCCTGTTCTTGTAAAACGCCACTCGGGTTCGGGTTCGTAAGAAGAAATGAAAACGGACAAGGTATCAATGACGAAATAAAGTCTTTCAACAAGCAAAAATTCATGCTATACCGCTGCATTGAAAAACCTCAAAGCATCCGGGGGAACGCCCTTTTCCAGCAACCAATTTTTAGTGGCGACCGAAATGCCGTTATGTTGACAGCCGACTCTTTCGATCGCCATTGCCAATGCCACCACCCGGTGGACTAGGAGGAGGATTGTAGTCTCTTCTCGGGCCATCCACGGGACCAATTTCATCGGCCATGGCATCTTCGTAGCTTGGTGGCGCCACATCCGGGACTGGTGGATGGATAGCGGTCCCTGCATCGCCAGCTTGAGGCGGAAATTGGGAGTATGAAGGCGTGACGGGCGATTCAGGCATTGGTGGTCCGCCAGGGTAAATGGGGGCAAGACCAGGCCCGGCTGCAGGAGGAACGGAGGGGCCGCCGGGTGGGAGGGAATTGGGAGGCATGGGAGGCTGTTGGAGAGATGGCTTGGCAGTAGCTGCAGTTGCGGCCGCCGCGAGTGATCCGGCGCCGGCACGCATCGCGGCAATAAGCGCCTCAGGCGGGGCTATGCCAGAAAAGACTTCGACTTGGTGCCGGAGAGGAAGCACTATGAGTTCGGGCTAAAAGAAGTGTCAGCGAAAGGGCCAATGGCTACGAACTTGTCGAAAAAGAAAATGAAACGGAAAAGGTCGAAGAAGAAAACGGGAAAGCAAAGGAGCAACGGCGTACCTTGATATTTCCTGGCGTGCCGTATGACAGGCCCAATCGGACCTCTAATTCGTAATGACGCGCAATATTGCATGTTTGAAATGACGGTGCGACGGTGTTTGGAAGCGGAAGTCGGTCCCAAAGAGAACTGTCCACAACAATGTCCTTTCCAGCGGGGTCGGTAGGGCTCCCTAGTGGTTTGGCCAGGTTGCTCACAGACCGTATCACCCAGCTGCCTACTTCCGTGCGGCGCAAGTCGTGAGCCCGGATATCAGTGTATCCAATCAACTCGATTTGTAGCATCTGAAGAAATATTACTTCTGGCGACTCGTTTTGTTTTTGGACAATGACTCGAATGGGAAGTGGTTCGTTGCAGGTTAAGATGGGAGGATTTGGTAATCGCACGTCTACGGAAACGCGGGGCGCGGTCAAAGATGCAGCTGAGCTATTACGGGCCTTGAGAGCTTCAAAGAGACCTTTCTTCTTGGGATAGGGGGCCAGACCGGCGGTAAAATTGTGCTGGCGACGAGCATATCGCTCCTCCTTGGTAGCCGGTTGTCGTGGTGGCTCAATGGGAAAGAACTTGAAGTCGGAGAACTATGTACGGATAGAAGTTAATCGCCGCGCCTCAAGGTACAATATGCGTGGTATTCCAGAGAAAATGGTCTTACATCTCTAAAATTCTCCTTGTAGAACTGCGGACGCACAACTGTGACCTTGACGTAGTATTTAATTTCAGCCTCGCCTGGAAACCCACTGAGCGATGGTGGAAGCGTCCTTTTCACGTGCATATTCGGGTCGCTGATCATGTCGAGCCGCAGGCCAGCAATATGTAGGCTATTAGATGTTAAGCAGTCATTATTGAAAGGTATCTAAGAGGGCAGGTCAGCCAAAAACCACTGAAATAAATGTATTTGGGTCCGTGTACTTTAAATTGGAATGCATATTCGTGAGTTCCCGGGCCTAGAGTGAAGCTTGAGTTTCCTGAAGTATGGCTCTGGATCTCTTTCGAAGGGAAAACGGTCTGTGTTTTATAGAGGAGCTGTAATCAATATTGTCAGCGCACCATTTAGACATTCAAGCATGATTCGAGCTTCTGCACCGAAGGGAATGTGGTATACAGAGTCACTGCCGCGATGTGTAATGCGAACCCATGCGCCTTGGACTCGCATCCAACAAGCACCAGCAAATTAATGTCAGCGTACCTTGTGAATCTCAAGTTCTGTCTTTTTTCGATCTGGGCGATCACTATACGGAGTGCGCGGTCCTGCCAGACGAGTTCGACTCTCTCCTTCAAGCTTGACTACTACCGCAGATATACTCGTGTCGCTCGTTAAATTCAGTGTGACTCTCCCGGAAATGTAATCGAGGTTGGTAAAATGGTTATAAGGTCGGTCAAGCTGTATGCGGACCGCCATTGTTGAAAGAGACACTCGAGTCGAACGACGAGGAAGAGAAAAAGATCGATTCGGTTTGTAGGTCTATTATGCAGCTAGAACGGATCTGAAACCCCCCGTGATAATGCCGTAGGTGTCCTTGTATCTCAGCTGAGGCAGTAGATGACGGTCAGGTCCACCATTGAAATTCCCCGGTCAAGCCCCACTTGATTCTACTTCGGAATGTTAATGCGTAGGGTATTGTTTAAAAGATTTCAAAAGAAGGCAATTTTTGGATGTTCTCAAGATCAAAAGAAGGAAGAGGAGTAGAAAAATGGGCAGCGATGAGTAAGAAGCTGAAGGGCGCAGTGAACAAAGTGCACCGAGCACGGAACGAACTGGAGGAGAGTTGACTATGACGGAAGATGTTGTCGGAGTTCCAAAGTCCCGAGGATGCTGCGCTATAGATAAAAGTCCATCTACTTTTATTATAACCTTATCGAGGGCAAAATACAAGTACTGATACTTAGGATAAAGTATTCGAACAACGATTGGCAGAGCCCTATGGTCCCGCCTCAATCCGCTCTGGGAAATATCAAAATAAGGAGATTTTCTATGCGAAAGGGAACCTGCACATGTACATGTGGCTAAGATGACATGGTAAGGCTATAAATTAGACAAATGAGAACAAGTACAAAGCATCTGACTTATTTATCTGGAAGTATTGGCTACAATTGAGTCATGGTGAGCGGGAATATTTTAGTGAAAATGCTGTGCCACTGCACTGCCACCATCTCTTCTCAGGGGTATAAGCTCTATCAAAAGAAATTGCAAAAGAGGGCATTAGCCGGGTCTCTTCAGCGAGGGATATGCCGACCATTGATGATGCTTGGGAAGCAAAAAATAAAGTTAGTGTCGGCTTTCTTACATGTTGAACCACAAGAAAACAATCACACAAAACTATTGTATCAATTGAAAAAATTGGAGAGCAGCTTGCTGCATTATAGACCCTCTTTTGCAAGCATGTCTGACAGACAAGGAGAGTTAGTTTAGAAACGAGACTGAATTGCGCAAAGATGCAACCAACCTGCGATATCGAGATAAAAGGCAATTGCATTAAAACTGCTCATCATCTGTCAGAGCAATGTGCAGGACGGAGCATCCTTGGAATCGAAAACTCACTTCCGCCGGTTCCCCGTCAATTCCCATATGAACCATTTCAACCGATTTGTCCAATTGATGAGGTCGAGATGACTGACACCGACCAGCGTTCCCTTGTAACCCTCCGGGCCGCCCCATTTGCTGCTTGCTACACTGACCAGGCCGTCGTTGGGTCCTTCAATTTGCTCAATAATTTTCTGAGACTGTCGAAATACAGACCACATATTAGGCACGACCATCGCACCGTATGAAAAGTATCTTCCCTCTCTAATTAGCCACACAATCTGCCACTTTAGGGGAATGTATCCCTACCGAACATGGGGCGAGTCAGGCGTCTTCGGGTTAAAGATCTCTTGCATGTACTTTCGCGTCAGCTGACTGAAAGCGCCGGTCTTCATTCCAAGAGACTCTAATGCATTGTAGATCCTAGGTAAGTGTTCGTCTGCGCGACTGTGAGCCTCAAGAACCGGAGATTCGACAACTTCTTACATACGGCCAATCTGCTCAAAGACATAGTCCGCGAATGCAGATCCTAGACTATGGATCAGTGTTTATTGCAAACAAATTCCAGATGCGGGGAATACCTCTGTGCGGCGTAGCGATAGTGGTCAGAGAAAGGACATTTACATGTGCAGGCTTTAGACGGCTAATCATATATCGCGAGTCAAGCCCGCTGCGCCGGATCAGTCTGAGACCTCGAACACAATTTCTCAGTAGTCATACCCCTGAAACTGTTAGTAAGTATCTATCTTTTGCTTGTAGGGACACTCATACCATGCTATGTCTGTACTTCCGTTAGCTGAGGAGTTTCGTTGGGGCTATGCGTCAAACTTACGCCACAATGTTGACGCTCTTTCCTCGAGCTTTTCGGGCAATAATTCTTCCTAGCTTCTCTGCCCGTTCTTCGATAGACGCCGATGCTGGGACATCAGCGACAATCACTTCAATATTATTTGCTGCGAGGGCCTCGGTGATGCCGCGCCAGTACTGCACGCCAGGCAGGAATTTCCCGGCCAGACGAAGCTCATCGAAACCGAGTAGACCGTGCGCGAGAATTATCGGGTTTTTAGGTGTGTCTAATCCAAATCAGAAAGGAACAAGGCCAAGGGGGGAAGTTTTTCACCTACCGTAGGTAGCCCTCAGTCTCGCGAAGTCGTCGTCAAGAAGTCGCCCAATGTCGCCAAGACGAGGATCAACAGAACGTTTCGGATCATCGCCCGCGCTGGAAGAATACCGGCGAGAAGGGCGCAAAATACGACATGATGCCCAGCATCGTGCGCTAGCTCGAGGCACGATTATTGTCATGCTTCATGTTAGTTCAAAGTACGGCCGTCGTCGCGACGGCATTCTCGGGAGTTTGGAGACCTCGCTTTCGTGCAGTGACGTATTGCGGCCGAGGGGGCCCTTGTTGGAGCTCAAATGAGGTCAATGGGAAAAAATGATTAACTATCAACAACATACACATTTTGGACATTCTGGGCCTTTTCAGACATTGTGGATAAATCAAAATGAAGTTTTATCCATACTGTACATTCAATTGCAAAAAGTAAATAGTGGCGCCGCCCTACTTTCTCAGAGGTCTACAGAAGTATATTGTTGCGCTGCAAAAATGTCAAAGGCCCGTGATCTGAGTAACAATGCAGGGTCATATTAACAAATGTCCTGCTGAAATGGTATCTTAGGTGCATCTATGCCTTGGTAGCGGCAATCTTGCTCGGAACTTCCGGCTTCACGTTAACGACGGCCTGGAGCAATTCCTCGACAACCTTGCTTCCAAGCTTCTCTCCAATCTGTTGAATCTCCTTGATCTTGGCTTCGGCTTCTTTGTTTGCCTCATCCTCAGCCTTCTTGTTTCCACTTCCGTGCTAATATGCCGTTAGCTTGCTTGGTTAACATGGACAGAGATAACACTTCTTAGAAGGCCGCGTAGAACTCAAAGATTTATCGTACCTCGGACTCGAACTTCTTGAATTCTTCCTCCTTCTGGTTGCGATACTCATCGATCTCCTTTTGCGCCTCGGTCCGAGCGTCCTTTACTTTCTTGGTGCGGTCTAGGAAACGTTAGAGGAGTTGGGTCGCTGGGTAGCGGATACCGTACATTCTCTTGCTATCGCGGAATTAGCACAAAAAGCATTAGGTACAGGAACATTCGAGCGCTTACCTTTCTGGACAATCTTTTGAGCCTCTCGCTCAGCCTGGAGTAATCGATCAGCTTACAACTTGATAGCAAACGCGGGACAACTGTTCAGCTCACGTCGAGCAGTGTCTGGATTCCAGCCGAGTTTTGGGCAGACTGCAAGGCATAAATCAGCTTCAATAATTCTTTTATAATTAAGGCAGATGCTAGTTACCATCTTGAAAGGGACTGTGAGCGGTGGACTGCTGTGGTGTCTTGGATATACTCATATGCCTGTGACGAATGATTTGGGGAAGTGCTCCGGTCGGTCGAGATAGCTCGCCAATTCTTGCCAATCAGTTCAGCTGCAGCTGATAATAGACAGTTCGAGCCGAGACATCCAGGCACGGACCACAACATGCTTTGCTCTTTTCTGTTCAGAGCTAAACAACTTGAATTGCATCCTTACGATTCATCTTACCTCAAGCACAAAAACACCAATTGGATCATAGATTTCTTTGTAACTTTTAGAATAATACTCAATATGTCACGAGCTGCAAAGATGACCCTTTTGGGCACCTCTGTGTTTGCTGCCAGTATTGTGGTGTTTGTACACTACGCTCAGAAAGCCGAAAAAGCTGTGGGTAACCCAAGAGCGTTCACAAAGAAATCAATAGTACTCGAAAGGGGACGAAGCTAACATTCTGGGATTCAAGGCCATGCACGCTGGTGTAGTACGTGATGTGGAACAGCAGAGGTTCAAGAAAGAACAGCGAGAACGCCTGGCCGACTTCGAGATGCAAAAAGCATTGGAGCAACAGTATCGGAAGGTTCAGAACGTCTCAGACGGAGGTGGTGCGACGGATCATGCACAAGGGCAATGATCAATTGATTTCTGCCAGCCTACGTTCCATTCACTTTTCGATCGTTTAACAGGCTTCTCCGGTTTAAGGTCTATGTGGGAAGGACGGGACCCAACGCTGCTGCTCTTCTTCACTATTGTCTTGGCCTCGGAAGATCTACAACTCTCAATATCGACGCGCTATTGCAATTGGCAAACCAACTCCACCACTATGGAGAAGGTTTGCGATCCGGTATTCTGGTCTCAAGAGTTTCTTTTCCATCTTCCAGCACCAAAGCATGGCGATGTCTGTTGGGGTGTACCGCATAAATTCTATCCGATGCCAGATCATGATGCCGAGATCGAAGCTTTGTGTCGCCAGATGCCGTGCTTCTACCGCGTAGAGCGTTCTACATTGTGGCCGCCGGCTCCGAAGAGCATCAAATCATTCGGACAGTATTTGGAGACGCGAGCTGAGCGATCGCCTGTGCCGCCAAACGTCCTCGAGTACAAGGTGTTTGTTACATTTTTCTGGGATGGAATGCTCACTGAGGCTCATAAGCAAGCGTACGAGGCCCATATGCAAGTGTACGAGGCTCGTATGCAAAGGTACGAATATACCGCACTCTGCAAGGTCTGGCAACTAATTTGAATTTGTAGCATCCTGACGGCTTTCGCACCCCAAACCAATGACACGGCCGGTACCAACGATGAACCCAGAGCGGGCGAAGAAGGCCAGTGGGAAGATGCGAGCGATGTTTCAAGCAACACAATTTAAGGATTCCAGAGAAAGATGCTCTCGTCCTCCATTTCATTTCCAAAGCTTAAAACAGTACCCAATGGCATATCTGCTTTGACTGGCTGCGGACTTGACATCAGACAAACTCTAATTATGCATGCTGTCTGCTGCTTCTGCGGGCAAATCCATTGACCATGATGTATTTCCTTATCTTTAGCTAGAAGCTGGGATCTCTCCCGAGGAAGATTTCAATATCCTTGTCAGCATCATGGATTATGGAGTTTTGCGGTATTTCTACATTTCACAAATCGTGCTCTGTGCATAGAAAAATGCCGTCGTATGTTAAAAGATTCGTCTCCTTCTCAAATATGAACCATGCTGCAGAGCTACAGATGAACAATATGTTGCCATCAAGGGGTAAGATACTCAAGGGGTTGGACCAATGACATGACTCCAACTGAGCCACGATACCGATGCGCGATATCCCCTTTGGGACAGTTGAAACACGATAGTGCAATAATGGAGTTGAGTCCCGTCAACATCATCATCTATGTTATCAATCATGTAGACATCAATCGTTAATTGGAGACGACGCGATTCTCAAAGATAAGGGAGCATAGGATTATTTTAATCTCTACTTCCTTCTCTCCGCCCTCCTCTCCTCACAGATTGCTTAAAAACTGATCGCGGCTGTTTTCCAAGTACTATTGAATCATATTGCTCCTTGACTGGACTTGCCCTTCAGACTCTCCTTTCATCTTGCCTAACCTGAGGTGCCTTGCGTCGCAACAAGGGTGAAAATTGGCCATTGTCGGGGCTAAGATAATAACGATCCTTATCGAGCTTGTTGAATAACCTACGTCTTTGGTGTGATTTCGCTCGAGAGGCACAAATCTACCACGGCTTGCGCCCCGTCCCGCCCTTGGCAACGCCCTCGCTCGCAAAATTAACGGAAAATAGCCTCTTTCTTTGCACTATCCACCCTGCTTGATGAGGATGATACTCGATCCTTTTTTCCACGGTCCACCATCCAGATGCAGACTTCCGACTCTGACCCACTGGGTTCACTCCTAGCCCAGGCGGACCGAGCCGGCCCGCGGCCAACCACACCGATTCCAAAGTGTTGCTGTGGTAGGGTGGAATGTGCATACCTCAGACACAATAGTGTAGCCCTAGAGGGATTGGAGAGGGATGTCCAAACTGCCGCCCAACTCGGCCAGGTGCGTCTCTCGCGTTAAATTATGATTACCTTTTCAAGCGCGCATTCCTCGTACAATGGAGGGTGTCGCATGATTACACCGATCCCTTCTGCCCTCACACTGAGGACAGGTATTGGTCATACAATAGTCGACAATGCATAGGACGGGCGAAGAACATGTCGCTAACTTGGTCGTTACAGGCTTTGCTGGTGCGTCATGAGGCCTACATGGCTGATGCTGTGGCAGACCGATTGAATCTAACGGCGCAAATTGAGCGGCTCGAAGGCGAGAAGAAAGAGCTGGAGGCCAGCAATGCAAGAATAATAGAGGAAAACAAAGGCTTGACGGAGCAGCTGGAAGGACTTAACGCAGCCGTGATCGAATCGGACGCCCAGATTAAAACCCTGACCGAATCTCTCGAGGAATCGCAGCAAAAGCTCCAAAAGCTGAGCCGCCTAGCCGCTCGCGCTGAACGGCTGGAAATCCAAGTGACTACCTTCGACCAAGGTCAAGCGGAAATGCAGCAAAGGCTGGCGCTGGCCGAGGAAGATGGAAGAACAGCAGTGCAGCGGTGGAAGCAAGCAGAGCGGACTCTGCTTTCGCTACATGACCAAATCGAGAGGATTGAAACCGAGGCTAGGGAAGAGCGAGAACGACATGAGGAGATCATCGAGCGCATGGAACGCAGGCGGGCCGTTGAGCAGGAATTGGTGGACGCGGCTGGAAGGCTCAAGAATAAAGCGGTTGTGACCGCTGTGGAAAGGGACCATGGTGGAGGTAATGCTGTCTCCCACTTTGTCAAAGATATCCTGCAGGATAACGCGAACCTGCAGCTGGGCATCGTCGAGCTTCGCGAAATGTTGATCAACTCGAACGAAGAGATTACGAACCTCCGCGAACAATTACTCCTCCATCAGCCAGAGCTCCCAAACGGTGGGGCACAACGACGATCAGGAAACTTGCTCGAAGAGCTTGGCTCAGAAGCGCCTAGGAGTCTGTCACAAGAACTTCATGTACATCACCATTACCACGCAGCATCTCGTATGCCCGACACGTCGAGGCAACGTTCCGTTCATCGCAAGCCAAAATCGAAGCGCACTCCCACGAATCCCGCTTCGCATACGTCGCCTTCCTCAGCTCGCAACGCTCGCGCGTATACCTTTAAATCAATTAGGCCGTCGCCTCCGTCGACTGCGGCGGCCATTCTCTCGCATACTTCCGTCTCCATCCCCCCCGCACCCCCCGCACCGCATCGATGGTCTGTGCAATCTGCGCAGTCTCGTTCTTCCATTGCTGCCTCGTCTGTCCCGAGTTCCCCTCAGTCGATGTTGCATTCGTCATCTATTTTTGAGCGTGCCTTTAATGACAATGCGGCTGATTCTTCAAGGCCGACCAGCCCTGAAAGCAATGGTGTCATGTCTCCAGGGTTCTTACCGCTCCATAAGAAGAGGAATTCGGATGCTTCCTTTAGGTCTTTCTCGACACCCGCCATGTCACATTTTCGAAGGCCGTCTTCTGCCCTACTGCCTGGCGATTTACCCCCTGCAGTGGACGAAGCTGATTTTCTTGAAACTGCTGGACCAGTCGGTCTTGCCATCTCAGATTGCGGTCATTCGACTATTGCCGAAGAAGAAGACTTGGAAGGCGGAGATGCTTGCGGGAAGGGCGACGGCAGTACTTCGAGAGAAACCCTACGGACGAAGGGAAATGATATCGATGAAATGCATGAGGTAACATTGAATCATGACGACATGATGGGAAATCCTCTCTCACCAAGTGATGACTTGGCTCTTCCAAAGAGTCATAGACCCTTGCTGAGGCGAGCGGCTTCGCATGAGAGCTTACTTTCTCTATCAACAGCTGTTGATATCCCAGCCGGCCAACGTCGTGGGTCGCAGTCGATAGCGACTAGCTATGGTTTTCCATCAAGTCTAAGCTTTGGTATTTCTTCTCCATCGGCGGCTTTGGCCTCGAGCAGGCCTGTCCTCAGCTCCATGACTGCAACGGCTCGTCCGACGATGCCGCAGCGAGGCTATAACAGCAGCATGTACAACCGTACTCTTTTGTCAGGTTCATACCGCGACACTGTTGGCAAGCGCAGTGTGTCTGCAGAGCAAGTTCCTCGAGCACCGCTGGGAAAACGCCTTGGCGGATGGGTCTGGGGAAAATGGGGCACAAACGCGCCCTCCTCTGAAAACAATCGCACCCCAAACCCTCATGCCTCGCGGGCTACAGGCGTCAACCAACCTGGTCGTATCATAGGATTAGCGCCGCCGGCTGCATCAAAAGGAGCTGGGGCTATTGTTACATCTGAGCTTGACGAAGATTTGCTGAAGGAGACACTTGCCGAAATCACATAGCAGTTTCATGGGCTGCGAGTCATCTTGGGAATAACTGGCATTTTTGGTAGCGGTTTGCTTATGATTTTTGATGAATTCTTGCATTTCTTGACTAGGATTGGAGTTTCAAAAGGAGTTAAACTGGGCACAGCTTTTTAGGCCTTTCTAGATTCCCATTACTGCATCTCTTCTTTGTGTGTCTTTTCGCTGTTAATGTTTTACTCATAGATATGAATTACCTGAGATATTCTGCTAATGTTAATTCAGTCATGCACAGAGCACATTGGTCGTGATTTGTTCGTTCACTTTTGTTTTCTATTTTAGGCTTTACCGTGATATTTCTATGTTTGTTGTTTACTTGCATTCACTTTTCTGTTGCTACGCCTCATGTTTGTGTCTCCTATTTCTCACCCAACTCGATTCTCCGTCTGCATCCTCTCCTACTGCTCTCATCAAATGCAGGCTTCAGTTGTTCGGCTCCACCTTTCTCACACTCTCTAAGGAAGCTTTGCCCATCTCCAGGGTTTTGTCTTTCTGGTCTCTTATTGATTTGCTGTGAAGAATCAAACAACTCTTAACGCTTCAGAGAGTTGGAGGAACAAATCAGTACGTACGATACATTCCTTTACCCGCTGCGACTGACAGATTATTGTCCAAGGTGCACTGGATATGTCTCAGGGTGGAAGCAATAACCCCAGCGGCACTTTACGCCCTGGAATACAGCTTCGAGCAATCTCCTACACAGGTGGCCGCGTTATTCGATACTACGACTACCCTGGTCTTGCTTCTACTCCGCCGGCAGCAGTTCAGAGCCAGGATAATCACCCCCCTGCTTACCAGCATCAAATCAATGGAAGCAATGTCGGAGCAACGGCTCAGTCTGTCTCCAGTAATGCAACAACACGACCTGTCGGGGATGTGACCCATTCTCCCGCTCCCCCACCTGGACCATCGCTCGATGTCAGAGATGGCATTGGAGGAGCAGCTAACAGAGGTTCAAGCCTGCAGGGACCTCTGCCTAGCAACGTGCCCGCATCCATAAATTCTCTATTTTATTCAAGCCCTATCCCTCACCCGTGGCCACCTTTCTTACCCCCTCCGCAGCTACCCCCTCCGCAGCAGGGGAGATTGACAACGCCTGTCACCTATCGTTATCGTCCCAGCACTGCCTCTCCACCTGAATCCCGGCCAACGCAAGAGACCTCACCAAATCTGAACGCATCTTCCGCGGTCCCTGTAACGTCTATCCATCCAAACCTCGCCCCTCCGCCAGTGCCATGGTCTAGGCAAGAAGTTGCGCCGACTACTCTTCCCCCTCATCGAAATGCATTTTCAAGTCTCATAGCTTGGGACGAGTTGCTGCAGAGCCAGCGCCGTCCTAATGATACCTTGCCGACATATGATGAGGCCGTGGAACAAGGAGCACAGCCCCCTTCAAATACGACCCCAGACTACTACACTGGGACTCAGCCAGGAGCACATGGTCCTTCAAATCCGCATCCAGTCCCCCAAGGTGAAAGCCCAGAATCTTCGCGGAGAAATCCCACTCGCTCAGTGGCCGTTGTCGGCAATAGCGTATCAGGACAGACCAATGGCACAGCTACTGGAGCGGGGCGCCTTCCTTCCCAAAGCCAGCCAGTTAGGGACTCAGCGTCGGATTCGCACTCAGAGTCAGTGTCAGAGCAGCAACACGCGTCTCCATCAGCCTCATCTTCGTCTTCATCTTCATCTAATGCTTCCGCGACCCAGCCTGCTGCATACGTGGCATATACTCCAATGTTTCCTGCTGGGCCTGCTATCTGGCCTGCAGGCACTACTGGATTTACAAATACTGCCTTTGGCATTCAAGCGGGCGCTCCGTTTGTTCATTACGCACCCCCTGGCGTCCTACAAGCTCCTTGGAATCCCTACGCTTCCCTCCAAAACTTTCCTCGCCCGAACGGTGATGCTTCTCTTGAGGCCCGCGAAAATAATATTAGGCGATATGTCATGAACGGCATGTTTCATCCGCCACCCCATAGGAACGAGCCACTCCCTTGGTATGGTCGTCCGGGCCCTGCTTCACCTCATGGGGCTGGCAACCATGATAGCAATAACAATAACTGAGATGACGTTCACGCAAACGTTGCAAACGGTCAATTCAATATCGGAGCATGAAGAATAGCATCAGACTGTCTCTCAGCCAACTACTGGCACCTCACTGGAGAGATGGAGAAGAGTAAGGCTTCGTGTACGATGAAACAGTTTCCATTGTGCTGCTTTGTACCATGTGCTGGTGGAGTCTTCATCGATTTAGCCAAACAGAAAGGAATATGTGACTTGTGCACCATTGAATGGGGCTTAAGAGAGCGGAGGAGTTGTCTCTACCAGTGCGAGACTGTGCATTGTGGTTATGTTGCTTCGAGCAATGTTGGAAAGTGCAGCTGTTATGACAAACTCGAAGGAGGAATGAACTATGAACAGCTGTAATGAATCTTCATGAGGACACATTATATGCAACAATTTCTTCTCTGTGATTATTTTTCAAGGTTTTATGTCAACCGCGACACATTTTTCTTTTAAATTTTTTTCGTTTTTCTGTTTTTGTGATTTTTTCCCACTTTAACTTGTTTGTTATCTGCCACTTCGGGTCTTCGCTACATGTCTTCGTTGTTGTCACTTCTTTTCTTTTATTTCCTTGTCGACCCTAGTCACTGTTTAAGCAGCCTTGTTTTAGTTTTCATTCCAATAGTAGTTCCAAGCAATATCAGGGAACCATCATGTTTTTATCCATCTATTCGTCACCACGATGTTCAATCACTACATGTATTCAACAGCAGATTGAAAGCTCATAATATGGATCAGATAATAAAACACATGTAGATATGAAAATGTGAGAATATGATTATTAAGGCTATGCTGTATCCTACCCAAATCATGACCAAAACCCTTATAAAAATCAACAACTCTAAACTCAAGACCAGAAACCAAGCTTCACTCCAGAAGGGGCGAAAAAAAGAACACCTACTCACCATCATCAAGATACTCAACTATTCTCTCTTCGCAGCACCAGCCGCACTTGCGGCCTTGATATCCATCCCCATTAACCACGGAAGAACAAGCGCCATTTCAACACTGGCTCACTCAAGACTTTTGCACCAGACACTTGGACCAGCAGCCTGTCGAGAATTTCACGTGGCATGACGCGCAGGTTTGGCATTTGGCGCGCGTCACAAGTGGGTTCGTGGAAGAGCATGTAGAGCAGGATTTGCTTGCATTTGAAGCGCTAGATTTTGAAAACTTGTTGGAAGACATGGTTGCATGAATGGAAAAGTTAAAAATGGATAAGTTGTGAATAAGTAGTGGATAAGTAGCGGATAAGTGGTGGATAAGTGGTGGATTGGGTAAGAGCGTGAATTGGTGGCTTATAAAGAGCTTGATCTGGTTGCTGGTGAGTCGAGTACCTGGATTGGTGAGGGGAGAAGACTATAAATTGATGATAGGCCGACATTTGTATAGAGCGTGGACGAGATTGTTAGGGTGTTATTCGAAGAGTATTCGTCGTGAGGCCTCAATGTGGGAACCACAAAGAACCCAACTTCGGTCATTTTTAAAGCCTTGCCTATCCTTGGATGAGAGCCGGACAAGCGTGATAAACATATTGCTGGCTGTGGACGTCCCTGTTCAATGGTGTCCTCTGAATGGGAGCAGCTTGTGCAGTGGAATTTAGTCGGAAGTACGTGATCTGTCCTCTAATTTGAGATGCTCCCCGGGCCCACGCCTCTCTAGGAATCTATTTTCTGGGGTCGCTGTGATCCAGATTGCTGAGTCAATATTTTCCTGTCATTTTCTTTACGGAAATGACTTCTTGTTGCTATGTCGCGAGATGATCCTTGGGTGGCTCCGAACAGGTTACGGCGAAGATGCGAATAGGGGTCGAAGTTGGATGAAAGAAACCAGTCTGTTCTTCCATGGGCGGTACATTTAGGTTGAGCTCTTGAATATGAAATTTATGATTCTCTGTACTAATGTCAGAAAATCTTCCAGAGATCCTAGATCTTGGCGGCTTAGATTGTGTGCTCTTACCGCAGGCTTCAAGAAACCCTTTGAATGTCGTCTCATTCCGAATAGTTGCAGAAATTATAAATTGCAATTTTGGAAATCTCTTAAACAGATCTCTCAAGGTTGACACCAGAAAAGGTATCACTGATCCATCGTATGTCTATAAAAAGGGTAAGAAAAAGGAAATAAAGGAAATGATTAGAGGGAAAGCGTAACGTACAATGTCGGCGCCAATGGCAACGTCGTATTGCCGCTCATCCACATTATCGTCTAGGATAGTTTCCTCCCAAGGTTTACCCCATCTCAAGACATGGGAGTCAAGCGTCTTGCTGTCGTTGATCCCGTTCAAGGACGCATTGATCTTGATGCTCTCGACAACTCCTTCGTCGCCGTCCGTGGCGGTCACATGCTTAGCGCTCAGATACTTGCTGCAAAGGATTGAAAGGAAGCCAGTGCCAGCTCCCAGCTCTAACACAGTTTTTCCTTCGATAAGATGCCTCGAGGATGGCAGAGAAAAGAAGGTTCCGAGGCGCAGTGCGGCCTCCCACGTTCGAAGTCCAGTTGTGCCAGAGGAAGATATGAGAGATCGGGATTCTAGTAATGTCACATTCTGGCTCTTCTCTGCGACCTCACTTGGTGTAGGAAGAGCGTAAGCCACATGGGCTTTTTGCTGTGCAGATTCGATTTCGGATGGAAGCGGCGAACACAAGAACTCCGTCAAACACGACATGAGATCATCTAAGACTTCCTACATCGACCAACAGACGGTTGGTCAGTAAATCAAATGAAAAGCTAAAACAGAGAATGATGATGGATTGCTCATATTGCGATAGATACAAATAAGACAGAAAAGGAGAAACGGAAAGGAAATTGCAAAGAGGGCGTACATCCTCCGCGGGATCGACAATTGCTTTTTCAATCCGGGCTACTAGCTCTTTGAGGACCCGCAGCTGATAACGGTCTGGTGGAGGGAATTTAATTATCTCTCGATTAAACATTTCATTGTATATGCAGTTTTGAAATGAATATTTTCTGAGTGACTCTGGCCGTGGAAAAGCCAGTGTCTGAACAGGTAATAATTGCGCATATTGACGCTGAAAGAGACCGATCTCCTTTTCCTCCGCGGGTGAAAGTTGCTCCATGATTCACCGTCGACGATTAAACCTAGACATTGATTAATGTGACTATTTGACAGATCTGTTCAAAGCCAGCTACAATTTACACTGGGCGTCGTGATGTGTAAGGTTCAGCGTTGCGGCTCTGCACTCGGATGCGGGCTCGCTTGGCTCGCTTAATATTAGGGTTGGGGCATTGGGGCCAGAGAGCGCCCCACGAAGACGCAGAGACGAGGGAACCACACGAAATTCGTCGATTAGGGTGATCTCCGACTTTAATCCTCGCGACAACCGATCAACTCGACGACAAGGACCTGCCCCGACAGTCCATCTCCGACGGACTCGCAGTTTCGAATTCAGGTCGATATTAATCCAGTCGTCAAAATGGCCGACCAGCCCGTCACGCTGAGAACGCGCAAGTTCATCCGGAACCCTCTTTTGGGCCGCAAGCAGATGGTCGTGTAAGTCGATGGATGGGATCCGGAAATTTTCATCATCGCGACGGCATCACGGAATATTGTCAGAAAATATCGACTCCGATCGTAAAACCGTGCATGTCCGCTGGATGGGGGAAATTTTGAAATTTTTGGGAAAGGGAACATAATGGCTGATGTTTTATTGCGATAACGCAGGGACATCCTCCACCCCAACCGCGCCAACATCTCCAAAGATGAGCTCCGTGGCAAGCTCGCTGAGCTTTACAAGGCCTCTCAGGACCAGGTCAACGTCTTCGGTCTCCGGACGCACTACGGTGGTGGCAAGACCACTGGTTTCGCTCTCCTCTACGACTCCGCCGAGGCTCTGAAGACCTTCGAGCCTCACTACCGCCAGGTCCGCATTGGTGCCGCCACCAAGATCGAGAAGGCCAGCAGACAACAGCGTATGTCGATCTCCCGGAGATATGATATCTCTCTTGATATTGGGATGGGTGATTTGGATGATGAGCGATGGATGCTGACTGTCAATTATAGGCAAGCAGCGCAAGAACCGCAGCAAGACTGTCCGCGGTACTGCGAAGGCCAAGGGTGTCAAGAAGGAGAAGAAATAAGCGACTGTTTGATTGGGGCCGGGTTGACGGTTGGGAGACTGTTCGGGTTCGGATTGTGGAAGTGGATATTGCATGCACCAGCGGATGTATATCTACACTTTTTTCTGATGAATTTATACCGCATTCCGACCTGGTGGAGACACCAGAGTTTCCTTTCGCACTTCTGCTGGGTTTAAAGGGCTTTCACAAGCAATTTCAAAATGTTTTCGAATCTTCACACTGATGTGTTCATGGAACTGCGATCTGCCATTCGTGCTAGATAATACCTCGTTCCCCGGACAAATATTTCCCTCGGTCTTCAACAATGATGTTGTTTGACATCATATCTCCGTCAATATTCCGCCCCATTTGGTTTTTTTCCCGAAATCATGGCCCTTTGTCGTTGAATGCAGTGGTCAATTGTCAAATGCCTATCTGCGAAGGGATCCTCTTTTCCCTGGCATATCTCAAAGGGACGGGAAAGTGGATTAGCCAGGTAACCAGTGTAAATCCTCCCAATGCCCTCACTTTCCTTCCTTACGAAAGTCCATGGCCAGCCAGAGTTCTGGAATTGGTCAGGATATTGGAGGCCTTGTGTGATTCATTTCGTGGTCTTTCACTTCCTAAGCATTCCAAGGGCATGATCCACATGTTTCTGGGTCTATCGATCCAATACACCAGTATCAACACTCATATGCGTAGACTGATCGATAACCGCGCATCGCTCATGTAGCGGTAATCTTGGCGATGGCGAAATCGCTGCTACAAATCTCACCGGGTAAGTGAGTGCCACAACAATAGTGTACTTCAGAGTGCTCCCAATAAGTTACCATCTTTGTAGTACAACATCTCACAGAAAACACAACAACGTCGGGGCCTAAGCGTACATTTGCCGGCTCTGTTTTGTGTCATGATGCCCAATTCCAGCGTCGTACCTATCGTATTTGTGCTATTTCTTTGCATTATCGTACGATTTCCTGTGCTATGTTCTACTGAGTCCCACCAGTTCTTACAGCCGTGTTTACAGGGACATCTGTGATTTGCTTGGCTGGGGCGGGGCTCATTTCTTGTACATTTTTGTGTCGCTCTTAATGCTCTGCTTCTTTTCCTATTTGCTGATTACTTTCGCCTTGTTTGCTTGTTGCATCGTTTCGAGAGTCCCTGCTAGGAATGCAATGAAATACTATTTTCATTTGGAATCCATTACCTACCCAATGATCTCAAGTTCATCTTCTAATTCGGTTCCTCAGCAAATATTTATCATTCCGTGCTTTTACAAGGATCAAGCTCTCTCCAGAAGATCCCTCAATTCTATGCGAGAAAGTGTGTGTGTTTGTCATTCTGGGCGCCGCCGTTTTCCTCCTACCCTCTGAGGTTACGTCGATTACACCTTGTTTGTCAAGCATCACACCACTATGCCGTCACAAACAGCCAAAACATACACCCCGTCTATTTCAATGCTGCGAGTACCCGTTTACTGCCTCAGCAGAATTCAATGCGGTTCCAGCCACTTGTTTGCTATGAAGTGGTCATATGATGCCGCTCACGAGATGAGCTTAGCAACGAGTCCGGACATACATGCCGGTCAACGCGGTCGTCGAAGTCCGAAAAGGGCAAACAATAATGACTGTCTCGGAAAAATGATGAGGCTTCCTGCAATTCCAAGGGGTCCCCAGGCAACGAAGCAGAACATCTCGATTTTCCTATATCTCATCTAAGAGAAAAGCAAGCATCAAGATATGCAACACGCACTTATCTGCATCTAAGCGCAAAGTGCCAAAGACACACTAATGCCAAAAGCTCGGACTACTCTATTCAAGCCGAAACTCAATTAAATCCCCGATACACCCTGTACCCTGCATTCCCCGCGTCTTTTCGTCTGCATCATGTCTTATGCAGGAAAACAGGTTAAAACATAGAAGAGACACAATTGAGACACTCTCAGGGAGAAGAGTAAGTGCGACACATGACGCCACGCGGGATATGGCATGTCTTGTTTTTTGAACTTGCTTGGTTGGAGTGACTGCTTTACCAGGATATTCGAGTGTCAGGGGGAAGGTTTCTGCAGAATTGCGGTTTCGAGATCAATGGATACTCGCATATTCGCCTCTGTCATTACAATACCTACCTACTTTTGAACTCGGTCTACTTGATTTTCCTTGTGCCGTGTCTGGAACATTTGCCTCCCCACCGATCTTCGGTATCGCATCTATCCAAACTCCTCTAGCGCCCACTCTTTTCCTACGTCTCAAAAGGGGTTTCCATTCTTTCAATTTTCGGCTTCTCCCTGCCAATCTTCCAAATTTTTCCAAAACGCCACACTGTCCACACAAATCAGGCCACTCTTCTCTCTGTTATTCTCAACCAATCAAGTCAAACTCCAACCTCCATGCAAGTACCCGCTTCCGCGAGACATCGTCATCCATCTTTTTCCGGAGGGGGGCAGAAAAAGTCCCTTGGTTTTGATTGGAAACCCCACACTAAATCACTCCCCTGTTGCATCTTTCTTCGCCTGAGACAAGCCTTTTCTCCTCCAGCCTTGGCTCTTGGCACATTGTCTTTCCTGTCTACCTACATGACGGCCACACTTTTCTTGTCAGGATTTTCATGCTGCATAGAAACCCCACACTCACCCCTGTCAAACTTTTATATCACGCGGCTAATATCATAACTCCATATCATTTCATATGCCAGAAGTATTGAACAGAGCCAGTGTCGGTCAGCTCCGATACTCGAAATACCTTAGGTAGCTACCTATATCAACCCGAGCCGGGAATGCCGAAACTGTCACTGTGTATACGGTAGTTATGTTCCATAAACAATTAAAATAGAATTACGCATACAATACTGCATAATTACTTGTAAAGGACCGATTTCGAGTCATATCGAGCCATGTCTAAACTTCGAGCAAAAGCGGTGAGAAGCAAAACACCCGCATTTCGCAAACACGGTTACATTTTGTGGAGTAACTTCGGGGAAAACGCATCGTAGTATATATTAGGCGCTTTTTCGCCCGGCCACCACAGTGTTTGCGGGAAGGCGGGCTGCGGGCGGCGGGCCGTACCTTGTTTGTTTGCCTTGTTGCCTTTTTATTACAGCCCGCGCGGGTTTTGCTTTGTTACTTTGTTGCATCCTTGCTATAATAAACAATCAAGGTTGGTTAGCAGCAAGTTGGCCTCGGGTCCGCGCGAGGCAAACAGGCAAACAGGCAAGCGCCAAAAACGGTCCATGCATGACTGATTCGTTTCGCCCACTGTGTGTGCGTGCGGTGATGTACTGTATATGCATTACATGCATGTATGCATTGCATGGTTTTGAATAAATGTGGGGGTCGCCTCTCTCGACCCCAATGCAATGCAGGTATAAAAAGTGCACAAAAGACAATTGACAAGGGATAAAGGACAAGGGACAAGGGTCTGCGTGCGGGCCTCGGGGATGTACTCCGTATATAGGTTGTAAACCCAAGTATGTCTTGTTAATATTCTGCAAATGGTGCGAGATTGGAGAATAGAGAAAAGAGGGGAGGTAAGGCGGAGGGAATGAAATAATAAAATACAATAAAATGAAATAAAGTAAAATAAAAAGATACCAAGAATAATGAGGAAGAGAAAGGATAAGAATTAGAGGCACCATCTGACGTGCATTAAAGAGGAAAAGTTCGACATATCATCGCTCAGCAACCATTCTTTGAATGAGTTTATAGATACTGAAATTTCAGAGATTTTATTAATTAATAAGCCCGAAATAAAATTTTCAAAGTATAATATAGTAGTAATCAATGCATGGAACGAGCAAAATCAGACATTAAAAACGAGAGTGGAGAAACAAATCCGAAATAAGGTCGCGCAAAGACCAGACTATGAAGTCTTTTCGAGTCTAGAGAGTAGACGGTAAAAATACTGCAGATCGAATAGGAGGCCCGAAATTGTCAAACATTAAAGCGAATTGACCAGCGAATGAGCTGACATGAGTCAAGCATTTGCTTCCATATAGCCGCGACAGAAGAAGAAAAAAAAATTCCCCGCGAAAAAGGGAAAAGTACTCAAAGCGCCAAGGAAATGATAGAAGGTTGGAGGGTCCAGGCTGTTAATATCCAGCAGTGTGGTTTGGAGTCGAAAGTGCTGGTCGATGTGTCGAGTGGCTTCCCGATTCATGCGATCCTTGTCGAGGTGACTCAAGAGTTGTCGTTTGGTGGTGGTGGTGAGGAAGGCGGCATTGTTGTCCGCTGACAAGCAGTCCCTCGCCGATAGAATTAACATGAAGCGATTCACTCTTGACGTGCGGAGGTGAGCTATAACTGTAAAGATTGGAGGATGTTGCATTGGTTCCAAGCATTGCATCATTTGAAGAAGACGAAGACGAAGAAGAAGCCGAAAGTAGTGAAGAAATACTCGCGTGATAGGAGTTTGGGGGTTCGATTGGCGGAGGAAGAGTCGTATTGCTGTAACTTAAAGAGGTCGCCGTGTGCGGTGACGGTCCGGGGCTACCGGAGCTTGAGATGTAGGCAATAGTTGGTTCTTGACTTGAAACCAGGTGACTGCGTCCAGGAGCAGTTATAGATACTCCAGTGCTCGATGTTTGGCTACTGCTTGACCCCACACTTTCGTTGCCCCATTGGCATGAATTCCTGAAACTAAAGCTCTGAGATGGACTGGTCGTCGCCAATGGCACAGAGCTCCTCAAAGGAATAACGGGCTGCTTTGGCCGTCCAAGGGCGGGATCAGGAAGAATCCTGTCTCCAGCAGCGAGGCTTCCTGGTAATGATGTAGCCAGGGGGCCCAAGGTTGGAAAAAATGTTGAGCCATCCGGGGGAGCGCCTGATACGCGCGAGACCGGAGAGGACAAATATTGCATCGGTGGGGCAGGGAACGCTGATGAGTCGCCTTCAAGAAACAATGGATTGTTTGAAACCTTTGTTTGCTGGCTGATAGGGTTCCAAGCGCGAAATGTATCCTGGGCCGCATACGCGTTGCTCACCCCCGAGAGGTCCTGGCTAGGAAGCATAAAAGGGGGATGCACTGTATATGGCTCGACCTGTCCATCACCATAACCCAAGCCATACGGCGTGGAGTAACTTGACTTGGTCACGACTGGAGGATATTGGCCATCAATGTAACCATTCCCCGTCGGTACGCGTTGATACTGCGAGGCATGAGTGACTGGGAGAGAGACTGTAGATAAAAGGGAGTTGTTGGCAGCTGTCTCAAGGCTGTTGGTGAAAGGCGGAATGGAAGATGATGGTGAGCTTACTGAATCGCTCGAACCATACGGCCAAGCAACGGCGCCAGGGCAATTTATGGCGCCAGCGAGTCGAAGATGGTCAGGCACCAGCGTACGTTCCTCACACTGCACTCGGAGAAATGCGCATTGCGCGTCTGCACCCGCTTGCCGACAATTTTGACAGCCGGCACCATTACCAGGATCACCACTGCATTTGATCTTGCGCTTTCGGCATCGACCGCACTAAAACATTGCCATTGTTAGAGATCTTACTTTATGAGTACAATGCCCAGGTGGACTAGAACGGAACAATTTTCTTTCCCAAAAGCATTGATTGGATGATCAAGGGGTAGACAAACCGCTACGGCAATGCGGCGCCTCGGCGGATTGCTGTTTGTTTCCGTCTGACTCTCCTGAGCCGGGCTATTGCGACTTTCCCGTCTTCCGAGAGGACAGGTTCGCACTTCACCATGGGGAAGCCGTGGCCCAGAGGTAGCATTCCGCGGTGTATGGGTAGACTGATAAGCTTCCTGAGATCCAGTCCGTACAGAGCGTCGATAAAATTCGACCTCTTTCGCGTGGCCGTTATAAGGGCGTGTCATGACCTGTCATGAGATTTCAGCCAAGTTATTTCCTATCAAGCAGGTATCGTTTCGACGATCTAACATACGCTCAATGCAGTATTTGCTCTAGGAGAAAATATGTTACCGCCTTTTTTTTTGTTAAAAGGAAAGGCAAAAACTCCAATGATATGGTTCCGCGGGATCGTGATAACGCTGGTTTTCTTCAGGCAAGGCAAACTCGAAAAAAGCCAATTTCCATTACCCTAGACGAGAGCAATGGATGAAAGACGGAAGATGAATGCTATGGCCAAATGCAAGAACAAAATCAACGCCGAAAGCTGAGGGTGTGAATGCCTAAATACACAAAATGTCGAAGACCTCGAGGGGATCCTTTGATTGTACCTAGTATGTCAAATGCACGTTGAGAAAATGATTATCGCATATCACATTTGTTCTGAGTCTTCTGAAAACGATGTTTTCACTATTTGTCGATGACAAAACAATCGATATGAATCGATCTAACTCATTCACGGCTGTTTGTTCCTGTATCCTTTCAGGCACCGCAGCTTCGAATCTGCACCATGGCAATGTGCAGCTCACTAGCGATGACTAGCCCGTCCCCTCGTTATGGTGTTCATTTGACTTGAAAAAGACGGTGAATCCATAATCAAGCGATTTCATGGGCCAAAGTGAAACGTAACACTTCTCAAATTGCTAAGCCTCAAATGGAGAGTGGTACTAAAAGTAAGTCTAATGAGGTAATCCAAACATACCATTTAGAACTCTGATAGACGAATAGAGGTTTTCATGACGGAATTCGTATCGAGTGGATAAAGCCACCGGATGAGCACAAATAGGCCTCATGGAGATCAGCTCTGTCTCACCTGGCAGAACTCCATTCACACAATGAAACAAACAGTAGGCCGATTTCTTCAGTACATCTTGCTGGCATTGAGACCATCACCGCCATCAATGGTAAGTGGGGCGTTCTAAATCATGCCGGCAACCGCGGGGCTTGTTTGTGAATTTGAGAGAACGAAAGGCTTCACACAAGCTCATCATAGGGGTACTGCATCGGAGAAACGTCGTGATTTCCTATTGCATAATACATAGGTGTTTGGAGCCATCATTGGGAATGATAATCTGACACAAGACTTCCGTCCGTAGAAGCAGCTTCACTCCAGTCGACTGCTGGGCCGCTGTATTTGCCAGGGTAGGAACGTGGATTTGCCAGTGTAGTGTGAGAGCCGGCAGATCCGGAAGGTAAAGAAATTTCCAGTAACACATAAAGGAAACGAATTTAGGTCACCTGTGACAGCCATTAGCGGAAGGATGTGCGTCCCTGCAGAAGCAAGTCATCAATCCCAATTTGTTCATTCGCCTCCAGAGAATGCATGCAGTCATGTTTGGAAAGCCGAGATTTGTGGATTTTGACGGGATGTCCTCCTGGAGAGGCCTAGATCTCGCAGACAGGGATTTAGGAAAGGAACATCTTGCAGATCAACAGCAGTTGGTGGTTCCCCTGTAGCGCGGTCAATCCTTTTTCACCCATGACGCCATGCAGATACTTGTTTGTCCGTCAATCTGCGAGGGTACCTGGGGAAAGGTGAATGTGAATTGGCTCTGAACCCTTTTCAAATGCGGGGATGCTACACCCACGCATTTCCATTTCTGGAGCAAGTTCAGACACTGTGCGCTGAAGAAAAGATATTTGCAACATCTTCTGATGAAAATAATGGACTTGCGCACCGCTGTTTGGCCGTGAAGTGAGTCCCTTGCTCTCAACGGCTGCCGCTTCAGGTACAAACATTTAAAGCCAAGAAGTTAGCAGATGAAATTCGTGATGTTGTACATGACACCCCGAACTTAGTACTGCTGTATAAGGGAGCGAGATTTGTGGAGTTGACGAGGATCGGTAAAACGGCGGAGATGCAAGTTGCCGCCTAGGCAACAAGGCAAATAGCAACTAAAAGCGGTGTAATGGAGGCACGACGCAGAACAACGCTGGTATAATGTACCATTGGCCGGATACCTGGCCGGCTCCGAAGAGGTGCTAAAGTAAAGATGCACGTTGGAGGAAGGTTAACGGCAGGATCGCGTGAGCAGAGCATGATAAGAGATAAATTCAGTGGCTTACAAACACCGCCTATCCTCCCTCCCTACACTGTATCTTTGTACACTCACTGCAGCTTTCAAGCCATGCATCATGTCTCCGGAATTTCGCCGAGGTAAGTGTACCGTATGCCCAGCATCAACTACTCGATGTGCGAGTATTGAAGCCACTTGCAGTCTCTCTTTCCGCGTCGGTTAGAGTTGTCAAACCGAAATGTGAATGTCTTGACACGCCAAGTATTGCCTACCTAATCATCTTTCTGCTAGGAATCGTCGCAAGGGGCTTTGTTAGTTGGGGGATGAAGACTTAGGCCCGCCCAATGTTGCACGACAGAAACAGCAAAGCAGCCGACAACCCCACGACAGCAGACAGCATGCGCGTTGCGTTTGCAGATCAACCTCTTCTCTAATCCAACACCTCGAATTACAAGCAAAGCTTGCAATGTCTCCCCTGATTCGACGGCACCCTGTAATTCAATGCAGGTATATCCGCTATGGAGATTGAAAGCCCCTTTTCGTACATAGCAATATCCAGAACGATGAACGGATGCCGCAACCGTTGACTTAGCCACCGAGCAAATTCTGAATGGCGATGGCGACATACGAAATTGCCCGCAAAGCTTTCCAGCCTGAGAGCCCAATAAACGGAGAGAAGCGGTCCAGCCATGATCGAGACTAGTTCTGCCCGCATGATAAGCATTCTCTGCACAAAATATACCCTATTTGGCTCTTCTGCTTCTCACTTCCAGGTGACACGGCAGGGTTGTGTCACTGGCACATACCAGCCTGGTCAGACCGAGGAATCATGAGCCATTCGGAGCTGCCGTTTCATCCCCAGAGGATAGTAATCGTGACAAGCAGACTGATACGGTCTTCGGCTCATTAGAGCCGCCATCCGGATATACCTGACACGCAGGAGGCCTCTTTTCGGAGAAATCAAGCCAGCACTTCCCTAAGAGTCCGATGTACTCTGGGAATCTAGGAGTTGCAGCCCATGAGTAGGTCCCAGCAATGCGTTGACGCAATGGACACGACCAATTCCCAGGTTTTTCTCCAGTTTCCAAATATCAAAACTCGCTGATGAGCGAGGTTCGGATCGTTAGACCTGGCCAAAAATCCACGCAGACTTTTTTTTGGACGGACCTTCCTGAGTGCAAAGATTTTTATCTGGCTAGATGGTATATATCTGGCCTGCGTACAGAATTAGATTGAAGCGTCTCTGGAAAATTTCATCATCGGCCTTCCAAAAAAAGGCGGGAAGTCGTTTTGAGGCTTCTCCTGCCTTCAAGTATTCTACCTCTGCCCGTCGGGCCACTGTTCGTCTAAATTCCAACTGCATGCCGAGCATTGGTGGTCGTGGCCGCTTCAATGCCGTTATTGTCTGTACATTCAAGACTTTCTCCCAGACGTTTCATCGGGACCTGCGGGTATTCTGAGGTTTGCGTCAAGGCTTAGCTTTGAGTATAGAAGCGGTTGTCACGTCGCTCTAACGATATCGAACAAGTAGGACGAGAGGGATGTAATAAACGCGCGGTGCAATCCAACGGTAATATAATGGCTCAGTGGTTCTTTAATCCTCTGAGCTTTAACACCATCTGGAATTGGCGTGGCATATGGGACTCCCTGGCCAGCTCCCAATGTTTCCAAGCGACAATACTTTTTCTCTGACCGCAAAGTGATCTTTCTTCTTGGCCAATAAAATTCTATCACCGTTTCCCCTGATGTTTGAAAGGACATTGCAATAGACACATTTCTTTCGGTTCCTTCAAGAGGGTACTGCACGTCTCGGTTTCAAACACAAGGGTGCAGAGCAACAAGTTTTCGCGGATCGCTTCGTTGGTATGAGATCGGATTCTAAACATCGAAAAGAGTTGGATCAGCTCGCTCTCGGAATGACACAAAAGATTTATTAGACAATTTCGTCATGCCTTCATAAGATCCTAGCTTTCTGCATTTCGTGTTGTGGCGAGGCACTTGGAAGCTCGCTCTTTACCTTGTCTTGGACGGGAGCAAGTCTCTAGCGATGGAGAAAGTGGTGATGTCGCTCGCGAGTTGCTCTCAGATGCTTTGTCGCTGACGAATCTCTCAACCGATTGCTCAACTCAGTTTTACATCCTGAATTTGAGCCTGGGCACCCTATAGTTGTGCTGCAACTGAATCCTGAACGTCGATGAGCACTTGGTGGCTCATGTTGCAGGTGATTACTGATCTTGCTTCCAATTTAGCTGGGCCGCTCCATCAACACGTTGCTGCCAGACTTGGAAGGTGCGGCACAGCAAAAAGCAACAATCGTGTTCTCAAATCCACTCTTTTCTGGCCCTGGCAAACAGCTTTTGCGCACATCCTTTTACGCAAACGTTCTCAGAGACTTGTGTCCGCCAATTGCCTACAAGAAGCGGTAAGCGTTCCGCCTCTGGCGATTTGATGTGCCTCAAAGGATAAACTCCTTTTCATAGACTTGCTTATCAAAGTCAAAGCTTTCTATATATTTGTCATTTGAAAAAGTCCGATGAAAGGTAATTACAAAGACACCGTTACTTCACCCCCTTGTTCCTCTCATATTCTTTTTTTTTTTCTTATTAAATTCGATCTTATGCTGGAAAGCTGAGAACTTGCACCCCACATCCATGCTTGGAGTCCCCTACCTTCGTGTTATATAGCAGGTTTCTCGATTTCAGTATGATAGCTACGTCTTTTAAAACTCAAGAATAGACATTCTTTTTACCTATCTACCGAAGCTGGTTCCATTGGAGAATATGTCAGTCATTTAATCATACCTGTTCTTTTAAATCTCACAAGAGCTGGCGAAGATACACAGCCCAACCCTAAGCTTAAAATGCTGGCGACGGTAGAAGCACGTTCATTTTCTGCTATTTTCTTTTTTTTTTTTTTTCAATTATACTCATTCCGTATTTTTTCTATAACAGTTCCCAACGTTTACCAGCTGTTCGTAAAAGACTAGTCATATTCATCAAAAAACACTGTCAATTTGAGCAAATATCACGTCAGAACCAGATGAAATATGAGAGCATACGCCTCTCTGCACCCATGAAGGATACTTCATTGTGAGCACCATTTCTTATTTACTATCCATGGCAGAAATAAGTCGATTCCGACAAATAGAGCCAAATAAAAATTGCTGAACCTTTCAATTTGGTTTTTCTCTATGAATATTGAGGCACTCGTGATTGTAAATGGACCCTGCATGTTTATATCGTTAGTTGAAGCTACGTCAGCTTAGTCATCATATCCGTTCGATCTTCCGCCTCAATATTAATTGTTTCCGTTTGTGGGGAAAACCCTCGAGTCTTGAATTGGAACCTCTACGGTCCATCATGAGTGTTCTCCTGGAGACCTCTGCCGGTGACATTGTCATCGATCTTCTTGTGGACTATGCGCCAAAGAGTTGTCAAAAGTGAGTTTATGCTGTTTCCGGCTACTGTTACAGCCGTCGCCTCCCGTCACCCAGCTTGCTGAATGCAGATAAACTAAGATAATATCCGTGTCTTCTAGCTTTCTGAAGCTATGCAAAGTGAAATACTACAATTACTCTCCCGTCTACAGTGTGCAAAAGAACTTCTCGTTTCAAACCGGCGATCCAATCGGTCCGGACTCCAAGGATAGCGATGGCGGTTCCTCCATCTGGGGCCTTCTCAATGGGCCCTCGCAGAAGACATTCCCCGCCGACATTCACCCTAAATTAAAACATTTGGAGCGAGGGACTGTCAGCATGGCCACGGTGCCCAACCCCAAGGACCCGGACGAGCGATTGGCAGGGAGCCAGTTCCTTGTCACCCTTGGCGATAACCTAGAATATTTGGACGGTAAATCTGCCATTTTCGGCAAGGTAGTTGAAGGTTTTGATACTCTCGAGAATGTCAACAGCGCCTTCTGCGACGACAAAGGGCGACCTTTGAAAGATATTCGAATTAGACATACTGTCATCCTTGACGATCCTTACGATGATCCTCCCGGGCTCGAGGAACCTCCGCATAGCCCAGTGCCAACAAAGGCGCAGCTGGCGACAGTACGGATTGCCGATGATGAAGAGGTTGCTGAGCCAGTCGATGAAGAAGCTGCCGAAAGGCAACGGCGTGAGAGGGAGGCCAGAGCTCAGGCATTGACATTGGAAATGGTAGGAGATTTGCCTTTTGCAGAGGTCAAACCCCCGGAGAATGTTCTTTTTGTTTGCAAACTGAACCCGGTCACACAAGGTACGCGTATCAGATATATTACATGGCTAGCTGGTGGCTAATCTATTACCTCAGATGAGGACTTGGAATTGATTTTCAGTCGCTTCGGGACGATTCTTTCGTGCGAAGTCATCCGAGACAAGAAGACTGGTGACAGTTTACAGTATGCATTTATCGAATTTGAGAATCAAAAGGAGTGCGAGCAAGCATATTTCAAGATGCAAGGTATCCTGATTGATGATCATCGCATTCATGTCGATTTTTCACAAAGTGTATGTCAAGAAAGAGTCATGGTCCTTTTTGGACGCAACGGTTAACCTCGGGCTAGGTTTCCAAGCTTTCCGACGTCTGGCGCAATGCAACAAATTCGAAACGGGCTCGACAAGGAGGAGGTTTCGGTGGCTTTTCTGGCCTGGAAAAGAGGAGACAGTATCGGGCAATGGACGGTGGTTCTGGCCGTTCTAGAGATTACGGCATGGTGTTTGATCGTGATGATATTCGCCGCGGCAGAGACCCGGATGAGAAGCCACGCGACCCGCACCGCGCTCCATCGCGCAGCCGAAGTCCACCACGACGTCGCCGGGAGTATGATGACCGGGGATATGATAGGGATTATGACCGTTCCCGGAGAGACCGCAGTAGAGACCGTTACCGCCGGCGGGATCGCAGTAGTGAGAGAAAACGTTCATACCGGTAGTTGACGTTTCTTCTTTCTTGGTTGACAACCCTTCAAGCGAATGTTATTTTCAGGGGAGCTCAGGGCGTTTGCCGGTGTCACGTCCATGTTTTACATGACTAAAACGATTGTGAACAAGGTCTTCGGTTTAGATTCCATTGTAATATATACGGGTTATTCGGCGTTTTTAAAGTCGTATGCTGTAACAGACTCCTTAATTACTAGGATAAAGGGGGGGTTAAACCGTGGTGAGGAAAGGGAAGTCAGAAAGGGAACTAACTTATGACGCGCCCGCTGCGCCACCTGCCAGAAGTAAGTCTGGTGGGGAATTGGGGGTCTTCGGCTCGACTTTTGACCGTATTGAATCCTCCGACTCGCTGATCCCCCTGGCTACCTATTAATGGAACCATAACAAAGCGCTCGAGCCAAGTTGGTGTCCTCATACTCAATCAGTGCCACCATCTGAAGGCTTAGACATTTATACACGTCTTTTCCTTCTTCCCATCAAGCCCATTATTTTGATACACTCTTTTCTCTTTTTCTTTTTTCCAGATACCCACAGCTCTTTCTTTTCCACAATGGCAGCCGCGGTAAAAGAAACGGTCAGCAATCTGTTGGAGAAGCTACACCCCGCCGGAGAGACGACCGTACCCCGCCGACAGCCCAGCGATGATGAAATTAAGACCCTGCGATCCAAGTACGAAGAAGCAGGCCAGGGACATGTCTTCGCCTTCTGGGACAGCCTAGCTACCTCTGAGAGAGCTGAACTTTTCGCCCAGCTTGAGGCCATGAACCCCGCTCGCATCAATGAGATCAGAGACAAAACCCTACACCCTCCCGCACAAACTGCTGCTGAGAAAGAGCCCAGCATCGAGCAGCTTCCCGAATCTGCAAATGCTTCAATTCTACTTTCTGAGGCTCAGGACCTTGAGCGTTGGTACGAACAGGGTCTGAAACTGATCGCTGAGAACAAGGTGGCTGTGGTCCTTATGGCTGGTGGCCAAGGCACCCGGCTAGGCAGCTCAGCGCCCAAGGGATGTTTCGATATCGGCCTCCCAAGCGGAAAGTCACTATTCCAAATTCAAGCCGAACGAATCTGGAAGATCCAGCGCCTAGCCCAACGAAAGCACGGAAAGGAGAGCGTAGTAGTGCCATGGTACGTCATGACCAGCGGGCCTACGAGAGGACCTACCGAGAAGTTCTTTCAAGAACACAATTACTTTGGTTTGGACAAGAACAATGTATTCGTCTTCGAGCAGGGTGTGCTCCCTTGTATCTCAAACGACGGCAAGATTCTCTTGGAGAGCAAGTCAAAGGTATACATTTATCCCAGTGCACTCCATGTGTGGATTCCTTGACTAACTGCATCTAGATTGCTGTCGCACCTGACGGCAACGGTGGTATATATCAAGCGCTCGTTACATCGTCGGTGATTGATGACATGAAAAAACGCGGTATCGAGCACGTTCATGCCTACTGTGTGGATAACTCCCTGGTCAAGGTCGCAGACCCTGTCTTCATTGGCTTTTCTGCCGCTAAAGACGTCGACATTGCTACCAAAGTGGTACGAAAGCGAAGTGCCAACGAGCCCGTTGGTTTAATTTTGCTGCGAAACGGCAAGCCTGATGTCGTGGAATACTCGGAGATCGACAAGAAGCTGGCGGAGCAAATGGACCCTCATCATCCCGATCTCCTGAAATTCCGCGCCGCCAACATTGTGAACCATTACTATTCGTTCCGCTTCCTCTCTACCATTCCTGAGTGGGCTCACCATCTCCCGCACCATGTCGCGCGCAAGAAGATTCCTTATGTCGATGACAAGAGTGGCGAGACGGTGAAGCCGGAGAAGCCCAACGGCATCAAGCTTGAACAATTCGTCTTTGACGTTTTCCCGCGCCTTCCACTAGACAAGTTCGCCTGCATGGAAGTTCGCCGTGAGGACGAATTCTCACCTCTGAAGAATGCCAAAGGTACCGGCGAGGATGATCCGGACACGAGCCGACGGGACATTCTTGCTCAAGGCCAGAAGTGGGTGCAGGCTGCCGGAGCCGTTGTGACCAGCGAGAACGAGGAGACCGGTGTCGAGGTCTCTCCTCTCATCAGCTATGTTAGTAACCTTACATTCTACATGTTTTCTATGTTCTCTTGTTTTATGTATGCATGGTTTGCTAATTCAAATTTAGGGTGGCGAGGGCCTCGAGTTTGTGCAGGGTCGGACAATCAAGGCGCCAGCAGTGATTGAAAAAGAAGAATAATCTCATTGCATAACATGTGAACGCAACTGGGCTATTTTCCTTTTACGGGTACATTATGATACTATAACTCTTATCGTTTTCTAATCTTTTCATCGTAAACAGGGTCATCACTATTGGCAGTATATAGTTGGTATTTGGCGGGCTTTTGATCGATAAGCCAAGAAGCTTAAAATTAGAATTTCCCAACGACCTTTTGAAACACTCATGAAGCATTATCCATGTGGGTAAGGGTAAGAGGTCATGGTGGCTGCGATTGAGATTCCTAGTGGGATACAGCTGAGAATAAATGAAATACGGCGCCACTACACTAAGAATTGGACTTGCTGTAAACATAATTTTTTTGCAAAATAGGTTGAACTTATATTCAGCTGCTTCGAAGCTGTCTTTACTTTCACGTGATGGCAGAAGAGCACGAGGGATAATACAGCATCAAAATCCAATATACTTTTCAGACGCGGCAGTTTCTGCGATAGTCAAAGTACCGAGGTGTGGTGCATATCCTAGCTAGAGCTACCTAGGTTGGATCTTAGCTGGAAACTGCCCCAATCTAAGGTCTGCTAGGTAAGCTTGTTTCACGAGCTGAATTTGCTCAAGAATTCAATCACAGGCGAAGTCCACGCTGTCGCTTTGTCTCTGTTCACACAGGAAAGGAAATGCGGACTACAATGGAGGGATGCGGAGATCTGATAACCTCTTGTCAAGATCAATTCTTGGTTTTTTCTTCATAATGGTTCGATCTGCAGCACATGATGATGGTCTGTCAGTATACGGAGTACGGAATTATGCGGAATTCCCCGCAGCATCACAGGGAATTACGAGCCAGAGGAAACACCAAACGAGAGAGCTGTGACCAGGCGAAACGTGAGAGAAAAAAAAAAGGCCGCCGAAGAGCCAGCCAACAACCTCGTCGCTCTCGCTCTAAACCCAAAGAAGGCGGGGAGCTCGATAGGCTATTGGAGGCAAAATTAGCGAACTTAGCAACGTTAGACCGAGGACTCATCGTGCTGCGTGAGAAACTTTACCTAAGCCTAACTCTAGTGCTCCAACCTATCCACCCGATACCCTCACTAACGATTGCAAGCAGACCCAGCCCGGGCAGAAACTACTAACTCTGGGAGACAGACAAGGAGGGAAAACGCAGAAGACAGAATCCAAACGGCAAAACTAGAGCCGCCCCACGGCTCAATGGCACTCGGGCCCCCTTGGCCTGAGTCTCGCCATGCCACAGCAAACGGCCAAGACCAAATGAGTGAGGGTGAGCCTGTGAGAAAAGCGCGAAAGCTGTAACTGGGTACAGAGGGGAAAAGGAAGAAGGGCCGGCCACACCCCCACTATTGGCCCAATGAGGTATCAAGAGCAGCCAAAAATTTCTGGTCCAGCCCGCCGCGCCCGCGTCTGCCGAAAGTCTCTCTTCCTCGCGTGGGTTTCCTCGAGCTTTGTGTGGGCAAAGAAGTGCTGGCTTTGAAGCAGTCCCTCACACTACTGCCCGCTTAAGTTATTATTACCTGCCGCTTTTTGCTAACTGCTAAATTGCTACCCTTATCCACTTTATTATATCCTGACCTCCGTCAAGTTTGATCACCTCCATCTACCTCGTTTTGACGTCTGCAATCGATCGTCGTCTTTGATCGGTGGGAAGGAAGCGTTGAGCCGTTGCGGGTGAAGCAGCAGATATTTTTCCTTATTCTTTAAGGAACGAAGGGTAAGTTTTAATCAACAAGAAATTTACGCATTTTTCCCGGGGAAACCGCGAGCTCTTGCGCCTGACCTTATACCCGCCCTGGCGGAAAGGCGTGCTGGCTCTGCTCTGGCGGGTGTTACGGTAGACAAAAGAAGCATCAGGTATCTGCAGTACAGGACGCAAGGTACAATCTGAAACTCGGGCTCGTCATTTCCCCCTGTCGGGCGTTGACATTCTGCTGTTATCAGCTTGTGCTCATGCCCAAGGAATTTTTTTGCTGGGCTTGTGATCCTGGCTTTCGCATACCTTTGCTTCTCTTGCAGCCCGCTACCAACGCCATGATAACTTTCTAAAGACGGCCACATAGTTGCAGGCTGCGTGCTGACATCGGGACATTTTAGGATTTGATCCAATCTACCATACTTCTCATATCCATTATGTCTTCTCTCTCTCGTCGCGCATGCTACAAGTGCGGAAACGTCGGCCACTACGCCGGTATGTCGCGAAGCTCTCGAACGCTTTTGATCAACTGGGAATACTGAGATTGATGTGCTACAGAGGTTTGCTCGTCGTCTGAGCGTCTTTGCTACAATTGTAAGAGTGTTGCTCCACCCTCTGTCCACATTGGATCTTGTGCTAATTCTCTACCCTTCCAGGCAAGCAGCCCGGTATGTCGAATCACTGAAGAACTAAGGACCTTATTATTTCGGAACGCAAAAATTGACAATACCAGGCCACGAGTCTAACGGATGCCCGCATCCTCGTACCACTGAGAGTAAGACTCCCCTCGTTCCTCGGGTTTGGATGAATCGTTTCTAACAATCGAGCTTTCAGCCAAGCAGTGCTACCACTGCCAGGGACTGGGCCACGTCCAGGCTGACTGCCCCACCCTCCGCCTCAGCGGTGCTGCCAGCGGCGGCCGCTGCTACACCTGCGGCCAGCCGGGCCACCTCGCCGTATGTTTATCATATGCAAACCCGTTGATTCGACATGGCGCGTGTTAACTGACGAGAAACATGTAGCGTTCTTGCCCTAGTACCGGCAACGTGCAGCCTGGTGTCGGCCGCGGTGCTGGCGCCCCCCGCGGTGGTCTGAACGGCGGCTTCCGCGGCGGCTACGCTGGCGGTCCCCGCCCTGCCACCTGCTACAAATGTGGTGGTCCCAACCACTTTGCTCGCGACTGCCAGGCTCAGGCCATGAAGTGCTATGCCTGCGGCAAGCTCGTATGGACTTTGAAGACTATTGGCCGTTGAACACCGTCCACTGACAAAAGTAACAGGGCCACATCTCCCGCGACTGCACCGCCCCCAACGGCGGTCCCCTTAACACCGCCGGCAAGACCTGCTACCGCTGCGGTGCTGTGGGTCATATCTCCCGCGAGTGCCCTCAGACTGAGACCAACGGTGACGTTAATGCCGCTGCTAATGCGGCCCCCGTTTCCCCGGCAGCTGCTGCCCCGGCTGCTCCGGCTCCGGCTCCTGCCCCCGCTCCGGCTGCGCCTGCCGCTCCAGCTGACGCTCCCGCCGCCCCTACCGCCGCTGTTGCTTAAATGGACTTTGAAGAGGTACCATTGACCGCGACCGAGCTTTAATGCTGCGATCACAATACGCTTCGGCATGACATCGCGGAAATCACACATCGTCGTATATTTCGTTTCGTCTTCTTGTTACTTTGAGAGTATATTTGAGAGCGTTGATGGCCGCCTGTAGAAAGGCAGCTTGCGCTTCCAAATCTCCCTTTTCCGTGGAATTTTGGATTTATTACTTATCGTCTCATCATCTATTGCCTATATTTTGTCACGACCAAGTTCCTTTACGTTTTCCTACTTTTATGGCGCCACTGTTGTTATTCGCTTTTCCACCTCATCGGAGTCTGGCATTGGCAGGTTGCAACGTTCACGAATAATCCCAAAGGCAAAAAAGGTTTTACGAAAAAGCACACATGCACACTTATCCATATTCACGCCCCCGACAAACCAAATTCTCGCGGAATTTTGCTTTCTCTATTATATACATGAGATTAGAAGCTTCACGCTTTTGAAGCCGTTGGGGAAATCCGTTGGATATTTCGATAGTAGTCCCTGTGGAAGGAGAACAAGGGAGGTAGCTGTCGGAATGAGAATGGAGAGGGCCAAGAGTCAAAAGTTGGAAAGGGAAATTTTGAACTGAGAAGACGGGCCGCGTGATGAAGTTGTAGTGGTAGTGGTATAGTAGTACTGGGAGTAAGTTGCTAGACCGGAAGAACGTGGAAAATTGAAAGACCAGCGAATTCCGCAAGCTTGTGAGTGATGGTGTGACCATGTATTTTTCTTCCCGACTTGGGTCATCTTATCTGTTGGTTTGTCATGCTGTCATGATTTTTTACGCTGCCTACAATAGGGATTGACACGTTGACGTTGACGTCTCTATGATTTTCCATACAGCATCTATCTCCGGTGTTCTCGGGGGGGTTTTTTCCCCCTTCGTTTTGGTGGTCTTTGAATGCTGTTACTCGGCGAGAATCCTTCTGGTTACGGTAGATGAGACACTTGAGCAGGATAGGGTGATCTACTTGGGCTCCTCTTCGCCATGCTGGCTACAATGCTTTTGATAACGTAGAGGTCTTGGGTAGGCTTCTAGATGCTTTTTGGATACTTTTGGAAAATATATGCGCAGGAAGCTGTAACGCGTTTCGAATAGTGAACCCCATACCTACCTATAAGTATAGCCCTACTCCCTAGAGTTGTCCATGACACCAAGGGTTAATCTGTCGTGACCCATCCTCAGTACACCAATCTTCTTTATTAGTGGGATGGGATACATTCTTCGAAAGGTTCTATTTTTTCAGACGGCGCATCTCGTCCTCGGAAAGATCCAGTTTTCCACAGCTGATATCTCAATCAAGATACTCCCTTTTTCCCGTTGTATATGTTCTTCCGTCTCTTTCCCTCTCACATATACACGAGCCCATTGCCGAATATCGGACTGCAGTCAAGGTGCAAAGCCGTTATTGGTACCGTTTCTCGCCCGAATTCTCAGACCTCGTCGGGATTAGGATAGAGACCATTAGCAGTGGTCCCTTGAGTTGTGCGGCTACGAGTAAAGATGGCCGTCTCGATGGCAGGTGATGAGTTCGATGATGACGTATGTGGTCTATTGTCTTGGTGCATTCCTCTCCTTTGAGGTGTTACTATTCTCTTCAGACGCTTCTTAGAAACGTGAGAGTGTTGTCTTTGGAGTGTTTGCTAGCTAAGCAATTAATTGAATAGGAAGATTTCATTCTCGACATTGATAGCATTCAGGCTCATGGTGAGTGAAAATACCACTATTCTCACGAGATTCATGGACCGAGGACGATATGCCGCCTCTCCAATGAAAATTATCATGTTTCAGCGCAGATTACATGTGCTTATGAGATCGATGCCAGGGATCGGCGCAGCTGATATCACAAAATTGAAAGCAAACGGGTACTACACTGTTGCTGTGAGTATGGACTGAAAAAGACGCTCTCAGATAATCGAGTAGACTTGCAGGGCAACAGCAATTTTCAACTTACAAGGATTTCAGTCCGTTCATGCTGCCACCCGCAAGACGCTGCTCAAGATCAAAGGGTTCAGTGAGATCAAAGTAGAGAAGATTAAGGAGGCTATTCAGAAATGTCAAGTATGTGACTGCCTCGTTGTATCTTAGCAGTAACTCCGGACACAGATGTTTCATCTGTTTGGTTGTCACGAGAATTCTGACACTTTGGATAATCGTCTCGACCATTATTTGCTGATATAATATGTGCTTCAGCCTACTGCGTTCGGGTTCATAACCGCAGCGGAACTTGGACACCAGAGGAAGAGGGTTGTCAGAATTTCCACGGGAAGTAAACAGCTGGACAGTATATTGGGAGGGTATGAGAACAACGGAGTACTGAGTGTCTATGTTGACGTGATATAGAGGGTTTCAGAGCATGAGTATCAGTGAAGTAAGGTCAAACTATTACGATTCAGGATCGTAAATATTTGCTGATATTTGAACTCAGGTATATGGGGAGTTTCGTATGGCCGTCTGCATCAAATCCATTTCAGGGGCTTTGAAGCACTAACCAGACAAGGTTGTGGAAAGACTCAGCTCTCCCATACCATGTCCGTTGTGTGCCAGGTTAGAGTGGCTATTCACGGTTGAGCCGTCCATTACTGATACTGCTGTAGCTGCCTAAGGTGCATATTACTTTGCGCAACGGTTGTCCCTCGTATGCTGATTATGTAGGACATGGGTGGTGCGGAAGGGAAAGCCGCGTACATTGGTGGGATATTACGCCTTCATTGGGATTGCATCTGTGTTGATAGATGTACAGATACAGAAGGGACTTTCCGGCCTGAGAGGTTTTAATCTCCTTATAACTGGCGAGACTTTCTGCTGATCGCCACCTAGAATAGCGCAAATTGCGGAGAGATTCGGTCGTATGAGAGTCTGGTCCTAAGGAAGAGCAACTATCTGATTCGAAGCCCGCAGTTGATCCAGAACAAGCGCAGGAAAATATTGCATATGCACGAGCCTTGAACAGCGAAGTGCGTACACATGGTATCTCATGAGAAGTTGTAAGTTAATTGTGCACAGCATCAACTAGAGCTTCTCAATACTCTCGCCATGCAATTCGCCAGCAACCAATACCGTCTCTTGATCATTGACAGCATTATGAACTGCTTTCGTGTAGATTATTGTGGACGGGGAGAGTTGGCAGATCGTCAGCAGAAATTGAACCAATTTCTCTCTAAATTAGCACATATGGCCGAAGGTATATAATATTCCACTTGTAATCAGAGAAATCTTGCTAACTGAGCAGAGTTCAATATCTGTGTCTTGATGGTAGGTGTTCTGACATCAATTTGGAGTCAGGCTCAGGTTTGTTGACGACGGACGTCCAAAAGACAAATCAAGTCCAATCAGACCCTGGTGCGAGTGCGCTCTTCGCTGGTGCTGATGGTCGAAAACCCGTCGGCGGGCATATTCTCGCTCATGCCTCCACGACTCGTGTCTTACTCCGCAAGGGGCGGAGTGACGAGCGAGTTGCAAAGATCCAAGATTCTCCGGGTATGTCCTAGTTCCGCGTCATCGACGCCATGCCCGTTGTTTCCTGGTGCTGAACAAGATCAGATTGCCCAGAACGGGAGGCTACCTATATTATTACGAATGGCGGTATTAGCGATCCAGAGAAGATCTGATTTTATCCGTTGTCGTTGCATGAGAACTGGCGCTGTAGCTGGATGGTCAAAAGTGCTTTAGCGCACTCGTCTTTGGCTTCGCTTTGTCTATTGGTAGCTTGGTTACCGGTTTGCGTGGGTTCCTCGGGACGGACTGGTTTGCTGTTGCAGTTGCATAGATTTAGCCGGGTTTTGCATTTCGAATTGAGGTTCAAGTCGAAGACCTTTGCAGTAGGTTTTTTTTTTGCTTGCTCAATTTTATTCTTTAATGTTTCGAATTCTACGACCATGCCAATCGATTGTGGAACGTAGATGATTACACAAAACGTGCATCGATGTAAAGAATATGCACAAAAAAAATCACCCACTAACAAAAAAAAACAAAAAATAAAAAATTTCATTCCAGTTTATTAATTCATCTTTCAAAGTACATAATATTTTCGAAATCAATCAATATTACTTTCACCTTTTAAACCTTTCAACCTCAGCGATTTCTTATCATTTCACAAATCATTTTCAAGCGCCAATCTTAAGTTTGGAGTAAACAACGGCCATCTTGCTAGCATATGATAAGCGCGCACATGCGTGTCTCGCGCTTCGTCTCACGAATAGCGGGAGTCCATTAGCTCTTGCAGCGGCAAGTCCCGCCCAAACCCATGTCAGTTATATCTGAAGCCAAAAATTATTGAAACCGCCCGCATAGCAGCCCAAGCCGTGACTGGGCCTTATATAATAACCAATCCCAAACATATTTGCCTTCTTTTGATTCAGCAGGCATTGAATGATCTGGTTTCGTTCGGTCGCTCTGATTACGAAGGACCCAAAGCCGATCCATTTTGTTGCGCTCGATCGATTCGAGAATACTCCAAATAACGACAACCATGCCAACAGCCGCACACCCCGCTGCTGCGACTGCTGCGAAAGCCTCTAAGAAAACATCCAAATCCGCTGCAAAGTCCAGCAAGGCGTCTTCAGACCCTTCAACGTCGAGTACCGCCGCAAAATCTACCAATGACTCCATCGACATCAAAAACATCCCTTTGCAAATATCGGACTACTTGATCCTTCCCGTATCGTTGCCGCCACTATCATGCATGACGAAAGTCGCAGGACCTGACGCAGTGTATCATTTCCTCTATGTCCGTCCACATGAGCCCAAGGTACCGACGCCCACGGCAGAGCGCTCCTTATTCGTGGTCAATGTCCCGATCGATGCGACGGAAGCGCATTTCCGTGCCCTCTTTGCAGACCACTTGGGCGGAGGACGTGTCGAAAGCGTTGAGTTCGAGGGAAGGCGAAGCGAGAGTAAGGGAAATGTGGCGCCTATGGTGGCAGAGGGAGGCCTTAGTGTCAGCGGAAAAAAGAGGAAGAGGGGAGGTGTAAGTGCTGTCCCTACTTTTTGCTTCAAAATACTAGTTCGGTTTCGTTCCCGTGTTCTCGTCTCATACCCGGCTATTGTGAGACATGGAAGAGTGCAGACTGCGAAGTTGCAGAAACTGGAGGCCATATATTATTGCGGAATATGACTGGCTAACAATGCCACCGTCGAGAACAGCAGGAGGACGACGCAGCTTTAATGGCTATGATGCGCGATCCCGCCGCCGCGGTTGATTTACCAGACACTTGGGACCGGCAATTACACCGGAGCGGAAGCAGCGCAGTGGTGACGTTTGTTGACCGCGCAAGCATGGACCTAGCTCTCAAGGCGATCAAGAAATCCCGCAAGAGCGGCCAGGCGAAGATTGTTTGGGGCGAGGGCGTCGAGGGAACTGGAAAAGTTCCAGAATTGGGAATTCATCGTATGTTTTCTTCTATTTCCCACATGATGTCCTCATCATATCGGCATCTTCTGCATTATATTTTCCCCGGGCGATTCTGTCCTCAAACTTCTCAAGAATTGAATTTCAGAAGCTAATATGGCTGACAATTTCGCAGGCTACATGGCGCACCAAATGTTGCGGTACCCTGACCCAGACGACATCAAAGCCAGCGTCAATACATTTATGGAACGGTTCTCCAATATGGAAGCAGCCCGTGACCGCATGCGTGCTCGCCTTCGCAACCAGGCAGATGAAGACGGATTCGTTACAGTGACGCGGGGCGGTCGCGCAGGCCCCGCGCGACAGGAAGAGGCGCTGGAGAAGCTGGAGAAGCAGAAGGAGAAGAGCAAGGGCAAGGAAGACTTTTACCGGTTCCAGCTGCGTGAGAAGCGCAAGGAGAAAGCCGCGGAGATGCTTCGCAAGTTTGACGAAGATAAGAAGAAGATTGAAGAAATGCGCAGAAAGAGAGGAAAGTTTCGGGTAAGTTTGACCGTCCTCCGGGTTTGCAATGTTTGACTTGAAGATAATTCGGTCGTTGGAAGCCGATTGCTAACGGATATTCTTATGTGTAGCCTGAGTAATACCGTCTTGTATCTCTTGCTTCATCACATCTCCTGGGATTCAATAGAAGGGGGCGGGGCCTCCCTTGTCAATTGTGAGTATATACAATTTTCATCTTCTTCCCTTGGACCAGGTCATTTTTACAAAATGTTTCCATGACCGGTCTGAAGTCTGCAAATCGTTCGGGATGAACAAAGCTGGGGCCAGAGTAGTCGTTGGGCGCACCGCCCGGTGTCTTTTCTGCCGGGATCGGATCGCATCCACGCAATGACTAAAAATCCAGCTATAAATGTATCGATTGTCTGAAGAAAACGCTTTTTTCTGTTTGTTGCTATGGATTCACAGTCGCGCATATCTTGTTTAAAGGTATGAATACTAATACGAGAACGATTGCAGGTAAATTATTTACTACTTTGTATAAATGTCTTCATCACGGCGTTTGTTAGATGATATTAATGTGCGTTTTGCTTGGTCAAGGGCACGGCGTTAATGGCAGGGCGGAAAACTTAAAAGTTCTTTGCTTTGCTTCTTCTTTAGCTGCTGCTTTTCTTCCTCTTTCCAATACTTGAATAGGTTAGAGTATGACATTAAAAGGAAAATATTTCAGCCGTCGTCATCAATAGCACCATCCTTAGAATATCACTTGAATGCTTGGTAAAGTTAAACTGGGCAAGCTGCTACCAAAACAGCCGGAGAATCGGCGACTCGGGCAAACCTCCCCGCCTTACAGATGACTGAAAACACCATTCGCGTAAATAATTATTGTCGATAGCCGACACGCGAAAGGACGTTGCCAACGTCCTTCCATGTTTATTAGCTATTCGCACTGGAAATACTGCTTCGTATTGCGGTTTTTTGTCTGATTTTATGGTTCAAATGCGTTGAATTCTTGATACCTATTCTTTTACCTAGACCATCTTTGCCGTCACAGTGTCAGAAACATGCAATCTTCAGATTATTCCCGAGATATTCGAACCTCTCAGAACCCTACAAGTCCTATGAGTGCCCCATCCCAGGCACCGGGCGGTTTCTTGCACCCCGACTCAACGCTCCTCTCTCCGCCTTCTACTGCCGGGGTTTCATCACCAGCAGCTTCATCCGCAGTAGGAAATGTATCCTTGCCACGAGCTCGTCTGCACCCATTGAAACCGGGAAGCTCCAAGGAAACGGCATTCATCAATTATGTAGATCGCGGGATGCTGGAAGTGAGTCGGCGATATGCCAAAAAGTTCACCGGAAAGCATGAAGAGGAGGAAATAGATGGCGGCGCAGATGGCGCCGGGGACAGGATGCGGGGCGGAGAAGTCAAGGGATATGAGAGTTTCAAAGAAGCCGGGAAGGACATTGAGAAACTGGTAGACGTTGTTTGGGTTTCGGGGACTCGTATGTTGCCCTTCCATAGCCTGCACTCGTGCTATCTGCCATGGTCCTTGCGGCAATTCATAGAGTCCTCATTGGTCAAAGCCGCACGGAGTCCCGATGAACGTTGGCAACGGTCGCGGAATGATAACTAACTGTGCTTATTTCCATTTAGCCGCCTTACAAACATCATATCTCCTTTCCCTCGCTCTCCTGGTCGCCACCTATCTTCCATCCTTCCCTCCTGCTCCCCGTACTACCTTTAACCTGTTGCATAAACTAGACCTTGCATTTGCATCTCTTCTCCAAGGTCGCGATTTGAGCACAGGCGAAGTTCTCCCCGGATTCGAGACCTCCTCACGAGCGCTGAGTACGACCGAAAAGGTCCGCATCAAGAGTCTTGTCGAGAGAACGCGAGTTGTAGTCGTAGAGTCGATGCGCAGGGGCGAGTATGAGGAAGAGGAAGAGGAGGAAGAAGATGACACGAACGATGAGAGTAACGGTAATGATGAGGACGACACTGATATGGATTTTGGCGACGAGGCGGATCGTTGGGAAATGGAAATTGCCAGAGTATATGACCGGACTATTGTAGAGCTGGGCGAGAGCCTTGGGAATGATCCGGCGGGCCCTAACTAGATGGATTGATTGAACCGAAGGCGCAGTCCTCGATGATGCTGGATCAAACATGTGCGGGTCAATGTGTTTGCTTGCACATCTTTGATGCTAAACCATGAAATCCGTGGCGAATATCGCCATGTGCTTCCGCGTTTTCCATGCAATGGATCGCCCACGACAGAGGACAAGAAGCATGAATCTATTTCTCGGCGTCACTAAGGGGCAAAGCCAATTCTCTCATGACAATTCACTCGTGCCTACCTTACATGTGTAGGCACCAAATGGGAAAGCCTTTCAGCCGAAAGCATCATCGAGGACTGCGCCATCGGTTCCATCTAATCCAAGAGGATCTTGAATCCTTTGATTTGATCTCCCTAGAGCACACGTCGAGTAATTGGGTCAAAATGCCGACGTTTTACTCGACATCCGTCAAGATTCAGCTCTCCGTCTCGGACCTCTCCTGGTCCACCAACGCGGTTGAGGCGCGTCAGGCCAGTTTTACAAAGGCCAAGCATTTAAAAGCAATCAGCGCACACATAGCCGCCGGCGAGCCTCTGGTTGAGCATGCGGTTCGCCTTCCAGATGAACCTGGAACGTTGCACTTTCTTGGCGAGAATATGGATATGCCCTTTTACATTGTTCACGCCGGGGAGGGCTTGTTTACCGGCGACACTCCGCAAAGAGACTCATCGCGGAGCACTCGAAGCTCAGTAACTTCGTCTGAGAAGCAATCGACGTCCTCACATGCCATGTCAGGATCATCCGGAGGTCGGTCGTCTGCAAACAAATCCGTTCCGTCTGAGGATGATGTGGTGCTCATCCCAACGGATTCGGCTCCCAGCATCATCAATAACAACAACAATGTCGCAGATGGTCTCCGGCTGCGGAGGACTCCCCGACTATCGACACCTTCGCAGATATTGGTACAGCTGGATGCCTCACACAAGAATATTCTAGGAGCTGGGAAACAAAGGCTTCAATCGCCAGTGTCAGCTCGAGCCAGCCCTTCTCCAACCGTTGGCTCTCCCTTTGATCCGACTCCCGTCCCACAAGCAGACACTGGAGAAAGCAGACGAAAGCTCAAGGAAAAGGCAGGATTGATTTCGCGAGTAGGTCCTCGAGCACTGACGGTTTCCGTGGGGCTCGCACCGGAATCCTTCCTCTACACATCAGATGACCCAAGAAATCCCATGGACATCCGTATTGATGTATTTATAAATGGGGAGTTTTCGGGGTCCAGCTTTGTGCCCGCGCGTTGGCGAAGGGATGCAGTCAAACGCAATGAACTCACTCAACGGCTTTCAGGACATCGAGTCGATCGTCTCTTGGAACGCCCATGGATTCTTGTCCCATGCAGCCAGAACCCGGACGGAACATTACGTGAGAAGCGGCGGGGTAGGAACTCGCATTTCACTGCGCTAGAACGATGGGAGCAGATAGGCCTGGCCTTGGATCAAGAGGGAAAGATGAGGGGAGTCAAGGCGAAAGGCGAGAAGAGTTTGCTTGGTGAATACTTGTCAAGCTTGGCCAAACTGCCAATGCCAGACGCAGTCGAAGGGATGCAGAAGAAGGGTGGACCCAGATACGGCGTTCTCGATGTCGTGGTAATGCTAGGGAGAGGACGGAAATATGACCCACAAGCGCAGTATCAAAAGGGCCCTGTGCGCATGTTTGATCCGCGGTTTGTCGATGATAGTCCAAATGGCGGGTCTTATCATGGCACTTCTGTCTTTGCAACTCCCAAAACACCATTGATTGTGAGTGGTCCAAAAGCAGGATTGGCGCGATTACCACCGCCACGACCATTTCCTATCCTTGCAGATCAACCACCGGAGGCAAAAGACACAATTATTCTTGTGTCGCATGAGCCTGCTCAAGCGGCACCGCAACTGAATCCCGCCCACAATGCATCTACATCTGGCACTGGCCTACTTGATAGAGGTGAAGAAAAGTTTGGTATCGTCGGGACGCCCGCTACGTCCGCTACGTCCAGCTTAGTATTACGGAGCAGCCGCCCACTCAAAGCACAGGCTGGGTTTCATCCATATGTAACCCCAGTTCGGAATCTCCCCGTGGAAGGCGGCAGCACTCTGAACGGTCAATGGACCAGAAGGTCTTCTCGCCTGAACCCGAACGATGCTCAAGCGGATGTCGTCAAGCAACCTGAATTGCCATCTCACATCGGCGCTGATACACGAGGCGATGACGAGCCTGAGCAGGACGCAGATGTCAGTCAAACAATTCATGTTCTACCGCGCCCACTTTCCCTCGCCGCAAAGGAGACTATCCAGACACCTTCGCCTGTACCTCCGCGCCGCAGACGAGGTAGACCGCCAACTAGGCCACAGCACCGTAACAATGGGACAACCACTGCGAATCACTTGGATTCTGGAATATCCAATACCCTTCCAAATTCGACTGCAAATCTCTCGTCTCTTGCAAGGGAAATGCTGGGGAACCTTACCAACGGAACTGGCCCTGGTACTGGCCCTGGAACTGGCCCTGGAACTGGCAATGGCAGTGGAAGTGGCAGCGACGGACACAGCATTCGCACGCGTAGTGCTCATCGCAACCACAACGGTGAATCCACCATGTCAATTTCCACAGAACATCAAGCCATTCCATCTTCTAGTACGGATCACACGCATCAATACGACCGTCGCCAGACTCGCACAGGCTCTACATCCTCCCGAAAGCCATTGTCGTCATCTACGCCGCGCGTCAAATTGAAACTCAATCTGAAGCCTAATCCACACCAGTCTAGTCCATCTCACAATGCGAGGAATAATACCGGCTTGGACGGGACAAGTGATTCGATCGACGACCATCGTATTGCTACTGATGATGGCAATGCACACGGCCAGCCAGTTCATCATGCGACTGCTTCATCTCCAGACCATTCTCTTCCTCTTCTTCTAAGTCGCCCGACATCAACGACCTTGTCTGCGTCTGCGTCTGTCATCTTGTCTCAAGGTTCTGATACAGACAACGCAGTAAACTCCCAAAATTCCCAACTCCCTGTATTGTCGTCCTCGTCCGCGGGAGCAGTACATTCCGAACATAAACACGAACCAGTCGTGCAGACACTCAGTTCGCACTCTGTGCCTGCGCCTGCGCCTGTCCTTGTCCCTACTCCAGCGGCCGCAGGTACCGGGGATACCAAGGGTCAGATGGACCCTAATACTGTCCCTGTCTCTGCCATTTCCGCAACCTCGCAAGTCCAAGACCAAGTTCAAGTCCCAGACAACGATAATACCAATACCAATACCACAAACCAACCTCTCAATCTCCCTGTCCCTCCTGTCCTTCCTGTCCTCCCTGTACCACTCAATCCCACTCTCAATCTCAGCGACGACTGCGTCCTCACATACGCCCCTGAGACGCCCCTCCTCGGCACAACCCTCGACGTGTCCCGGCGGCAAATCCGACCGGAGCGCGGCGGGGAATTTCTCGAGAGTAGTGTCTTGGTCGGCGTGCGCTATTTACTTGGGTGACGTCTCAAGTCTGAGGTCTGATGTCCGTTAGGATTTTTTTTTTAAAGTATCTGTTACGAGCGGCTGGGTTGACGCTTTTATAAAGTATGCGTTATGAGCAGCCATTTGACGTCTTTCAAACTTTCTATTACGAGGTCCGTCCCGACTCTGTTCAACGGAGACCTGTTGTTCGGCAGTTTGAGGGATCGTCTTTCATTTTATGTATCTCTAAGACCTCTGCCTTGTGCTCTTAGTATTGTGCAGTATTACATTACATGTACTGTGCTGTTACATGTATAGTACAGTACTGTCGTACCACTGTATCCACCTACTGCTCTATCAACCTACTACTTTCTACTGTACTGCTGTATTCTGTACTGCTGTACTAAGCTTCTAGCTACTGGCTACTAGCTACTCTTCTGATATTGTACTACACCTACAGTACCTAAGATACCTTATCTCTAATAATATTAAATGTACAATCCGTCGTTACTGAATCGTTACTTGCAGATAAATTTACTCTCCTTTCACATACTTGATTACTATCCCCGTACATAGCTGATTACTCTCTCGTGCATATCCAATAACTTATCCAGTATTCAATACTCTCCACCACCGTTCGCCATTACTGCCTGGACACTAGACACTGAACAGTAGGACTACTGTCTGTACTGTCTGTACTGTACTACAGTGTAGTATCGTAGTGCTATATCATCGTTATTTGTTTGATAAATAGAATATTTTATATAACAAAATGTAAATAAATATCAAAACACAGAAGAATGTAGAAGACATCTCAAGATGGTCTGGTCCTCTTCTACTTGAGTGAGCCAAAAAGAAAAAAAAATTCTTTTTTGAAGAAATAAGAAGAAAAATAATAATGCTCGCACTCGGATTCGAACCGAGGACCTCATCATAATCTAGCAGAAACATACTAGTGATGCGCGCTACCAACTACGCCATGCGAGCTGGGAAGAGATGATTGTTTCCTTTTTCGGATAAACAGGGATTGCTTACTGCGTTTATATACGGAGCACTCCGTGTTGTGACCATATGGTACCCATGTTTCATACTCGATACTCGATACTCCCGAGCGTGTTGGCGTCAGCTCGTTCGTAAGTTGACTATAAAACGTGGGGGCAGGCAATGCAGGGCGGCAGGGCGCGAGGCGGTCAGGTCGGACGGGCGGACAGGTCAAAGTAAACCTCCCCGCCAATGCTCCTACCCTCGTACCCAGAAGAAATATACTCTGTAGATCTGGGGGGGTGGGGCGGAAGAGGAAGGGGCGGGTTGTTAAGAATTAAACAAGGGGCAAATAAAATGGGATAGAACAAAAATATGACAAGAGGAAAAATGACAAAAAATGAAAAGAGAACATAAAGAACATGAAATGTCATAACGTTAACTTGATGATAAGTTGCATTGGGAACAGTAAGTTGAATTTGGAGCCCAAATAGAATACTGTACATATGATAAATACAAGGTATATCGACAGACGAGACGTATTCTGTATAAAGGACTGGACTTGCTGAATTGAATATTCAAGGGAGTTTGTCCAGTGCGTATCCCCAAATGTAAAGACAAATAGCGACGAGGATAAATTATAGTGATAAACAGCGATGAGGACAGACTTTGACAAACAGCGACGAGGAAAAATTGTAATGACAACAGCGACAAGGAGAAACAGTGACAGTGACAGTGACATGACAAGGCACAACGGTTACAACGACTACAACGACTACAACGACTACAACGACTACGACTGCACCTTCGAGTAGGGCAAAATGTATGACCGACTTACGACTACATGACACGTCACTGCTTTCTTCACCTCACCAACATACAAGAACAGAACCTACAAAAACAAGACATAAAAACAGGACCTACAAGACAGGACACCAAAATGTGACATACCAAACGGGAGACCATTAGAAGAAATACAACCTATTAAATTTTTGTAAAACCCATGTGCCTTCCACGGCCAAGAAGGAAGTAGTAAGAGGCTAGACCAATAGATAGAAGAGTATAAAAAAAAATGTGGGACAGAGTAAACAAAAAAGAAAAAAGAGCAAGACAAGAATTAAGAAAACCAGGGAGCTAAGACAAGAAAAAGAAGAGTTGAGACAACTTTCAAAAACAAAAGAAGAAGAAAAATATACCAAATGAGCAAGAAGCAGAGCCTTTCCAGAGTAAGTCACGAGCCTTTCCTTCCAGAGCCCCCCATCAAACTCCACGGGGAGATACAGAGATAAAAACAAAATCAGATAAGGAAAAAGGAAAAGTGAAAGGAGAATAAAGAGGAAAAGGAAAAGGAAGGCAAAAAGTTTCAGTGGCCAAGTGTGAAAACAGAGACAAGAGACAGGCCAATAGTGCATTTGAAAACATTCGATAGAGGGAGCGACAAACACAATATATGACAGTGCATGTATCTCTCTCTCTCTCTTTCGTGCTCTCTGTGCGAGCATGTATATGTGGGAATAAACCATTCAAGACTGCACGCGCGCCAAGACAAATGAAACAACTGTAAAGAAGACAAAAGGAACCAAAAGAGAAAAGAAGAAGAAGAGAAAAGATAATAAAAAAGAGGTATCAATCAACCAATCAATCAGTTTGAGACACTGTAGGGAGTTTTCAAAAGCGCACCCATCCAAGTTTGACAAGTTAAAAACCAAATTGGACAAGTAGGAATAACCACACGACCAACGGGGTAAAATTTAAAAAAAGAACACACTAGAAACACCGTGATATCAATCAAAAGAATTTCGCTTCTCTTCCTTCATTCTTCATCCTTCATCCTTCGGTTCCGGCTTCGACTCCATCAGGATTGCCGTAGCCCAGACCGGGATCAAAACTGAATGCGCCATTGCCGCCTTGGTCGTCCGTGTTGAGGAAAGAGTCAAAGTCAAAGCTCTCTAGCACGTCGGTGCTATCCAGTGACGAAAAGTCAAGGTTGAATGCGGCATTCTAAAACATGTTAGTCGAATACATACTGATAAGATGAACAAATACGTACATCAGATCCATCAATGGAGCCAAACGGTGCCACTTGACTGGGATCAGGTTGTGGTGCTGCTGGCGGGGCGGGTACCGGAGCAGATGTTGGCGCATGCGAAGTGCTTGGCGGCACTGGAGGTGCAGCTGGCTGTTGTGCAGCCGGCGCCGCAGCCGTAGCCGGCTGAACTTGACCCTTTTGCTGGTTCGCGTTAAACGAATTTGGGTGCACGGGCGTAATAGGCGTCGAGGGAGTCGGCGTTGGCGGCGGCTCAGCCTCAGAGCTCGGGGTTGCCGCCGTGGTGTTAGCAGCGCCCTTCTTTTGAGTCCGCTACAATAGGAAAAACCCGTCAGTTTTAACTTGATCTCCCAACAAATTGCTAAAGGGGAAAACATACCTTTCGAGGCTCCTTTGCATCCTTCTTCGACTTGGGATTAGCCTTGTTTTGTTGCTGAGGCGTTGGCGGTGCAGCTGGCTGCTGAGGCGACGAGGGCTGCGTCCGGCCAGTCTGCGCGCCACCACCCGCCGGAGCTTGGGGTGGCGGCATGGCATTCCGTTGCTGGGGTGTGCCCATGGGCTGCGGCTGTTGCTGTTGGTTTGGCGGAGGTTGTTGCATCATTGGTGCGCCCTGAGGCCCAGGCTGCCAATTACCGCTCGGCAATCTTGCCGCGCTCTGCTGGCGCGCCATGGCCTCGAGCTGCTGTTGATTCAGCGGAGGGTTGGCAAAACCTTGAGGATGCGAGCTTGGCGGACGCATGACCGCACCATTCGGAACGGCTCCGGTAATGTTCTCACCCATCGCCTTGACCTGGTGATAAAATTGCGGCGCCATCTCGGGTGGGATCTGGCCGGCCGGGTTGAAATTCATAGCGGCAGGCGACCCTCGTGCCTGGGGCATGGTGCCGTCTGGTAGCGGCGAGCCTGGCAATCCGGCTTGACCGCCAATCTTGGGAGTGCGAAGCTTCATCTCATTCGGGGTGGGCGAAGGGCCTGAGCGGCTTCCTTGCGGAGACATGCCTGGCGGCACCATACCGGGCTGACCAGGAATCGGTTGTCCATCTCGGTTCTGGCTGTCTTGCTCGTGACGAGCCAGGAGCAGTCGTTTCTTGTTCTGCTGCTCCAGCAGCATCAGCTGCATCTGATAGTCTTGCAACGCGTGATTACCGCCCTGACCATTGGGGGCTTGCATGCCGCGCATCTGAGCGGGGCTGCCGGCGGCATAGAAGTCGCTCAGGCTACCCAGACCCTGAGGGTCAGCGCCCTGCTGCATCATGGGAGAGCCCTGCGTGGGCACGCCATTGGGGTTCGGCAGACCCTTTTGGAGTGTTTGGTTGTTGAGTGCGGTGCGTTGGTGGTTGGCCAGATTTTGCGCATAGACTGTAATTGACTTTTGCTGGACAGCAGGATTTTGCTGCTGAAACGATTGGAATTGCGACTGAGTTAGGGTGCCCGGATTGATACCATTCTGGATTAGAAGCTGGGCAGCATTGGCATTGTTCATGGGCTGGCCCGGCATGCCCTGTGGCTGACCACGACCATTGGGACCCATGGCTTGTCCGTTAAAAGGAGTGCCGTCAAGCCGAGGACGTTTGGAAGGTGATGGGGCGTTCTCGCCCGAAGAAGGAGACGGGGGACGAGGCTGACCATTGATGTCCAGATCGGAATTGTCTCGTTGCATCTGTTGCTGCAGCATTTGCTGCTGAGTCTTGGCCATTTGCTGAGGTGTTCTATACCAGAAAGCAAAAATGGGTTAGCTTCAAGTGGACAAGCAAGAGTACGAGATTTGAAGGAATGATTGGGGAGAAAGACAAGGGGAGGGG